CACCGAACCTGTGGAACAATTGGATCAGTATTCTGAGGGCGTGGGTGCAATGGATGGAGGATAGGAGTTACACACCTCATGGTGGGCAGGGGAAAGTGTGAGGAATTCAGGTTAATCCTAAGCTCATGACGGGAGAAAAGAAGAAAGAAAAATATCCCGGTGAGGGGAGCAAGGAAGCCAAAGTCGGAGGGTTGTAGCTCTCCGAACAGAAGTCCAAAGAGATATGGGTCTCCCCGAACTCGGCTAGTCCGATGACTAGCGGGTGACGGCCCCATGTCATCAAAACGGGTGCGTACTATTAGTCGAGGTGAGACGATATGAATATAGATTTTCTATATTGGGGATTTTAACCGAATGTGTAGCTGAGGAAATGACATTGAAATATCTTACTTAGGTATAATGAGTTCAAATCTCTATCAAATTGTTGTATATGGGTGACTATAATCAGAATGATCATGGCAATCTAGATGTACTTTGGTAATTTTGATATGGTAACTTTGTATTTGCAATACACCCACCCCTTGGTGACGTTAACAATTTGACCAGTCATGGGCGCACGTGGGCACTACGTTTGTTAGTCTGTTTTCTCTTCAGTCGGGTACCTCTTTCTTCTCTGTTCTATTCAAGTTGTTACTATATCTCCTGACAATCCACAGACCTATTACACATTCCAATATCAAACATGCTTCCCCAATTGCTTCCTCGATCCTTGTAGCCAAGGATGCAAGTCAACAAGATCGCCCCACACGGTACAATTGTTCGTGTTGGGTCTAGATGCATGTGATATCGCATTTTTCACATCCATTAGTTTTTAGTCTAGTCTAACCTAGGTAAGTCAGCTTGGTGAGAATATTGAAAATATTATGATCAAATCTACAATATACAGTTCTGGGGCCGAATCCCATAGCATTATCCATAAAAACACAAACGCCAGAACACCCTCAGTCAGAGATGACATGCAGCCTAATCTATCATCACATCATGGTATCATCGCAGCCACCTAGGACATGCTCATGGCCGCCCGGCGGATACTGCGACGAGCACCTTCACCGAAGACATTCACGGAGCCCTCCGTCTCCAGTGAGCGCACCACATCGCCGAACTGCTGGTGGTCAAGTTTGTTGTCGCTTTGCTCGCTCACATCGCGATACAGGTCAGTCCAGCGGACCGTGCCACCAGCAACACCGCCACGTTCATCAAGACGGGCCAGCACCGCCTTCTTCAGATCGTCACGTAGACGACGGTCAGCAGCGCTGCTGCCTTCGGTCAGAAGACCCATGTCGATGAGACCGGTTCGAGCATCGGTGGCGGCTGCCTTGATGGCGGAGCGGATGAGACGCACCGCTTCCTCGACATCACCGACGGTGACTTCGGGGGACAGACGCATGCGTGCGTGCGCCTCGGAAAGTCGGATCATCGATTCCAGCTGTCGAGTGGTGGCAGTGATACGGCGCTCTTGGGCGCGGATGTCATCACCTAGCTGGCGCATAGCCACGTAGGCATCGGTGAGTGCAGCACCGGCAGCTGGGGTGATCACAGGATGGCAGTTGGTCTTGGCGTATGTAATGTAGGCTGTGAGGAATTCGATAGGCTAGATAGAACAAGTTAGTAATCTCTCTAATTGATCGCACAGGAAATGTCACTTACCAGAATCTCCTGTGAGCTGGCATTCTCAGGGTTATCCTCGAGATACATGCCGACCAAGTGCTTGGCCAGGCGACGATCTTCAGTCTCATCGACACGGTCAAGGACCAGGTATACCAGGTCGAAACGAGAGAGCAGTGTAGGTGGCAGATCAATGTTCTGCGGAACAGCGAGTCTAGGGTTGTACCGACTGCCGATGGGGTTGGCAGAGGCCAGGATGGATGTTCGGGCGTTCAGGGTAGTAATGATACCCGCCTTAGCGATAGAGACGGTCTGCTGTTCCATGACTTCGTGAAGGACGGAGCGCGTGGAATCGTTCATTTTGTCGAACTCATCAATACAGCAAACACCACCATCGGACAGAACCAAGGCACCGGATTCTAGAACCATTTGGCGAGTCTCCGGGTCACGGGTCACGTAGGCAGTCAAACCAACAGCCGAAGAACCCTTACCACTGGTGTAGACACCACGCGGTGCGATCTTGTGAACATAGCGTAGTAGTTGGGACTTGGAGGTCGAGGGGTCACCACACAGAAGAACGTTGATGTCACCACGGTAGCGTGGGTTACCTCCCTTTTGGAAGGTCTTGTTGGTGCCTCCAAACATCTGCAGCAAGATACCCTTCTTCACATCGTCCATCTCGTAGATGCTGGGAGCCAGGGAACGAGACAGCAGATCGTAGATGTCGGGACGAGTGGCAGTCCGCTTGATCTTCTCCTCTTCTTCGGCCGAGACTTTGTGTGCCTGATCTGCCTCTGCTGCCTGCTCGGACATTTCTTGCTCGACGGTGGACATATCGATGCCCATCTTCTTACGGTCAAACTTCTGCACGTGAAGAACATCGATGTACGTCTTGAAGAGGGACTTTTGCGAGCGCTGACGAGCACTGACACGCATGGGGTTGCAGCGGAAGATACCAGTCACCTCCACACGGTCACCGGCCTTGCAAACATCGACTAGCTCATCATAGACACACAGAGACACCGAGTGAGGAGTCTGGCCATCAGGAATGTTGTCTGGGGTCTCCTGGAGCTTGATGACTTGCTTGTCAGAGAAGGAGCAACGGTTGTGAAGGAGCTGCATGGAGTTCTTCTCTTTGCAAGAGTCTCGAGGGCAGACTGTTGGCTCGGCAATTCTGCCACGATCAATGTCGACCTGCACACCAAAGCTGCAGGCGCTGCACCGGAAGAAGGCTTCTTTCATATCGGGGATGATGGGAGTGGCACGAATGACCAATCCCTTGATGCTGACCAGCTTGTCCATATCGGCCGGGTCGAGATCGCGCATGTTCACGGTCCGATCCAGGCCGAAGGGGAGGACCTTGAAGATCATGGCCTCCACTTCACCGACAAGATCCGGCACATCGGCAGTTGGCAGCACGTTGTCCGAGGTGAGGATGGGCTGACCACGTCGGTCACGAGGCTGAGCAGCGCGTTGGCTCTCTGACCGAAGAACGTCCATTTCCTTGAGGGCTAGATCCACCATCACATCCTTCAAAGCTTGATCCATCAGAGGGATGATTTCTTGTGGATATGCGGAAAGTTGGTGCCACAGCTTGCGAGTCAATGGGTATGACTTCAAGTTAGCCGCATCGAGGTTGAATGTGGTCACACCAAGTCGTCGCATGTTGTTACACATGGTGATGCACTCATGTCTCTCTGCTAATTCTCCCATAAGTCTAGTTTCATCCTCGGTGGCGCCGTCGGCCCAGAGGCGGTATTTTGTAGCGAAATTATACAGGAAGTTCTTGAATGCCGACATTGAATCTTGGATCGAGATGTTGGTACCCCAGATCACACGAGTGGAGTTTCCGGCCATAGCCTCAGCCTCGGAGGTGCCAGGGTTGATATTTGAGAAAGTGGCATCGGAGCGAGGCATGGTATCACCTGTGGGAATTCCATTGGCATCAACGAACACACGGTTACGGCGATTGGGAGTAGACCCAAAGCCACCGGAGTGCAAATCGCTGCGACGAGGACCCCGTCGGCCCTGGCCTCCAGGTGACACAAATAATCCGCTACTGGCGGTGCTCAATGCATCGGAGCGGATGTCGGAGCGGATATCAGACCGACCGAAGCCTCGAGTTGGGCTAGAGCTTGGAATATAGTGAATGGGAGAAGAGTCTGATGGGCGGTCAGGAATCTATATTGAAAAAAAAAAGGGTGCTGCTCTGCTAAACAAAATTCATACCTCTCACACCAGGGTTTCCTCGCGGGGTTCTGTCGCCATCATCTACCGTTGAGCTGGCATCGGCCATCCGCTCATCTGGAGTCTCGGCATCGTTATTTCCCTTGGTTGGGGAGGATTGGAAAAAAATGGGGGACGACGAGGGTGCGGCTCCCTCGGCCATTAGACGTCTGGAGGCACGGGGGTGGCTTGAAAAGTTGGGCTGCTAGGAGGCTCCTGTCGAGACGAAGAACTGGGCGATGCAGTTGAATTTTTAGAGGAGCGACCCCTCCGTCTTTGTGCTGGTGACGACATGGTGGATATGAATTAATGTGTTGATACCAGACGAAGGTCAGGTGGGTTGGTGTTGGTATGGGATACAAGTGAAGAAAGGGAGAGCAAAAAGCTGTGGGCGGAACGCGGTTTCTGCCACCCTTGACGCGACATACGCGTTAAGTGGTTTCCTCTTTGGGACGACGTGTTATCTCTAGCCACAGTGGTCCCTGGCTCTTCAGGGTTGTGGCTGATGTCTCAGATTACCTAATGTACTGCCACACCTTCAACCCAGGGGCCAATCACCGCTCTTTCCCTTTTTCTTTTCCAGGGCAACTGGTTCCTCACCCAAAAGCTTCACTACTACTATAGTAGGCATTCACATTATATGTATTAACATGTAGAAAATATCAGCAATTCCTTGTTATAAATATAGATGAGACTCTGAGGCGCTAGTTTACACAAAGTAATATTTGCTTCCTTTCAATAGGCTCTACCTTTGTAAAGCCGCCGTGACTTGTTTGGCGGTTTCACCTAGCGCCTGATGTCATTATATCTTCGATCGGCGCTCCCACGTTTCCTCCAATCATCCCTGTTCATCAACGTCCCCAATTTCTTGATCAGACTGCCAGCTCGATCCTTGCGCCACTCACCTCATTAATCAGGATATTACTCGAGGACCAATTTCGACGTTATTGGCTCTCGCTCCCCCACTGATCAGGTTGGCGCCCTACGAAGTCTCAAGTGGATTTCTCTTCGTGATTTTTTTTTCTCTTATCACCGAGTTCTTTCTTATTCAAACATTCAACATCCATCGGTGTCTACAACGAAATCTCGTGATGCTTCTTGCGGCGACAGCTGCTTCGATACCCCTTATAGTGTCCTAGTATCCCTCGGCAATACCCGACCTGATCGTCATGCCTTCGGGCTTGGAGGAGGCGCTGGAACACACCGGTGGCCACGGCCGAACCGCTGAAGGTGTCTCAATCTCGACCTTCCTGGCGTCGCTGGCGACAGCCATCGCTGTCTTCGTTGTTGAATTTCTCCTCTTTCTGTTACTCAAGGGTAAACTAAGCCGTATATAGTAAGTCCCCTGAGCCCCCACCAGCAAGGAGAACGTGGACATTAAGCTGACCAAAATTGATAGCCAACCGCGAACCTATTTGGTACCAGATAGAGAGCGTACAACCCCATCACCCCCAGGTCTCTTCCGTTGGATTGTCCCAGTTTTTCGTACCTCCAGCTCGGAATTCATCCAAAAATGTGGGCTAGATGCATACTTCTTCCTGCGCTATCTACGCATGCTTCTGAAGATCTTCGTTCCTCTGGGCCTCATGATCTTACCGGTTCTACTCCCAATCAATCAGGTTGGTGGCAAGGGCCAAACATACGAACATGGTCACTCGGGCAATAAGTATGCCGTCACTGGTCTGGATCGGTTAGCATGGGGTAACGTAACCCCCGAGCACACGAGTCGGTACTGGGCTCATTTGATAATGGCCGTGATTGCCATTATCTATGTCTGTGCTGTGTTCTTTGATGAACTTCGGAATTACATTCGCCTGCGACAGGCCTACCTAACGTCTCCCCAGCATCGACTCCGTGCTTCTGCTACCACCGTCCTCGTTACTTCTATTCCTCCTGATTGGCTCAACATGGATGCTCTTGATAGGCTTTTCGATGTTTTCCCTGGAGGCGTGCGCAACATCTGGCTCAACCGCAACTTCGACGACTTGAATGAGAAAGTCAAAGCGCGAAACAATTTTGCCCTCAAGCTTGAGAGCGCCGAGACGGATCTGATTGCAAAATGCAAAAAGTCGCAGCTTAAAAAGGCCAAGGCGGAGGCAAAGAAGGCCGGCAAAAGCCAGTCAAGCGCAGAGAAACAAGAAAAAAAGGCGGCCGACAAACGGGCGTCCCAAATAGCTATCGGTCCTGGTATCAGCTCCGGTAATCCTCATCAGGCCCACACGGTACGAGAAATGCTCCACGGACAACCAGAAGGTCCCCAAGAGAAACGGTCACAGGACGGACCTCGACGGGTGTTTGACCCTGCCTTTGCCGCCGCTGAGGTGGTTGGCCAAGGGGTGGGAAAACTGGGCAAGACAGTGCTTGGGGGCTTCAAGAAGGTCGAGCACGGCTTCGAGAAGCCCTTGGCTCGAACCGGGGGCTTTGTTGCCACTACAGACAATATCCTCCCGCCTCGTTCAAATACTCCCCCGCGCCCCGATCATTCTGCAATGACAGACATAACCGCGCCTCATGCAGACACTCCTCCAGTCCCAGACCCTCTTGCCTCTGGTAGCCAGTCTGCTACAACGCCCACCAAACCCGTAGGGCTGCGGCGAAGTCAGCACTTGAGTTTGAAAGGCAAGAGACTACCTGGACTGGATTCAGGACAGGATGCAGGCCAGGATGACACCACGTGCTGTGATCCAACGACTCCGGCGAAGCCACCATTCTGGAGGCGGATGTCCTCTCATCCAAAATCGCAGGGTGTGCGCGAGGCTGACGAATACCCACTGACTGCACCTGAAACCCCTGTAACAGATGCACACCATCATAGCTCCAACAAACCGAGCAAGGACGAAAACCCCAAAGATGGTCGAAAGGAGGGGGACAAAATGGAAGGAGAAAAATACCCCGTCGCCTACAATGAAAATTTCGACAATGAAGACTACGGAGAGCCGCTGTGGAAAGAATACATTCGGCCAAAAGACAGAGATACCATGCGTTTACCCATATTTGGTTGGAGTTGGATGCCTTCGCTTTGGCTTCTAGGCCAAAAGGTTGACACCATCGATTATTGTCGAAAGGAGCTCGCTCGTCTGAATCTGGAGATCGAAATCGACCAACAGCACCCTGAGCGGTTCCCTTTGATGAACTCGGCATTCATCCAGTTCAACCACCAAGTCGCTGCCCACATGGCCTGCCAATCTGTCAGCCATCACCTCCCCAAGCAGATGGCACCCCGAGTCGTGGAAATCTCTCCTGACGATGTCATTTGGGATAACATGTCAATCAAATGGTGGGAACGATACCTGCGTTCCTTCGGCATCATCACACTAGTTTGTGCAATGGTCGTTGGATGGGCGTTCCCAGTCGCGTTCACCGGACTACTCTCGCAATTGGCATACCTGGAGGGTGCATTCACGTGGCTGGCCTGGCTTGGCAAGCTGCCAAACTGGTTCATCTCAGCCATCCAGGGTATTCTTCCTGCGATGTGTTTGGCTATTCTGATGGCACTGCTCCCCCTCATCCTTCGCTTCTTGAGCCGCACGCAAGGCCTCTTCACTGGCATGTCCATCGAGCTCACTGTCCAAAATTATTACTTTGCCTTCCTGTTTGTGCAGCTGTTCTTGGTCGTAACCATCGCTTCCAGTTTCTCGACAATCATTGAGAACGTCACTGATGTGACCAGCTGGCCGCAACTCCTTGCAGTGAACATCCCGAAGTCTAGTAACTACTTCTTCTCTTACATGATTCTACAAGCCATGTCTGTGAGCGCTGGTGCTCTTGTACAGATCTTTGGCCTAGTGAGCTGGTTCATCTTAGCTCCTATTATGGACTCTACTGCCCGGAAGAAGTGGGCACGAACAACAAACCTCAACCAGATGCAATGGGGCACGTTCTTCCCTGTCTATACCACCCTAGCCTCTATTGGTAAGTCGTCTCGTATTTTTGATTAAATCCATTAACTAACATTCTCCAAGGTTTGATTTACTGTGTGATCGCACCGCTAATTCTGGTTTTCAACATCATCACCTTCGGCCTGTTCTGGTTCGTCTATCGCTATAACACACTCTATGTCACCAAGTTTCGCTTTGACACCGGTGGCCTTCTTTTCCCCCGAGCCATTAACCAGCTATTCACTGGAATTTACATTATGGAGGTCTGCCTGATCGGCTTGTTCTTCTTGGTTCGGGACGCGGATAACGAGGTCGCCTGCAAGGGACAGGCTATTTGCATGATCGTTGTTCTAATCCTGACGGCCGGTTACCAAATTCTGCTCAACGAAGCGTTCAGTCCACTGATCAGGTATCTGCCTATCACCTTGGAAGATGATGCTCTTCGACGTGATGATGAGTTCCGTCGTGCTCAGCACGCTCGCCTCGGTATCGCTCTTGATGATGACGATGACGAGGATGGTGACATTGAACACACCCTCGCTAAGCATGAACATCAAGAGCGCCAGCACAATAAGGAGCTACGAGAAGACATCGAACTGAAACCGCTGGAGACCAGTATCCCCGACCAGACGCGACACAATTCGGATCTCCTGTCAACACCGAAGCTTGGAGGCAAACGTCCATCATGGGCCTCTAACTCATCAAATCGGAAATCTAAATATTTCGGTCAGAACTCAACCCCCACCACGCCGACACTACGGAATATGCGGGAAAAGATGGCCCAAGACACTGAGGCCCAGGGGCCGGGCCCCAACACAGTTGGCCAAGCCCTCTTTGCTGGTATCCACGATGAATTGGAGGATCTCACGCCCGATGAGCGTGACCAGCTGGTGCAACGTGCCTTCCAGCACGAGGCCCTTCGCGCCAAGCGGCCTGTCATCTGGATTCCCCGTGATGATCTGGGTGTAAGCGATGACGAAGTCTACCGAACACAAAGATTCAGCAAACATGTATGGATCAGCAATGAGTACCAGGCCCTAGACGGCAAGTGTCGGACGATCTTCAGTCGCAGTCCTCCAGATTTCTCAGAGGTGGATTTGATTCAGCTGTGATACCATTTGTACATTGTTCCTTTTAGCCATTCTATAGCATTTTCAAGCGTCGCATTCAGTCATAGACATCCAATGTCCTTTTTTAACATCCCATTTCCATGAAATCTTCCAGTATCTCCCTTAATCCATAAACTTGCACAGGGGCAATCTGTAATCATCCACAACCCAGTAAGCCCGGCGCACACCCTCCCATTCACCCTCCAACTTGGGCACATCAATCTCCTCCCACTGTACATCAAACCCAGCCTCGAAGAGATCCATCTCCGCGACCTTCTGGTAGACATCATATGAGATTTGACGATCAGCGCCCATGCCATTGAAGAATCCCCAACGACCCTCTTGCTCCAACAACCCAATAACCTGCTCAGAGAAGAAGTCCCGGAAATCACTATATGACTCCGCAAAGGTATCGTAGTAGATAGCATCGAACGTCTCCCCAGTTGCCACAAGGCCAGGAAGGATATCCTGCCAGCGACCCTGGTGGATAACAACACCGGGCTTAGTATCCCACCCGCGTCGCTTCATCTCCTCAACAACCTCCGCGTGAGCTTCGACAATGTGGTGCACCGCTGGCCCTTGCTCCTGGAAAAATCCATCCACAATACCCATCCCGTGACCGATGTTCAAAACTTTCAGCCCGGGTGTCGGGAGCAGTGCTGCCGCGGACTTGCGCATGATATCGCTTTCCCAGCGCATCATCACGCCATTCTGGTCTGCGTCCAGGATCCGGTCATTCTGGATGTTCAGGCGCGACTCCAGATACTGCGAGTTGGACACTTCTGGGTTGGCCGGGGTAGCTGTGGTTGTGGTTTCTGCTGTGGGTTCGGCGGAAGCATCGACGAGTTCAGGTGCTGCCTCGGCCTCGGTCTCACCCTCGGCTTCCTCCTCGTCGTCGTCCTCGGATAGCTCTTCGTACGCATCGAGACGATTCAGCAGCAACTCTGCGCGAACGCCTGCGTCGACGATCAACTCGTACAAATCGAGAGCGCCGATCCGGCGCGCGATACAGCCGGGTGTCTCGTTGTTCGTATCGAGATCATTCCAGATAGCGCCCTCCTGCAGGAGGAACTTGACTGTCTCCACTGCTGCTTTCACGGTCTCGGAGTCTAGACTGGGGTTCGACTCTGAGGTGGTCGCACCATTGGTGCTGGCAGTCTCTGTATCGGGCTCGCAGGCGGCGATTGCGGCGTGCAGAGGTGAGAAGCCGGTCTCGGTGTCTTTGACGTTTGCGGCGTCGGGAAGCATAGACTGTGTGCGGAGGAGACGACGCAGCTTGGACTGGTCATGTTGTGATGCGGCGAGGAGGATCTCTTGCACGTCAAGGTCGATATCGACCTCGGAGAGGTGAACTGGGGTATTGTCGGTGACTTCGGGCATGATCTGGTTGCTGTTAGTGGGGGTTCGCGAAGAGTTATTTCCAAAAAAAATTGGATTTGGTTAGTTTTCCAATTGATACTCACGAATGAAATGTAATACTTACTAGTCAATACTAGTCAAGTGTGTTGAACTGTTATCAAATCAAAAGTGGTGCCCCTCCGAATCAGAAAAATCGACTCGCCGCCTTCGTCCCCGCATGGAGAAAATATATATGAGCCCTACAGGTCTATAGCCACTTACGAAGAATTACTATGAGAAGCCTTAGAAAAAAAATAGAGAAGAGTCCACATTCAGATGCTCGGTAATCCAGCTATTTGTACAATAATTCACATTCCTTCTCGCAGCGCCATTAAGTATCAAGGGGAATGAATTTATTTGCCCTCCTCGTTGAAGGAGTGGACATTCAGGCCCAATCCTTGGCTGTCCAAGTAGAGCTTGTTCTTGCCACCGCTCTCATGCAGGATCTGAGCAATGTGACGGGCGTTTTCGATCTTCCGGAGCTCGATGTAACTCTTGCTCTTCTTGATCGCATCACCAATAAGCTCGGCGGAGCGGGCCTCACCCTGTGCGCGGACAATGAAGGCCTGCTTCTCTTGGCGGGCCTTGTCGACCATGAATGCAGCACGCTGAGCGTCTTGCTGTGCGACCTGCTTGGCCTCAACGGCGGCGGTGAACTCGGGGGAGAAGGTCAAGTGCTGTGTGGAGATACTGTGTTAGAAGCTGTTTGGTCTTGAGTAAGGAAAAAATGCACGTACTGTCAAGGACACATCGTCCAGAGCAATGTTGAAACGGGCAGCCCGGCGAGCCAGGTTCTCCCGCACCAGACGGGCAACGTTCTCACGCTGTGTGATCAACTGACTGGCGTTGAACTGGGCAACAACGCTCTTCAGAACCTCGTTGACGATTGAGGGTAGAACGCGCTCATCGAAGTCTTGGCCCAGAGTTCGGTAGATCTGGGGGAGAGCATCCACGCGGGGTCTGGAGAGGACACGGCAGGTGATGTTCACCATCTGCAAGTCCTTGGTACCGGTGAGGGAAGGGATGCTGCGAGGTTTCGCACGGACATCGTAGATGATGGGAGTTTCGAACCACGGGATTTGGAAGTGAGTACCTAAAGTTATCCAAATGTGAGAGAGAGCTCCTTTGCCCGGCTAGCTACTTTTCATACCTTCATTGTAGATCTCCTTCTGAACACCACCTAAGCGCGAGTATTTGATGGCACGGTGACCACCGTCCACTAAAAACTAGTTAGAAGCTTGATTCATTGTGCAAATGAGTATAACATACCGTTAAATAGAGCATTTGACGCGACGTAGGTGCCAATACCGGCCAGAACGAGAGTTCCGATAAGTCCCATGCCTCCTCGGCCACCACCGGATGGCATGCCACCGAAGCCGGCCTTGCGCTTGGACAGCATAACTTGCAGGCGCTCCCACGCCTCCCGTTGATTTTGAGACATGATGTGAGGAAGTGCACGGAGGGGATTGGAGATGGATGAGGACTGACTTGGACTGATGCTCGAGCGGATGAGGTGAGGTTGCGGGCGGTGAGAGAAAGTCAGGCAGAATTAGTGTTTCTTTGCTTGCCTCGACCTCTTTTGCCTTTCCCACTCGCATTTCATTTCCTATCGCAATCATGGCTCCCGATCGGACTGGGAAGAGTGTATTCCTGGGGAATATCCCCTACAGTATGTTACTGCAGCTGTCTGTCTAACCGATGCGATTCTAATCTTTCTCTAGACCTCACCGAGGAACAGGTCAAAGACATCCTCAGCACGGCTGGTACCGTTACCAAGTTCCGATTGATGATGAATCCCGAGACCGGCAAGCCCAAAGGTTATGGATTCGCAGATTTTGCGGACGCGGACGCCGCCGCCTCGGCGGTCCGCAACCTGAACGACCACGAAGTCATGGGCCGCAAGATCCGTGTTGATTGGCCTCACAACAACGAGAAGGATTCCATACCCCCAGATTACTCGCAGCAGTCACAACCAATGATGAACCAAGATCCCACACAGCAGCAACAAATTCCAGGCTCCGCGCCGCTGCCTCCTCTCCCCCCAGGCGTGGAACTCCCGCCTCAAATCGACTGCCCTAACGCCATCTCCCATACCCTCGCATCTCTCCCACCAAATCAATTGCTTGATGTTCTGACGCAAATGAAATCCCTCGCGGTTGCCGATCCGGCGCGTGCCACTGAACTGCTGCGCCAAGCGCCTCAGCTCGCCTACGCCGTCTTCCAGGCTCTACTTCTCATGAACCTGGTCGAATACCAGCTGCTTGGTTCTATCGTCGAACAGGCCGCCCAGCCCCCCCAAGTACCTCAACAGCAAACCCCCCAACAATTCCAACAGTACGGTGTTCCTGGTCAGATTTCTACACCGCCTGTCACCGGCACTCCTTTCGCCCCTCCCCCGGCTCAATCTGCTGCCCCGATGCATGGCCAGGAAGAGCTCCTTCAGCAAGTTCTCAGCATGCCGCAGGCTGCTATCGATGCTTTGCCTCCCATGGAAAGAAGCCAAATCATGCTATTACGCCAGCAATTGATGCAGAGTGGCATGCGGTAGGGTATTGTCGTTTACTGAGACTGCAATATCTATGGATTCGGATAATTTGTGGCTCTGCTCGTCGAGGGCAAGCCTGGCATGGCCAATATTTTATTTTTTCCCTTTTCTTATGCCACTGTACTAGGCGAATGGGTGGCGCAAAGGGGTTGTCATTTTTTCCCATTGATTTGCATACAGGGTCAATCTTAAGCTCTACCTTCAGAATAGTAGCAGAATGATATCTTGATTCTCTTAGTATTTCTTATTTCTATCAACGTCTGCCTTGCTTTCCTTTAGAGTCTTTAGCCAAAGGCAAAGTGCCTTAACCCGTGGGCATATTTGGCTCGTTTGCCAGTGACAGTGGAACTCTCCACCGTTACTTCGCCGTTTGTGAGCTTGACACAGCTGCATTGGCAAATTCTAGACTTGGTACTACCTAGCCACTCTATCACCATGGCTGGGAGCTTTCTTACAATGAAGTTTTGGCGAATCCTACATATGATATTCAATGTTTGGTGGGTAACTACCAACCCATCAATTCACCGGAACCAATCACGTTCGACACTGGCTTATTTCATAGTCTCAATTACAATTTCCAAGGCCACAGAGGAGGCATCAGAATCGACATAGTACATATGATTGTGCTAGGCGCGCTCAAGCTCATCGACATAACGCTACCTATATCATTTGCTATAATATCTCCACTTATAGTTTATACGATAGACACATTCCATGTCATTCGAGACATCAAACAATGGATCATTTATGCAGCACCTTTGTAGTGTCATTTGAAGCTGTTGCCCGTCAATATCAATTATATCTTTCGCCGAATGATATCAGCCACTAGCTTCTGCTTAAAGGAATGCACAATGTCCATTAACAGCCCATCTGGACCCTTCCTGTTATATTAAACAATAACCATGTAGTTATCGGCATATTGCAGCAAGTTAGGAAATACAGCAATATTCTATCTGCTTAGTTTTAATAGTGTGCAAAGACGACCTCATGAAACCTTGGCCAGATGCTATGGGTGTCTTCGTCAGCCGGGCATATCTCTCAGCACGGTGATGAGCCGCCATCGCATTCGACCTAGTTAGTTGGGTGCCAGCGGAGCAAAGCTTGTTATCCTCGTCCGGGGGGTATATCTTAGCGCAGGTGTACGTCTCGGCGCAGGGCGTCCCGTCACATGTCGTCGCGCCAAATCAGGCGAGAGCTACCGGAGTGCCGGGTGTGTAGTGGTCGCCATAGTTGTCACTATTGCCTATTCAGGCGGGAGCCACCAGATCGATGCCTGCGTGTCATGCACAAATAGTTTCTTCGTGTTCAATCTCTTCTTGTTTTCTTTTTTCCCCTCCACCTTCACACGCAATCACCGCCCCAACCATTGTTTCGCATGTTTGCTACTTGCTTCGTGCTTGAGCCGGTGACAAAGGTCATCCTGTAAGTGCCTCGGTTTCGAGGCTTTTGCTAGGTTTCCCGCGTGTTTCTTGACTGGCTTGCCAGTATCACCTAAACTCCGACTACCTCAACTTCTCGCCCCCTCCTCCAACGCAGATCATGGCGTCAAAGGGGGTTCCTCCTCAGCAGCAGTCGGTGGATAGTTTGGCAACGGATGATCAGGAGCCTAGGGCCCGGGCCGATGAGATTCCTGAGCTGCGGCGGGGATGCATGATCCCTCGGGGTCGGTATCTAGCCAGTGACCTCCCGCCTCTGCATACGCTGACAGAAATTTTCGCTGACATGGCATCGAATGCCCTGAAATTGGGATTCGAGCATGTCCTCATTCGGCTCGGCAGTCGACCACTTCGGGTGGCGACAATGTGCTCAGGAACGGAAGCCCCGCTTCTGGCCCTGGAATTGATCCAGACGGGTAAGTACAATGTCCTTTCTTTTTGTTATTTCTTTTTGTTCAGTCTTTTGTTGTCTTCGATGTTCATGTTGAGATTCATGTTGCTTGTGGTTGGTTCCACGGTTGAGGTTCCTCACCTTACCTTGACTTCCAAGTCACATGTCTCCTTCCTTGCCCTAACTTTTACCTTGACTTTGCCCTGACTTCCATGCCATGATGGCTTCAGTCTGTTATTGGCATATCATTTGTTTTGCTTTCACCTCATTCTCACCTTTCTGCCTGATCTATCTCACTTCCTGCTTGGCTGTTCCTGCAATATGACTATGGAGCAATTGCTAATATTACCTTGACAGGTTTGGCAGAGGCCCAGCAACTTCGGATCTCGCACGCTTTCAGCTGCGAGATTGTTCCGTTCAAGCAATCATACATTGAACGGAACTTCCGCCCCCTATCCTGTTCCGGGACATCACCGAACTAGGTGGGGACGAGGCGTAAGTACCCCATTCATCTTCCTCTGACATGACTTTCATACTGATTTTTACTTTGAAGGCGGACCGCCTACGGGTCATCGGAAGTGATTCCCGGTGATCTCGACATCTTAGTTGCTGGAACTGCCTGTGTCGATTTCTCTCCGTTGAACAACCGCAAGAAGACGCTGCAGCAAGGCGGCGAGTCAGGAGCTACGTTCGACGGTCTCTTGCGGTACGCGGAGAGATATCGACCCCGCATGGTCGTCCAGGAGAATGTTCGGAATGCGCCCTGGGATCAGATGAAGGGAAAGTGGGAGGAGCTCGGATACCTGTCGGTTTGTGTCAATGTCGACACGAAGCATTATTACATCCCTCAGACACGCGAGCGCGGGTACATGGTGGTTATTGACAAGCGCCGCTTGGAAGCAGCGGGCCTGCTTGGAGACTCCATGGACCAGAGTGGCATTGACACTGTCACTCAACGCGTTCGTGAGCTCGCTGTCCGTTTCAAGCGGCCAGCGAGTGCGCCGGTGGGTTTGTTTTTGCTGAGTGACGACGACCGCCGACTCGAGCTCATCGAGTCGAGAGCCCGCCTTGAGTCCCGAAGCGAAACAAGCTGGGACCAGTACCAGATTCGTCACCAACGGCACCGTGACGAACTGGAACTAGGCATCGAGAGGCCAATCACTCGATCCCTGCCCGGAATCAATGACCTGAAGGCACCGGACTTCTATTGGCATCGTTTCTGGAAGACACAGCCGGAGAGAGTGTGGGAGACCGTGGATATGAATTTCTTGAAGAAGATGCTTCAAGAATATGATATGAACTTCAAGGAGTAAGTTTTCGATCTTCTCTCACTTTCACTTCACTTTCACTTCAGAAATATTTTACTAACAGTTCACTTCACAGGCGTTGGATTGACTTGTCTCAGGGAGTCGATCGAGGGAATGACAGCCTTGCTGGGTCTGGGATCGCGGGGTGCCTGACGCCAAAGGGCATCCCATTTGTGACCACCCGCGGGGGCCCCGTTTCTGGCACGGAAGCCCTTTCGTTACAAGGTCTGCCCCTCGATCGAATGCTACTCACGAGAGAAACCCAAGCCGATTTGATGGACATGGCAGGAAATGCAATGACGAGTACGGTCGTGTGTGCAATCATGCTGGCTGGTCTGATAGCCGTGCATGAGATTCTTGACGACGGCGAGGAGGGTTCAACCAACCCCGGCGATACGGAGGACAAGTCCCTTCTCTTCCCCAGTGAGGTCCACAGTCTCGTGAGAAGCAACCTCCAAATCGCCGATGACCCCATCGTCGACCATGCTGTTCTCAAAGCCAAGGCAGTGAGCAGCGTTCTGTGCTGCTCCTGCGAGAGACAGACTGGGGTTCAAGATTCAATTTATAGTTGCACACTGTGCGGACATACCGCTTGCAGGTCCTGTCGTGGAAATCCCACGCATTCGTATCTACATGTTTCCCCAATTTATCGACAAAAGCCGTCTGAGTTTATAGCGAATATGAAGGGACTTGTTCCCAAGAAGCTTATGCTGTCTGGTTTGTCCGAATTGGACTTTGAGACGTTTAGTACCCTATGCCCTACCGACAACCTCCCCCAGTTTTGGCCCGACTTTATTCTGCGCATCACGGCAGCTGTGCACGACGCTTTCCGGTTTTTCGAGATCAAGCGTGGAAGAAAATGGCGAGTTGTTTATGATGGCACGCACTCCAGCTTGTTCCTTGATATCGGCCCGGACTCCATCCAATGGCTTTTGTACGCAAAGCCCCCCAAGTCCGCGAGCACGAGAAGCGTCATCCGAGAAGTGCTAGCCAAGCCAATTGCTAGAATGAGTCCCACCTCTGGGTCGTTTGTCGAGGGTACATGGGAAGTTTGTTCACCCATTAGTACCCCGTTCTCACTTCAGATTTCTGGCCAAGGAGACCAAGTTCAATCATTCCAATCGGAGTGTGGTCTCAAAGATGCTAGATTTGTTGATGGAAAAGTCTGGGACAGTTTATTTGTTGAAGGATCCGATCAAGACATCGCAGCTCTTGATCTCGACGTCCGAGGAATCTACCAATTCCTCCCTGACTGTGGAACAGCGCTTGGTGCATTGTACAGAAAAGAAGCCACCGCCCATTTGCCTCCATTGTTCCTATTCCTTGACCCAACGAAGACTGGACCCCCCGATGAAGATGCTTGTGTGTTCGCTATTGACCACAGCCGCCTTCCTGGATATGATGTGAGAATTACGATCGCCGAGTTATCATCCTCTTGGAGATCATTGAATGTCACCTCGGATTCGCAAGATGTGAAAGCTTTCTGTCGTCGATGGGCTAAGGCCCCCGCAGCGCAGTTGAAACATTGTCCTGCCGAACAGATTACCCTCCGCACATTGCAACAAGGAATCCAAGTCTCAATTGAAAACCAGCACTGTCATAATGCTTGTATCACCCTCACCTCGCTGTCAGCAACAGCAGCAATTCTCAACCTGCCCGACGCAAATTCCGATTGGCAAGCCTGGAATCCCGAAGTCTCTATGAGAGAATTGAAAGGTCTCGCCTGGTTGTTCCCTAAGATTGCCGCGTGGTCTGACTTTGAAGACTGGAACGAAATCATCCGTTCAGGCTGTTCAGACCCCAATCATCCCACAAATGGCAATTGCAACACCTGCAACCCGCCCACCCCCAGTATCCTTTGGGGCCGTGATAACAAAGACCGAATCATCCCATACGAGAATCCCCAGGACGCCGCCATCTATGAACGTGCCATCAAAAACCGACCCTCACCGTTCTTGGTCTTCAGACGAACCAATGAACACGGAGACGCCGAATTGCGTTTCACCCTCAATGTTCAAGCTCTGTCGCACCAGGCACATGGAAAATTGGTTGGCACCGCAAGCTGTGAGACAGTAACATATCATTGGAGACTTCTCCCTCATGCGTACGACATGGGTCAGAAATACCCTGGCAGGTTTACTTTGAAGAGCAACGACAACGATAGTCCATCACCGCAACCTCCCAACTTCAAGTTCCAGCTACGTGATGAACAGCTTCGATCATTGAGCTGGATGATTTCACAAGAAGCAAAAGACATGGAACCGTTCATGGAAGAGGAAGTTGAAGAATCCATCCTCCCCTTGATGCCCTGGCGCGCCGAAGTCAAAGCGACAATGCCAAAAGTTGTTCGCGGTGGCGTGATAGCCGATGAGGTTGGATATGGAAAGACGGCTATTGTCCTTGGTCTCATCGACGCGCAGTACGAAAATGACTGCAAGTTACCTGTGGAAGAAAACGGGCTCATTGCAACAAATGCAACCCTGATCATTGTGCCCAACAACGTCTTCAGGCAGTGGGTTTCAGAAACCAAGAAGTTCCTCGAAGGAAAATATAAAGTATTGGCGATATCGTCAATTAGCAAAATCACCATCCGGGAAGTTCAAAATGCAGATATTGTTGTTTTGTCATGGAGTATCCTGGCGAACGATGCATACTATAGCCGACTTCAACAATTTACCGGAACACCCCAGGCCCCCGCAAAATCGAGCGGAGGAACAGGTCGAAATTTCGATAGCTGGTTCCACGACGCTCGTGCTTCCTTGCAGGAGTCTGTTGACATATTGAAAAGACAAGGGCCTCAGGCGATGCTCCAAGAACTGGAGGCCAGACGTCGCCGAGTTAGAGAGACTCAGGCCGACTTCACTTACGTGCCCTCTCGACGCCTCCGTGGCCAGGCATTTGCTGATGCTAATAATGGTCGTGACGAGTCTAATGCAGGAGCAGAAGAGGATTTGGATTCTGAGTCTGACTCGGGTTTCGAGGACTTTGATGCATCTGATACAAGGCACTCGACCGGAACAGCGAGTTCTGTGCGCCAGCGGAAGCGGAGGCACAGTGAGAAGAAGTCAGTGAAAGGTTCAGGAGGAAAGCGACAAAAACGCCCATCGACGGACCTGGCAGAAGTGAGCGATGACAAAAAGAAACGTGAAGCCAAATCCACCGCCGTGAAAGATGACTGCAAGGAGTTTGACATCAAAAAGACCGCCAACCAAGACTGGCGTACTGTCAAAGCTGCATTCATTCACGCATTTAGCTTCAACCGATTGGTTATCGACAAATACACATATGCCGGAGAAGAAAAACAGACACCCCTACTCTCGGTGCAGGCACGCTCCAAATGGATCCTTTCTGGGACGCCAGAAGTTGATGAATTTGCCGACATCAAGAGTATTGCGCGTTACCTTGGTCTACATCTTGGTGTGGACGACGATGGAGATTGCGATAAACCGACGCAGAACAAGAGACTACGAAACATCCGGAAAAACCACACAGCTGTCGAGGCATTCCAATATTACCAGGCACCCCACAGCAATGCCTGGTACCAAAACCGCCGAGAACATGCTCAAAGATTCCTGGACCGGTTTGCGCGTCAGAATATCGCACGCATCACACACATTCCGTTAACAGAGAAACTTATCATCACCGAACAGTCACCTGCTGAGAAGACAGCGTACGATACGTTGTTCCGAGCCGTCAAAGAAAACAAGAGACGAATCCTCGGTCCCCTGAGTGCCATCTTGTCCAAAAGTCAGTTACCTCAAGAGGCTCTCATCATGTCCTGCGTCACAACTCAAATCGGACAGCCTCCATGGAACCTTGAGAAGTGCCTCAAAGGCTCGCGGAAAGACAGCATCAAATCCGCTGAGATTTGGGCCAAAGTGGACTCGCTCACTCGACAAGCAGCGACTGTTTGGTATCGCGACATGAACCATACCGATCCCAACAACTGGCAAGACGCCCTGAACGGCGTCGCGAAGCTTGACTTTGGGGACGCACAACTCAACACACGATTCAACCAGCTCTTGGAGGGCATCATCCGCTCATACAACGAGTGGAAACTCGCCCCGGCACACCGGTCAATCGATTATTTACTCGAGGAACGGTTCCAAAAAGTCCCGAGTGCGAAGACAAGCAACACAGCTACCGGAAGAAACCCTCCCAAACCCACATCTGGAGGATCCAACGATAAATCTTCCAACTTGGTTTCGATGGCTGTCGAAAAAGCCTTGTCCGCCGAGGTCACTTCTCACTTGAAGCAAGTCCTCGAAATTGACCGGGAATACCGATTCTACGATCACCTGGTGGGCATCCAAACCTTTGGACCCCCACCCTGCCAGGGTTGTAAGAGCGATTTGCAAGAAAAAGAACATGTCAATGTCCTGAAGACCTGCGGACACGCCCTCTGCAAATGTTGCACTGCCGCCGCGATCACCAAACCACACAAACACTGCCCCATCACTGGATGCAGCGGCCAAATTGTCCAATCCAAGATCGTGCCCGGTGAAATCCTTGTCAGTGATGACCAAGGAATCCAGAGCTCCAAGCTCAACAAGCTTGTTGAGATTGTCCGCAGTGTCCCTGAGGACGACCTTGTTCTCATCTTCGTGCAAATTAGCCACTTGTTGCCCGTGGCATCGGATGCCCTCAAAGCTGCGAAAATTGACCACCGCATGGTCACGCCGACCAACTTGAAAGGAATCGCTGAGTTCATTGAGGCGCCCAAAGCAAAGAAGGGCACAGCTCAAGCACCTTCCAGACCGAAGGCTTTGATCTTGAATCTCGGAAGCTCAATGGCGGCCGGACTGTAAGTTATTTCTTTATTCTGTTATTCTTTGAAACAATACTAATCTGATACCATAGGAACCTCCAATGCGCAAATCACGTCATCTTCTTGTCACCACTCTTTGTCGCCTCTGATCATGATTATGAGGCAGGCATGACTCAAGCAATTGGACGTGCCCGACGATTCGGGCAGACAAAGCACGTTCATGTGTACCATATGCTGGTGAGAAACACATATGAAATCAACATCTTCCAGAGAGCTCGATCAAGCAAACTTGTTGAGCGTCAAGATGTTCCAGTCCTGGTGCCTGAAGGGTCGGTTTTGCAGGATGACGTCGCATATGAAGGAGATGTACTACCTGAGTCGGTTGAATAATGAACTGCACATCTATGTGGTTCGATTTTATATTCGCCGGTCGCCATGAGGGACATGGCGACCTTTTTTTTATATCAATTCAAATTCACCGGTCGTCAAGGAGGCCTTGTATGATTTATTGATTCTTCAATGTCATTTAATTTTCCAAAACTGCAAGTCTGCCGTAACATAGTGCTTTCATGTACTCTCGCATTATTTTGACCCTTCCTCAATATTGATGCTTCTGATTCCAAGTTCATCCCAATGATTTTCTGACCTCTGGTCTACTATCTAGTCTGTGCTCTAGTCTCTGCTCTCTAGTCTCTGCTTTCTAGTCTCTGCTCTCTGATCTGTCCCTTTGGTCTGCTCCCGTGGTCCGCTTAACTCTCAAGCGAATCTCATTTGAAGCAATCCTCCAGACTTTCTTTCGACACCTACTTCACTTTCCCCCGCTTATCTGTCACCATTCATTTCTACGAGATAGGATCCCGATTCTCCAAGAAAATAACGGAGGCTAGCTACGTCTTGAAGTGTTAAAAAGCGAGGCACGAGGGTAAACAAGAAGTACGATGTGTCCGTACGCTCGTACTTGCCCCCCTTGGGCCAACGGGACGGTCGTCAAGGCCTTGCCCCTTTGTGCTAGAATTCTGTCACCGACATTCCTTCCTAAAAGACGCTCTGTGCCTTTTTCTCTTTACCTTGGTGGACACGAATACGTTGACCGTCACATTATTCAAAGTTGTCCGTCCACTGGTCGCCATAGCACTCTGTGGCAGCGAGGGGGCTATGCAGCGAGTGTTGCTTTACTCTTATGAGTAAAAATACCAAACTATCTATGGTGAAGGTGTCTTGCGGGTTGAGACTCTCGTCTTGGATATGTCACAGGTAGATCGATTTAGGCTTGGGTTGGAGGGCCCGAGGTTGAGACGGTGGGATTAATATAACTACATGTGTACATGATATAATGGATGTACGTACATTTCGAGTAGAGCGTATGATCAATTGGGTGTTTTGATAGAGATACGCCGTACAAGTCTTCGATATACATAGCCCTAACTCATCCAGCGGATAAGGCCGAAGTGGCACTTGTATGTGATACCACGCAAAAAATGCACTATATTCCCTGATATAACCAGCAGGAATGATCATTACCTTGCACAGTGTAGGCACGCATCTATAAGCTCGACATCTAGAATAATAAAAGGTAATGGAAAAAAAAATCTGCGATTGGTCCTGCCGATATCCCACAGCGACTGGGCCGGATATGCATCCGGGCTCAACCAGGAACAAACGTACTGTACATGGTATGTTGTAGACAGACAAAAAAATAGGACGCCTCAAAAGTGGTTATCATTCAGGGCGCCTCGGGGCGAAGGGCGCGGTGGCCTCTAATCATCCCCCGGGTTGACCGCAGTACCCCAAGGCGGCGTTTGCTCGTCCATTCAAAAAAAACACAGCCATTATAATATCCTCCCCATCCGGAATTGACCCACGGCAATGAAGAGCTCTTTTTAATAATCTTTCTTCTTTGTGCTTTTCTATTGCTTGGGCGCGGCGTCCAATGCATTGTCCTTGCGCATCATCGTCTCCGGGTTCCACACCACCTCAGTCAGGTTGGTCAGGCCGGCGCTGTTCTCGCAGGTATCGCGTCCGCTCGCTGGGCCGGGGGCAGGGATCTTGGTGCCGGCGCCGGCACCGGTAGCGGTGGCGGCGTCCTTGAGGGCCGTCAGGATGGTCTTGATGGACTCGGGGGTCAGATCCTCGTAGTAGTCGTCGTTGATCTGGACCATGGGGGCGTTGACGCAAGCGCCCAGACATTCAACCTCGATGTATGTGAAGAGGCCATCCTCGGTGGTGTGGCCGGGGGTGATTCCGAGGTGTTCGGTAATGGCCTTGACAATGGCGGTACTACCGCAGCCGCCGAGCTGGCATGGGGTCTGGAGGATTGCGGATTAGGAGGAACAGGAAACAGTGCTGATTTCATGTGCTTACAGTGGTGCAGATCTGCACGAAGTACTTGCCAACGGGCTCACGGTTGTACATGGTGTAGAAGGTCGCAACCTCGTAAACGCGCATTGGGGGCATCTCGAGCATGCGAGCGACCTCGTTCATGACGCTGATGCTGGTGAAGCCGTGCTGGCGCTGACCGAGGTCAAGCAGGGGCATGACAGCAGCCTTCTTGTACTGGGGAGGGTAGCGCTTGAGGATCTCATCGGCAAGTGTGAGGTTCTGCTCGGAAAACTTGAACGGGAGGGTCGGGTTGTTGTTGGGCTTGTTGCGGTGCTGTTGGAGACGATCATAGTCAGCACATGGGACTTCAATTCCCCAGTCTTGAGACACAATCGGCGCCTGAAGCACAAGAGGGGTCGAAAGGAATACGCACCACCGAAAGGGAGTCGCTGAACCGTTGCGAACCGGCGGAGAAGGCTCTGTATTGGGGTTTGGGGAGCTGGTGAGCCAACTGGCGGCCGACCCGCGGGACTGAGAAGAGTTTAGAGGCCATCGCGGGCGATGAGTGAGGGTCAATTGGGGGTAGATGAGGTTGGAGGTTGGAGGAGAAGTCAAGTTGACGAGGCGTTTTACTCGGGGTGGGCCCTGACCCAATCCGCATCCAGGGATTACTACCGCCTTACCAATCCGCTATCATACAGTTGCCCTTCAATGAAATCAACACAACACTCATCTTTTGACACAATGATACTCTCAATTGTTCTAATTGAAACTTGAAATTCCTTGAAATTATATACCGGGAAACTGACAAATGCAGAACAAGATAATTACCGTCCTAATTGCATCGCCTTATTGTGCCGCATCCCATCAACCAGATCTTCAATCGACCAGCTAAACGTTCTCCATCTTATAAACCTCATAAGCAACCTCCTCATACGGATGCGCCAAGATCAAAGCATCGACTGCATTCAGCATAATGTCCCGACCAAGACACATAATCTCGACCTTGACCTCCTCGCACCGTTCCAAGGCACCGACGGCTCCGACCGCCGGGGCTGCGCCCTCGTTTGGCAGAAACTGGCCTGTGCCGACAGTCTGGAAACAGCATTTGGTATACTTCCCACCTGGGAATGACCCTGCGCCTGTAGCGAAGATGGCTTCCTTACAGGTCTCCACGTTGGCAGTCGGGACAAAGAAGATCAGCTTGTAGCGGTCTGGAAGGGAGGAGGTGGACATTTTGTGCTTTGGGTAGGTGGAGTTATCTCTGTGGCTTCGTTTGGAGAGATTCAGTAGTCCCGCTCTTTGCTGGAGGGCTGTTCTTGGGTTGATTGCGAAGCACGATGCTAAACGCAGGGTATATGATATCTGGGATCGTAGTCGGGGACGGAAAGTAGACCTCGTGAGGCTCCAGGTACCACGAAGGATGTTTCGGGACATGAAATACTGTGTCGTGCCGCAGGGCTGACTGTCAAGCATCAAGTACACAAGTGAGGAGTCGTCTAGACATGGACGGATCTGGACAATGATGCCTGATTTATAAGGCACCAGTGATATGAACCTTGGAGCTACAAATGTCTTCCAAGGTACTTCGTCGAGAAATGATGTAAAGAATATTTAACATGTTATGCTCCTGGTATATACTTCAGTTGAAAGATAGTATACAAAAATGTTGAAACACAGGGTATCAGATGCACCACTCACGCCCACCACAGCCACAACCCAAACAGAAATCAATACATACACCAACAATCGGAATTTATACAGCAATGGTGTGCATACGTGTATACTCATTGATATGCGCCTCGATACTTGCCAGCATCTCCGCCTTGCGCGAGTCCTCAACCCAGCTCTCCTGCACACTATTCTCAGCAATGATCCTCCACTCCTGCACATTCAGGCTGAAAGCCTCCTGCACAGCGCAGTAGTTATCAAGAATATAACCACCGAAATAAGCAGGATCGTCACTGTTGATTGAGAACTTGACTCCAGCCTCCAAGAACCGCCGAATAGGCACCTCCTTCACAGAGGTGACACAGCGCAGCCGCACATTCGACAACGGACAGACGGTAAGCAGGATACCCTCACGCGCAACACGCCGCATCAACTCCTCATCCTCAACCAGCCGGATACCATGATCAATACGCTGGGCACCAAGCTCGAGCGCAGTACTGATATAAGTCGGATCACCTTCCTCGCCGGCATGCGCCGTGAGCGGGATATTCTTCTGCGCGGCTGACGCATAGATGTCGCGGAACATGTCTTTCGGCGGGCCAACTTCTGAAGAAGACCAGCCAAGTCCATGCACAACGCCAGACTCAAAGTGCTTGTGAGCCACGAACTCGTCGTAGACTTCCTTGGCCGACGAGACAGGGAGATGCCGGACAAAACAAAGGATTAGTCGTGTGCTCAGGCCGAGCTCCTTCTCGGCGCGCTTGCACCCCTTCGAGAAGCCTGTGACAATGGTGTCATATGGTACACCGCGGCTTTCGTGTACTTGCGGGTCGAAGAAGACTTCTGCGTGGTGGACGCCGTCTGCGTGCGCTTTTTGGAAGTATGCCCAGGCTACGTCTGCGAAGTCTTGCTCCGTGCGGAGGACAACCATGCCTTCGAAGAAGAAGTGTAGGAAGTCGTCCAGGTTACTGAAGTGCTCATAGCGTGTCTTGAGTGTCTCGACCGAAGTATAAACTGGGTCGGTCGGCAAGGTGATACCATTGCGCGCCGCGAGCTCGAAGATGAGTTCTGGCTCTAGGGTGCCCTCTAAATGGACGTGGTGCTCACATTTAGGGAGGCCCTTGAGGAACTCGTGTAAAGGAGATTGACACATTGTTGCGGATTGTAGTGAGTACCGTTTGGATGTAAAGATTTTCTAGATCAATGCGGGGACATATAAGCGCCGGACGAGTTTCCCTTTTCTTCCGCCGGTGTCTCAGGTTATCATGGCTTTTCTTTCGTGACACAGCTGTGTCTTATCACGTTTAATTCCAAAATTAGGCCCATCTATGGGCTTGTGCTCCGGAGGTCTCCGAATTCCATGTCGAATGAAAATGAACAGAATCTGTCAAACGGCTGAGTCCGAGAGACTCCAATCACAGCTCCTCTATACACTTCGTGCAAGTACAACGTGGATGATATGCAATATTGTATGTTAAAATTTATTTGAATCTAATATTCACACTTTTCAGCCCTCTATCTAAACTCCGAAAAAACCCCCCCCCGGACTCAGAATAAAAGAGAATATACGTGAGTGTAACCCATATCCAGGGCTAAACACGCATTTCAGCACCAGCAGCCTTTCGTAGCCGGTTCATGACAGCTGCAGCCAGGTCACCCTCGCGATCTGACACGCCTTCCACGTAGATAACATCGACATCAAGCTCATCCAGCCCGCGTAGGGCAGCAAAGAGACCATGCGCGATGGAAACTGCGTCTGAGCCAAGATGGTAATCATATGCCATCTTCGTGCGGCTACTCGGGTTTCCATTCTCCATCACAGGGAGCGGGAAACTGACAATGTTGTCAATGGCAGAAGACACAGGGCTCATGGTACTGGCGATGTCCTCTTCCGAAGCGAGCTCCAAGCCGAGCTTCCAGTTCCGCGTGCGGATAATACCAATTTTCTGCGCGCCAATGGCTGTATCTTTCAAGTCCTTTCTGACATGCTTCATCACTCCGGCTGGGTTGGATGTCGACTCGAAGAGAACAACTCGTGCTTTTGGCGAATAGTGGCGGTACTTCATGCCCGGTGCGCGTGGAACCTCCTTCACGTCTAGCGTGCCATCTTTGTAGCCGACTGCTACGTTTTCCCACCCTTCGCATTTCCGGATTTCCTCGATGCCAATGCCGCCAGGGCGCAGAATCGCTGGCGGGTCGCATAACCCGTCGACCACGGTGCTCTCGACACCAACGCCGGATGCGCCGCCGTCGAGGATCAGCTCAATGCGGCCTTTGAGATCGTGGTGTACGTGCTGCGCGGTTGTTGGGGATGGTTTGGTGGATGCATTTGCAGATGGCGCGGCGAGGGGACGGTCTGTTGCGTGGATGAGTAGACGCGCCAGTGGGGAAGAGGGAATTCGGACGCCGAATGTGGTCAGGCTGGAGGTGACCTCCGGGGCCAGGATGGATCCGGATGGGTTAGGTAGAATGATTGTCAGTGCGCCGGGCCAGAATCTATCGATCAAAGGCTTGTAGATTGAGGGGAGGCCGATTTGCGGCGTTTTTGTTGAGCCAGGACTGCCCGGAGAGGTGGGATTAAGCAGACGCCCAAGCATGTCGATTGAGTCGACATGAACAATCAACGGGTTGTCTGAGGGCCGCTGTTTCGCACGGTAGATTCCCTGGACAGAAGAACTGCGGGTGGCATCGGCTCCTAGGCCATATACTGTCTCAGTAGGAAACGCGACGGGGATGTCACTGGACCGGAGGAGATTGGCAGCCTCTTCGATGGCCTTGGACTCGGGTGTTTTTTGGCTGCGCTCCTTCTCCCACCATTCCGCCAAAGATAAATCGCCGGGTCCTTGGCTGAGCCGTTGAACCGGGACAACTCGCGTTTGTGTAGACATCGTAAAGAATCTGGCACAACTGCGCTGACAGTGGCCGGCAGAAGTGCGAGTGAAAAGCAACGTGGTGTTTGAGAAGACTTCAATGACGCACCATTCAGGCGCACACGATATCAGATGAGGGGCGAAATGATGCCCGAGGGGGCCGGGTTGTGGTTGCGCGGGGCAAAGTCTTTTTTACTCTGCAGCGTAGGTCTAAATGTCGTCTTTAGGATACACGATCGACTATCATTCTGCGCAATGCCGTCAGAAGCGATAAGGGGCCCTATATGGAAGATCGCGAGAAAATCGACTTCGAGGTCATGACGTCGGATGACTCAGCGTATCAGGAACACCTGCCGTCACATCGACAACGATATTATTGACAATATATTTGGAAGAATGGGATATCTGGTTTTAATCATGAGTGTATGAGGTTGAAATAAGTGTATATGAACTAGTCGAAGCGGGGTTGTGGCTGATCAGGTGTAGAGACCAAGCTTTGGTATACATCGGCTCAATATAATATCTTGTCCATGGGTATAACCCGGTTGAATCCAAACCTCTAATCTATGAACTCCCTAATGTATACACAAGACTCGATCATTTTTTCTTGCCCTTACCACCTCCCCTGCCTCCTCCACCTCCACCCTTTCCACCTTTGCCCTTGCCCTTATCACCACCTCCGGCACCTCCAGTTCCCGCAGTCATGATGCGCACCTTGCCCACAACCATGGTGTTGATAATTTCTGTATCCTTCCAGCCCTTGATGAGCTCCCCCTCCCGTTCCCGGAGACGCTCCGCGTCGACGCGAGAGATGCCGACATCTTCGGCGTGCTCCTTCTTGACCTTTCCGGTGGTGGTCTCGGACACCCACCGACCAATAATCTCCTTTACAGCCTTGCCCTTCTTCACGGAACCCGGCTGCAGCTTGACTTTGTATTTGTAGCGTCCAAGAGCAGCCCATGGAGCACACACAGGAATAGCAGCAATAATTTCGTCATCCGTAGTTGGTGTACCCACCAAGGCTGGAATCCAGGTGAGATCCGCAGCTTCTGCGGCAGCTGTCTCCTCGTTGTAATCGTCTGTTCCATTTTCCATGAATTGGGCCTGGCGCTTGCGCTCGGCTTCGGCAGCACGCTCATGCTGGGCCCGTCGTCGTTGTCTTTGCGCCTCGGCCTCTCGCTCACGCTGCTCCTTGGCTTCCGCTGCCTTGGCCGCCTTTGCGGCTTTGCCCTTGTTGGCACCCACCAAGCGAAGAGCAAGTTCTCGCTCGTCATCGTCTTGATGGGCATACTTAGCAGCAGCGCGCTTGTCCTTCGCCCGCTTGCCGCGAGTAGGCGCGATGCGTGGTACAACTGGTTCTTCATCGCCGGGACGATCAAGAGGCTTGCCTTGTCGCAAGGTACGTCGCTCTCGAGCATTCAAGTTCGGTTCTTCACTTGTCTCGGGTACAGAGTTTTGACCTGCCGTGGATGTAGCTTCTTCTCCCTCCAGCTGATCTTCTGCAACTCCTTGCTCCAGCTCATCCTTTGACTCTTCTTCCGGCTCAGACTCGGAGTCCGATTCTTGAGTTGGCTGAGAGGTGGGGAGCCCGGAATCGCCTTGCTGGAGAGGGTTTCTGGTGGCCGCTTTATCATCTTCATCCTCCTCTCCAGATCCCGCATCTTCTTTCTCTGCGTCTTCCTTCTCTGCGTCTTCCTTCTCTGCGTCTTCCTTCTCCGTGTCTTCCTTTGCATCTTCGGTGGTCTCTTCGGTGGCCTCTGTCTGCCCTGGGGCCTCTGACTCCACGGCGTCCTTTGGGTCAGAAGCCTCAGTCTCATCTGTAGGAGTTATAGCAGCCTGCGGAACGTCGGATGTGTCAAATCGCTGCTTATGGTTTCGAACGCTTTCCTGGCTGACTTGGAACATAATACCAAATCCAAGCACCAGTTGCGATGGGGCCAAGAACTTCTTCTCTCCCTTGATTTGGAATACACCTGTGGGCATGATTCCACTACCATTCTCTGCGATTTTCGATACCTGATGAGCATGCGCCCACCAAGCGGACATGACAGCCTTAGAATCCCAAGCAATTGAAGTCGCAACGCAAAGGTTGCCGGCTTGAGATAGTGTGCTTGGAGAGATTGGTGCGTCTGCACTACCAGGTCGGTTCTTCACCACGATTGGCGTAGCACCTTCGAGGTCAGCGTGCACAAAGATATCGCCCTTAGACAGATAACGCCGGTAGAGCAATTCGCTCTGCATAGCATCACGTGCACTATTAATGTTAGTAAATGTCCCAAACCGGTGCTGAATGGGGCCACATACCCTATAACCAAGTAACCCTCTGAAGAAATGAAAAAGATAAATTTCTCAAACCAGAATGGGGTTCGAGCCTGTCGAAGCACTTGCTTCTCTTTCTTCAAGCCTTTCTTGAGGTCGATCGTCACCTTTTTCTCGTGGCTCTTCAGCGCCTTCGTAGACGATTGAGCTGTCCTTTGTTCCTTCTCCGAAGCTTGCTTCTTCTGGTCATAATATTGCGATGCGTTCGCCCATGGGGTCAACCCAAGGTCAATGTCAATGGTCAATAGCTTAGACTCTCGTTCCGCACGGCCTCTCTCTTGTTCTGCTTCGTTCTCTGAGTCGGAGTCTGATTCATCGCTGCTAGAAAATTCCTCGTCTTCATCCTCGTCGTCGCCGGCCTCTCCAAGAAGTAGGGTGACCGTGTTTTCGTACAGTTTGAGGGGCAATTTGATGGTTTGCGCCACTGGGTTGCCGCGATCCTGCTCCATCTCGATCAAGCGCGCAATCTCACCCCAGTCCATTCCCTGGGCCACCAGTCCATTGACAGCATCCACTGCCTCTTGGACTCGATAAACATTGTCCTGAATAGCATCCGCTTTACGGATATGAAGCTCTTGTACGTTCTTGAGCTCATCAATTCGCTTTTTGTGCTCTGATCGCACGGATTCGAGCTTCTTCTTGGCTGCCTCCTCGCGCTCTGTCAATCGCGACTCGAGTCGCTGAGATTCAAGAGATGAGAAGTATTCGTCGACCGTGGCATTGAAACGCTCGAACTCCAGAATCTTTATTCCTGGTTTATTTTCAAACTGCCGAGGCTTGAACGGGTGAAAGTCCTCGTACAGCAGACCCGGGGCTTTTGACGAAGTTTCTCCTTCCGGGATGGGCCGCGTGTCTTCTTTCGCAATAATGTAGCCCGGATGGCTGTCGCCAGAATCAAAGGAGTTGGAAATTCGCTGCGATTCTTCTAGCACCTCTTTCACAGTCTGCAGGAGATCTTGGCTCCCTAAGACTTGGTCCAATGGTGTTGTAGTATCAAATTCCTTGGTCGCAAAGACGTGGTCTAAGAGCAAGGGAGGATATTCAGGAAAGCCTTGCGACAATGCCTTTCGCAAAATATCTGCTCCTTTTTTCTTGGACTTTTTGGGCGCATTCCCCTCTTGGGCAGAAAATGCCTGTGCCTTTTCTAGTGTCTGCAAGATTCGATCCGCTGTGATATCCGGAACCCCGTTATAGTTCTGCTTATTAGACACAGTGTACTTGAGTCCAGCCTTGATCTCTTCTCCACCATCACCGGCCGCGACCTGGCGGAAGAAAGCCAGAATGTTGTACTCTCGGTCTGTCAAGATAATGTTCCCACCAGCGAAGAATTCGAGGAAGACGTGGTATGCGCCATCGCTGAACGAGATGTCGATGATGCGATCAGTACCAATTTGGGAGATGCCTGTAATCCGACGAGACTTTAGGTACTTTCGGAGACGGGTCACAAATGGCGAAGGTGTGGTTGCCGCGGTTCGCGAATATTGGGTGACATGAGTGCGAAAACCGGAGTCAATAATGAGTTGGCGCCGGTGGTCTGGCTTGGCGAGTTTGAAGAGGAATATACGCTATAAGAATAGTCCATCAGCTCATTATCCTGTGATAACGACGAGAAAAGAATAGAGCGTACGTACCGAGGACAGATCGTAAATGTTGGACACACGGAGGTTGACACACTCCGACGCCAATTCCTGCGTAATAACCTGGAAATGTCAGTATAGTATATTCTGCACGGTAAATATGAATATACCTTAACGTCCAAGGACGAGAATCTCTGCTTCATAGCTGTGTTTGTGAACAGAAAGGAATTTTTGAGGGTGACGTATGCGGGGCTGGAACTAGCTGTACGAGGAAATCGACCATGCGAGTTAATACTGCCAGACAGAAAACTAGACATCTACCCCACTCACCTCCAGCTAGTATTTAGATCATGGACACTGCGTAAATGTGTAAGATTGTACCTCGGTGGGTTAAACAGGAATTTCTCAATATATCAACAGGTCGGAAGAAATGGTGGATAGTAGAAAGTAATTAGGATATTGGACATCTTTACATATTGGATCAAGGCGGAACAAAGGGCGGTGCATGAGATAAACCAATCAAATATGTGCTCTCGGGGTCCTAATTCGGAATAGCGGGAATAGCGGCCATCACGCATTATTTATATACTTCAGTTTTCTCCAGGGCTATAAGAAGTACTGACATAGCATCGATGCTATATAAATTTCTTAGTTTGGCATTAACTCACATTTTACACGGTGTTTTACCTTGTTTACCACCTATATTCTATATTTTGCTACTGATCATAATCCCTATCTACAACACCAATAATGGCGAAATATTATGAGGAAACACATATAGAGAAGTTATCTAGGAAGACACCAGAAAGACACGACAAAGCCGCATAAGCCGCCCACTCTTGTCGTGGCTATACTTGCAAAAGTGCCCAAAGAAGATATAAAGGTCATGTTCTTTGTGGGCTGGTTCCATAGGGAACATATTTCGGCTCTTTTCATATATCTCTCGCTTATCCGTCATATATATATCACCTGAGAAGAGATTTTGTGTCTGTGAGAGAGAGAGAGGAGAAGGGAAGGAGTCATAGGCACTATTATACTCGAAATCAACGCCCATGGCATAAAACCCAGGTGCAAACTCCAGGGAATTTGCGAGGCTGTGAGTGGGCATTCGGTCTTATTCTCATGCATGTCAATATTAACGCAGATTTATCTCCAGTGACCTACCTAGTCTTCATAGTTCTTTAATCAAGATTCGGCTGAATCCCTCCGATGCCAATTTCCCCCTTTTGGTATTTTGTGAGTATGTTTTCAAACGCTTTCGGGAATATTTAGAACAATCTACAACTATTAACGAGATTAAAGGTGTTATTTCCATTGAAAGCTTCGATGTCCTCCTAGCTTTGCTGTGTTCCAGCAAGATCAATTGCGGAATCCAAGAACCCAGAGCCAAGGTCTCAGTGTTGAAGAAATTTGCGGGACTTGCAGATGTATCCGGCATAATGGAGGTTAAACCAAACATCACGTTCCTCCTAAAAGAAGCTTTTACCGGCGATTTCTCATCCTACGAGCGAAGAGACCTGACAGAAGAGAAAAGGACATACTTTGTGGCGAACACAATGCCAAACGTCAAGTAGTGAGTGCTCATGGTGATAAGCCAACTCGGAAATAGTTTCCTTGTCCACGCGCGCAGGAGGAAAAATGTTTCAGGGTGCTCTCTTCCCAAAGCTATGCGAGCATACATGTTATGATGGTACATGGCAAATTTGAGCCAGATGAGACATTTATTCCGGCGCGGCCCAAAAGATTACGATATATTCCTATCGGAGAGAGGTGGACGAGAAGATGATACCTGGATGTGACAAGCTCCCAAAGCCGTCCTTTCTGGAGGGCAGGTGGATGCAAGCATACCACCTTACCTCCAACACTCGCTCAGCAGTCAACCTACCTGCGGAACGCCAGGTGCGATCTGTGGTAGCCCAAGTATCTGTGAGGGAATTCCTCTTGAGCAAGAATTACCCATTCACCAAGATTCGAGAAATACCTGGGTTTGCGGGCGACCTGCTTGTGGCGACACCACAGGTCCTCAGAGGCCTTAGGTATGACCAATCTGGCGAGTTCTACGTAAGGAACCTTGTCAACAATACACGAGTTTATCTGGAAACAGAATAAAATTTCTGTGTAGGTGCCCTCGTGCTGCTTTTTTCTTTCTTTTTGGCGGTTTCTTGCTCTGGGGTTATCAAGCTGAATATGGCGCGCATATGGAACGCCCGTACAAATGCTCCCAATAGACTGTCTTCGGTCTTTATATCGACATAGATCAATAAAATGGACTTTTTCGCTCCTTTCATTGGCCTAAAAGTAAAAACATATTCAATGATGTCCAGGCAAAAAGGCATGCTATGAATGTCAAAGATAGTTGTAAACCGATCATAAGCCGTCCCAAGCAATTAAACAACATGCGTGCCCATGAAACTATATTAGTGCTCTGCACTCAATGGTATTTCCATAGAAGAGGCCGCCGATAATGTGGCTAATTCAAATGGATGTGGTCGTTTCAAGCCTACCTATATCCCTGGCAGAGAGTATCCCGAGGAGTTACATCACAAAAATCAAGCTCGTGTATATTTTGACTGAATATGTGCTTGGGCATTCAATCAGATCGAAACTTTATTCTGTACTAATTGGGCAATCGATAGACGTGGTATTCAATCGATTTTCTAGCGTTGTAGTCTCGACATTTTCAAAAACTTGGATAATCTCACATTCCAACGAAATCCCATTCCACGTATCGCCCAGACACCGGTTTTGTTGATGCTAAGATACCGATATAACGAAGAATGCATTATCTCTCCTAGTACGGATTACTACGCAAATAGATTCACTATTGATAAATCGACCAAGAGCCTCCTGTTTTCATCTTCCCCTCCAGTTTTATACTCCAAGTCTTCTATCATTAGACAGCCCTATTACACTACTACCCATACACACATTCAACACATAAATCCAAAATGAAGCTCACTATCTTCTTCCCCCTGGCTGCTTTCCTGACATGGACTGTCGCTGATTGTCTGGATGAACCCAGTGCCTGCCTTGTATGCTGTCCCTATCTGGGTGTATTATTTTGACTCAGAAGACTAACCGCCTTGTCTTCTTTTGAACAGACTAAATGTATCAACGAAGCCGCTGGTGTGGCTGGCTGCAGTGCCACTGATTACGTGTGCACTTGCCCAAGCACAGCGTTCAAGGACACGCTCGGTGCCTGCATGAAGGCTTCATGTACCGCGGAAGACATAACAGGTATATTCCCCTCAATCAATTCCGCTTTTGGTGCTATTCAATTTCCAATCGGTCTCACGTGAGATTCGAATTATTTGAAGAATTTGGCTAATTTCTTTTTTTTTTTAGCTGCCGGAGAATTGCACAAGGAACGTTGTGGGTCGGCGCCTGAGTAAGGAGGCTATACATACTTTGATGTCCATAGGATCTTTTTTTCGAGAGAGTGGACATAGGGATTGAAAAAATGAATAGGGTTTGATCTAATAATTTCTGGTAGCAAAGATAGATCTAATATAGTCCAAGTATTGATGGTAAATTTAGTATGTGTGATGATATATATATTGAATATGGACCAAAGACTAACATAAATCTGTTTTTATTTGTTGCACTTGAATGATATCCACCTTCTTTAACAATTCACCTGCATGTAACTATTGGAATCTTGAGAGAAAAAGCAATGTAGTTGGATGAATGCGATGGATAGGTGATGCTGCAGCCTTGGTGACGTGACCCATATTCTAGCCCTATTTCATCTGTGCTTTGAGCATTGAACAAAGCCCACTATGGGGTTGGGTCTAGACTTTGCTAGTTTTGCTAGATCTTGTTGATATCCACCGAGTTACTGCACCTTGGCATGATCCACGAATTGTTGGAAAGTCTTTAGATATCACCTACTGAGAACAAAAATATTACATGGTTTACTGTACTGCCAGTAGATGGACAGTTCTACAAGTGCAAGATAGGCGAGCAAATGAAAAGACCCTGGAAAGAACTCCATCATTTGCTATTGCACGAGATTGATATCAAGGTTAATGGGACAAGGTAAAGACAATAAAAGAACATTCAAGTGTTTTTGTTCTGAACTTCATATTCTGATCAACCCATCAACATTTAAGCGATGTTCTCGTAGGCAACGGGGAAGCGCTTCATGTTCTCCTCGACGGTACCGTGACCACGGAGGAACTGAACGTAAGCACCATCCTGGCGGAGCTTGCCCTCCTGGCGGAGCTGGAGGTACTCCTCGCGGCGGACGGGGGTGAAACCCCAGTTCTTGGAGACAATGATCTTTTGGCGACCGGGGAACTTGTACTGAGAGCGGCGGAGGGCCTCAAGAGCGGTAGCACGGTGGGCGTCACGGGTGCGGACGGACAGAATGATCTGGCCAATGTTCACACGGGCGACGAGACCCTGGGGCTTACCGAAGGCACCACGCATACCGGTCTGCAGACGATCGGCACCAGCGCAAGACAACATCTTGTTGATACGGACGACGTGGAAGGGGTGCACACGGACGCGCAGGTGGAAACCTTCCTTACCGGCGATCTTGACAAGGTACCTATTGAAAGTTATATGAGATGGTGTTCATGGATATCAGGCGACAGATGTGGGAGCGGATAGAGTAACGTACTTGTTGGCGCAAATACGGGCGGCCTCGAGAGCCTCGGAGGAAAGCTGCTCGTACTCGTTGGAAACCAAGTGGATGCACATGGGGAAGTCATCCACATTGGCCTTCTTACGACCAAGATCGAAGATACGAATCTTAGGGTCGGGAACACCACGGTTGAACCGGGACTTGGGGTAAGGCTGGATGTTGAAGACTGATGTCAGCGAAAACCGCCCATCTCAAAAAAAAAAAAAAAAAAAAAAGATCCAAAATGCACAAGCCCAGTGCTACGAGAATCTCTCCTCATAGAAAAGGTGATATTCCGGTCGTGGCGAGGTGATCGCTGACGATGTATTGATGCACACTCCCCACCACCAAGATAACCCGCACAAATCTTCAAAACCTCGCGAAATCGGCACGCACCTTGTTCTTGCAGTAGCGGTAACATCTCGCGGGACGACGGGCCATTTTGAGTGCTGGAAGGGTGGTGATGGCACTTCCTGCGAACTGGGTATAGGTTGTCGGTGGTTGTCGAGGGTTCGGGGAGGAAGAGAGAAAAGAGGGTCGATTTCGCTGTGGTCACGGGTCTTGATTTCCAAGCAGCTCTGTGGCAAAAGGGTTTAACCCTATTAATGCCTGAGCGCTCAGGCCCCCAACCCAGATACCCTTTCACTTTCTGATTGGCCATCAACTTTCTCCACTAATCCAGTTTCGGCCCACTTCAATCATGCTGATCCCTCACTCTCTTTGACCTGTAACGATTCCAGTACATACATATTCTCCTGTGTTTCTCCTGTGTTTCAGTCGTTACTATTTTCTGTTCCCATATACCCCGAGTCGTGTCCTAGACTGCTTGAAAAATCAAAAATAGATCAACTCAACAAAAAGATACCTAAACGGCGAGTCATTCGCCACCCTGTATAGGATAGGAACAAGATGGAGAGTGGATTGCCCTAAAGGGAATATTAGTCAATTGTTGAGCGCAAGAGATTTGGAGGAGCTTGGCTGGCATCAGGCGTTGGGAGTCGCATTGGAATGGATTTTATCTCATAAACCAATGTGTTGGCAAGCGTTGTCCACATCAGCATTTGGCTTTGGTCCAAGAGTTACATGTGACAAACCAGGCATAAAGTTGAACAGTCTTAAACCGTTGAAACACAGTTTCCCCTAATATCACAAGGAAGTCTTGCAATTTTCTGGCAGTTGTACGTTCCGATACCATCAAGGTGGGTGGTTTCAATTTCAATGGCCCAGGGAAGAGCCGTCTTGAGAACACCATGATACATAACTTTCCTTAGAATCTTCCACAAGAGGATGACGAAAGAAACGACTGCAGATTTAGCGTACTTGTCTAGATAAGTGGACCAGAATTCCTATCAATGTTAGCACTCGCTGAAGGCTGAACCCCGGATATCCCGAACTCCGGGGTCTACTCCGAAACCTGGAATGTTGATCATCATCCAATTTCCATCGAGACCGATTCTATCCATTTTATCATCTCCATGATGGATGTTACCTGGACAGAAAGTATCTCTCAAATCCTGGGCTGGGCCTATTTCGTCCTGTGGTCGCTGTCCTTCTACCCGCAAGTCCTGCACAACCACCGTCGCCGCTCGACAGATGGCTTCTCCATTGACTTTGCTCTGCTCAATGTGCTTGGGCTGTCAGCATACACCGCTTTTAACGCCTGCTTCCTCTTTTCACCGGTAGTGCGTGCCCAGTATGCCCAGCGACATCCGCAGAGCCCTAACCCGACTGTCCAATGGAACGATTTCGTCTACGCCCTGCACGGAGCGCTGATCTGTTGCTGGATCTGCAGCCATTTCCTTTGCATGCGGTTTTGGAACTTTAATTCCAAGCAGCAGCGGGCGAGTACTTCGGCTCTCGTCGTCTGCTGTGGTTGCCTGGGCGTGGTCCCGCTGGCTGTTCTATGGGCTCTGGTGTCGGCGTCCTGGGAATGGATTGATGTGGTAAGAGGGCAACCCATAAAACCTAATAGTCAATATATGCTGACTGAAATATCTGCGTAAGGTCTATGTGGTCGGCATGATAAAGGTGTTCCTGACGGCCGTTAAATACACACCCCAGGCGGTGATGAATTATCGGCAGCAGTCAACGGCGGGATTCTCCATCGGGGCGATCCTGCTGGACCTGTCCGGTGCGATACTGTCCCTGATGCAGCTGGTTATGGACTCCTCCTCCCAGGGAGATTGGTCTGGCGCCATCGGCAACATGGCCAAACTCCTGCTGGGCAACATCACCGTTCTATTTGATCTCATCTTTATCTTCCAGCACTTTGTTCTGTATCGGGAGCGCTCGGCGGAGGATAAGCTAGGGTTATCGGAGAGCGATCCTCTCCTCAATAGCAGCAGGGATGAGACATAGACAGCTATATTCATATGATCGGAACATTTACATAGATTTGCAACATTGGTGAACTTGGAATGATACATAAAGAGTCTTTTGGGTCCGAGGCATCTAGTTCCTCTTATGGATGATATATAGCAAGGAAGAAGAAGAAACCTGTTAAGACTGGATTTATCAGATGCATTGATGCCTTGGTTGTTAACTTCCACTAGCTATTTGGGTAGCTTCTGTTTGTTTCATATATCCCTGCTATATCGCCTGGATGCTGACAGATCCTTTGGTGTAGCTACTCAGGAGAACTATCAGAGAGGTGTAGATCAATTTAAAGCAGGGTTCCCAGGAACCCTTACAGATCGTAGCGCAGTTACTGTCGGTACCTGTAAATGGACGCAGGACAAGATGACATCGAATAGACTAGGGTGAACGATCAGGTCGCTACACATTCAACCTTGGAACCTTGGAAGAGCTCGTTGTGTACAGCATCTTATTTGTCAAGATACGTAATAACTGTACGTAGTACAGAATACTGCGGTGGGATTTATAAGCGGTTTGATCACTCCAGGGGTTGGGAGGTCTGAGAGGGGCATGGGTCATGTCGTTCAGTTCCTTTGCATGAACTACTCCTTAATAAGTCCATAGATCTTAATGTAGAAAGAGTCAACCGGATTCTCCCTACTGGAAGCTCGATCCATCATTGCTATCCTTGTCCTCTCCTCATCGTCCACTTAAACGGCACCAGAGCATGACCAAGTCACCTGCATCCTATTGCTGGTGGCGCAGGCTGTACCCAACTTGATTTGTTATTCATTGCGATTATCAGCCCATGTCGTTGGGCTGTTGCACGATAACAAAGAAATTGACTCATGTGGTTGCCCGAGAGATGTCCTGGGGTCTTGGCGAGCATTACATGCATTACGGAACTCCGTACACTAGTTCAGACTATTTAGCAGCGACAATGACTAGCTTGGCATTGTCCGAGAGCACGATTTTCCTAGGCGTGGGACCCCTATTGTCGGACTTTATTTTTAAGGGGGTGAGCCTCTGTGTTCCATACTTGACTATCACCTGTTGGGCCGGCACGCCGTGTATAACAATCGAGAGGTAATGTCGGGGGGCCTTTGTGCATATAGGCCCAAGTTAGGCTCAAGTTGTGAAGTCCAATGAGTACTCCATAGTCCGTATAATATAAGTAATCGCCGTGGAGAGTGTGGAGAGGGAAATATAATATTCCGTAAACCTGAGGCATTCCCCTTTTCCGGCTAATATGCACTTGTATTGGTTCTTTCATAAAAGCTCATGCCATAGTCTTCAGGAGTTCAATTGAAAACCAATTTCCTCTTAATTCAGCAAATCCCCTTCTCTTTTCCTCTTTTAGAAAGTCCTCTCGTATCGCTCTAGCCCCCAAAGCCGTTGCGTATTTTTAGATACAGTAAGGGATCCGCATTCCCTAAACAACTTTGATTTGAAGGTCTGCAACCATCACTTTTCTCTCCTTTCTCATTCCAAACTTCCATCCGGTCATTGTTTCCGATGAATTCTCAATTTCAATCAACCATGTGGCACGCAATCAATCTGTGACAGCCTTTAACCGCATTCCTGGCCTTCAATCTTCTCCCATACAAGCGCTCTCCACAAGGTGTCCACTAAGTTTTGACCGCTCCTAATTTACACTTGCAACCCCGAAATCTTCTTTTCTCTCTCCCCAATTGAAGTATAATATTGGGTTATATACATTTTATTTTTCTTATACGTTCACCAGCGTCGGACTTGGGACCTTTCACCATGTCAGCAACGCCTCGAAAGCCTGGAACTCCCGGAAGTTCCAGCAAATCACCAACCGCAGATCCGCAGTCCAACAACGGGTCCACCACACGAGGACATGCACGCTCGCCCAGCGCAACCAACGGTCTCAACCGTTCCCCCTCAAGAGGTACAACTCCCGTCTCCGCGCGCGCAGCTGCAAGAAAACCAGGCCGTTCCAATCTCAGCATGTCAAACGTTCCACGAGTTTCCAACGACCCGGCCGAAGAAGAGGCGCGGGCTCAGAATGCCGCCCTCATCGAAGAACTGCGGGAACAGCTTCAAAAGGCCGAAAGTGCCTCCGAACAATACCAAAAACAGCTCGGCGTTCTGCAAATGCGCCTCGATGAAGCGATCAGTGAACAGACCAAGTTGGAGGACCAGGCTCATGAGCGAGACAGTCGGATCGAGGCCCTCAACAGTGACATTCGGGACCAGGGTCGTCAGATCCGGGACCTGGAACAAAACCACGAGGCGGAGCGGAACGCTATGCTCCAAGAGAAAGAACAGCAAACTAGTCGGGAGGAAGAAATGCAGGCGACCATTCAACGTTTGAAGGACTCGATGGCACAGAAGGACATGCGCATGAACGCAGAAGGAGATCGCCAAGTTTCTCGATCTTGTAAGACCCCCATGCTCTTGCAAACCCCGATGATTTGATTCAGTGACTGACCTCCAATATAGCGAGCTTCCGCAATAGGTCTTCCCCGGACTTGGATGGTCAATTTGCGCCCTCCTCGCACCTCGAGCGCAGCCCGTCCCGCAACAACTCCACACTTCTCCTGCAGAAAGACAAACTCATCGAGTCATTACGCCTCGAACTGGCCGAATCACAGATCAAACTCGTCGAGATGGAGAACGCCGGTGGCGGCCGCCAGCGAGAAATAGAGAAAGAGTTGCTCGACGCCCGCGTGGCGAACGCTCGCTTGATGGAAGATAATGAAAGCTATCAACTTCTTCTCAGCGAGAAGACTCTTACCGGAGACTTTGCCAAGGGCGAGTTCATGCGAGATGCCAACACCGCAAAGGAGCCGGCAGGTGGAATGGGATCCTTAGCAGATGAGCTTGAATCCGTGGATGAGGCGCCTGAAACCGATGGCGCCCAGCAACCGGATGGAGAGGTGAAGGCCCTCAAAGATCAGAACAAAGCCCTCACACTCTATATCGAGCGCATTATCAGCAGACTGCTTATGCATGACGGATTTGAGCATATTCTAGACCGGAACGAGGATGATGAAACCTCTACCACGAAGACCGGGGGCAGTGAAAAGGACCTCCCCCAACTCCCCCGGAGAAAGATGACGGCTCTTCCCAAAGTCTCCTACAACGAGCTAAGTCGGCTGTCGGTGGTCCAACCTCCCGCCCTTCCACCCAGCCTCGGTCTCGTCCAACCAGCATGATGCCTCCACCGCACCCCTCGCAGATCAACCCCAATGAGAACCCCAACACTGCGCCAAGCATTCCCTTCCGTACGCAGTCTGTGAGAGCCAGCCACCGCCGCACCCGCTCGGAACAAGTCGACCCAAATGCCGCGAGTGTCGTTGGCCATATGTACCGTGGCGGACGCAACTCGGGCGGACCTATCAGCCCGACAGGAATGGGCCCTGGATCCCGCCAGAGCATGTTCTCCGGAGCAGCAAGTTATATATCCAGCATGAGCCGCGCACCCTCCATGTCCAGCCAGCCGGATCGGGGCGGTCGCAGCAGCTCTCCTAGTATCACAAGTGATACTCACGGAGATACAGCCTCCACCGGGGCTACCTCCAGCCCTCCTCGATCCAGTGGCGGCATGAACAACTACACTGGAGCGGTGATGCAGCAGGACAAGTTGCGCCCTCTACGCCTTGTCAGCGAAACCGCTAGAATCAAAGAGGAGGAGGAAGCGGCACGCAAGAAGGCAAACCGCGCGAGCTGGATTCCGTGGTTGAATCGCGCCAACACCGATGAACCGGCGCCGCAGTAGGCCTTGTTCTCCGGGCAGTATGATTTGATGTGATCTTAAACTGGTCTTGGACCATATTTTTAACATACCCATACCCCCCTATGATGCACATAATGCGATCTCATGTCCTGAAATCCTCGTCTGTATTTCAAGAACCCCTATTTCTCATGTTTCCTTTGACGCGATCTGATCATGATGTTTCCCCATGCGATGTGGTTTTGAAAGGAGTCTGGAACATCATGTTATTTGTTCATCTTGATATATATTATTCCCCATGTCTCCTTCACGATGATGTCTTTTCACTCATTTTATGTCATATCCCCAATCTCAACTTGTATATCTTATTCTGGTATTGTAGTACTGAAATTGAGGACAAGGGCCAACGAATGGCTATATCAACTTGCCACCATGACACTGATAATACAGCAGATGACTAGATCATAATTAATCCGAATCAGACTGAGCACTAGTACCAATTTAGAGAGGAATAAGTATGAATTTATTCCCAAGCACCTTCAAAAGTACGTTGTTCCCAATTCACCCGTATAGAGTATGGAGCTTAAGACGGAATAACATTAGTGCGTCTCCGCCTCCGGCCAGATTGGCGGTTGGGAGCATCAACAATCACAAAGTATTACCCCAATTGCTTTCCAACACAGCAATAATCACCATGCCCGGCTCTCTCTCCCTCTTCTCCGTCAATGCGGTCCTCGTCATGTCCGCTGACGATGGCTCCCGCATCTTCGCAAAGTACTTCTCGGCACCACACCCCCCGCCGGCGCTGCACCGAACTCGACTGACTACCCCGGTGCCAACCCCTACCCCACCGTGAAGGAGCAGCGTGCTTTCGAGAAGGGCCTCCTTGAAAAGACCAACAAGTCCGCAAGCGATGTGATCCTTTACGATAACCGCATTGTGGTCTTCAAGATGGAGAGCGACGTCATGCTTTACGTTGTTGGAAGCGCCGACGAGAACGAGGTGTTGCTGTACAATGTTGTGCTATCACTACGGGATGCTCTGGGAATCTTATTCAAGTATGTTATGTTTTGCATCCTAATAGTAATTTGGCCGGCGCTAACATGATCGTTCATCAGGGGTGCAACCGACAAGCGCACTATCGTCGAGAACTACGACCTCGTCGCTCTGACCATTGACGAGACTATTGATGACGGAATCATCCTCGAGACTGACCCAGTTATGATTGCTTCGCGTGTCAGCCGCGCGCCCGCTGCAGATGCACCCAACATGAAGAATATCGATCTCACGGAACAGGGCCTAATGAACGCCTGGGAGTTCGGCAAGCGGCGTCTTGCAGAGGGATTGCGACAGATGTAAATGGGACACCGATTTTTGTGTTGTGTTTGAGGGTTACGATATGTTTTCGCCCTCGTTGGAGCATTTCTTGACTGTTGTTTTTTTCTTCCTGGCTGGTCCTGGCGCGTTATGGCTTTCCTTTTTTTTTGTCTTCTGCTTGACTTGGTTGTCTCCAGGCATCGATGACATAGACCTGTTTCTTTTCATTCTAGCATCTTACAAAAGGTCTTGGCTACATCATTGTGTTATGTTCGATATTGACAATGTTGGGCTGGGACACCGCATAATTCATGATCCTATGTTCCGAGAGACTAATATGTGCAATGAAAAATCAATAGCGTCGTGAGAATTTCGTGTTTATTGCGCTTGGAGTCTATATATGGGACTGGCGTGCCTCCTTTTCTCTATACAAAATTTGACCAAAGCTTAGACAGCTCTGCGCCATATTATCTTATCACACAACTTTCACTAGTTGTTCATTTTCTTGATACCAATTCAATCAACCAAGTGGACTAACAACTCCGTCATTGGCAGAGTCAACATCGAACTCTCCTGTCGAATAACTGAAAAGCCGAGGATCTAGCTTTGAAATAGTTTCCTCATCAAGTTTTTCCAAAGCAAGATCACCGGGAGTTCGACCCTCATCATCACAAGCATGGGGGTCCGCATTTCCATGATCAAGGAGTGCCTTGATAGTAGAAGAGTGACCATTCATACAAGCCAGATGCAAAGCAGTGAGTCCCATTATATCAGGGGTCTCAGGATTGGTGTTGACGACTGTAAGGAGAAAGATCACGGTCGACGTGTGTCCATTCATCGCAGCTCGATGCAAACGGGTCCAACGAAGGGAATCCCTCGAGTTGACATCGAGGTTGTCGGAATCAAGTGATCGTTGTTCTATCGACTCACGCTCGTTTTGAGCGGATAGACGTAGTCTCTGGGGGTGGGTCCCTTCGAACATCAGCATATCATTCATCCTTGCGCGCTCTAAGAGGACTTGAATCATTGCGCCGTGCCCTTCGCCCGCGGCATTATGCAGCGCATCCAGTGCACTATCTCGTTCCTTTGCTGTCATGGTTCCGGAATCAAGCAAAATCTTGATCAAGGATGCGTATTGTTTCTTTTTCGAGGACCACGACAATAATTTGAGGATATCTTCGTCATTGATGTTGAGGCTTAAGGATAATCTTCGATCCAAGAGTCTGAGTAGTAACGTGTGCATGACTTCGGGGAGGTCAAAGGCATGGACAGCATGATACAGCCAGAAAGATTTTGCATATTTTTGGAAGTAGAACTGCTCCTCTGTAGGAAGATTCTGGAGTTTCGTCTCTGCGATGACTTTTCCAATATCAACCCCGGCCTTTTTCCGATATTTGAGGAGTTTGATTGCCATGTTCCGGACACCATTTGATGATTTGAGTGTTGAGAAGATCACCTCAGAGGGCACCGACCCAGTTCGCAGCTGAGGGATTACGGTTTTTGAAACCTGCGTTTCAAACACGCTGTAATTGAGGTAGGTGAGAATAATGCTTGCCATCATTTGATGAGCTTCATCAACATTGACTAGGGTTTCGGTCGAATCTTTGAATTCACCAAGGAGGAACTGTTTCACACTGTGGTGAACGAGATGTATAGTAAGCTCCTCCTCATCAATAGTAACAAGACTGCCACAAGAAGCCAACGTGTTGTGCATATTGTTGAGAAGTCTATCCGAATTCCAGTTCAAATCACCCGGCACAACACATAGCGCCTCGCGTAGTTGCTGGAGAGTGAGTGGACTTTGGGCCACAGTCAAAATGGCCAATATATCTTTTTGGCGCGTGTTTTGCGATTTTGACCGTAAAGTGCGAGAAAATGTCTCTGAGAGATCTTTCGGTAGGCCTGCAAGAGCCTCGCGGATCTCTTCGTCACTTTCCATGGCACATAGAGATTCGAGTTGGAGAGCTACCCAAAGGAACATCCCTTGTGATCCTTTCAAGAGGGCATCTTGTATTTCTAAGATCAGAAGAGGACTCCCGATCGTGAGTTTTCCAGATTCGATTCGACTTTCCAATTCTGTTTCTATGAAATCCTCGATGTCGGGTGTGTTGTCCGGAATTTGTGTAACAACCGGGGCAGCAAGTTGCGTGAAGTTAGCTTTTAGGGGGTTCTCGTTTGGACCTTCACGAAGAGAAATGCAAAGTAGCATAATAAAAGTTTCACTCTGAAGATCTGATAGCTGCTGTATCACGATGTCTCTTTGATGCCCGTCGAGCTCGTCCAGCCCATCGACAACAAGGAAAAACCTTGTTGTTTTCCGAAGAGGAGCAAGGCAGCATGAAAGAAGTCCCATTAGTCTGTCCATCGGTTCACACTGATGTGTCCTGTCCAAATACTCCGCGGCAGCCGTGAAGTCTGATATATGGTATAGCAACTGTCGAGCCAAGGAGCCAATCACTCCCCGCGCTTTGAGACTCTCAGAGACGTCATGTCGGCAAAAGAAATATGCCACATGGGTCTTTTCATTTTGGATGTGGAGATCGTCCACTATATTGGCGAGTAGCACAGATTTCCCCGAACCTAACTTCCCAGTATAAACGAGGGTGGAAGAAAGTGGCATACTTTTCCACTCTTGATATTTGGGGCTCTCCCGAAACAGATTGGTGTTACCCGATTTTCGAGCCAGCTTCCACGACACTGTGCAATCGTATTGGGAACAAAAATCAAGTACCCGCTGCTTCGTTTGAATCGCTTGTTGATATGCACTTGATTTCTGGAATATCGATGAGACTGTTCTGAATCGGGAATTGTTTTCGGCTTCGTCCTCAATTCCCTTGGCCATCAAGAAGCCGACTTCGGCTTTGATTGTCTTCCCCCAGGACTCCAGCTCTGATTGATATGTCTTCAGATCCGAGTCTGCAAATGCGGAGGCCAATTTCCCGAAAATTGACTTTCTTGTAAAAGTAGTCATTTCGTGGCAAAGGCGTACGATCAAAATAAAATATTCACTTAGACAAGATTGTAAATCTTTTGACCGAGGGTAAAGCAAAGCCATCTTTTCGTAGCGGGGGGCAAGACGGCCAGCGGTCATGAATATGTGCGATAATTGCTCAAGATAGGAGGAAAAGTCGAGGACAAATAAAAGCGACATGCGCACTATTGACCAGACACCACATGCGAGCAGATTCTGAGATCCACCGACTATGATATCGCCTAAAGCAGCAAATTGCTGAGTAGCTTGTAGGATGTTCGTAAGTCGTGGTCCCAAGCACCGGCGTCTCTTTTCCGAGACACGATCAATCTCCGCGGTGAGTTGCATGACATCTTGGATACCAGGTGGAGACTCAATTGATTTGGCTCTGTAGGCACGAAAACTTGCTTTTTGGTCATTGGATAGTTCGGCCTCGAACTGTGAAATAGCCTGGGCGAGGCGAACATCTGGCTTCAAGCGCGGGGCGGAGCTCAACGATTGCGACATGCCTAATGTGCTCCCCGACTTGTTTTATATACTGTTAACTCATGGAAAGTACCAAGGTGGAAGACTGTGATTGTGATTTGGTCCGGCGTTGACATTGAAACTGGCGAGACATTCCCAAGCCATTCAGGGCGGGGGAACTAGTAAATACGCTAACGCAGCGCACAGCCATTGGTGACTTTGATCCTATTGGCTATCTCCGTGAGGTGCTATTGAAAGACATTTAGAAAGACGTAGCGGAGTGTTATTTATATCGTCTCTAGTATCATCGTAAACCAAACTGATCAAATTATCCAAGTTCAATATGGTCTAATGTAGAGGCTGTATATAGTCTACTAGTACCATCTCAACAATCTTGCGCCAGCTGGTCAATTGGTCCACCACCGGTTACCTCCAGTGCTACCTGTATTAAATACATGTGCATATCTTCCGCGAAGGGCTTAATGCAACAGCCCTTGTCGCGCGGTGATATATTCCATTTGGGGGACATACATATCGCAGGATTTGACCACAGGAGAGTATTGGAGAGTCCAAACTCCTTGAATCTCAAGGTGACGATGTCCTAGAAAACAAGCGAGGTATTAGGACTCGGTCACAACCTAATTGGGGCTCGACGGGAACCCACCTAAGGAACACGAGTATCAGCCAGATGGTGCGGGTGTTGGTGGTTACGGACTATGTTGTCGAAGCTGGCAACGAGGTCGCGCACCATCACCCAGACGATTGCCGACCAAGCCTGAACCCAATCTTTCTCAGAAAAATAGTTTCGTCATAAGTTGATAAGAAGCCGTGCGTGATATCCAGTTGCTGCATATATCGTGCAACTTGCCCTATAATATCGTATATTTATTAGTACACGAACATATTGTCGGTAGAGTGTATCCTACTAAGCGTACAACAAGACTTTTTCTCTAGCCTGGTCTCAAAATCCCGTATTCCTTCGCTTAACATATCTATGTGGTCATCGGGCCATAGCGTTTTGGTATCCCCAATGACTCTGATAGCAGATCTATCATCGATGATCACTAGATCTGGAGCCTTTCTGTACCCAGTTGTTGCAGGCACACCGGCATTGAAGGTTGCCATGCGGAGTCGACAATTCTGCACTTGAAGAGATGCAGTGACTGGCCGGCCAAGGCCTTCATCCAAAGGATTATGTCTCGTCTCCTAATACCAATTATTCCTCAGAGATAGAGTTTTCCGGTCCTTGCCCAACAATAGTCACATCGAGGGTATCACTGATGCAAGGCGGGTTTCACGAGAAGAAGACGACAATAATCTCCTGTCCGAGGTTGGGGGATGGCATCAATCTGCCGACGAAATCGATCCTCATGAATATATTGCGCTACCAGTGGTATGGTTCACAATGATCTGAGATAATCAAAATGACAGCTTGGCTGAAGCAATCATTCAAAGTTTCCACTCCGAGTTATCACCGTTGTAATCTTTTTTCCAGTTGTAATTTCTGAGGGGTCCTGGCAAGATCAAAATCTCGCTACCACTCTTCACTGAAAGTGCCTTTGGGCTTGAAAGGCTTTACGCCCTGAAAGCCAACAAAGTAACTGTAGCGATACTTTAGTTAAACCCCCGGGATTATAAGAATAATAAGTGACTTAAAGAGCACCAGCTTTCTGATCCCAGACCAAATTGGAAGGTCTAGCCCTAGGAGGGAAGTATCCCATTTCCATCGCCTTACTAATTAATAATGTAATCATTAGCATTTCAAGATTGCCATAAGTTGAATTATGGTTTCTTCACGGAAACTCTCGAAGGAAGGCATCGCGGACAAGCCTTCGTTCCTTGCGCGTCATATCCCAGTACACCGAAGCAGTTCTCAAAGCTCCTAGACATTTTCCAGGCACCTTCTACCATACAATCCATGTGATATGCCCTTTGGGAACTGGCCCTTCGCTACTCTGAGACCCTTGCTTGTATGATAATAGTCGAGGCGTATTTTGCGAGTGCTTTGGAAGTGAGAAATTGGTATGCTTTCAGCTCTGGGGGTGTGAATTCGGTTGCTTCTCGGGTGCGGGTAGCTTTGTGGCATTCTCAGAACTGGTATTTGGAACTTCGACGTAAATGCGCATAAAGCCCTCCAGATAGTCAGCATTGCAGCATTCAAACTGAATACATGCTTAAGAGTCAAGATGTATCTCGTCAGACTGGTAGCTACACATGTTGACCAGTTTACCGATCTCCCAGGTCGAGAGAGTGGGCTTATCGAGGATGACCTTGTCGCCTTGATCTAGTCTACTAGGGAACCAGGATTGTGAGAGGGCCATGCTTGATTCGATGAGAGCGCGAAATGAAAAAAGCTTGGCAAGATGAAGAGAAGAGTCAAAACGGTGAAACTCGGTGAGAGGAAGAGTTGAAGGCGAAAACAAACTTTGGTTGTCATGTGCCCTATGAATTACAATTTACTGATGCGTAGACCGAAAGAACCATAATTGTAAACATTTCAAAGGTGATTATTTTAGACATCAGCACATCCAACCACCGTCCACATTATACACAGCTCCAGTCACAAAGCTCGCTTCGTCACTGAGAAGGAATGCGATCACAGTTGCAATTTCCACCGGCTGTGCCTGCCGTTTCTGTGCTGTCTTTTGCAAGCCACGCTTCACATCTTCAGGGTCTTCACTAGCAGACAAGGGTGTATTGACAGAGCCTAAGCGGTTGGTTACCTGATATCCAGCCATATCACAGAACACAGACTTACCTGGCGAAACACAATTGACTCGAATATACTGATTCTCCTTCGCTGCCGTCTGCGTCAACCCAATAACAGCTGCTTTACTGGCGCAGTAGGCCGAGACACCGGGGGCACCCATTTGACCGAACACACTGGCAGCAGAGACCTATCACGAAAGGGTTCAGCATTATATTTTTCAGGTTCGACACTGGGACAGGACTCACGATGCTACCACCGGCTTTCATTGCGTTCAACTGAGCCCGCAGGCAGAAGAAGATTCCCCGTGTATTCACAGAGAATGTGAAATCCCAATTATCATCGGTCTCTTCTGTGATCGGAGTAGCAGGAGTAATCACTCCGGCCATATTTACAGCGCCGTCCAGCTTGCCTAATTTCTCGACAGTCGACTCAATCCATCCATCCACTGATTTGCTGCTGCGCACGTCGACAACTGTGGACATATGCTTATCGCTATTTGGGAGGGACTTGATAGCCTCGTCCAGGGCCTTTTCGTTTATATCGGCGAGCGAAATTATGGCGCCTCGACTTGCAAGAAGCTTGGCCGTGGCCAGCCCCATTCCGGAGGCTGCGCCGGTGATAGCGACCTGGGAGAGACATTGTTAGATAAATATTGCCATTCATAGATCACTGATCCATACCACTTTATTTTCGAACGATGCCATTGCTTTACTCTAGACGTATCTTCAATGGTGGTTTTAGGGGAATAAAAATATCGTCAAGGAAAGCTTGGGAACTACACATCAGATAGATAGTATTTATAAGAGAAAGTGGATTTAAATCTATACTAAATGAATGTTCTACACGTACAACATTGATCCGACCTAATAGGAAGGTCATTGCGCGCCAAAATAGGCAAGTTTCCGCTATCGGCGATCCACATCCCCCACAGACTTATTATACAACACTTTCCTTGTTCAACACCAAAATATGGATTCAATTCAAGAAGGTGTACACGATGTACACGAAATACATGATTCAATTACTCATACACGTTCATTCACAGGATGCTCCACAGTGAGTTCGATGGTCTTGAGTCATATGCATTTCTAATGGAATAGTGTCGAACTCGACATGTCAAATGCGACGAAAGACGTCCAGAATGTTCAATGTGTCAATATTTTGACCTGACTTGCGGAGGATACAAGAATGATATCTTCTTTGACTTTGAGACCTCACGCAATGATGGGATCCGGTTTCGTCGACCTTTATTCTCAGTGAAAGAAAGAGAGCGGATGAGTGAATGGCTTCTCTCGAGTGCTCCTCCAAAAACAACTCTCCGGATCCTGTCCCGCATCGACGAAGAATGCGAAAGAGCAAATATTTCGGATGAAATTGAGATCCACCGAGGTCCCTTCGGGGTGTTTAGATTGAACCAAGATCGAGACACATTGCTTCACGAACCAGCTGTGAACGATCATGAACAGACACAGTCCAGTTCTCCGGAAGATGTGGTTCCACAGAGTAACCTTTATTCCGCATCCTCCGATATGCTTCTGTCCCCATGGTCTCAAGCTTTGATGCATTTGAGTTTTGATCAATCAGAGAATGTTCCCAGTCCGCCTTCCCCGGGATTTTTGGACGCCATGATAGATCAAGATTGCGAGGAAAACAATTCAGCACCCCATGGATATTTACACACCGCATGTTTTCCAGACCAATCTTATAATCATCCCGTGTCACCCGCTTCTTTCACTTCCTCAATAAGTACCACGAAAGCCGTGCCCCAAGATGCAGTGTTCCTTCTCAAGCACTACGTCTCGGCTGTAATCAGTCTGATGACCCCACTCCGACACTCCAAAACTCCCTGGCATGTTCTATTCATACCTCATACCAAGAGCTGCCTCGCCGGCTTGGCTCTAGGCGATGAGTTGAGTGATGCCAGCTTGTGTGCATTCTACGGAACATTAGCCATAAGTGCATTCAGCCTTGGTGGAGTCTCTCGATCCCAAACATGGAGTGAGAAAGCCATCATTTATAAGGACAAAGCCCAGCAACATGCAAAAATGATGCTCATGACCGCCTACCATGTCCCGAAAGTAGCCAAATACAAATCAATCTTGATGGCACTGCTCACCATGGTCCAAGTATCAATGTTCTCGGGGAACCGAAGGCAATCGGAATATTATTTTCTGGAAGCAGAAAAATTCATCCGGTTAAGAGGACTTCCCCGCAAAAAGTCTCGAAAAGTACGACTACTACATCACTGCTATGTATTTGAGCGTATCTTCCACGAGAGTGTCTTCATTTGTGGAGCGAACTCAAGACAGCGTCATCGCGTTCACACAGCCATTGAAACGAGCGGGCTAGGAATGTATAGCCTGGACAGCCTATCATTTCGCCTCTCAGGCTGGGAGAATTTAGATCAAGAAATGATGAGAGTACGTGGACAGGAGGAAGGCGAAAATGATCTACACCTTGAAAGACCTGGCTTCTGGTCTAACTCTCTGTACCCGGAGATATTTGGTATCCCTGAGCCGTGGGTTATCCTTCTATCCCAGGTTATTCGACTCGGGAAAGAAAAAGATGCGACAGAAGGAAATGATGCATCGGACTGTCTCAGCTTGAAGGAGTTCATTGGCCGAGCGAAGACTCTCGAGGACTACATCAACAATCTGCGACGACCCAGCTTGGAGAATATCCATTCTCATCTTGATCATGAGATCATAGAAAATATGCTCAATGCCATGCAGAATGCACTGGGGATATACTTCTACCGTCGAATCCACGACGTGAATGCTTCCTTGCTACAGCAAAAGGTCGTGGGCGTGTTGGATAATCTACTGCGCTGCGAGGACACCGACTCCACTGTGGTTCACGGTTCAGCCGGATTTATCTGGCCTGCGTTTATTGCGGCTTGTGAAGCCGAGGATCCATTGGTTCAGGTATCATTCTCCGACTGGTTTGTGAATTCGGCACGCCGCAGTGGCTTGTCTTGCTTTACTGAGACATTGGCCAATATTCAGAGAATTTGGCAGGAGAAGACTTGTGCTAATGGGAGGAGTGTCACTTGGTTGGATTTAATGAAGAACACCATGCCCTTGCAGCAGCTATTTTGATTTGTGATAGGATGCTCTGGGCAAGAAATGAGTCTATAAACTTGTTTATTGATGATCACCTACAATTATTTTAAACTTGAACACATCTATTACTGTATATTGAGCGGGATAGCGAGCATTTTATTTTATCAATTCATCTCTTTTATCTATTCTAATTCCAAATGTGATGTTGGTACTTCCGTGCACTCCTACGAAATGCCATCTCAACCCCAGAGTGACAATCAGCTGGAACCCCGCATGCAACATACATATGTATGTATTAGCAGGAATTCCGTGTCAGTGCACAGAATCCATAAAGATAGGAAAGACAATGTGCGTTGTCATATGTGGGTTGGCTATCACCAGACGCGAGTTAGGCAAGTGTCCCCGACAACCCCACATTCGTCAAAGGTTGGAAGTATATCTCTCACCAAAGAGATTTGGAGAGAGATAGAGCTGTCATTATTATTTATTTACATAGTTCCGTGAGAAACTATATAAGTCATCAATCTTCTATTTCTTCGTCCCTTCTATCTACAAAGTTCCTCCCCGCTGTATCAAGAAACCAACGACCTACACCAAGCCCCTATAAACCACCCCGAATGGACGTACCTGGAATTGCCCTTGTCACAGGAGCCGCCTCAGGCATTGGCCGCGCCTGCGCAAAGACATTCGCCAGAGATGGCGCCTCAGGAATCGCCCTGCTCGACCTGAACCCCGAAGCCCTAAACGCCGTCAAAGCCGAGATCGAAGAACAACAACGCAGACAAGGATCAAAGCCGTGTCAAGTCATCGCATACCCCACCAATATAACAGACGAGCACCGCGTCAATGAAGTCGTCCAAGAAGTCGCGAGGACATTCGGCCGACTCGACTACGTCGTCAACGCAGCCGGAATCGCAATGAAGCACGCAGGCGGAGCTGCATTCTGCGAAACATCGGATTGGGAGCGCATCTTGAACGTCAACCTCACAGGCACATTTTTCGTTCTGCGCGCTGCTGCCAAGATCATGTTGAAGCAGGAGCCTATCCTGTCCTCGATTGATGCCAGGCCACTACAGCGTGGCTCAATTGTCAACTTCTCGTCTATTCAGGGTGTTGCTGGTATTGCGTTGTCGACTGCGTATACTGCGACCAAGCATGCCGTTATTGGATTGACGAGGACTGCATCTGAGGATTATGCTAAGGATGGCCTGCGCATCAATGCTATCTGTCCTGGATATACGGAGACCCCGTTGACGACCAAGTCGCCTCAGATCCTGGCGGCTATGCAAGAAAAGGTTGCTAATGCGGTTCCAATGGAGCGTATGGGCAAGCCGGAGGAGATTGCCGATGGTGTTGTTTACTTGAGTGGTGGTCGGGCTTCTTTTGTTACTGGGACGGCTTTATTCGTGGATGGCGGGTACACCCAGCGATGAGGTAACATTCGTTCATAGATGTAAATGGCATCTTCAGTCATACAGTTACTCTCTCTTACCTCTTCTCACTAAGTAATGGGCGAATAGAAATATGCGGTAACATCTCCCCTGGGCGGTTCCGGCGGGTGTGACATCACCACCTACGATGTAGCATCGACCTATTTATTTTTTTCTTCGCTTTTGAATAGTTTGAGAACGTGAATTCAGCCAATCATTTCTTGCTAAATATAAGCAATTGATGCATTCCATCAGCTAAGTCTTCTATAAGACTGGAGTTTCCTCCAACTTGGGCCGCCAGCAGCTAAAATATGACCAAGTCAGGGAAACTGGTCACTTCTTATATTCTCAGCAGTCTTCCCTCATTATCATTTTCTGCTTTAGGTCGATCAAGTAACTTTCGAGCTGCTTCGATAAGTGTAATCCAGAAAAAACGGCATTTCACCAACCAGTCGACCCTCACCGGCCATATATTCCACACACAACGCATATCAAACTGCTACAATTCCAAGCCATACCAAAAAGCAAATATGAGCGGCCGTGTCCCAATAGCGCCTCAGCGCGTGGACGCTCCGCTCACACAATCAGCTACCTTTCTCATTGTCTCTGTCACCAACAAGCCCGACGCCATTGAAACCGTGCGCTCTACACTGGCAGGCGTAGACAGCCTAGCGAAAAATGTATCAATCCGTGATCTCAGTGCCCAATTTGCCTGCACCGTCGGCATCGGAAGTGACATCTGGGATCGTCTAACGGGTCTTCCCAGGCCCTCAGAACTACACCCTTTCCGCGAGATCAAAGGCGAGAAACACACCGCGGTCTCGACGCCCGGTGATCTGCTTTTCCACATTCGCTCTGAGCGCAGAGATATCTGCTTCGAGTTCGAGCGTCAGTTGTTAGATCAACTCAGTGACTCGGTCACTGTCATCGATGAGACTGTCGGGTTTCGTTACTTCGATGTGCGGGATCTTCTCGGTTTCGTGGATGGCACGGCTAATCCTGTTGGATTGGCGGTTCCTTCCTCTGTTTTGGTTGCAGAGGAAGATCCTTCTGCTGTCGGTGGCAGTTATATCGTTGTACAGAAGTACACTCATGATCTACCTGGATGGAAAGATCTATCGACAGAACAGCAGGAGAGGATTATTGGTCGCACCAAGATAGATAATGTTGAGCTGGATGATGCGGAGTCTGGACAGCGTTCTCACAAGACACTCAACACGATTGAAGATGATGATGGGAATGAGCATGATATTCTTCGTGACAATATGCCATTCGGATCTCCTGGTTCTGCCGAGTTTGGGACTTACTTTATTGGCTATACTCGTCGCCTCTGGGTTATTGAGAAAATGTTGGAGCGCATGTTTGTTGGGGATCCGCCTGGCCTGCATGATCGGATTCTTGATTTCTCGAAGCCGCTTACTGGGACGACATTCTTTGCTCCGTCTGCAAGTGTATTGGCTAGTTTGGGGTCTGACTGAGGTTCCTCCTTTGTGATTGTAGTTTGTATCTCGGACAGTGTATGTACCAAATGTTAAACAATCCATTCTAATGCTAATAATTCATGAATATTTATCCATATCAAAGCTTGGAACTCGAGAGTTGAGCAAATGCCAGACCTTTCCAACCAGCTGCCCTAGATTCAGCGCATCTGCGGCGATACTCCACTGCACTACCAGCATACCTAGCAACACTTCGAACAGTCTTGCCCTTCACATTCGTATTAACACCGGTCATCCAGCTATCGATTTCGTTTGACAGAGCACCTTTGCTGCTTTCAACAACATGATCCGTCCACGCATCCACAGCTTCTCCAGTTGGCTCTACATACGAGTAGTTTTTTTCTTTGCAGTGTTGTAGGAGATCCGAGATAACCTCCACGGCGTGCTCGATAGTCCGGGGAGCGTTGCCAAATGGTTGATGGGGACCCAGAACCATGAACATATTGGGCATAGAGCAGGCTGTCATACCCAAGTATGTACGAGGGCGGTGATCAACCCAAATCGCTTGCTCACCTTGCTTGGTGTTGCTAGAGCCAAGAAGAGGTCGACCATCCTTCCCTGTCCAATCAATGGAGTTGAAAGCACCGGTAATGGCATCAAAGCCCGTTGCATAGATCAAAACATCTAATTCATGCTCTTTCCCGTCAGAGGTAATAATGCCACTCTTTGTGACCCTTTCAATCGGCGTTTTCTTAAGATCAACAAGGTGCACATTGGGCTGGTTAAATGCTTCAAAGTACCCACTTTCAAGAGGGACTCGTCGTGTGCCGAAGCCGTGATTTTTGGGAATCAGACTATCAGCAACTTCGGGATCATTTATTCTAGCTCGGATCTTGCTGGCCATAAAGTCTGAGTAGAGTTTGTTTGCTTCGCGGTTGTTGTATGTGTCGCTGAAAGTACCGAGCCATTTGGCAAAGCCGGGCTTTGCATAGATTTCCTCCCAAAGCTCTAGCCGCTCTTCTGCAGAAACCTCTAGGGACTTGCGCGGGTCGGCCTGGTGCATGAAGCAGCTGGGTGTCTCAGCGCAGAGTTGGAAAAGGGTATCATAATCCTTGCGATGCTGTTCCATTTGCTCGGGGGTAATCACCTCGTTTCGTAGAGGTGCGGACCAGTTTGCCGTGCGTTGAAAAACGTTCAATGATTTGATGCTCGGTTCTTTTGATACCGCTGTAATTGTTTGAATTCCCGTTGCGCCGGTGCCGATGACACCCACTCGCTTATTGGCCAGATCACGACTCATGTCAAATTCCTTAGGCCAACGGGAGGTGTGGAAAGCTTGGCCTTGGAACAGTTCAATATCCGGAATGGCAGGAAGGGTCGGGGTTGATAGGAAACCCATGCAGCTGACGAAGAAACGGGTCCGGTGGTGGGTGCCGGCTTCGTCGCGAAACAGCCAAGTGTTGTTCTTATCCTGCCAAACGGCCGTTTTGACTCGAGTATTGAGCTGAATGCTTTTATAGAGATTGTGTTTGTCGCAGACGTGTTCAATGTAACGGAGGACGTCTGACTGGGTGGAGAAGGACTCCTTCCAGGTCCATTCGTTCAAAAGATCTCTGTCCCATGAATATGCGTATGAGAGTGACTCAGTATCGACTCGTGCTCCAGGGTAGCGGTTGCAGTACCAAGTTCCTCCAACATTATCGGCTGCCTCGAGAACTCCTACGCGCCACGATGGAAAGCGCTTTCGGAAGTTGTGAAGTGCACAGATACCGGACAGACCGGCGCCAATGATGAGGACATCGTATTGCTGTTCTTTGATTTCGATGGACCCCATGATGAAAAATTGTCAGCTGTGGAATTGCGATCGGAAATCTCAGTGTTGTCGTTGTTCATCCAGATCTTCAGCGACTCTTGTCGTGATCTTTATAAGATTGACATTGTGACAACGCAGCTCCCGGTGGAGCTGCCATATGTGGGACAGCATTCGATACAAAGTTCTTCAGGCAGCTTTCGCGGTGACCTTCCTCTTCTAATATCAATGCACTTTCTTGGTGCAGCCGTTTACGTCCTATCAGGCCACTAGTCCCAAAATGGCATCAACCTTATCGTTATCTTCCCCGCATCTGATATGTCACGTGCAGTGGACGCCTTCCTCTTTGATGTTTGCCACTTTCCTATCTCGGAGTTGCCCAATCTGAGAGGGTATCGCATTCCATGATGTCCTTGATCCCATGGAGCAATCACTGAATTTACCGCCTTCGCTTCAATCCACAGACACCACACAAGAGTTTGAAAGTTTCTCGAAGTCGAAATGCATGTCAATGAAGATGAATACGATACAATCGGAGCAGATTAATTCGTGGTCGAGCCTAATTAACAAAGAAATCCAAAACTAGTGCACATCTATCTTAATAGTTGACAATAGGAAACAAAACAAAAATGAAAATGAAGGGTTTGGTGTCTGCCACTCTGTAGGGATTGTTAGTATATATACGACAAAGGGCGCGGTATCTAGTTCGTCTGCGCTGACATCTCGAGATTCCCGCGCAAAAGTCCTGTTAGGTTGACACGGAGTTGTGCGTAGGTATCCCCGTTAGAGTATGCTCTTCCGTCTCCGTAAGCCCCGCTCCCTCCGCAGGAAGAGCTTTATCTCCACGGGAGGCTCGTCGCTGCCTAATTGCCTTGAAGGCAATGATCGAAAAGTACAAGGCGTAGACAAGCGCAGCCACCACTCCATAGGCGACAAATACACCGGGAGAACCCCCAGACCGGCTAAGATTGTACCCTATACCCCCATTGACAACCCCCAGAACAAGCATAATGCGGCTCTGCCAGCGGTGTGCATATGCCCACCAAGTCTTTCGATGCGTTCGGCGGAACAACATGTGTTGGCGGATTCCGAGGATGGGCTAAATGACCACAAGAAGTACAATGACAATGGCACCAATGACTTGATGATGCTTCCCCTTTACGGGAATCTGTTGGTTGAGGTATATACCAAGGCCAAAACCAACTATCGCAAGAGTTGCTGTCATGGCTTGCAATGCAGCATAGGTTTTCACGACTGGCTTGGATGATGGGAGTAGATGAATCAGACTCGCAAAAGTCGGAAAGAGTAGAACAAAATCAATCGACATAATCGAACCGTGAATTTATCTGATTTTCAGCAATCTGTCATACTTTGCCATCAAAGAAGCCATGTCCGCAAACCCCGAGGATGAAGACTGAGAGGCGGTTGATCGCACCACTCGCCGCAGATTGTCACGTCCAGTCATAACAAAACAGTCAAAATTGTGGCCTTCAAGCACTTGGATTGGGCCCGAGAAAACGGTACCTTCGGCTTCGTATGCCCAGAGGAAAGTCTCCAGTCTGTCCATGATCGGATAGTCATTGCAGCGCATCGTCGCCTGCACCAATCCATTATGGAAAGAACGTTGACCAGGGATAATTTCACAATTGGGAAGCTTAGGCCCGGCCTGAGCATGATTTTGTTCTTTGAGCGACAAAAAGATTGCGTTTGAGGCGGCCAAGCTGCTGGAATTCGAGGTCTTTTGTTCCTCGGCAAGCGAAAACCATTCAACTTCTTTCGATGCAGTAATATGGATGTAAGTCGCGTCTGTTTCTAAGATCTGGTAGACAATTTCATAGCTTCCCGGGAGAACGAAGGTGTATGGATGACCCAGGACAGTTCTGGTCACTACTACTGGTAAGTTTCTTGTGGTTTGGGTGGTTTGGCTTTAGGTGCATGTGCGTGCGCTGCAGCTAAGGAACTGAGGATTGAGATCATACTTACCAATTCCAAGTAGAAAGATGAACAAAACATGTTGAGAATCCGCTGCAAGCCCAAGGTTGGAATTGTGATTTCTGTGACAAAGAAACGAGAGAGAATGGGTATTGATCTTATAAGGAGTTTATCTCTCGCCATCCCGTTGGCTTGTCCGATAGTCAGGGCTATTTCGACAGAGACAGTAGAAGGTGAGAGACAGGAGCATAGCGTTTTCCTAATTAGGATTGTACTTTGAAGGGGGCTTCCAATCATCGGCGATGTTGTTGGATCTATAGACCATGATTTCATGTGGTGAAAGTTGACAAGCCTCGGGTCTTAGATATCCGTCCCGTGTTTCGTTGTGCATATATCTTCAACGAGGCTATACATGCTGTGAATGGCGAAAGCGAAAACGAGTGCTAGTGCGAACGCGAATGCGAGGACTTGAAGACCGTTAAAAGCTTGACTAGATCTTAGTATAGTGATCTCAGTGCTTGGCCTCATGCTACTCATATCCCCGATTAGTTCGTTGTGTCTCTTGGCTATTTTTGTTGTAGGCAACCGGATTTTGGGCAGGTGCTGCGCCTCATTGCTGCTGTTAATTGTCCAAAAGCCCGCCATTCAAGAGAGGCCTGCGCTTCACAGTCTATGTACGAAGCTCCGAAGCCATCAATTTTGTCCATAGACTAATGTCAACCCTTTTAGACTATATTTCAGTCACGGAGATTTGTCCTGTTATCCAGAAGCGCACGGGTACTGGGTGGGCTTTTTGGGTTACTCATAGGGGCTCAACTCGAATATCCCACAATTTTTCATGGTCCATATGCGCATGGGATGGATCACTCACTAGTGCATAGTCGCAGGTAACGACATCACATCTGAATACGCGTATAGCTTCCAAGGTTATCTTCACTCGCTTTATTTGGGACCAATAGGGGCCGCATACACAAGGCGCCACAAAGCCCCACAGTATCCATAGATCTTCCAAGGTTATTCCGAAGAATATTACAAATCTTACAGATCTTACAAATTGTTACCTCTATGTACCAGTGTATAGTTGGTACGAGGTCAGCAAGCGCATGCGCGTCTAGCCACAGCAGCGCAGGTGGCTTATATACTTTGACACACATATCTACCTACGTATGTGCAATAATCTGAAACACAGGACTTTCTCTATCTCAAGAGGAAAGTAATTCGGCTTTTACTACTCTGTACGTTGTACTTAAGTTATATTTCCTCGTAATGTTCAGCTCACCTTCTCACCGAAAGTCAGGATACTAAATTATCAAATTCTGCACTGGAGACGGTTTTTGGTAGCAGTAAAGTGAAGACAGAGTCTCCGTTTGGGACAGCAATCCGATGGAATACGCGGAAGACGTCAGATACGGATACGCAGGTCCCGATCCGGTGTGGACTTCCTCTGCTCTGCGGCGAGTACTCCATACTGAAGAATCCGGTAACTCAATTATCGGAACCCCTTTTTATCGAGTACCAGGAGAATCTATTGCAAGCTTGGAAGTTAGGTTGCCTAGGTGCCCAGGTGGGAGTCCCTGATGACTAAAATCATCGATATATAAACCTGCTCTTCACCTTCCCTGAGAAACTTTCAATTAAACAAGATCAACATGGTTCCAGTCTCAGTTATATTCTTTGCCCTGGGCGCGATAGCCACTCGAGCATCAACAGCCATTAGATGCTCGCCGTCCAGTATTCCCAAACCAGACCTAGTTGGAGCCTCTATCCTTGGTATTCAAGCTGAGGAAGTCCACAACTATTCAGCTGTCAGTCTTGCCCCAGGCTCCAATGATGGAAAGAAGTACACCATCGACTTCTGCAACGTCACAGTCACATATACTCATCCTGGTTGGAATGACACAATCAACACTCAGGTCTGGCTACCGCTTGAGGGTTGGAATGGCAAGTTCCAAGCTTTAGGTGGTGGAGGCTACAGTGTTGGGTTTGGCCCGATTTACCTCACATACGCCGTCGGTCAAGGGTTCGCATCTGCCACCACCGATGGAGGTCATACTGTGGGAGGCGAGGCTGTTCCAACTGATCTAACTTGGTCTCTGAAAAGCAGAAACAATGTCGACTGGTTCCTGTTCGAAGACTACGCATCCAAGGCCACAAATGACCTAGGAGTGATTGGAAAGCAGATCACCAAGTCATATTACCGCAAAGCTCCGAAATATTCCTATTTCTCTGGATGCTCTGGTGGTGGAAGACAAGGTCTCATGATGGCGCAGGAATATCCGGATGTCTTCGACGGCATTTTGTCTGTCGCTCCCGCCATCAACTTGGAAGCCTTCATTCCCGCAGGCTACTGGGCCGCGCATATCATGAACAACAACCATATCTACCCGTCCCCTTGTGAGGTTCAGGCTTTTACTAAAGCAGCAGTCAAAGCTTGTGATCAATTGGATGGAGTGGAAGATGGCATCATCAGCTCGCCAAGTCTTTGCAATGCCAAGGCATCCGACTTCATCGGACAGAAATACAAATGCAACGGAGTACATCGTACTCTAAGCGCCTCAAGTGCGAAGGTCATTCAAGCAGCCTGGTCTGGCTCTGGAAAGGCCGGTTGGTCTGGTGTGAACAAGGACGCAGCAATCGAAAGTTACTACATCCCAACTACCTGTACCAACAATGGTACATGCGCCACCGGCGATAGTTCTTTGTTTGGTAATTGGATCCAATATGCTATTGCCAAAGACCCTAGCTTCGCACTTCAGAACATGACTGATTCTATGTTCTTCGATATGCTGCATTCTTCAATTCGCCAGTATGGAGGAATGGTTGGAAACAATAACCCCGATTTGTCCAAGTTCAAGGCAAATGGTGGCAAGATCATTTCCTGGCATGGTCTTGCCGATGAAGCGATCCCACCAAATGGAACCATCAGCTACTACGAGGAGGTGCTTAAAATGGACCCCAAAGCCCAAGATTTCTTCCGCTTCTTCGAAGCGCCTGGGGTTGGTCATTGTTATGGTGGACTCGGACCAATTCCAAACGGAGCTATGTCGCAGTTGATGGAGTGGGTCGAACGCGACCATGCCCCTAAGACTCTTCACGCTACCAAGGGAAGCAACAACACCGCTCGAGACTTGTGCCCATATCCACTCCGACAGAAGTTCGTGGGAGGCGATTCCAGGAATGCAACATCTTTCACCTGCGCTAAATAGATCGTCATTTCATCGTCTTGGAACAAATGCCCTTCCGCAGAATGGTTCATGGGAACATTCGCATCATTGACAAATATGCCTGTCCTAGTTACCCCTTGATTGAAGTGTGGACCTGCAAATGGCGGGCTCTGGCCATTATAACATTCTTTTCCTGTTCTCTGTACTTGGTCCATCTTTTCTATAGTGCATCCTTTGTATATTACCTTCATTTCGTTTCAGAATCTACTATCTTCTTACATCTATTTGCAAATGTGTGGGATCCGAAAATATGCCTGGTAGATATTTGTTGAGGCAACCTTTCTGCATAGCGCATATTGGACCTTTACTCCCCGCAGGGCATGGCCTCCTTCTCTTTCTCTCATAACCAGTTCAATTGAACGCACGGTGTCTTTCTCATCTTGTGTTCTCTATAATGCTCCCAAGAGTCTGCGACATGGAAATAGTGGGTGGATTAAAATTAAGATTTATAGTATGGATCGCTTTGTGGGCATAGCCACAGACCACTCATCTGCATAAATGCCACAATCTCGGTAACCATGCGATAGGTAGGCTGGCCCAAGATTCACTTAATGGAACAGATGTGCACGAGAAATACGCGTATTCGTATAAGGATAAACTGTAGTATAACTCCACTTACCGTGCATACGAAGAAAATACACGCTGCTGATTCGTCCTTTGTTTAGGTACGGACGGCAACTCAAATTAACGTTCCATGGATAGATGAGCGAATCTAATACGGTATTGGTATTTTATTACAATAATTACAATATGCTTACGAATATATACTACACAATTTTCTTAACAAAAATAGCTAGTGGATAATATAATATCTCTCTGATCATATTTAAAAGCCATTGCGCCTGCAATTCTTGAAACGGAGGTTGTGCACAGTTTTTCCCATTCCTCGGCTGGAATTGAGTTTACGCCTTATCAGCTCACTTTATTTCTATGAGATCATCGGGTGCCATGTGCGTTCCCAACTTTCTACCTCCCTTTTGACATCATACTTCCAACTGAAAAAGATGAGGTCAAGCCGATGCATATTTCGCAGATTCCTTTCAAACCCGGGGATGCAGCTTTTAGCGCAAGATTGCTAATTTCTCGTCTTTTCAGACATACCACTCCTTACCCATTTGCATCCGCTCTTTCCATAATTAGCATTCGTTCCGGCATTTTCAATCTGTTTCCTGACAGTCCATTCTCGGTTCTCTCTCCATTCACCAATTAAGTGGCCCAGTTCATGAAAAGTGGTCAACAATATGAGCCAACTCCGTCTGCGCGTCGAGGGACAAAGATTCCGAGATCCTCTGAATCGGGAAATCATCCTTCGGGGAATAAATGTGGCAGGTGACGCCAAATATCCTAAAACTCCAGACCTCAGATCGCACAACACCCAGCAGTTCTTCGACGCGGATGTATCGTTTGTGGGAAAGCCATTCTCGCTGGAAGATGCCGACGTACATTTTCGGCGTCTCCGAAAATGGGGATACAACGCCATTAGATATATCTTCACTTGGGAGGCAATCGAACATGCTGGTCCTAAGATCTACGATGAGGAATGGATAGACTTTACCATTGAAATTCTTCGCGTCGCCAAGAAATACCAGTTCTACATTTTCATGGATCCGCATCAAGACGTAGTAAGTCTGGTCTTGAGTGAATCCATCATATGTCGGCACTAAGCTTACTATTCGAAGTGGTCTAGATTATCAGGAGGATGCGGAGCACCTACATGGACGCTCTATGCCGCGGGACTAAATCCCAAGAATTTCAAAAGTACACAGGCTGCCATCGTCCATAACACGTCGAACAACCCTGCAGAGTTCCCCAAGATGCTTTGGTGTACGAATTACACTAGGCTAGCCTGCCAGACAATGTTTACTCTGTTCTGGGCAGGTCGAGACTTCGCACCGAAAGCGATCATTGATGGTGTGAATATTCAGGATTATTTACAAGCCCACTTTATTGCGGCATGCCAGTACCTTGCACAGAGAATCCAAAATGCTGGGGGTCTCGAAGGAGACGTCATCATTGGATGGGAAAGCATAAATGAACCGAATAGAGGACTAGTCGGGGTTCAAGATATTTCCTCAATCCCACCAGAGCAGCATCTCCAGCTCGGGACATCTCCAACGGTGTTTCAGGGTATGCTGCTTGGCTCCGGGCGTCCCTACGAGGTAAAAACCTGGGCTTTCGGAGCCTTTGGGCCATACCAGACAGGGACGGAGGTTATAGATCCAAAAGGTGAAATGGCATGGCTGTCTGCTGAATACGATGACTCTCAATACGGCTGGCACCGTGATCCTGGCTGGAGACTTGGGGAATGCCTGTGGGCACAACATGGAGTTTGGGATCCATCCAAAAGCCAAGACACCCTGCTACAAAAGGACTATTTTTCAAGGAACCCACTGACTGGCAAGACACTTGATTACGAAGGCTTTACAAACTCTTACTTTTTGAACCACTACCGAGCATACAAGGACGCTATGCGCAGCGTGTCTGAAAGTACTATCATGTTTTGCCAGCCTCCCGTCATGGAGTTACCGCCTATCCTCAAGGGTACCGCCGATGATGATCCGAACATGGTTCACGGGGTTCACTTTTATGATGGTCTGACTCTTTTGACAAAGCACTGGTTAGTAGCAACGCCTCACCTTTTATTCATGACACTAACCCGAATAGGAATCGACTCTACAACATAGATGTTATCGGGGTACTCCGGGGCAATTATCTTGCACCACCATTCGCAATGAAAATCGGCGAGAGATCAATTCGAAAAAGCCTACGTCATCAACTCAGGTTCCTGCGCGATGAAAGTCTCGAACGCATGGGTGATCATCCCCTAATCTTTACCGAGATTGGCATTCCATATGACATGGATGATAAATATGCATATAAGACTGGAGACTACCGCAGCCAGATCAAAGCAATGGATGCCAACCATTTTGCGTTAGAAGGGAGCAAGTCTAATGGATTTGCTTTGTGGGGTTATATGGCAGCTGTATGTTACGGGTCTAATTGTGACAGAAACAACCTTAACTAACTCTACCTAGCATGACCATGAATGGGGCGATCAGTGGAACGGCGAGGATCTTTCCATATTCTCACCGAACGATTTGGAAGCTCCTATCAGAGCCTATGCCGATTCAACAAGGCCCAATTTCACAGGGCGTTCTATAGATCATCTTGTCAATGTGGAAGATGAGCAGCTTGGATCGCTGAAGACTTTGACACCGCCGTCTACCCCGAGTAATCTCTCCCGAGCTACCCTGCAGCCGCAACAGGTCCACAGAGCAGCGGAAGCCTATCTCCGCCCCACTCCGATCTACATAAACGGGCGGCTAAAGAGTTGCGGGTTTGATTTGAAGAGCTGTAAGTTCAGCATGAGATTGGTTGCAAATGAGGCCGCGCCTCACGCCCCAACTGAAATATACCTGCCTGACTTCCATTTTCCAATGGGAGAGACATCGGTTGTGGTGAGTGGAGGGAAGTGGGAGATCTGCATTCTGGAGTTCCATACGGTCAAGCTTCAATATCTGCGATGGTGGCATGGGAAAGGGAAAGCAGAGATCAAGATCAGGAGAAAGAAATGTATGCGAGGAGAATATGCCGCTCTGCAAAAACTACATAGGACTCGATGCATGATGATGTGAAGTCAAGTTCTTTACCATGTTGCCCTAACAATGTAAATTAAGTTTTCCCCCTTTATATTACTAGTGACTATCCAATTCGTCTTTACTCCGACATCAATCCCGAAAAATTGGACTACATAGATGAGTATCGTTTTAACCTACTGCGTGCTATGGAAGGTAGGCAGAATATTCATACATAATCCGCTCAACAAGGTGAGCTTGAATGGTTTTGATGAACCGCCATATGGCTGGCTCTAAAGTACCAAGCAGGCAACAATGTTATGGAGTAGCAAACTGCGACCTGAATAAGGGCTCGGACCCCCCATTTGTTTAACAAGATAATCAACGGTACTTTTCCGGTATTGTGATGTTTCAGGAATACGCGTAACGGTATGACTGTACGGTCGGGGTAACTTTGGAAGTTACCGAAAAGTCTAAAACCCTGTGCTCCACTATTCACGGGTATCCACTTTACTGGGCTAAACCTTGGAATGTAGGTACCTAAGAGAGTACGAGGTCTTGTTGGAGCCTCATAAGACCTTTTTTTCCCAGCCCACAAATTATTTCGATATCTTGATAATTGCGGGTGCTCTAAAAGCCTTGTTGTCAGTTTTCTACAAAATATCATCACTTCTAGAACCATCTTCCACGAATCGGGCGAACCTTTTGAAACATTCGACTGACGAATTACGGATATGGACCAGACCATGACCGAAGGGCAATCAGTCCAGCCCGAAAATCAACATGTTCTCGCCGCAAATACCACACCGCCACTCTTCCGGGCTACAGGACGCATACTACGATCGGCCTCAGTCTCCACTGTTACGAGACTGCTTGAGTACAATCCCTCCAGTGGAATGTGGCAGGCGACCGGGACAGCCATTGCACACGCCCCGAATGTAACGGATCTAAGATCGCCCGACGAGATTTTCTTTGATGTACATGGTCGAGGTACAAGAAGAGTCAGCACGCAGGATACAATCAGCGGTGCGATAGGTCGGAGAACGACGGCGCCTACGATAGGACTCGGACACTTGCAGGATGAGAAGCAAATAGCCGGAGCAGTCAAAGGCGCTTCTAAATCTCCGTTTGATCACCATGAAAGCAACCAAGACCAGATTGCTCCAAAGGTGTCTTGGGCCAACGCCTTCAAGAAAGGATCTATTGCAGCATGGAGATTCATTCTTACACCTACAGGCCTTTTCATCGTTGTTTATGGTCTCAACGTTATCGCTTGGGGTGCCATGTTGTTTTTTCTCTTGCTGAACGTCGGTTCGATGAGCAAGGAGCGCAAAGAACTATGGATTGAAATTGATTCCCAGATCCTCAATGGGTTGTTCTGTCTAACTTCATGGGGACTGGCGCCGTGGCGGATTCGCGACACATATTGGCTGCTCATGTGGCATTTCGGCTCAGCCGAAACATCCCAGAAATCTATAATACAGCTCGCAAAGCGAAATTCGAGCTGGTATAGAATGCGGGATTCTGATTTCGAAGAGTGTGAGACCCTGACGGGCAAGGTGGCTCCACCTACCAAAATATGGAAAATGGACTTTGTGGTGATAAATATGTTGTTGAATAGCTTGTTCCAAGTTGGAATGGCCACATTCATGTGGCAGTACAACCGATATAATCGCCCGGCCTTCGGTGTTGGCCTTTTCATTGGTTTAGGCTGTTTCAGTTCGCTTCTGGCAGGAGTAACCTCATGGTGGGAGGGACGAAAAGTCAAGCGAATTGAGGGCGCTTTCTTTGAAGAGACAACGGAGGAAAGGCAGGAACCCATAGAGACATTAGCCTAATGCACATGATTGGGGTAGCCCGAAGCACTGGGAATATAGCTCTATACACAAATAGTACATAATCTTTGTTATCAATCAAATCATAAGCTTCCGAGGCCTCTCTCAAAGTCAAAATTTATTGAAGGCTGGGACGAAGCTTCTACTTTCTGCCCTCGTGTAATCTAACTATGCGTAATCACTGTCATCATCGGAGTCATTTGCTCGGGTCATGGCCATGAATCTCTCGATGACCACCCGATCTTCAATCCCTCTTACTCTCTCTTGTCGAATCATATCTTGTCCCTCCAGGTGAAGAGCCGCCATAATGAGCTTCCGTGTGCTCGTATGAAGCGCAGAATGTATGCTCTGTTTAATACCTTGACTGGGATAGGCAACGAGGCCAAGGGACCCTGCAGTTGTAAGAAGTCAGCAAATATGAAACAGCGAAAGAATACCGGGTGGATAGAGGCAAATATATTCTTACCATGTGCTATCTTGCCCACTGCCCCGAAAGTGCCTTTGAACAAGCCACCCGCAAGGCCTGCGGCACCTCCGTCCCGAGCGCCTTTATATGGCTGATAGAACATATCAGTCATACCTTGTCCCATGCCAATAGCAAAGCTTTTAGCACCGGCAACGGCGCCAGATTTCCAATCTGTTACTTTTCCATATTGGGGAACTTTGTCTCCGTATAAACCAGGGAGCACACGAAAGCCTTCAGCTGCGGCCAAAGGCACATCAATCATAAATCCAGAAAAGACCTTTCCCACGAATTTCCCGGAAGCGAGGGTCGATGCTGAGGCCATGGCGGCACCTCTGCTTTTTTCCTTAGGCTCAACCTTCCTGCATGCTGTCAAATCATTCATCGATTGAGCTTTGCGAATTGATGTTGCACTGCCTCCAGGTGACAGCAGTTGGGCGGAACTCCTTTGTGACCCGGGTGGTGATGGAAGAGGCGAGGCTCGACCATCTTGGTATACCTTGTACGGCTTATAAAAGATATCACCTCCGGCTTTCAGCATATCAAATGTGACTCCCATGCCAGCAGAGGAGATTCCAGTCACCGGGTCCCATCGTGTGTTCTCAATGATAATCGGGTTTGGTTGGTATCTTAAAATTCAAAAGAGGTTAGTCGAAGGTTCGCTGAAAGATGATGTTGGAACCCATGGTGGATGGGGCTCGGACTCACGGTTTCAGCTTTTTGACATCTAGGACGTGCTTTTCAACAAGAATCTCTGCAGCAACTTTCGACAGGTGATATCTTTTCTTGCCTACTCGATATCTCCAACAGGCCGGGAATTTCGGTAATAGATCACATTCGACCAGACCTTGCGGTAAGTTCCGATGGAATGATGCTGCAGCTGTTTTCACTCCTTCGTCTTGCTGCATTTTCGCGGCAATACCCTTCGCGGCGTGTACTGCTTCTGATGTTAAACAAAACCGCACTGCTTGAGCCAATGCTGTGACCTTGAGTTGTTTGTATGGTATAGGGTCTGGTCCTGCACCGGCTGCAGAAACCATTTCTCCCCAGAAGGGTTGGCTATAACTGGGTCAGAAATGATTTCAAAAGTTCACAGGGCAATTCAAGTGAGAATAAAAATAAAACAAGGAACAGCCTCTCACTTACTCCCCAAAGAACGGCACAATGATAGTAGGCTTGCCATTGCGTAGTCCGCACGCCGTGGTACCGGCACCCCCATGATGAACAACCGCACTGACCCGTTCAAATAACCATTCATGTGGGCAATCGTCGATGAAGAGAACATCACTTTTATTTATTTGTCCCGAATCCGACCCTCCTAACTTGCTCCAACCACGTGAAATGATTGCCCGAACACCGGTTTCCTCAATCGCCTGCAGAATCGTTTTTGTTATCTTTTGCGGATCTTCGAGGACGATGCTTCCAAATCCAAAATAGACCGGAGGGGGCCCGGCATTGAGAAACTCTGCAATATCATGAGGAGGCTGGTATTGCGGCGGATCGCGGAAGAAGAAACCACAGACGTCTATTCAGAGAGTTAGTCAACGACTTCAAAGAAAGTGATCATAACTCACCAAAGTTATGGGGCCAGTCAGCCGGTTTTGGAACTAGGCCAGGCGACCAACAATATGTATAGGGGACATTTAGCCTGCTGAGAATGAAAGGGCCATCTGAAAGAGAGATAGGCTCTAGCTCTAGCTCATGTTTCCGCCAATCATTGATCACGCCCCCTAGGCTGTTTCGGATGGAATATAAGTCAGCTATCGGCTTATCGTACACGGTGTGAAGGAATGCCTGGAACTTACCCCTGCCATGAGAGCCAGTCCACGACACTATAAGAGACGCGATTGAGCCATTCTTTATCAGCTGTAACGTTTTTCAAATTGGCCAATGGGTGTGGGAATGCCGTTGTTGGACTCCACGGCATCGTAAACATCAAGTGAAGTGGGATTCCTAGGGCCTGGGCGCAATGCACGTGTGCGAAGCTCGGAGGATTGGCAATGATGGCATTGGCCACAAAAGGGGAATTCGTGATAGGATCGGGCATCAAGCATGATTGCCAGCAACCATGAAGAATCTCGGCCATCATTAAACGCTTCTTTTGAACATCTCCCTCGCGGAGACTGTCTAGGCTGGGGATCAACCCGGGGTTCTTGACCATGTATGACATCAGGTCTGCCGGATCGCCGCCGATAGGGTAAAATTCTAAGCCTGCCTCCAGGATAAACTGCTCAAAGACATTGTGTGTTGCAATACGGACGCGGTGGCCCATGCTCTGTAGCTCTGTGCCAAGTGCAACAAATGGTTGGACATCTCCTCTGCTGCCCACAATTTGAATCACAATATTCAGAGGGAACTTGAACGTTGGGACCCCTTCCGAATAGCTTGGTGGAGGTATACTCTCAGGGATAACATGCGGTAGTAACTTAGAAAGAGATCTGCAGAGCCGAGAACTAGCATCCACAACAACACGGCCATCATCTGTATGTACTAGGTCAGAATTGCCTCACCAAGCTAGCACCGTGTGGCGAGGTTGGGGAGCGTACCGTTAACAGAGATACCATGAGCGTCGCCAATATCTTGCGGAACTGCCTCGTATGGGGGCGGGGGCTGCTCGTGAGCCGCCGTGTCGACCCCTTGAGAATACATTTTGGAGTGTTCCATGGTTCAAACACAATGTGTCAAGAAAAGGAAAACCAAGACGATAGCAAAGTGGACAGGTGAACGAATACTGTCGGAGGGGACAATACGAGGCAGGGGCATACACAGAAGAAAGAAAACTTCCCATCCTACTTGCTTAGAGCCCTAATATCGAGATCCGCCGAACTAAGCCCCACGCCCCACCAGGCCGTTGTGTCTATCCATGGATATCACAGGGTCGTACATTATGAATACGAGTACGATGAAAAATTAGGTTGAATGTATTGAAAGATACAGGATAGATACAGAATGTATGGTACGTATGTCGGAGTCCACATCGGATGGAGTGTAAGACTTACCAATCATTATGACAGTTCAAAGTTTTATTTGTATAATATGTATGAATTAGAGACCTTTTCAATACTGACACTCAAGTCATTTGTTCTGCTATGTTTTTATAAAAACCAAGGTATATTACAAGTAATGAGACGATGTAATGTGGTATTACAAAGTTCCGCCGATCACCCAAAATTAGAACCACTACTGCAGCCAGGTGGGTCCGATTTATACGCGTATCCAAGATTAGCACATGGACGTGGACATAGCTGGACCAAGCTGAAAGAGAATGAATTTTCACACAAGATCTGACAAGCTTTGGCTTCGATATGTTAGTGAGAAAGATTGAAAATTATATACCAAACGACACCTTAATGATGCAACGAAGTAAAGAGTCGAAAAATATGAGATTGTTTGATTCGCTAGATTTACATACGCTTGAATCCCGCGTCGCAAAATAGACTATGGCTACTAGATTGCATCTTTGAGATTGTTGGATACTCCGGGAAGCTCAGCCGATAAAGCTGCGCTTCCATGTGCTCATGATCATTTATAGAGCTCTGGATAAGCTGCTTTGATTATGTCGGCACCCTAACACAATTAGAATCAAGTTCAACAAGTTCAGTTCATTGACATACCTTTTCTCCAATCATGTAGACAGCATTCTGGATCCGGCAGTCCGGAATGACTGGAATGATGGAGGCATCAACAATGCGAAGCCTCTTGGCCCCATGGACCCTCAGCTCAGAGTCCACCACACCTTGGTCAATGTCGTGAGACAGTCGGGCAGTGCCACAGGGATCTACAAAATCAATCTTCAAATTTCACACCATGATACCGCATTGAACTTACGATATCCAGTCTGCGCCCGATCCAGAATAAGGCGATCCATCTCTTCGTCTGACTCACGGGACATGGGCCACGGAAAATCCTCAGCAATGATCTCTTTCATTCCATCCCCGTTCATAAGGATATCATCAACAAACCGAACCCCCTCTCTCAACGCGAGGATGTCCAGTTCGTCGGTAAAGTAGTTGAGATTTATGTCGGGTTGTTCACGTGGATCGATCGAATTGAGTCTGACATGCCCGCCCTTTGACTGTGGATGAAGGAGGTCAACTACGACGGTTAGCCAGTCTCCCTCGGGTGGCATATCGAAATGCCACTGAAAAGCATCGCAAAACATGGGCTAGTTGAATTAGCAAACAAGTCTCTTCGCAGCTGTTGGTCATTCACATACAATAAAGTCGATCTCAAAATGAGGTTGACCTTCAGGTCCGAAAGGATCTTTGCCTCTATTATTTGTCTTGGCTTTGCGATACATCTCATGGTCTTCGAGTTGCCCGTCGATGCGTGGGAATGCTATCATCTCAAGGAGGCCACTAGAGAGTGGACCTGTTTTATCCTTCTTGTACTGTGTCACGGCAGCGTCGTGGTCAGTTCCTTCTCGGAGGAGAATATGGTCCAGACCCAGGCCATCCTTCAGTCTAAAAACGTGTGGAAGAATGGGATGGTCGAGGAGATGCTCGCCCACATGCTCGGACGTTATCACAGGATCAATTCCATGACGAGCCAGCTCACGTCTGGGACCGATGCCGGAAAGAAGCAATAGTTTGGGTGTTTCGAAAACTCCTCCTGCGATGATGATCTCGTTTTTTGCTTTTAGTGTGGTCTCGTTGTGATCTGTTCCGATAACAGTCACGCTCACTGCTGTATCACCTTCAAAGTTGATCTTTGTCGCGACGGTGGAATGCATTATCTCCACGTTGTCTTTCCCAGTCACATATACTGCACTGCTTGACCGGACCCCGTCATAGACCGTACTGACACAGTGGGTCAGACCCCCCAATCTGCCATTGTAGATGTCTTCTTTCAATTCATGACCCTTGCTAGTCCATGCCTGTATTAAAGCATCTCGGAAACGGGAAGTTTCTGGGAGCAGATTTGCATGGGAAATATGTAGTGGACCCTCGTGTGCGATTTTGGAAAAGTGCGGATCGTACACCCTTTCATCATCATGATATGAAGCTGGCTGAAGATGAGCTTGTTAGCAAATAAGACTCCATCAACTGTTCGGACATATGCTGTGCCTTCTGGAAATATTGTTTGCACTTTTCCCATGTCCATTCATCCCCACCGTACTCTTGCCACGCATCAAATGTTTCCCTACTACCACGAATCCAGGTGAAATAATTCAAGCTGCTACTCCCACCAAGGACCTTTCCACGGGTATTTGGCTTTTCAACGCGCTCGTAATCAGGTCTATCGACGAAGGTCGTCTGATAGGACCAGTCATACTTGCTGTTTCGGAGTTCAAATGCGCGAGCAGGCGTTGTAATCTCCGGGATATCGTCTGGATTACTATTACCGTGTCAGTTAAGCGAGTACTAGGTGGCCAGAATACCTACCCAATTCCAGCTTCAATCACGAGTATCTTCACGCCAGGATTCTCTGCTAATCTGCCTGCAACGACATTCCCTGCGGTTCCACCACCCACAACAATAAAGTCAAATGGATTCGGAGTTGGTGCAGCCATTGTACAATGACAAAGTGAGGAAAGTCGCAGAAATGATAACCTCGCTGCTCATCCACTATTTTTATAGTCAGCGCTGTCTCAAAGCTCATAACTCGAGTGTTGGGTGAAAAGTCGCTCAACATCATGCCGTGTTTCTTTCCACCGGAGCTCGGAGCACAGCTTTTTGGCCAATAATCGTAAGTTTTTCAATCTGTTCAGTGTGATGGTATCACACGATTGTTGTATGTGGAACTTGAGCGTTGGGAAATTACTGGAACTAGGGGGCACGGACATCGCATTCCGTATTGGAAACGGAACACAATCTAACTCTAGCCTTTACATAGGGGTTGGATTCGTGCAACTCGCCCAAATCTAGGCCGCTCGCCGAAAGGATCAAGGTGGTGAATTTATCAAGTCGGTCATATACCTAAAATGGAAAAAGAAATGGATCGACCCCTGACTGGCCGCCAGTCAGATATTCTGCGGGCCAAGGAGAAGTTCCATCGTCCAACATGTTCATTACAGCCATTTCTGCCGGATCCCACACCCCGGCAGTGCCGAATGATGTGAATTGTGGGAAGTTGTTGGAACTTATTGATTGGACCTCAGGGGCGGAATAGAAGGGTTGTATCATGGCAGATCGGTCCTCAATCCGGGCCGAGTGTTGTTGGTGCAATTGCTCTCGTCCAGGTATGGGCTGCAACGTTGTGATATTCAAGTTTCCATGAGATTGTCCAACACTTGTTCTGGATTGTGATATGCCAGGCGACGCGGTATTTGTAGTTGAGGGGGAATCTGAGGTCGACCCTCGTGTATCCTTGCCGTGTAAAGCTGTTCGCGCCATACGATAGATCGCAAGCGGGTTAAGCACAGTTTCCGGGGATTCTTCAACATGGGAACCTGTAAGGGAGGGGCTATAAGTCATGTTAGCAAGTCACTCCAAGAATATTCGAGTTGGAAATCTCACATTTCCTCGCTTTCTTCTGACTCTCGTTCATTTGTAGAATGATGTGCAAACTCAGGGTGAAGACCTGCTGAAATCATCATCTTAACAACAGAAAGATACTAGACGCAAATGGTTAGTAGTGTTTTCCGACAGCGTGTATGTACGGGAGAACGAGAGACATACGCAATGCTCGGCTGTTGCAACGAGAGATCTCATCTGCATGAGTGTTTCCATATTTTTGTTCACTAGAATCTTCGTTTCATTTGAGTCGGACGCGCTCAAAGAAGCGGATGAATCCCCAATGTGTTTTAAATAATATAGCATGACTTTGGTGCTGTCGTGTGCAATGATGCAAAGCCAAGTATCAGCCAGCGCTTTGATCCCATGTCTCAATGCTTCGACAATTATCTTAGAGACTCCCCGAGCGCTGTCGAAGCAGACCCTGCGACAATATTCCAAGAACTCTTTCTTGTCTGATGGAAAGTCGACATGTCGTCTTATACGGAAAAGGGTGGGCATGCCAATGCGATAGAGATCAACTAACGTTTGGTGATAAGTACACCAAAGCAGTGTCAATGCACCTAGCTGTGACGATTCCTTGCGGGCCCAAATTGAACTTGAGTGCCACTTGAGACTGTGCGGAAGATATTGCCGCCAGCTTTCACATTCGGTCGATAACTGTTGAAATTCAGAATCGGGTTCCCAGGGGGGCTTGGAGGTATCAAGCTGTTTGACGTATCTGGTAAATGGTTCAAGGTAAGCAAAAGATGTATGATCGAACTAGCGCCAACATATTCCTACCTAAGAACCCGTTTCCGAATGCTCACAAGGCGAATGAAATAAGCCTCTATGCCCATATTCTGAGCCGGCTGGAACTGATTTTGTTCTCTCGGAATAAAGCCAAGAACCTTTCCCTCATCTAGGACTTCGGTGATGCATGGAGTTCCCAGGGAGAAATTATGGCTGTGACAAGGAAGCTGAATCTTGAGGTCTTTGTCTTCAAGCAGAGTGAGCTGGTTGACACCACTACCCACCCAACTGTCCATAACATAACAGCTCCACATCAGACGCCGTTTAGATTCATTGTCAATTGGACATATCGAGTTCGGCTGAGTACAGAGGACGTCGGCAGAGCTTTCAAGATTAAGCTGTAATGCTTGTGAAATTCTTGCAGTGATGCTACTGAGGATGAACGCACTTGCATAGCTTCCAATTCGAAGATCATGATCATACAAAAGAATTGCAGTCTTGGTGGGCGAAGATTAGCTAACAGAGCCAGTTATTGCATATAGGATCATCACACGGGCTTACCATCAACTTCTCGAGGGAAAGATCATCCAAGTCCGCGAATATTCGCGCTTTGGCAATTTTTGCCCACTGATTACCAGCTGTGAGTACTGATTGCGGGGGAAATTGGGAGGGCTGGTCGAGGGCCAGGAACCTGTTGTTTGTAAGACGCACATTCAATACACGGATGGGGGAGACAGCTTTTGAGACTAACTTTGCTCCCAACGCACAGATAATATGAAGAAGGGATTCATTATTGCAACAAGACTCTAGGTCTTCGTCCAACCGCTGCATGAACGAAGGCTTATGCACAAAGCCAAAGCAACGTAAAGGGTGAACATGAGCAAAATATTCTTCAACTAGAATAAGGATTCGCTCTTTGTCAGGTAGTTGTGGGGAATGAAGCCTGGCCCAGTCAGTGTCACGTCCAATGAGCAGAATGAGAGAATATACCATGAGATAGAGCTTGGAGTGATTTCAGCAGGCGGTTGAAAAGGGAATTGAATTGATTGAGGCATATTAGGTGTAATAACAGAGCTTGAAGATGGGGTAGGAACACCCGAGTGTGATTCAGAAGTCGATTTGCTTTGGGTCTGTTGCATGCGACCTGCGCTATACGTGCACTCGATGTCTCTTCGATAGCACCGGGTACATTTTTCTCCTCCCGAACACCGAGCTTTTGCATGACGACAGGCATGACATGATTTAGACACTCGATGTCGTGTTGTGCCCGCTTGAGTTAATGCTGCGTCGTGCTTACCGCTCTTCTGCACTCTCGCAGAAAACCCAGCCTGACTTGGACTACCAGGACAGTTCAATTCGAGGCGCTCGCAATTTGAGCATATTGGCCAACGCTCATCACATTTTACCTTGCGTGCGCGACACAGAAAACAGCCTGGAAATGTCAGCCCTTGCATATACTGAATTGCTTGGCATGGAATGACATGTGGGGCCAACCTGATCGAGATCTCCTCGTGCTTGAAGCTTCTCCATCTCCACTCCACGATAACATGACTGCCGACTCCCGATGTAGGTGCCGAACGACTATAGAAGAAAGGGGAGAAGAGAGAAGCGAGCGGATCTCGCGTGGATATCCCCGATAGCGGGGGACCGCGGCAAAACCCGATTAAGCTTAGGCTTGACAGCTTCTTACTCGATTCGTGATCCTCGTGATTCTCGCGATTCTCGTCAACTATTCCGCGATTTGGTGTTTGAAGAGATTTTCGATAGTCCATGTTTAGCGTACTTGGAAAACATCCTTGAGTGCTTTGGAACTTTATTTGCACTTTATACCACAATCAGAAGAGATCGTGGATATTGCCGAGGATATCAAACCAATTGACCAGCTTCCTTAATAATGAGAATCCAAAACGATTCGTATACTTCTTAGCTCCGAACGCCACGATTTCACCATTCAATATCCATTTGACGTTTGACCAGAATTCTTCGGCTGTCGCCAAAACATGGCGGATATCGGCACAAGAGCCAATCACAATGGATGACGAACGAAGCTATCGAGCCCAATGTCAACGAAGTGGAGCTACATAAAATCCGGGGTCCCAGGCATGGAGTATTTCCTGCTGTGTTCTATGACCTTTTCTTCTCTGTCAAACTGTCTATCAAGCGTGTCAAGATGGGCAAAATACCTCAGTTGAACAATGTCTACCTCATCAGTGGGCTGGCCACCATCGGCGGTCTAATCCAGGGTTTCGATGTCTCCAGCATGTCTGCTATCATTGGCACCGACAACTACAAGAACTACTTCAACAAACCAAACTCGGTTGCTCAGGGTGGTATCACAGCCAGTATGGCTGGTGGTTCGCTGCTTGGTTCGCTCTTTTCCTCGTGGACAAGTGACCGATATGGTCGTCGTGACTCGATGTTTATTGCGTGTATCTTGTGGTTGATTGGCTCGACTTTGATGAGCGCAGTGCAAAATGTCGCCATGCTGATTGTCTCGCGAATTATAAATGGCTTCGCAGTTGGAATACTTACCAGTCAAGGGTAAGATATGCCCTACGAAAACCCTGCCACTGCCGCTAACACAATCTCCAGTCCGATTTTGATTGCCGAAATCAGTCTTCCACAGCAGCGTGGTAGGCTCCTCAGCTTGCAACAGTGGATGATTACTTGGGGCGTATGTTATCAGTTCTCCTATCTCTCCGATTGTGCCTAGCTAACGTTGGTCTCAGATCCTCATTATGTATTTTATATCATACGGCGCATCCTTCATGAGCAGCCATGCGTCATTCCGTCTTCCTTGGGGTCTCCAAATGATTCCAGCTATCATCCTCATGGTTTGTTTGCCCATGATGCCGAGATCCCCTCGCTGGCTAGCCACTCAAGACCGGTGGGAGGAAGCTGTGGATGTTCTTGCACGACTACACGGTAAGGGCAATACCCTTGATCCGCTCGTCGTTGCGCAAGCTACCGAAATTCGCGAAAAACTTGAGTAAGATTCCTAGACCTCTTGCTCCATCTGTTGACTGTTACTAACCGAATCTCAAGGCTCGAGCGGCAATACAAGAGCACCGCCTGGTCCGAACTGTTTAATTCTCGAAATATCGTTCGCGTGCACTGCGGCATTTTCACACATGTTTGGTCTCAGCTGAGCGGAACAAACGCCATGATGTACTACATCGTGTATATTTTCCAGGTAAGACTTATAGGCGAAACCATTCGGGTGGTATATAGAACTGACTTGGTACGTACAGATGGCTGGTCTGTCGGGAAACAATGCCCTTCTGTCCGCGACAATCCAATACATCATCAATGTGGTCATGACACTCCCTGCACTACTCTTCATGGATCGTCTCCCACGCCGCCGCCTATTCATTGCAGGTGCTCTTGGCATGTCTCTTCTTCAGTTCATTCAAGGAGCCCTCATGAAATCATTTGGCGAGGCCGTTCCCGGAGGCCTTAAGGGCTCTCCCACGGTTACGTGGAGGGTGACTGATGGAAGAGCGTCAAAGGCAACCATCGCCTGTTCGTACCTGTTTATTGCTGTCTATGCGCCTAGTTGGGGGTGAGTACCTTGTCCCTTTTGAATTGAGAGATTGGTAGCTAACATTTTATCTCTCACAAGACCTCTAGGATGGTATGTTTGACTACATGGAAGTAGTTTCTTTTCTGATATCAAAAGCTAACCTTTTTCACAGGGCCTATCCCCCCGAGATTATCCCTCTCTATATCCGCAGCAAATCAGTCTCTCTGGCGACATTCTTCAACTGGGCCTGCAATTTCGCCCTGACATTCTTCTCTCCTCCTGGATTCCAACATATCCAATACAAGGTGCGTTTACAATTCACTCAACATATATATTATATGACTAACTCTAGTCCTAGATGTACTTCCTCTTCGGAACCTTTTGTTTCGTTGCTGCGATCCACGTCTTCCTTCTCTTCCCAGAGACATGCGGCAAATCACTGGAGGAGATCGATGCTAGCTTCAACAACGAAAGTATCTGGGCCTTCAAAGCTAAGCCAGTATCAAGCCGGTTCGCTGCCGAAATCGAGCAGGCAAAGAAAGATTTGGAGGCGGGCAAGGTGCCCGAGACTATTTTTGAGCCGAAGCAGTAGACACTAGTCCGCAGAGGTAGATATTTGTTTGGCAAAGTAGCTAATAGTTTAGTATATGCATTTCTCTAATTAATAATAATAATTGTCTTGCATCTGAAACTATCATCAACTGTAGCACCAAGCAGCCTGAAAGTGTGGCAGTACACGTACCCGTCTTCACCTTTCCACCTTGTCACTCTTTACCCCTTTATCCAAGTCCTTGAGCAATCTATATTGCACAGTCACGAAATAAACTCACATTATGGCGCAACCACATAGTGGACCTATATGGGGGCCAGGGAACCTGTACGCGAGATCCGGGCGATATCCGTGCCATAGCTCATCCCCACACTCTAGCAAGAACCAAGCCGACATCCGGTTTATCATAAGCCAAGCTAAATAATAATGTCGCGGGGATCCCAGTCGCAAGTTCTAAAAAAAAAATAACCCTGCACATCTCAATTGCAAAAGGAACTTAGTCGAGCTCTCATCGCAACTATGGCTAAACGCAACATCCTCCTCATGATCGCCGACGATCTAGGCAAACAATTGGGCTGCTATGGAAACACCAAGATTCAAACCCCAAACCTGGACCAGCTAGCATCCGAGGGAACGAAGTTTGATCAGGCGTTCACGTCAACTGCTTCCTGCAGCGCTAGTCGCTCCGTCGTCTATACCGGCTTGCATACTCACCAGAATGGACAGTATGGGCTACACAATAACCGACACCACTTTACAACTTTCGACCATGTCGAGACTGCACCTGCTCTCTTCTCAAAACACGGTTACTCGACTGGCTTAATTGGCAAGCTCCACGTTGGCCCTTCCAGCGTTTACCCTTGGGAGATGTGCGCAGAGAGTGACAGTCGCGATGTGGCATCTGTTGCCGATCAAGCTTCGGCATTCTTTGAAAAGTCAAGTGCGGACGAGAAGCCTTTCTTCTTGACAATCGCTTTTATCGATCCCCATCGGGACTGGACTCGTTCCGGGTTCGGGAATGACGGCGAGTACGACTCCCGCGTGAAGAAGATTGATTACTCTCCCGAGGACGTCGAAGTCCCGCCGTTCGTCAACGACCTACCCGGTGTGCGCTATGAATTCGCGGAATATTATAAGTCTATCTCCCGGCTCGATCAGGGCGTGGGTATGGTGCTGGAGGGATTGAAGAAATCCGGTCTGGCAGATGATACGCTGGTTATCTTCCTGAGTGACAATGGGCCACCGTTCATTAATTCCAAGACAACACTGTACGACGCCGGTGTCAGTCTTCCTTTGATTATGAAATGTCCTGGGTCACCTGCCGGCATCACAAACCCCAACATGGTTTCGTACATCGATATTCTGCCCACTCTGCTCGATTACGCGAAACATCCTAGCCCCGAGCATCCAGACCGCATCGGTCGTTCGATACTCCCCGTCCTCGCTGAAACATCTTCGCTAGAGGACTGGGGCCAGGTCTTTGGATCTCACACATTCCACGAAGTCACCAACTACTGGCCCACGCGCATGATGCGCAACCGGAAATACAAGTACCACCGCAACATTGCTTGGAGACTCGATTTCCCATTCGCGGCTGATATTTATGGGTCATTGACATGGGAGGAGATCCGAAATGTCGATACCAGTCCTAAGATGATCGGGTCTAGACCCTTGAAGGATTACTTCTTCCGTCCAGCCGAGGAGCTGTATGATATCCAGGCTGATCCGAATGAGATTCGTAACCTTGCTAAGGATCCCGAATATCAGTCTATTCTTGGAGAGATGAGGGCTGCGTTAGAGAAGTGGCAGCGCAGGACGGAAGATGCTTGGTTGTTCCGGGATGGTGTTTCTTTGCTCTTCGTCAGACATCATCTCGAGGCTGGGTTCGAGGTGCCGGATCGTTTCGACTTTGACGTTGATGCGCCTGAAAGTAAGGGGAAGCCTATTTTTAATGGAGATTTGCCTTGGGGTGTTGCGGCAAAGTGATTTGTACAGTTAAATTGAGATTTTAATTACGGAGATTCAGGTAGTTTGTCGCACTCAATATTCAAACTTATTTATTTCACCAGTGGACCCTGTAAGTGAAATGTATAGGTTGATGACAAAGTTGTATGCCGTATGTTCGAGTTTCAATATATGAAGAGAAGAGACCGAGAAGAACAAATCCCCACAACGCCATAAACCACATATGTAAACAAAAGCCAATGAAACCGGAAATTGTTCGTTCGTTAAATTATCATGAGATAGTAGGCGCAAATATATAGCCGGCGATACCCCGAAATGACATTGGCATCCACCGACTCCGAGATATGCCTCATGCGCACTGCAAATTGCAAATATGTGGGTGTTCACACCTCACCCCAATTGCCGAGCCCAGCTCCAACACCAATAGGACTGTTGCTCTCGCTACCGCCAATATCCCAGTAGTTCCGGCTAGAACTTGTCATCGTCCGCCGGCTAGAAATAGCCGAGAGCTTGGCGCTCTGGCTGGCGCAACTAGAGCTAGGGCGTCGGAGATGCGGTCGTAGGAGTGGCGAGGAGACGCCCGCTGGGTTTGACACACCGGAGAATTGTGATACGCGGCGAGGCTGAGTTTGTGATCGGGAGTAGGCACGCGCTACGAGTGGGTGATGTTGTCGGATGATGGCTGCTCGGCGGGATGCATCTTGTGGGCGGCGGGGTGGAGTTGGTGTGTGTGCTTCGTTGGGCATGTACCCTCGGCGGCTGAAGCGGTTGCGGAGGTAGCGGAATACCATCATTACATCAAGGCCGCTTTCCCAGTACTCGGATTCGTGTTGGAGTTTTGTTGATTCAGGGAGTTGGTCGGATCGCTTTGGATCCTCATCTTCGATGCCCCATTGTGCTTCGTGCTCGCGGGTTGAGTCTCGAAGTGTGGGCAAGAAGTGGGGGGATAGCATGGACTCGCCAGCTGTATCGGCGGTGGTTGATGAGGTGGATTCGGCGGGTTTCTGAGAGATCCCGCTTTCCGCTAGGCGGTTGAGAGACATCCCCGCATATTCGGCGGATATATCTTTAGTCATTTGATAATATGTTGTAAATGCCCCGGGATGTTCACAAAATTGATGGACAAGTATACCCAGCTCATGGGCGATCGTCTTAAGCACCTTTGTCTGCCACAGTGGTGAATCGTTATACTCTGGCTCTGGTTCACGAGCCAGTACCGTTTCCATGTCTAGTGGATCTTCTTCGGGGTGAGATTGCGCGTCCAGCGGCAACGCCTCACCGAAGATGACGGAGAGCAAGGAGTCATCAATCCCGATCAGGTCACGGATCACGGTTCGTGTAATACGGCGCCAGAAAGACTCTTCGTCCTCCGAGACATCTTTCGACAGAGATATATCCCGTGATAGCACCTCAGATACACGCGTCTGGGGGCTGTGATCAACAGAACGACGAAGGCTCGGTCGGCTAGTCAGACTAGTGCGCCTCTGTCTAGTTTCCCGTTCGATTTCCTGCAACAGAGCCCGGCTCTGGTCCATGCGCCACTCCTCGATTCGCTGCCACCGTTCTCGCTCGACATTTGCCTCGCCCTCCTCGACGGTATCCAGATGCCTCTGCACACTTGAGTTACGACGATGTTGGAGGTGACCGTAGGATAGCCGCTGGGGGTTGTATTGTTCGTGCCGCCAGAGCTGATCTTGGACTTCCTGACTCGAGGCCTGGAAGCTGCCTAATCCATCATGGGCCGGAAGCATCGCCGGCGGCCCCTGATCAACGCGTATTGGGGAAGCCGGGGCCAAATCGGGTGCTCGAAAGGCGTGCAGTCCATCGTCTAGGCTGTCGAGTTCGGTTCCATCTTCGTCCAGTTGGTCGTCGAGGGCATTCTCGTCATCGGGTTCACCCTCGACGCCAGATGCAGACTGGGTTGCAGCAAATGAGCCAAAGTCACTCAGTCGAGAAGCTCCCACAGTACGCGTGCGATCGGTTGAAGTCGTGTGTGTACGAGCGGTCGGGGAAAATAGGACCCATTGTGCGGTGTCGTCATCGCGCTGTTCGGCCGAGGAGGGGATGTTGAGAGTAGGTGGTTGGGGGGTTGAGTAGGATGTTCTGCGGCGAGGAACGTGTTTTGGGACCTGGAAGGCCATGCTGATCTGGTAGCTCTAAAGCAGATAGGGAGACAGATAGTGACACAGATAAGCGGATTGGAGGGTGGGTCCAGAAATCACAGGGAATGTAGTCAAGTGGGGGATAGAGGCATTAGAGCATATAAAAAGATTGTTTGGAAGTGATAGGAATAATATAGGAAGAATCCAAGTTTAAGGAACAAGAGTTGCCCAGCCTCGAGGTGGTGATGTGAGGTGGAGAGATTAGCTGATAAGCGGGTATATGCCAGCCATGCCCAAAATGGGATTCAACGATCCCACTCTGGAATGATCCTCCAATGATGCAACCGGTATCGGAATGGTGAGACCACTCTTTCAGTGCTTTAATCCGTATCCGTTCGATTCGCCTGTTTTATGAGGCAAATACTGAAGCCATAATCTTAAATCCTCATCAGCTGACAGACGGTCACCAGGATCGACACTGTGACGTGTGAACTTGCCATCAGTCACAATTATAAAGATGGTTCTATCGAAGGGGAAAACACTACACCGTACTTTGATATCGCCAAGCAGACCACCGTGTTGGACCTCCGTATTGGACCTCCGTGTTGCCTTGTTTGCACTAATATATGTATATATATATATATACCCCTCAGTTGGCCCCGTACTAGATCGAGACAGATAGCAAACTGCCAACACAAGGGACACATTTAACTCAAGTTCTAGCCCCAAGATGAATCATTCAAAAAAGGGAAATTGTAAGCGATCCCCAAGGACAAGTTAATCGAACGTCAAACACAACACATAAAGCAGTTGATTCGAAAGGATGCCGGGGGGTTGGCCGTGGTATATGCGGTGTAGGGGGCTGGGAGCTGCCATGATTGTTTAATTTCTATACGGAGTCTCATCCGAGGGTTTGGCTTAAAGTCCTGTTGAATCGTTGCAATTTCTGAAGCGAAATGGTAGTTTGATTGTCTTGTTCGCCATGTGTGACGCTTGACCAGGGAAATTTCCCGATTGGGACAACTACCTGAAATTCAAGGTCTCATGAGATGCCACGGGAGTTCTGCCGAGACAGATACAACCGCGAAAAATGCCAATATTAATCTACTATAACATAGTAACTGGAACTGACAATTAATTCTTCCAGTTTCTTTTCCGAGCAGCAACCTAGCATATGGCCAAATAAGAAGATATGCATACATCGTACATATCTCGGAATAACGTATCCCCGCGTCGGCAACACCCTTGTATGTGTTGTCGTTCATCAAGGCTTCCAAGGACCGGAACTTATTCTCTCCCTAACATCATGGCTGCAGTCCAAAAGCTAAGCGAGTCAACATATACATTTCTTGGTCTTATAGACCACACGTTAGATGATATTGAAAGTCTCTGTCATCTAGACAACAGTCATGAAAGACGCCTCCCGTGCTACGGAATTGGAGCGTTGGAAACTTTGCCTCTGGAAATTCTTCACATGATACTTTTATGGCTTGATATTGGGTCAATTACTGGTTTCCGACGCGTCAACAGAAGAGCAAGGCTGGTCGTAGACCAAATTCCACAATACAAACAGATCATTGTGCACGCTCCAGCTTCAATCCGAGGATGTCTTAGCATAAAATGCGGATTTTCGTTCTCTTGCCAAGATCTTTATAACAAGCTGCGTACAGCTGATTGTGATAGTTGTGGTGATTTTGGTGGTTACCTATACCTAGTCACCTGTCGTCGCGTTTGTTTCCTTTGCTTTACCGAGACGACCGACTACCTACCACTCCTACGAAGTGACGTGATTCGAAAATTTGGACTTCGCTCAGAACATATGGCAAAACTACCTTCTTTTAAAACCATTCCTGGTCGGTATTCATCCGGAGGAATCAAATGTCGCCGCCAACTTACTTTGATTGATCATTCTGCTGCGCGTGAGGCAGGTATCATCGTGCACGGAAGTAGCACCGCAATGAAAGAATACGCATCAGGAAGTCTTACCAATAGAATTCAGGCTCATCAGTCTCGAAATGCGCAATCTACTCGCAGAGGGAAACCGCGACCGCTCCGGTCAGATGACTCCTTTGATGGGTTTTCATCTAATCCGATGCGCTTTATGGGAATCATTCGAGCACCAGTTCTTGATACTACCACGGGAGCTCCGGAATGGGGATTTCATTGTATTGCTTGCAAACCTTATCATTACAGCCGTCCGCTACACTGGCGTCGAAAATTTACGAAGGAGAGCTACCGAAATCATATTGAAGAGTGCGGAGAGATCATTGACGGCCAGCACAAGCCTCAGCGAATTGACGAATCAATTTGATTTGACAGTTAACTTGAAGATATCCTACCATATACCACGTAGCTGGCGATTAATCTTCGTTTCCTGTGGGTTTAGCGTGAACTGGTTGAACCACATACGTATGTGCATCGATTTACAGGTATGATAGGTTCGTTGTTAGCCAGGCAAGGTTCAGCTATGGGGTCCCCTTTTGGGGCAGGTTAGAGGGATCATCCAATGTTCCCCTTCTTCGCTTCTTTTAATCCCCTGATATAGCCATCCATAGATCTCAGAAGACCTTAGAGATTTATCACGTCGGGGTGGGAGAGGTCTTCGTTGAATCATTTGACGGGTATCATCACCCACGGGGTATATATTAATCTACTCAAATATAGCATCTTGAGCCGACAATCAATCCTTCCCAGCCAAAGCCTCTCCCACCCAATCCATCTGCACAGCACTGACGCCTCGAGCGTAACTGCGATTGGTGAACACAAATTCGTTGTACATAATTGCCTCAAGCTTCTTGCCGTAAAGCACACTCGAAGGGTGGATGGCAACAGTTTGATTACCAACTATCGTACGATAACTGCCGTCCGGCACGAGACGAGCCGTATTGGTCGCGAATCCGGCTAGGAAACTCTGGAGAATGAGGATGGGCGAGGGATCGTGTAATGAGGTATTGTTCAAGGCTTCGCTAGTGAGCAGCTTGGCTGCTCGGCATTGGGTGCGGAGCTGTTTGCGGACGTCCTGTGTTTTCGTTAGTTCATATGACTAGTATCCGGAAATTATGTAGTACTCACCATCACTGATTGCATCGCCCGGTGGGAGACCAGATGTCGCTCTGCCCATGCCTTGCGGTCGGAGTGCTCGGAAGCATACACACGTACAGTCATCAGCATAGTCAGGTGGTCACCCTCGCGACGGTATAGATCCCGACGAGCTGCCTCTGCTGCTTCCTTCTTCTCATCTGAGGTGGTGTTGAGGAAAATGTTCTCCACACTGAGACATGAAATAATATCAATGACATCTAGCAAGCATTCATGCCCATTCTCTGCAGCTGCCAACAGGACACGTCCTAGAGTAGGAGTCAAGGGTAGCTTGGCAATGTGTAGGCCGACGGCGCTGATTTTTCCATCATCCTCGAGAGCATTAATGTTCAATAGCTGTAGAAGAGCTTTCTCAAGTGCTTCACGTGGTGGCCGGGTCAGGAACGGGAATCCAACAATGTCATCAACGCCACGCGCCTTCATGTTAAGCAGGGCTTGGCTCAAATCACAGCGCAGAATCTCGGGAGTGTTTGTCTCATCCAGAGCCAGATAGTCTTTCTCTGTGTATAGCCGGAAACATTGACCAGGAGCCTCACGACCAGCTCGACCCTTTCTCTGGATCGCAGCTGACTTGGAGATAGGCTTCACCAGGAGCGAGTCAAGACCAAGGCGAGTGCGGAACTGCTTGACCTTTGCCTTGCCGCAGTCAATCACGTGCCGTACACCAGACACAGTGACGGAAGTCTCAGCAATATTAGTGGAAAGCACAACCTTGCGTGTTCGTGGTGGAGCAGGGGCGAAGACCCGTTGCTGAGCAGCCTGTGGCAGAGCGGCGAACAGGGGTAGAACGAGAATTTTAGGAAGCGATGGGTCCATGCTCATGGCATACTCATTCACCAGGTGTTCCAAGGCCTCGACGGTTTCCTGACCAGTCAGGAACACAAGGATATCACCCGGCATTGGTTCCTTTTGGTGAATTTGGAAGATAATTTTGAGCGCAGCATCCACAAAGTCATGTACTGGCGCGGGCGAGTAGATAGTTTTGACCGCGAATTGCCGACCCTTAATGCGGCATACAGAGATATCCTTTGGAGTTGTAATATCCATTTTATCGGTGTCAGGCTCAGCTCCTTCGATAGCCTTCTGCTCTGGCTCCGGGTGTTTGAATCCAGCTTGGAAGAAGTCCGTTAGACTCTCCATATCAGCTGTAGCACTCATGACAACTACCTTGAGTGGCACACCACCCCGGCCCTCCTTCTTGCCAGATACAAGATTCCGCAGGAATCCAAGGGTCAGATCCACATTGATACCCCGTTCGTGGACCTCATCAACAACAATAGCGCTGTACTTGGTCAGATTCGGATCGTGCAACATCTCTTGCAGCAGCATTCCCTCGGTCAAGAACTTGACTCGCGTACTAGGTGATGTAGACGTATCAAAACGCACAGAGTAGCCGACCTTGCTAGCAGGCGAGTGCGATCCAAGCGGCGTACCCATCTCCTCAGCTACACGGCGGGCCAGTGAAATGGCAGCCACTCGTCTTGGCTGAGTGATAGCGATGCATCCTCCGACCATTTTCTTCTCCGTTTTCCCATCCCGAGTGATTTGCGTAGGCACGGGCCGACACCAAAATTCGTCTACCAAGAACTGCGGGATCTGCGTACTCTTTCCGCTACCCGTCTCACCGACCAACAGCATGACATCTTGTTCCCGTAGCAGTTCGCGGATCAAATCGGCATTTTCGAACACGGGGAGCTTTCGTCGCGTCTCGAGGAGGGCTTTGGCCTTTTCTCGTAAGGGTGTGAAGTTGGTTTTGGTATCAGCGAAGGGTCTCGACTTCGATTTCGTGAACGATTTTGAAGCAGGTGCGCCATTCGCTTGAGATACTGTCTCTGGCTGCTTTTTTGGCACAGTGACTGCTGTTTCTACCTGCTTGGCAGGCGCGGGGATTTCCCTTGGTTCATCTTGATCGGCGGGTTTGGAGGCTTCGTGCTCATCGAGCTTGCGCTTCTTGTTTCTCTTCTTCTTGCGCTCGGGTTCTTCTGTGGATTGAAGCGAGAGCTTAGGCTTCACAATCTTCTCATCGTCCGAGTCCGCGAACACGGTACGAACCTTTTCTGGCATTTTGAGGTGTGGCGCGAAAGAATGTTGACCAGGGACGAAGCTCAAATCTGAAAAATTTGCCTTATCGATAAGCTGATAAGAATATCCTTATCAACACCAACAACAGAGGCAATTGGAATGAGAACGCCCACAGGTAGTCAGTCCCTAAAATTATATGTTATTGGTTTTTTTTTTCATGAGGTCGTGCGCAAATGTGGGAGGTAATTTTACATATCTATTGTAGACAAAGAATAAGTGACATTGTGTTTTCATGCCATTGTTTGAAAAGTAGTATCTCCGATTCAGTTTCCATCCGCTTTGCAGACCATCTTATGTTTCTTCCATCCGACCTTCTGACAGTCTTTCGAGCAGTATTTTGCTTTATGACAGCGCGAGCATGTCATCAAATCCGAACCATCAGCTCGCTTGTCCTTATCACAAACCTGGCAGCCGTTCAAATCTTCACCACTTGCCTCGCTAGCCAATGGAGACACCGAGAAATCAATGAGCTTGTCCACAAGCGCTGACGCAAAAGCTGGTGAAATGGCCACCCGCACAGAGTGCTTGGCAAGCTCTTTCCACCCCGGAAACTTAGGCATGAAATCAATTGGTACTGTGCCATCTCCGCACGAGCACAGAACTCTTTTCCCGAATTTGATCGAGAGTGGAATCTTCGGAGTGGTAATGTACTCGCAACTGGGCTTGTGGGCCCACGATCGGCATCGCTCGGTCCAGGCAGGGAGAGCTTCCTTCCATAGATAAAGCGCCTCTTTGGAGGTGAGGATGGATTTGGGATCATGGCTGCTGTTCATCATCGCGTCTAGAGCAGGGGTGATTTTTACCATGAGATCACTGTAAAGAGGGAGAACAGCAGCGTCAAGAACAACTGTACGATTCGAGACGTCGAGTAATATCCTGGATACGAAAATCAAAATGTGGACGCCCTTTTCTTCGGGGCAGTCGATAGCGTAGACGGAGGCCCGAGGAGACATTGTTCCACTAAAGCCTAGGAAAATGTGAAATAGACCGTCTTTGAAGTCCACTCTGGCCCGAACACTCGGTGAAGCCGGCAAGGAAGGGTTGAACTTTAGGGCACCCTCTTGTGCCGACCACATCGTTGGGATATGTGTTTTTAGCCATTTCAGACGATTAGAGGAAGAATCGCCAAAGTCTATAGCGGGGAGTGATGAGAAATTGAGGTACGGCACATTCCATAGAGCGGGTGATCCGGAATCCAAGAACACCGGATACATGAAGGACTTCAGGGTTGACCAGTGGGTGGACTTAGCAATGTCTGCGATAAGCTCAAGGTATGATGACTTGCGAGCAATTCTCACTTTCACGGTAGAGTCCAAAACAGCAGCAGGAAAGTTTGCATTGAAGGTTGGCCCCTTTTCAAGAGACAGAGCATGGTTGAACGGTGATCGTGAAGATCTTTTGACCGCGCTGCCATCCCTAAGAAGAGCTTTTGATTGTTCAGATAGTATTTGAATTCGGCCCGTGAATGATGACATTTGCCCTGTTTGCTCATTGACGGTAGCGGTTATGACTGTTTCTGAGCTTCCAGCTTGATCAACTTGGTTCTTGACGTCCTCTGGATTGAAGCCATTGATGGGCATAAAATCTGTCTGATATGGCTGGTTCTTGGTAATGTAGACATAATCAACCTCTTCTTGTTTCGCAGTAGGGTATGTCCAAAGCTGTTGACAAATATACTCAGCGTTGTAGTGGAGAGCGGGATGGCCAACGAGACAGTGGCCGTACGTGGTTCCTGAAGTAGAATCCAGCTTGGCACATAGAAAGAAAGAAGCATTGGTGAGTTTCCCTTCCATCCTAATGGGTCTTCATCAATTTCCACTTCAAAGGAGTCGCTGTATCTGGATCCTTTTGTTTTAAGGATACCAAATCCAATCTGTGTTGCTGCGAACATGTGCTGCCACTGGTTGGCTGCTCTAGGAGAAGATTGTAGAATGGCGTGGAGAGGAGGTGTAAAGCCGCCAACCTTCATGGTTCCGGCGATGAAGGGCTCTAGTTTGCTTCGAGGAACACGAAGGGCTATACTGACCGTACATGGCATTTTCTGCCAGCCCTGCAGGGTCTCAAATTGGGGGTTGACAATTGGGATCTTTGGTGAACCTTGCAAAACATCAATAGAATAAACACCTTTCATATGCATCCAGAGATTGAGCTCTTGCATGTAGATATTGGAAAATGCGAGACTGGTACCTTGGTCTATGAGATCAAGCAATTTCTCCATTGTCTTATTCCAGTCCGTGTCCGTCCGTGTTTTGACGAGGCAAAGAAAGGCGACAAAACTCGCCCGGTTGTAACATATGAAAAAGCCACCGCATCCCCTACAAAGAACCGTAGTGTGATCAAACCAGCCAGTGAATGCACCCTGAATGACTTCCTCCAGTTGTTGAACTCCGTCCTTGCAGTGTTGATAATTTCATACAGCCCAGGCTTCTCGGAAGAATAACCCCGTTGAGGTGGCTTCAGGTCGATTGGTACATAGCAAGCGCTGATGTGGAACCCAAGCACTGGGTCAGTGCCATAATGCAGAACCATGTTGCCATCCTTGTGCGCAAACATGGGGTTAGAATGGACAGCAAGGGACCGAGATGTTTCATCAATGTCGGTGGTACCGAAAGCCCAATAGGTCTTGAACAGTTCAGCGATATCAAGGGTAGCTTCCATGCCCACCGGCGCTGTAGCTCGGATCCCCGTTACAACATCCAGCTTGTCACCAACAATCGCCTCTTGAAGCTGCCGAGAAAGTTTCATTCCATCATCGACCTCCTTTTGAAAGCGACGGAGCACATCTCCTTCTCGCTTTTCTCCATGGAAGCGCCACATGTCGCGTACCCGTTCGAGAGAGACACGATCGCAGATTCTGATCATTCGGCCATACTGACTTTGTTGCCATGTCTGTAGCGAGGTTGACAGGGATAACAGCTTGGCTGTCTGGGCCTGCAATAAACCGAGGGAGTCTTCATCAACGCGAAAATGATAGAATAGATTCCAAATCAACTGTTCGTTGGCGCCATCAACATCATCCACAACCAGTGACAGCAACACAATGTTCCGAGCTGTGGGTAATGGCTCGTGTTAGCATCTCGAATTTGAGATGGGGATAATCTAGCATACCAATGACAGCAGTGTCTACATCGCAGCATGTGACGTCCAAAGGACGAGGCACACCAGCCTCTTGTTCCGTGTGTATGGTGAAGAGGATGTGTCGAACATCCCCACAGCCAAGAAGTAGTAGATCGGCCTTTTTTCCTCGGTGGCAGATCTTGAGTCAAGCAGACAGCAGGTGTGTTGCCGATGGGATAGAAGAACTGGATCAAGTTGGCGATCTCCGGGGCCAGCATTTTGATATCAAGCGTCAAGCATCAAATCAAAACTTCAGATAACGATATTGAGAGTGTGATAAATGGAAGAAGGGAAGAAGGGAAGAAGAGAAGCAGAGCAGAAGAGCAGAAGAGCAGAAGAGAAGAAGTGTAAAGAATGAGTGGGGGACAGGACAAGCAAACAACCTTGAAAAACTTGACCCTTTTTCGGAATACATTCTACTGAATTGTAGTAAAGACCAATCAGTTCATGCCTTAGGCTATATTCCTGTTAACCTTTCCAATTTCAATTCGATCAGCATTCCATAATATATACTGTGAGGTATTAATTATTATTTCAATTGGGGATTTTATACAGTAAACAACAACCTGTTTCAATCCGTAGCGTCTCACAAGGCATCTGGAAATGGTCCGGAAATCACACAGGAAACGTGGGACTTCCAGCCCAAGGCTCCGGACCCAAGCGGCGAGGATCGAGAAAATCAGCTTACAAAAAAGTCTGACGTTGATCGCAAGGTCTCGCTTGGAAGCTTTGAGGGGACAGAGGAGGAGTGGGCTGAGATAGACGAGGCCAAGGGAATCATCGAAAGCCTCCGAGCCCAGTAGCAGATCCGGAACATTTGCGAACATAATGTATATCGTCATAAAGTGATAGGCTCAGAATATCTAAAACCCGACATCTAAAAGAAAGTCTCAAGGAAAGCTTGAAAATAAATTTGAAAAGAGAGAGAAAAAGACGTCTAAAAGGATGAACGAAAAACTTCAACAGCAATGGATATTACAGATAATCTACAGGGGCCCAATTCTTGGTACTGGGTTCATAGTGACTTCTGGTACTCGCTGATCTGAGGCTGCTATAGCGCACTTGAATCCAAGAGGGACCTAAAAGCTCCCTCGTTCTCCCGTAAATTATCGAATGGCCCAACTTGGACAATCCGCCCTTTTTCCATCACAATAATTGAATCACTATCCGTGATAGTCTCCAGTCGGTGGGCCAGCACAATAATGGTATAGCCCCGGAACTCATCATGGATCACTTGCTGAATGAGTCCGCTAGTCTCTGTATCGAGATTACTGGTGGATTCCTCGAGGAGAAGGATGTTCCCACGGGAAGAGCGAAGTAAAAGCGCGCGAGCGAGCGAAAACAGCTGCAACTGCGCTTCCGACAATGGCCAGGCTTCCATTGGCATGTCGAGACGAAACGTTGGTGAGAGTCCCGCGTCTATGGCTCTGGACTCCAAGCTTGACCAAAGATGCACTTTTTTCATTGTTTCAACAATCCGTTTGTCCGTGACAAGTCCCTGAACATCTAGGTTCCCGCGAACAGAATCACTTGAGATGATGAATAAATCCTGTGGCATTGTGATTATTCGGGATCTTATCAAATCTCGTGATATTGAGCTCAGATCCAAGCTGTCGATTATAATGCATCCCTCGGGCAAATCTATCATCCGCAAGAAGCTGAGGAGTAGAGATGATTTGCTGCTGCCAGCTGGCCCGCACACGGCAATTTTGTGGCCAGGTGCCACATTGAAAGAGACGTCGGTGAGGGCGTGGTCCGATGCAGTTATCTGTTCCACCGGGGTAGCGAAGTCGAAAACAACATTGTTTAGGTTTATTTCCCCACTGGAGGGCCATGATTCAGGGATGGGATATTCTTGTGTGAGTTGGGACTCGGGAGCCACCGTCTTTGCACAGTTTTTGATACGGGAAATGACGCCGAGCGATGTATCAAAATTAGCCCATGACTGGACTGTAATCATCAAAACCATATTGAGAATCAGTATTACGTTCATACTGATGCCGACACCGCCGGCTGTCATGCTACCCGTGAATGTAACGATGAAGGCAACATTGACTAACGCCACGCCAGCGACGATTAAATCCAGTACCAGTCCAAGCCAGTGCTCAAGAGCATGCAGTGTATATGGCGGAATCTGGGCAGCATCTAATGCTCTACTATTCTCCAGAGCATAGGCGTTTTCCCATCCGAAAGCCCGGATTGTGGCTATTCCTTGAACAGTTTCCACAAAGCTGTCGTTTGGGAGGGAGCTTGTTTCCACACAAAGGCTCTTGACTTGTCGACTGGCCACAAGGTACATCCGTTGGATAAAGTAGGCAACCATCGCAAGCACGGGAAGCGCGATTATATTGTATGTCTGTGACATGCAGAGCAAAATGATCTGAGCCAGGAGTTTGAACGCCTGAGTTCCCAGTGCAGCGATTTCACGGGGTAGTTTCCGATCAATTTGATCCATTTCATGACTGAACCTCGAGAGTGTGGTTCCGATATTGGTGGATGTGATGAATGAGAAGGCGGCTTTTATGACTGTTGTAAGAAGTTGATCGTGCAGAGCGCGACTAGATGTAGGCACAACGAGGAGTTCGATAGTGCCAACTCCAGTCAATGACACCCAGTGCCCAAATGCCAATGCGAAATAAAGACCAAGATAGAAGGTTGCCCGCTTGCTGGGTTCCTCATTTCTTGTCCATAGTCGAAGCAAGTTCTGAACGAGCATCGCGAAAGCTGCGGAGGAGAGAAAAATAAGTATAATGACTAGGAATCGGTATTTCCCAATTGCAGCAACATATTGTGTAAAGATGGTGCTATGTGTGGGTTTCCGTAATAGATCAATTGGCTCTTCGGGGTTCGAGAAATGCAAGCGGGGGATATCCATCTGTTGGAATTCCCTTTTGTGCTGATCCTGAGGCCATTCAGTGTCTGGTTGGAGATCCAATCCGTTGTACCGTGCCTGAACCTTTGGTTCATCCCAAGTGCCTTGTTCGCATATAGACCCATTGGGGCTGAGAATGACTATCAAATCCGCATGTTGAAGGAGAGCCCCTAGATCAGTCGTATTAGTCAATTGCAAGAGGTTAGGCTAGGACTGTAGATAGTTTACTCGCTTGAATCAGTGATCAGAACAACTGTCGTATTGAGTTCACGGAGAAGGCCACCTGGACCAAATAGTCGTTGCATTACACGCGATGAAGTCTTCTCGTCAAGGGCTCTAAGAATATCATCTAGAATGAGAATATCTAGTCGTGAATATACTGCTCGAGCCAGTGCCTTCTTATGATTAGTTGATGCGATTTGCTTAGGATTCAAATACTTACCAATCGTTGCCTCTGACCCTCAGAGAGAGAGACACCCTCGTGGCCTACCAGGGTTTTATCTCCTTTTGGGAGTCGAAGAAAGTCGAGATCCAAGTCACAGGCATATAGAACTCTGTGGTACCAGTGTTCGTCGGTCACACTGCATCCTGGGGGGCCCGCTATGATATCTCTGATCGTACCATCTCCTAGCCATGGAGATTGCGCGCAGAATGCAATGTGGTCAGAACAGGTTGATACAGATCCGCTCTGAAGCTTTACATCTCCCAATATTGTGTTGGCGAGAGTTGTCTTTCCCGACCCAGTCGTGCCGGCAACAAGCACAAGCCAACCGGTTTTTATTGTCAAATTAATGTGGTTCAGCGAGGGTTGAGGTTCGGTATCATATCGGACTGTCGCAAAATTGACCACGATGGCATAGCCATCTTCGGGGTACAGGGGCCCCACGATGATATCACGAGGTTGATTTTGATCAGTGTAGATGTAGGCGAGGAAGTGTTCAACCTGGCCTTCGGCAAGTTTGCGATTGTCTTGGTGGTCGGGTTGAAGGAGAAAGTTTTGTATCCTATCGAAACCTATCACGGCCGCGGTAAACTCCGGAAGAATGAATACGATTGAAGTAGCTGACAGGGTAACCATTTGGATCAGAGCAAAGGACGTGAAAACTCGATCCGCATCAAGAGCAGCATCCCCGGTCAATTTGGCGAAAACGGTGTACAGTGCGAGCGTGATGGCGGGACTCACGACGTTTAAGAAGCTTCCTGCACATTCAACTTTGTTAGTGGTCAAGCAGAGATTAGAGAATAAGTCTCCCTTACCACTGGCAGCCATGATAACGTCGAGCCAGGACGTGACTAGGCCCGCTCTCAGCTCATTGTCACGCGCAGCTTGGACTTTCGACTCCATTGCGTGCGAATAGCCCATCATTTTGATAGTTGTTAGATGCCCCAGCAGTGTTTCTATGAGACTGAGTCGAACCTGCGTTGCATGCAGCCTTCCATGCTCTATGTTTCCCGACAAAATGCTTGGAAGCATATTTTCCACATTGAGAAGTCACTAAGGTAAAGTATGAGAATGTCGATAACAACCAGGGTTGGGTAGGGTAGTGTAACTTACGCAATACCAGCATTAACGGAACTAGGCTGGCCCAACCCAGTCTAGATGTGAGCAAATATAGACCAACGGATAATGAAAGGAATGAGAACCATATCACATGAGCCCAGCCAAAGGCCATCTCAAGATCTTCCACGTCATTTCCCATCAGTGTAATCGCAGAATAGTCATCTTTATTGCATTGTAACGTCTTCTCATGAAGAATTGCGATTAATGAGCCCTTGACTGCAATCATCACCCGTTGTTTGGCAATATCACGGCGACCGTTGAAAATCTGGACTCTTCGTAAGTTATTATTCATGACTAATTAAAGAGGAATTACTGACAGCTGATCCGACGTAAATGAATATCGTTGCAGAAAGCAGTTTAAAGCCTTGAATTTGCGCTGTGCTACCAGTCGGGGAATCGCCGAAATAGCGGATCAAGCGCGACATCAGCACAGGCTGTGCGTAGCGAAGGCACACTGCACCCAGCATATATGGTATCACACATAAGTTCTCACGTAGGGTGCATCTCAATGTTGCTAGTGCTAGGGCATGTCTTCCTCCTGGTCTCGCTGCCGGATATTGTGTTAAAGAGTGTGACGGCAGTCGCATGTTGAATACTATATCACTTACATCGGGTCTCCCAATAACCCTTCATCTTCTCTCTCAGGATACCGGATGACAATTGTCTAGGGAGCGGCAGAAGATCATCAGATGTTGGCAGTGCAGAACTCGTCCAGAAGTGGAAAGTCTCATCGAAAACACTTTTTGTGTCTTCAAGTGATATATTCAGCCAGTGTTCACGGACAAGTGACTTTTTATTTTTCAATTCCAAGGCCAAGAGGACCACTTTCACAACCAATAAGGTCGCATTGAAAGCAGAAGGCTGACATCGGCTTTCAGTTATTAGGTATAACGCAGCGTTTTGTGAAATATCTGTAATTAATAGCGTGTTCAAGGAGTCAAATGGGCTGATTGTGCGACTGTGCCTCAAGAACGACAAGTAGGGAATGAGCACGGAGCCAATAAAGGCACCGGCGGCTGTGCAAGTATATACTGCATTTGATCCGGCTTGCACTTCCAATATCAAAATGATCAGTTGGAGCACGACCAGGGTCAATGCAGTTATCTGGCGCCCAGGTTAGCCCTAGTCATTGGTACGCAGCCTGAGAAACAGAAGCGTAAATAAAGCTCAACGTACCAGTTTGAAAAATCCCCGGTAATTCGGTTTCACTCTCAGTTGTTCTTTTCGCAGAGGAAGGTATCTCCATGAAGCATAGAGATTGAACAGCAGTGTCGGTCCCAGGGTGTAGATTAAATAGTACAGAATGTTCGGCATATCAGCAAATTCCACATGGCTTGATTCTCGCTGTGAAGGTGGACAAAAGTGGAGGCATCAACGTCCATGGAGCTCGGCCCAGGAACCTCGGGGTATTCCCACGGACTGCTATAGATATATTAAAACCCATCTGCATAGGGATTGATAGGTTATCCTTATTGACATCCAAGGCACCACCTGGTTGCACTGTGTCCACATTATGTCCGAAATTTGACGTCATCTGCCCAACTTTGTTCCGGATATTTGACACAATCCGTGGTGGCACCAGGGGCGTCTCCCGTTGCCTGAGAACCTCTTCACGCGCCTTCTAAGCCCGAAGGACAATTTGAGAGAAGATGATAAAAAAGGGGCGGTCGTCCTGCTTGGCATCTATGATGCGGACCCCGTAGTTGTTGCTTATGACCTCCCACGCCTGGTCTGCCTGCTCATAGACGGGCCTCTTCTTTAAATCCTGGAGGATGTGAATGTACGCTGGGAAGGGAAAGTGGAAGTGAATAAACCATAAGTATCCTTTGGTGAGAGGCGATGTCATGAGGTTAGTGTCGCACTCAAGCATGCCAAGATTAGATACTACACGCCACTAGCGATCATCAGATCCTACATCATGTCCGTTAGAGCCGGTCTCCTCGCCACATTTCAGGTGGACACCAGTGAGGGGAAGTGAGTCGGCTATCAAATCACCTACGGAATGAGTTTAGGCTTATGTTTCCAAATCCCCAATCTCGCCGCGCAGACTTTACTTCCGAACCCCGATGTGCCTTCTGGGCTAGCACTGATGCTGTTCGGCCAATTGATTGGGGCGGCCATCTTCGTCTCTATCGGGGAGAATATCCTAGGTAACCAACTGGTGAAAAGACTTTCCAAGCTACCGGGGTTCAACCCTAATCATATCACCTCCGGGGGTGTCACAGAGCTTCTGAATACAATTCCAGATTATCTGCATAATAAGGTCCTCCATGCTTACAATGAAGCGCTGCGGAAGGTGTTTGAGATCGGTTTGGTTATTTCGTGTCTGATAATACTCGGTGCGGCTACTTTGGAGTGGAAGAGCATCAAGAAGGGTCAGCCAAAGTCCGACATTGAGAACATAGAGCTGGCTAGAGGGGAGAACACTGTAGAAGTGGCGGGGGTCAAATAGAATAAGCAAAGAGGATTTTGCCTGCTTAACTTTGGAACCGATGTTAAGATACCTATGCCAATTGCGTGACTAATCTTGTGTACCCATATTGCCTGTGATCCCAAGGATAATGCAGGTGGACGGTAATACGCCTCAGGCAGTGAAATGTCCGAGTGAGTTTGCCTAAGAATGACAGGCTAGTAGCTATTGGAAGTATTGGAAGTATTGGAAGCTCGAGGGCCAGCAGAGCATTGGCATGTCCACTCACTGAAGCATGCAAATATCGACTATGAGGTGATAGATGCCGACCCCATCGCGTCACCTATTAGTGCCTCTATCGCAATTTTCCAAAATGGGTGCATGTTATTGGATCAGCTGGGACTCTATCAGGATCTTCGCTCTCCTGTCCACCTCAAAAGAACGAACGTCCGACTTTCGTCACGCAAACTGCTGACAGGACCTAATGCAGGAATACTTCTTGAACAACTGTAAATCATCATTGCGTCGCTATGAGGCCTCGAGTCGCTAATTTAAGCCATACGACTAGGTTTGGTTATAGTATTTGCCTCCTTCCCCGGCAACGATTGATTCAACTGCTATACCACCATCTCGAAGACAAATCCATTTATGTAGGCCATGGGAAGAAAGTTGTCCGGGTTGATAAGCGAGTGCTATCAATGGCCCGACTCACCACGGTTTTCCTAAGAGCAGGGAGAAACACTTACTAACGCCCATATGGGGGCTAACATCACAGAGAATGTCACATTTAGTGATATTTGGATGAAGCGGAAAACCTTTAGCTTACTTCCCATGGAGGAGGGTGTTCTCTAGGCCTAGAATTAGGGTCGGTTCGCTCTTTTTGGAGATGTCGCACATAAGGTTAGTGTTGTCACTAAGGATCCATTTGATTCTGAACTAAGATATACTTTGATAGATGACTGTCAACCTGGGACAAGGTGGTAATTGTGCGATCGAAAGTGTCGCTGCTCTTGCCAACGCATTGAACGCCGCTAACCTGTGTCGCTGAGGTGACCGAGTGAGCCAGCAAGAAATCAAAATGACACCTTCGAGCTACCAAGAGTTTCGCCGACCTCGTCTCGCGAGTATTGCGCATGATGCTCATACGGTCACGCGTATCCAAGCTCTGGAAGGAATCAGATCGTGGCTATTTCTTTCTGGGGCCTTCTTCGACAAGACATTCATTGCCGACTTTACTACGGAGAAACTCCTTGGCACTGTCCTGTTGAACTATATCCGAAAGCCAATTAGACTGGACAACAGCCTGTGGCTCCAAGGGAATAATATATCATTGTCGAAATCACCCAGCTTCCAGATGGTTGCGTGTGTGGTCCTTGTCTTGGCCATCTCATGGGTCCTCGAAAATGATTTTTTTATGTCTGCTTTAGAGTTCACAGGTACAAGAAATGTATATATAGACGAGTCAAACTTGTTTTGGCTATCTGCTTTCTTTTTTCCATTCACTCGTTATTATCCAATGTGATTGGCAACTCTTGGAACGTCGGGTGAAGGAGCCTGAAAGTCAATCAACGATCAACTTTCCTCATTCAACGGCCTAAGTAGGTTAACAATATTCAGGCTGGGAGAATCTGTCCCTGTCAATGGCAGACATTGCCAAATGACTCAAGTCTTCGACAAAATCTTCCACGAATTGGACTTGCATCGGCTCAATAGAACCCGAACGGTGACCCAATGCTGCCTGCATCACCACGGGGACTTTGGTCAGCAGGTGAAGGTCGTCAGCTGCGCGCGGATCCTGAGGTTTTAAGAGAATATAGCAGAACAGCGTCATAATGGCAGATATGGGATAGAACATGGCAAACCTGCTGCGTGATAACGTTAGCTTAAAAGACACATAGCTAAGTGCGAGTTAAGAAGCAGAGAGAAGACCTACCACGCGGTTTCCTCATCAAGCGTGCCTTGCATCAAATTCAAATACAACAGCGATGATCGACTAGCTTCAACAGCCAAGGCCAAGCTGGAGTTTATTCCTTCATACATCCCATGGATATCTTCATTCCACGATTTGCACCGACTGCTGGCCTGATGTAAAATACCCATACATTGGTGGTATTCCAGTCGATTCATAAGGAAGCGTATCTCGAGCATCCTGATAGAAGAGCTATCAGAGGCAGATGACCGTGGCATCTTTTGTGAAGGTATCGACATTCTCCAAGCTTCCAAGTCGTTATCAAGCTTTCGGATTGTCATAAGAACGTCGGCATCTGATTTTTGGAGCCCTCGAACGGAGTATAGCTCTCGGTAAATGTTTGAAATAAGCATGCTCAAGCGAAGATCGCATGGGAAGAAAGGGCTAGAACAATCCATAGTTTCCTCTGTTTCAAATCTTCCCTCTGATGTTCTCGCAATGTAGTTTGACGGGAGAGTAAGGTCACAGTCGTCATCGTGAATAGATGGAGGACGACCAGTGCGGAGGAAAAGGCACTTGTCTATATTATAACACAACCAAAAAAGAGTCCTTACTTGATCCCTCTCCTCAGAAGCATTTGGATCGGCAAATTGATTTCCACCCAGCTGGAAAAGAAGACGTACAGCAATGGCGAGAAGTATGTCCGCAGAACTTAAATCTCCAGACAACAGTCGAAATGCACACTAAAAGGGTCAGTTAAAGATGTAAAACACATCATGCAGGATTAAGAACATACCAAAATCATGACCGTTTGCAAAGCATCCAACGTTGTTGGTGTTTGTGACAGCTTGGACAACAAACGCTGCGCTTCTTTAGCACAATCATTGCCGTCGATTGCAGGCAAAGTGCTGTTGCGTAAATCGATAGTTGTGACAAATGCTGCAAATGCATAAACGCAGGACACCTCGGAGAGGGATTCGGACGAATCTTGCGGCCGTTGGTATGCACGTCTGATAGTCTCAATGAACAAGGAGTATTTCACAAGTGGGAAGATTTGATGTAGAGCCGATGACTGGAATGACGCTAAATAGGCCTCGATGATTTCCCTGTCTGGTAACTGCGAGTAATCTTGATTGTCCCCAGGTCCGAGCGAGTCGGAGGTGGATCTCGGGTTCGTTCCCCATGAATGGAAGAATCTAGCGAATCGATCCAAGTTCTTGTTCTGGCCACAACGAGACTCTAACCACCGCAAGCCCTCGACAGAGAAAAATGGAATGCCATTGTGGCGACTGATTCCGCCAAGCTTGATACCGGCAAAGTACCATTCACCAAGGAGAGGAGGAGGCCCATGCTCAACCCGAGAAGGCTCGCAAACGGCGCCAATGCCTGCTCCATCAGAGGAGATATCTTGAATTTAGTCAGCATCCCATGCAGCAACATCTGGTATAACCATGGGCAACATCTCTGAAAAACGAACGTACTTTTTTTTCTATGTAGGTAGTCTTGTAGGTAGTCTTGTACAGCGGTTTCAATTCTCACAACACGTCGTTCTACACGTGCGAGGCTGTGATTACTGCGGTATAAATCAGTATCAGGGACTAGGTTCGTAAATAAATGGCCAGTCACACTAAATTCTTACCGATACTCTGGAGTTTTCTTTCCCTTAGCCCGTAACTTTCTTGTAAAGGTACAGGGAAGGCCATGATGCATGCACCAGTTGCACCGAGGCACAGCGTCATCGCATTTGATCTGCTCAGTACCACGGTTAGGTCACTAAGTAACATCCTGTGGCCCTGTAAACACGGACAGATCAAGGCCAAGTCTATGTCTATTAGGAATATGGACGCACCTTCTTCGCAAAGCAAGAGTCACAGGCCGCAGATGTACGTTTGTTGATTTTTCCTGTGGACTTAGACATGGCGGGGACAATTGAAGTGGAGAGAAGCCATTTTCTCAATATCCCCGAGAAAATTAGGCTTGTAATAGAACAGTACGCTAATCAGGTCCGTCAAAATCAGAGCCATCTGAGCGTCCAGGGGGGAGTGGGGCCGGGGCGTATATCCGATTAATAAGCGGGTACGGAGGACTTGGCACCAAAATCTATAAATGCAGAGATGGGTCAACCTCCAATAGCTTATTCAAGGGCTTATAAAAGGAGAGAAAATGGGTGGATAAGGTAATGCTGTCAACTAGTAAGTTTAACTAACTAGTTTACCTCAGAGCCTTACGATTGTAATGATTCACTACATATATCTACATAGGTACATATCCTAGGTCCGCTCGTACCCGGTCACTCGCTATATTTTTCATTTTCCCTACCCTCTCTTTTCACTTTACTTATCTATCTCTATTTTTTATCTACTCTCCTTAATATCATTTCATAGTCCAATCCTAATACTTGTTTGAGTGAACAATTACAATTTGTGCGTCTCTCGATTCCATCATGTTGCGAGATTCAAAAGGCCCAGGGATTCGGTATTCCGGGGACAGTGAGTTTTGGAAGGGAAAGAAGCGTCGATTAGGTTTGATTATACTCATGATCTTGGTTGTTTTGCAAATGGCATTTCTTGGAAATGTTTCTTGGATCCTTGGCTCCCTTTTTGGTTCAGAAGAAAGAGTCAAGAATGTAAAGCTTGTTCTTGTGGACTATGATCAAGGGTTTATTGGAGAGGCTGTCCAGACCGCATATTCGAAGCTCAAGGGTGACACATTCCCAACCATTCAAGTCGCGGATGAAACCATATACCCATCTCCCGCAGATACAGTGGACGAAGTGTGCCGCAACATCGATATCTATGGGGCAATCTACATCCACAAAAACGCATCGACACGGTTGCAAGAAGCACTTTCTGGAACCAGCAACGAGCCATATAACTCTAGTGATACTCTTACCTATGTCGTGAATGAGGCCCGATATTCCCTGGCGGTGGCACAAGCAGTTGTCACCCAAGGCACGTCAATCCTCGCACAAGCTACCAATGCTGTCCTGGCCCAGGCAATGATATCACAGGGGTTCAATGCCTCTAGCGAGTCAGCCCTGCAGGCATTCTTTAACCCCATAACTCCCACATCGAAGATAATCGGGTCGCTGCCTCAGACTGCACGAGCTCTATACAATACAGCGATTATCGTCTTGGTCATCCTACCAAACGTGTTCTTTATCATGGCAATGAATCAAATCCAGACCAGCTGGAAGATGCTCTCGCGGGCAACGATTCGCGCAAACGTTGGGTTTCGGGTTCTCACCTCCCTCGTTTACGCGTTGGTTACAGCCTCCTGCGCGTCTGGTTATATCCTTGCGTTCAAGGAAAATTGGGACGCTACTGCTTCTCAAGGAGTGTTGACATGGCTTGCATTCGGCCTCTATTGCCATATCAACTTCCTTGTGATCGATATAAGCACTGCATTTGTTCCAATGCCGGGGGTTCCATTCATTGTTCTCTGGTGGATCATCGCAAACGTAACGTCCACAGTTTATCCATTTGAGCTCAACCCTGGGTTCTACAAGATCGGCTACGCATTGCCTGCCCATCATCACTATGCAAATCTTGTCACGATTTGGTCAAATGGATGTGCTCCTCAATTGCACCGGACGCTCCCAGTTTTATTCTCATGGTGGATCGTGGGGATGGGCGTTGGGATCTATGGCATGGTCAAACGATGTGAAGACGCCGCAAGAGCGGAACATGGTAGGATCCTATCCCAGTCTATCTGAATAACATATGTATTTACTGACCATCCATCGACGAATAGATGATCTCGCAAAATCCGGACAAATTGAGCTTTCCGAGTTTAACGACACGCAAAACCTGTTCCCGCAGCAAGCAACTTCCACTGCATACGGCCTGCCTGTGCCGGTTCAGGATACCCTACACCTCCGACAAACCCAGAGTTCCCAACTGGGATCTGCGACCTAAAAGCCGAGAGAGGAGACATATCATTTAGATTCGGGATAAATTTCTGTCCGTGCTGCTACCGGTGCATGGTTCTTAGTCTTACGTTAATGCTTGCATGCCCCTGGAGGCGAGCGATAGCTGTGTGAATATGGCAGAGGAAGAACAACATGTGCGGTTGGATTTTGAGAGAAAGATAGCACGTTAATGTATGTAAATTAGAATCATAATATCAATTTGTTCGATCATCAACACAGTTGTTTTGAAAGTATGCGACCGTACAGATAATGCAGCAGAGCCCCTGATATCGGAGCTAGTTTGTGAATATCCCAATCAGAGGCATCATTGGCCTAGAAGTTTGTGGAATCTCCGTATGAAATCATTGCATCCAAACTAGACCTCCACAAAGCCCATAAATAGGCCCGGACCCCGAGCCCGAAGCCCAACCGTCAGTGGGCTATGGGGCTAACCTTCGAAGCCTAACCCAACCCACAGCCCATTCGTGGGGGCCCATAAGGCCCTTATCATAGCCCATTAAGGGGGGGGCCTTGGCGCTTATAAACCGGCGTCTTTTATCGCTGTATTCTAACTTTTATTACTGGAATTTGTATAAGAGTACTACTTTTCAAGTGAACCTCTATAATTTATAAATTATCCAAGCAACGCGTTTTCTCGCATTTTTAAACGTGATATACCAACCTAACTAATAAGTAATTTCGAATTGATTAGAATAATAAAATATTACCTCGAGTTAAGGGCTAGAAACGGGGATCCAAACATAGAGTAATTAAAAAAGTTACGTTTTTCGGAATATTTATATTGTTTGGGGCTAATGGGCCCTCACCCCGGGCCCACGGCCCATCGGTGGGCCTAAGGACCGGGCCCAAAACCGCTGGTAAGCCGATTAGTGGATTGGGGCGGGTTGGGCTTTGGGCTTTTCTAATCCAAACCACTGATGACCTCTGTAAGCTACTCGAACCACCGGAGATGGCAGGAATGCTTTCCATGTTCTCAGGATAATGACCAGACTAATTATCATTTTCTCTTGCTCCAAGTTATAACGGATCATCTTTCTTGAACTCGAGATAAACGGGGGAAAATGAAGTTCATATATGGAATACTCCGTGATCTGCACAGAGGTAAGGGAAAAAGGGGAAACCATGAAGATCCCTGTCAAACATCGAATAAGCAACAGCGAACCATAGCCTATTTGCGAACAATCCAATGGATGTATCGGAATTTCAGACAATTTCAATGAGATTTCTCAACACAAGGTTCAATAGCCGATCCCCCGAAGCTCATCCGCTGCACGATGCCATCATCACTCAACCGTCGACTCCGATCTCCCGTACTTCCGAAGCTCATCGATCGATCTGCCTTTGCCCTTATGACCTCCCATATTGTCTTTGTATTTTGTCGGAACCTTTTTTCTCTGCTGCACGGGTTGTACTGACAGAACCCTGGGATCAAATGATGTATCAATCTGGAGGGGGCGTGAGGAGGAAAAGATTTCCAGCTATTAAAGAAAAGATGCGTTCCCAGGTTGGGATGCAGGTTTTCGCATTTTATTTGCTCAGGAAATGTCGCACGCAGATCTCCATGGCCTCCAGGGGCTCCAAGGGCTGCATGATGGGTTGAGAAGCCCCGATGCAGAGTCAGTGTACTCATTAACTGAAATTCAAGACGAATATCATGAATGGGTTACCGAGTCTCGTCGATCATCGCGGTAAGCTGAACTCAAGCCGACGGGCTCGATTGAATGGGCTGACAAAAGAAGACATGATCCATTACTGGACAACTTCCCCCAACCACCGAGAATGGAAAGCTTAGATCCAATTGACGAAGAGATGGAGATGTACCCCACACCAAAGCCTTCGATCAAGAATCTGCGTCGCCATGCCACGGCCAATGAGCTCCCTCTTTTACAGCAAATCAATCCGAATGAGGGAGCCCCAGAATTCAACCCCGTCAGTGAGGAGAGTGGCTCATTCGATCTCATTGCGCCCTATGATGGCGGTGATTTACCACTATACAAGCTAGAACGAACTGCAGACATAATGTTCTCTTCCGAACATATGCTCACAATCCTCAATAACCCCCGGTATCTAGCTCGATTCCGTGATTTTCTTCTGGAAGAACGGCCGCGCTCGATCTCCACCCTCACATACTACCTTAACGCCTCCAAAGCGCTCAAGGCTATTCAGTATGCTAATGCGCTCATCCGTCTGTCAGTTGATGTGCCTCCCCCAGCAGTCAAAACGGACGAGGAAGCTGCCGGCGTGACCGTGAACCGGGTTCTGGAACAACGTGTTGTAGACGGGTTGTTAGCTCTAACTGCCGAGGAACTTCCTGCATTCATCACGTCAAGATGTATCGCCATCACAAGCAAGATCGTCGTTGAGCGAATCCGAGGAACTTTACCGATGAAGTTCCGCGGGACTTCGAATGCACTAGCAGAAGTATTTTGCTTGACGGACCCATCACGACCTGACAATCCAATTATTTTCGCATCAGAGGGTATGTTTTCCGCTATCCCGCTGTTCTAATCGGACTAACAAAATCAGAATTCCACAGAACAACACAATACGGTATGGATTACGTGCTTGGTCGAAACTGTCGCTTCCTTCAAGGCCCGAAGACAAATCCAAACAGTGTTCGTCGACTTCGTGAAGCTATCCATGCAGGCCGGCATCACTCGGAAATGTTTCTTAACTAGTATGTTATACACCCAACCTCCCCAATCTAGTCACCAAACCATTAACATAACCAGTCGTCGCGACGGCTCTCCTTTCATGAACCTGCTTCAGTGCGCGCCCCTATGCGACAGCCATGGGCGCGTCAAATACTTCATCGGCGCACAGATTGACGTCTCGGGACTCGCGATGGAGGGAGCCTCGATGGAATCATTCATGGAACTACAAAACAAACACCGCGAGCCGGATGAAGAGAGCATCGTGGAACAACTAGAGCCGGAAGAGAAGGATGAGTTCCGGGAACTGACTGAACTGTTCAGTCCGCGGGAACTCTCCGCTGTTCAAAAGCATGGTGGACACCTATTCCAGCCTCTGAAAAGCAACCCGTCTCCTCATCATCCGCGATCATGGCTGCAGCATGATACATCGCTAGAACGCGAGACTGAAGCCATCCGTCTGCAAGAAATGAAATCGCCCTTTTTCCGGATGTCATTTGCGGGCGTGTATGAGAATGTAAGAGATGAGAGAAGTTTATCTCTCAACTTGATTGAAGATACTAACATGATATAGTATCTCCTCGTTCGACCTTATCCTTCCCTTCGGATTCTGTTCACGTCACCGGCCCTTCAAATCCCAGGTATGCTGCAAACATCGTTCCTATCGCGCATCGGTAGTTCCTCGGCAGTGAAAGATGATCTGCTACAAGCTATGATTGTTGGTCGCAGTGTGACGGCACGTATCAAGTGGATAACCCGCACCAATCCCGAGGGTCGCAACCGCTGGGTCCATTGCACGCCTTTACTTGCGAGTAATGGTCAAGTAGGTGTGTGGATGGTTGTAGTCGTGGATGATAAGGAGGAGCAGGTATTTAATTGGCGCAATTAGTTTAATAGTCTAGACCTTTCTCATGTATATAATTCCTTTTTTTTGTGAATACATCCAAAATATACTCTTCAGCCTTTCCACTAGGTATCCTGATCTGCACTGTCAGAATGTAATTTTATCTCCCCTGTACGCCTCAGCCGCACCTGAAGAACGAGTACTATCTCACCTCTAACCAGAATGCATAATAGATCCGTATCTCTAATTAGCACTTTCTCGGAAGGGTAAGGGTAGAATCCAATACACTTGGCGCATATATTGTCACACGTGAGACACTGAACGAATAGAATGATTCTGTGAGCCGCTATTGCGGGTTGTCTTGCATACTGGTGCAGTCAATTGGACATGTCCAACTCATCTGTTCCTTGTTTTCAAATACTCTAATGGTTACCTTGGCATTTGAACCCAATCCCGGGGATCCTCGATCTCATCTCCTGGTCATTATACATCACTATCACACAAATTACCAACATTTAAATCTCCAATCCAGCAATGTCGGTAGCAGAATCCCGCAACAGTCTACCACGCAGTCGCACTCCTAGCAGGACTAAAGATACCAGGAGAAATAGAACTGCCCAATGGGGCAGTAGTACGTGTCAACATCGGCGAACCGGTTTATCGAGTGATCTTCCGCTCGGAGAATGCCCTCCGCAGACCAATGACAGAAATGGCCGTTGGTCAGGCCTATTTATCTGGTGAAATTGAGGTAGAAGGCGATTTCGGCGCCCTGTTCAACGCTCGCCAGAATCTACAGCAGAAAGTGAGATCCCCCGACGCCTTTCTCAATATCTGCATTTCTCGCCAACAACGTTGAGACCCAATCATTTCTGCCCCGAGCGCAGGCCTCATGTAAAGCACTTCCCTCTTCACTTGCCACTGGGGCATCATTACCGGATGATTCGCGCTCTTGTCCAGCTGTATTGACATATGCCCCTCGCTGCAAAAGAATATTGATAAATTCAATCTCGCCGTGTCCACAAGCTGCGATCAGAGGAGGCGATACCCTAAGAGATCCTTGAACAAAAGTTTCATGCACGACTGAACGTAACGTCGCGGCAACTGGAAGCTCTTTCCAATAAATAGGGCCACCACAGCATGATGGCCTGCTTCGGCGGCAGCAAGAAAAGCATCTTTATACCTGCCTTTGGCGGCAACCCGTGCACCAGCATCGATTAGAGCCTCTGCCACCTCAACATGTCCACGAGATGCAGCAGCTTGAAGGGAATTCCCATAGTAACCGCCTTCCGCGCTGACGTCTGCTTTATTTTGGATCAAAAACAGCGTGATTGACCTGTGGCCATTCATCGCTGCAGCCTGGAGGGCGTCGCCAAATTTCCCAGTGGCGTTAATGCTTGCCCCCCGAGCAATCAACAAGCGAACAGCCATTTCATGGCCCATGAGACTGGCAGCTCGAAGAGGACTCCCAAGTGGTCCCTCGATTTCAATGCTGACTCCTTCATCCAAGAAAAATGAAACGATGTCGACATGACCCATACAAGCTGCGTTCGCAACTGAATGTTCAGGCAACGGGAGCTTCAATACCTCTTGATGAATGAGAGTTGACCCTTCAAGATAGCCATGTCCAGTACCTTTTATTGGGATAGATTTGCTCTACTTAACGATGGATGTGTTCTGACCAACCATTGCACCAGTTTGAACATCCCCGCTTGAGATGCTTGTTCAGCTGTCTTGGTGTAGGTCTCATGGTCCGAGATCGTGATGAAGTTTTGCAAAAGGAACAAAGCTACGTTCTCCTGGCCTAATACCAAGGACTTCTGAAAAGCTAATTCAACATCATCCGAGGAGATAGAATTTGATTGGTGACTGAGGAGCAAATTTGCTGCACTGACATGACCATTGGCACAAGCGGCGTTGACTGAATCTCCATGTTTGCCTCCTTCAAGGCATACATCAGCGCCATGAGAAATGAGTATACGGATAATCGCATCGTGCCCAAATGTCGCCGCTAGGTATAGCGGCGTGTGGCCGATTGTCGATTTCTCGCTCACATCGAAGTCTTCTTCAGTCACAGCAGAATGAACAATCTTAATAATTCCGTAAATACAAGCAGTAAAAAGAGGTTTCATATTCATGCTTGTCACAGAGTTGAGCTCAGTTTTCAGGGGGTGCCCTGGAGAAAGTCGCTCTGCGACAGTCTGGATGGTATCAAGCCAAGCAATAAAACACAGGTTTGTTTCTCCGTCGTCATAGAAAACGAATTCTTGTAGTTTGGAGAGAACAGAGGTATTATCCTTACTAATGGCTGCTGTTTGATAATGCCGAGTCCAGTACATAGCAGCGTAAAGGTCAAAATTGTTCTTGGGGTGGAAGGTATCCCCAAGGTTGAACGATGTGTCTTGGATGCAAGCATTCAAACACCCAGTAGCAGTTATAGTGTTAATACACGGCACACTAAACTCAGGTTTGGTTTTCAAAAATTCTATGCATGAAAAGTGAACAAATCACAGGGTTTTCAACTTGGAATCCACAAACATCAAGTTGAAGCAGAAATCGAGAAGTTCAGCCAAAGTGAAATTCCGTTGCTCTCGGGGCTAGACATGGATACCGCAGAAAGCAAGGCTTCGGGTGTCAATGGTTCATGCATGCACAGCAACCAAGAGAATGCTCGCGTGGCGATATCATAGGCAGTTGGGTCGGCTTCATGAAGGCGACATAACATGTCAGAGTACAGCTCGGAGAGAGTTTCATATGTGGCTTTTGAGGAATCCTGCATTGTCGCCACAACACCAGCCCTTGTCTTCAGTCGGAAGAAGCGATTTAGTTGAAGGATGACCCAAATAAACATTCCACCTGAGCGGTCCAAGAGGAATGCAGTCAACTCTTCTTGTAAGTCTTGTGGAACGTCGCCGCCAAGTAGGCACTGGGTGGAAATCCCCCAAGACACTTTATTCTTCACAAATAACTCCATATTCTGCCGCGTGTCATCTTCTTCCACACGTAGCATCAAAGCATCTGATAGACGGCCCATAATAGTGCTATCTATCCTCTCTACTCGACAGGAATATCTCGACGACACTGGCAGAATCGTCCCGTATTCGCATCAATGCATCGAGCAACTCATGGCGTCAGGTTTCTTCGATTTCATCGACACCCTCAACGACAAGGACTACAGGGTTCGACCCAAGAATTCCAAGAATCAGGTCGACACATTGCGAAACCTTCAGCTTCGGAACATCAAACCCATCGAGTTTGGCTTCCGCCGCTTTGCGTTGATATTCAAGCAGCACATGTTCATGGACTTCCAGATTTTGCCTGTCAATAACAGCAAACTGTCTAGTGAGACAGCCCATGATTTCATCAGGATCAGCCCAGCCTCTTCCGACCTTACTATCCCCGCAATAAAAGTAGGCAAGCGGTGCTGCAAGGGGATTTTGTGATTTGTGCTCCAAAAAGGAATCCATTACCGAAGATGCAAGACTGGTCTTGCCAGAGCCTGGGATTCCATGAAGGAGAAGAATGGATGATGTGCTCGTTTCGACCCAATCTGTATAACAAGGGTGTTTGAATAGCCACTCTGTCGATCCTGCGAGTCTCGTCTCCGAATGCCTCGCATGATGCTGTGAATACGGGACAGACGACGTATAACATCTTGGATTTGTAGTTGAACTTCAGCATCTGAAATTCGAGCAAGCTTTTCCACTTCTGTATCCAGTTGTGTGATTTTCTCTAGCTCTTCATTCTGTGATGTTTGAAAAACACTCTTCACGAGACGTTTTGTCGCGAAGGGGCTAAAATATTCGACGGCATTTCCTAAAAAGTGTAGAATTTGCGTGTATAAGCTCACCAATCGACCTTTCAGCTGCGATTGTATTCCCGATGTTCGTTTCGTGTAAAGAGGCTCAAAGGCGGCATAGCGAGCTATCATCCGAGATGTCACTTCCAGTCCGTGAATTGTAGACTCGAAACAGATACTATCGGCCATACAAACCTTGTTTCGTTAGCGCTATATAATAGGGATTTCAAGGGCTTCATGTCTATGTCTCATGTACCTGCAGCAAGAACTGCACTCCTGCCCACGCCAGAGAGGCCGGGGCCGGGTCGAACTGGACAGCCGTGTCACCAATAGCCTTGAACTTGTAAACCCATGCAATGATTTTGTCGAATAAATCTCGAAGAACAATTGTTTTGCCGCGCAAGTTGATCTTCCAGCGCTTCTGAAGACCGAGCGTTTTCTTTGACTCGGCCTCCTGTAGTAACACAGTCAATACATCGGCCTTTTCCTCTCTGGCTCTGAGCAGACACGTCTTGAGCTTTGAGCTTAGCCCATTTAATGCCTCCTCCCATTCATCCATAGTCAGAAGTGAGAGATGTTGCAATAGGCAAGCCTTCTCAAAATCAACAGCTTACCTGAGTACTTTGTAGGGGGCTGAGACCGCTTAGAGCGGGGGATGGAAATTTTCTTGGCAAACACGAGCTCGAGCTCCGGTGGGAAATGAACAGATCTTGTGATATCACTTCGGGGGCCATTCTATTTAATATATTCAGATTCGTAAATTGTCTCATTTTCGATGTATGTAACAAATCATTCATGTAAAAGTCATCAATCATTTCAGTCCAGGCCCCAGCCGCGTACGCGCCGGAACACAAATGCTCGGTCGTTGCGAAGACCAAACTCGCCCCAGTCATCCGTCAGTCTGTTGTAACTCCAGAAGCCCTTCCAGGCTAGTTTGGTATTCTTCGATGGGTTGGGAGGAGCCGGCCCAAGTTGAGCGGATTTCGGTATAGTAGAGGAACGTAACGACAGATGCATCGTGTAAACGTACTTGGGATCAACGCCTTCTGTTTCAATGATGAGATCCCGCTCGTCGGAAAGGAGCGATTTCTCATCAGATATTGAGTCAGGTTTCCAGGCTTCGATGGGGGCTTCGGAAGTTTCGGAAGTGTCAACGGGCGAGGCCAGATGCCATCGGCCCCGAAGGCCATGTCTCAATGTGTTCATGGCGACAGGTGGTACGGCATCAGCGACTCCAGAGAGGGTATGGCCCGCATCGGAAGCACGCCGTTGATGCTTTCGGTGCGCTGGGGCGTGCGCCGCCATCACATTCTCTTTGCTAATGTGAGGGACCACATCGACTGGCTCCGTGGAAGTGAGCAGCGAGATTACCGAGCCATCTGGGTAGAACCGAAGATAGCGGTAGTAAGTCACGATATGGATGGGGCTATTCCAGGACAAATTCGAGTAAGCAGATGCAACACCAGGCCGAGTGTAGTTGACAGTGCTAATGTAAATTCCCGTGAAACGAATGCGAGGAAGGGTCTGGAACACTTCGCTCCATGAAGACAGCGGCGGGGGAATTTCTAGAGGCACGCCTTTGGGAAATGGAGTGTATCGCGGCGCAAGCGTGTATATCGGTTCCCCACGCAGGTCGCATGCAAAGTCATATTGCATTCCCTGAAAGCCGAATTCCCGACCTTGACAAATTCGTCTCCAAATATGCTGCTCATGGGCGAAATGGAAGGCCATGCGCTTGCAGACCAGTGCCATCCGACCAAAAGCCGATGGATCATCCATCGCCACATGTCGCAGAATCTCCACTAACACTTCCGACGGCACATTGGCAATTGGGCAAGGGGGCGGTGGTGTGTTTTCGACGATAGGCTCCAGCTGTGAGATTGGCAGGTGTGCAAATGAAGCAATGAGCTCATGTGTCGGGAGGGTCAGTACCTCTGCGGACTTTTGGATCGCATCGATAGGGGTAGTGGACGCGGGTAAATCAGGCTTCTTCCATGCATGGGCGTAGTGCTTATTCCGGTAGGACTTATCGACGGCCGAATCTAGCTGGACGGGAATGAGTATTTGCGTCGTAGTTGGCATTCATATGGAAACTTACCCTATATGCCTTTCGGTAATGCGAGAGACTGTCTCCCAAGTTGCCTTCGGCTTCCTTCTCGACCGCCCGTTCATAGTGCTCCAGTGCAGATGTTGGTTCTGCTACCTCTCGACGTGAGAATTCATCTTCCGCTGGTTTCACGCTCAGCTCTCCGACTTGTACGGCCAGCTCATCTGGGTCGAAGGAAGCCAGCGGGGGACCCTCCTCCTCGATCTCTTTGCTGTGGGAGGCCTCATGGCGTGTAGGTGGAAGACGAGCCGGGGGCGGGGCAGTTGGAGTCGGAGAAGCAGGCGCAGGAGGGGTAGCCTTGGGTTTTGATCGACGAGTGACCTCCTCGCGCCACTGTTGGCGGAACGACTCAAGCTCGTCGTTGTCGTCCATGGCGAGGTGGTGGTGGTCGGTATGCGACGTTCACCCAAATGTTTCTCACCAAGGCCGCCGATCACGGAAGGCTTGGCATCCCCGGCTTTTTGAGGCGATGACCTCACATCGTGCTCCTATCTCAGTTTTGATTACAATTTATTCTAAGAATCAGGCATGGGTCTTAAATCATACATGAAGGCAGTTTGCATATCGTTTAATCCCCAGTCCCTTGCTCCCTGCACACGAACGTTCTACCTCGTGCACACCCAAGCCTCTAGAACGAGCCTGGGACTCCAAGACTAGACATGCATGCTGCATCAAGCTCACACGGTAGAGGGTGGTATTTAGCAGTCCAAAAAATGCGGACATGCACTGTCTTAACAGTGGAGGTCCCGATCACACCTTGACTTGTCCACCCTCTTCATCAGCGGTCATGTCCTCCGCAAGAAGAGCCTCCAAGAGACCAGGGAAGCTATGGAACCTGAGTTTCTCCTCCACCGACATCTGACAAACCACGCCCCGTACCATGGCGCCCGCATTAACCAGCAACTGCACAATTTTCAGCCTCTTCTCGCTGAGTATTTCTCCTTCACGACGGTGTTGTTCATGCGTGTCGAGCGCGAGGTGAAGTGCCGTCGGACCATGGCCAGGGCTGCAAAAAAGGGCGCCGCCCCTTATCTGTCTCCGTGCTTGCATGGACATCGACCTCACGTTCGAGTAACATTTGGACAATATCTACATGACCACCCATGGCGGCGAGATGAAGAGGCGTGGCCGTCCAGGGCTCAGCGAAGTATAGATCCGCAGGCCCGTCATCTCCATCATTCCACTCCTCAGTGGCACAATGTGCATTTGCACCATGAGCGATAAGCTCCTGGACGATTTCTGTGCGGCCGCGATAGCATGCAATATGCAGTGGTCGCCAACCATAGGTATCCCCAGCCTCGATGTCAGGTTTTTGACTCAGCAGGAATGATAAAAGCTCCATACTTCCAGATTCCGCTGCTTGATAGATCATTGGAGGGGCATTGTGGCCTCGGTATCGATCGAAGATGTAATCAGGTGCAATTCGTAGCAAGGTCGAGATGACGTCCACGCCCTGATTAGAGTATAAAAGAGCAAGGTCAACCTTGTTTTTCAATTGCCCGAACTCCTCACACCCTGGAGAACTTTGAGATCGTTAGCGACAAATTATCTTTGGCTAACTAGTGAACAAACTTACTTGCGTGGTTCCGCAACATTTCGCGCTATAAAAAGCGCTTCAAATGCATGTGCATTGCGGGCAATAGCAGCACACTCAATGGCAAGGAATCCCTTATTGTCAAGGATGTCGGACCTAGCCGCGTGCGAAAGCAATGATGTAACCAGCTTATCCTTGCGCTTCTCTACAGCAAGATGCAGAAGCGTACAGCCTTTATAGTTGGTCCTGTCCAGGAGGTCCGCTTTCTTCAGGCTGTGGCACACGCGGACAATAGCATCGTTTTCCTCGGACATGTCCCCCAGGAACATTGACCAGTGGTTCTCGCGTGGATGAGACAAAGCTTGATCCAAGAGACATTCCAGGTCCTGCAACTCTCCGAACAATGCAGCAGTCAGAATCGGGTCAAATGCGTGTGAAGACACGCCGGACACATCTGCACCAAATAACAGAAGTTCTTCGAGTATTTCTCGTGAACCGGCAATGCTCGCAACGAGATTTAAAGGAGTTGTGATTCTTAGACCATCTTTGACTGGATACTTTGTGTTCTCATCCGAATCCTCTTCCTCGCTCTCTGAAAACACATATTCGCTTTTTGGAATTTCCTCTATCTCGCAGAAGTTTACATCCGCTCCTGCATGTATTATGGTGGTCAATATGGATTTAAGCCTTGCGTATAGGTCGCTAGCTACTTTTTTCTTTCTTCTCTGCTCTGTGTATCCTCGGATCAATGTAATGAGTGAGAATGGTGGCGGTTGCACCCCATTTTGTAGTAGAACATCCACAAAGTTCACTTCGAGGTCCTTGATGGCGTTATCCAATACGGCCTGCAAGTCAATGTTGGCTGGCAAGGTAGCACCAAAACGCATGAGGACATCAATGACTTTCCATCGATTACCAAGTAGAGCGATGGCAAGTGGAGTGCGTGAATCATCATCTTCTGATATCCAAGAGACTCGGTAATTCTTTTGAATAGCCTTCGTGACAGTCAACGAACGAAGAGCAGCCCCTTGGTCTTCGCCTGGCGGTTGGGGTCTGGACACAGGCCGGTTGAGAAGGATTGTAGAGAGCTCCGCGGTGCCTTTCCGGCAAAGTAGGAAGGCTACCTTTTCGAGGTCTTGTAAATTGACATTATCGTCACATCGGGCTAGGTAATGTAGTGGCGTTCGTCCTTCGTTGTCCAGAGCTTCCACGGAAGCTCCCGACTGGACTAGAAGCTTGATGAGCGACACATCAGGTTGCAAGACCGCATAGTGAAGTACTGTCATTCCAACTGAATCGGTCAACGTCGGATCTGCACCTTTGGACAATAAAAATTGCACAATCTTGAAGCTCTTCTCTTCCGGTAGCTGCATCTCATCTTCTAGACCTCGCTGGCGAACCGGGTGGTTGCGACCAAGTAGAAACCCACACGCTTGCATCAGTGTGGATGCACCTTTCCTGGTCAGCCAGAAGCCGAACCCTTCAGTGGTAAGACGACAATCCAGAGCTTGTGCTGATTCCCCGTATTCCTCAGTCTGTTGCTGGTTCACATCTGCCCCACCGTCGACCAAGGCGGTGATTGTATCCAAGAACCCATTCATAACAGCTTCATGTAGAGCTGTACGCCCGGCCGGCGTTATGTAGTTTACATTTGCGCCATGACTTATGAGACATTGCACGTAACTTGGATCACTGCGGAAGGCGGCTACATGGAGTGCACGGCCAAGACTGACGTCGGCGCCCGCTTTGATGAGCATCTGCATCACTGACAATTGGCCATCACGGATAGCACACGGGAATAACACAGACTTCCAATCCGACTCATTCGCTCTGTGGCTATTGAAATCATTTCTGCCATATCCGCCGGGTCTGGGTATTCCAGAGTCAAGTCCGTTGTAGCGCTGCTCTTTTCCTATCACCCTCCACAGATTGGCTGAGAATCGTGACCGACCGGTATCGAATTTGCCATGTTCCCACATTATGTTGAACTTGGCAACACGCAGCTCTTCATCCGGTATCTCTAGGTAGTGCACGAGTTCACAGAAGATCTCCACTTCACTGGGACTTTGCCCCTCTGCGGCCAGGATAACAGGAGGGGGCGCATTGGTATATGAATTGACCTGCTCTTTAGAAAGTCTATACAACTCGAGGTCGGGCTGTCCAGACTTTGAATGATGCTCCAGGAGCTTTCGAACGATATGAAGATGCCTGGCAACAACAGCCCAATGAAGTGCAGTCCATCCAGACTTGTCCCAAGATCGATAATCCTCGCCATTGTCGAGCAGCATGCTGACCTGGGCGAGATCTCCATGAAATGCCGCTCGGGACAAGACACTCTCAGGCTCAGGGTTTGTGGTGCGCTCCATAGTGGTATCGATGGATGTTGCGATAAGTCAACTGTTGACGTTACGAGGCTCAAGGCTCCCACCCCGGCCAAGTCCCTCCCGAGGTGGGCCAGCCGGGTAATTTCCACGCTAAATCCATCGACTTCTCTTTCCGAAGAGTATCATGCGTATGCATTCACCTACCCATCTGACCATCGTAGGTGTTTTAGGCTTTTACTATCAAGATCGCCTTCTTGATCACCGGAGTGGGACACGTCGTCGTTCCAGTTCAAAGACCCACAACTTTCTGTTGACTTGGCGCCGGGTAAAGGAATATATAATTTGGAACGTAGTTTGGGATCTAGCTTGGCAGCCCTTGACTATATAGAGCTACATGTGAAATAGGACAGTGACTTGGAATAATGTTGGTTTTGTGTAAGCTACCTACATGCACATGGGGTCAATAAGACCTGTGATATATATATACAACTAATTCTTTTGTAGATCTATATATATATATATTGAACACCTTCGAGGTTATGGATTGCTCTCTATCTCAATCTTATATATATTTGATATATTATGTTCGCAAAGGCAAGGGAAACAGGCCGTCTCGGCTGAAACACTCAGTAAGGGATCTGGTGCTCCATGGGTGGAGTGGGATTCATTGGCTGCATTGGGGAGGCGAGGTTAAAGTAGAAGTTTCAGATATCTTGCTATTGCTCAAATTATGTATTATTGTTCAAACAATCCTGTTAGACAAATGACGGTGTCGCCACCTCAATGTACAATGTCTTGGTTATAGTCGGCTATGCACGGGCTCGGTTTATATACTTCAATTTTTATATTCAACGCATATTGACACCTATTAATCCATTTTTCATGGATTAACTCTCTTAAAAAATCCATATAAACCCCACTACACAAGGTCCACTATCACATCCACCGATCTTCCCTTTGGTCGAGCCGGAATAGCCTGTTTTGCCTCATGTCCGACCTCGGAGATCAGATCAGATTGATAAGCCATGTGAAAAAGGCCTAAAAAGAAGCCAAATCAAGTCGCAGAGACAACAGCATTGAAAACAAATGATATTAAAAGTTGTTAAAAATCGACATCTTCAACTCCCTCCAGTCCCTCCAAACCTCTCCAAATCCCAACCCAAAAGGCTTATCTCCGCCCACCGCCACCCGCGAAACCCCGAAAAACTTCCTTTTCCCGGTGACGCATCCTTTTTTTCTCGCAACTCAGACCCAGTGAACTTTTGGTTGAATTGACTGAATGCCGAACGTGGAATTTGCTTCAGGCCACGGTACCTGCAACCAGTTCGGCACAGACTCAAACGCCTCTTTAGGGACGTCATGGACCGCACAGTTTGAAGATTCTACAATGGCCACGACATCAGGGACAGCCTCTCCTTCAGCCCCCAAGACCCCTGTTGAATCAGATAATATCACTCCCGGGCAGCGGATGATCTCTGCGACCGCTGGCAATGTCTTGACCGGGCTTCTAGGTGAGTCGGAAGAGCTCCCGATCCTTGGAAATCCAACACTAACAGCTCTTCAGTGACACCCTTGGATGTCGTACGAGTGCGTTTACAGTCACAATCACAAGTCCACAACACTTCACCCTTTACCTCTCACACTACCCAAACCTTGAAAAACCTACCTCCGAACCTCGGTATCACCTCCTGCTGTCGCGAAGTATTCTGGGTCGGAAACGATGCCCAGATGTGCATGCTAGGGCCTCAGGCGACCGCGGTCGGAACCCATCCACATACAGCGATCGATTGCGCGGTCGAAGAGACGCAGCGGCGAACATTCACATCAACGTTAGACGGACTAAGGAAGATCGCGCGCAATGAAGGAACTTTGACACTGTGGCGGGGGTTGAGCCCGACCTTGATGATGGGAATCCCGGCCAACGTCATTTACTTTGCTGGTTATGACTGGCTGCGCACAGATGAGCGAAGTCCTATCAAGCAACGGGTATCTGAGGGGTATGCGCCCTTGATAGCCGGTTCCTTGGCTCGCGTCGCAGCCGCAGCAGCAACCAGTCCACTGGAGATGTTTCGGACGCGTCTTCAGGCAACTCCGGGGACGGGTGCGGGCCACTTTAAAACCACTGTGGAGGATTTGTACCATATGACACAAGCAAAGGGATATAGCTCGCTCTGGCGAGGGTTCACTCTTACCATGTGGCGTGATGTTCCTTTCTCCGGACTCTACTGGTGGGGATACGAGGAGGTGAAAAAGGCTCTGATCGCGGCGCGCCAGAAGGCCCCTCATCTTTCGGGTTTGGACCACGAGCCTCAAGAGTCCAGTCTTCAATCTTTCCTCGATAGCTTCATCTCCGGAGGTATTTCAGGCTCTTTAGCAGCATTTGTTACTACCCCGTTCGATGTCGGTAAGACGCGACAGCAAGTTTTCCGACATTTGGATGACGTTCCTTCTACTGGCGCCCGCATATTACCCGGCAGCTTGGCGCCCGAGCAACTATCCTTACCAAAATTCCTCATGCACATCTTCCGTGAAGAAGGTACCGCTGGCCTATTCCGTGGTTGGACGGCACGATGTCTCAAAGTTGCCCCGGCCTGCGCCATCATGATCTCAACCTATGAGCTTGGAAAGCGCATGGCCCGAGAGGTCAACGAAAGACGACACTCTGATGCATAATCCCTGTACAATTATAATGGTGTATAATGCACATTGTCTCTCCACTTTTTTTATGGCGTTTCTGATGCATGAGTTATAGAGTGGTGCATTAGCATTTGGAAGGTGTTTCTATGTATATAAATTAATGGAAAATCTCTCTCTCTCTCTCTCTCTCTCTGGAAATATTAAAAAAAGAGACACATCGCTTTGACTCACAACACAGCCCTGGGCAGATTTAGTGGGCGAACTAGTCGGGGCGTGATCATCCGGACCCCATGAGGCTGAAGTGTTCCCCCCCTAATTTATGAGATTTAAGAATGACTTGTCTCTTTAATCCGTTCTGCATGTCTATAATTCTGTAATCCTGCAACATATGTTCAACAAAAAGGCAATATGACTTCACGGCCACCCATAACAGACCAGACGCGCTCATGGTTTGAGCCCATTGCTGTTGAAAAAGATACTAATGTCGAGTAAGTATCTATTCCTTATTATTATATTCATATATTAACTCATTCAGTATTGTCGCCGTCCCGCCTATCGGTGCCCATCATAGAAAGACATGGATAGCGCATGGCGCGAAATCCTCTTGGCTTGAACTTGAACTGCTAAAGCAGATCCCTCGAGCACGAGTCCTGCTGTATAACTATGGAGATCTGCGTGATGATAAAATCGACACCTTGGGTGAGCGACTCTTGAATCAACTACGTACCGAGCGGAAAAATGAGGTCTGCTATACTCTTCCCTTTCCACACCCTAAAATAAATTTCTCACCATTTCATCAGCCAACTCGACGTCCCATCTTCCTCATCTGTCACAGCACTGGGGGTCTCGTTGTTAAAGCAGCTCTAGCGCTGGCATCACGGGAGCCGAGCCAGTCCATCTTAACCAGCTGTCATGGTATCGCCTTCTTTGCCACTCCCCACCAAGGTTCGACCTATCTCTCCGCCGATGAGTATGCTGCTAGTATTCGCCATCTCTTGCATCTGCAGCATGACACACCGGCAGCGCTCAGGAAGCAGTTGCGTCCCCGCCAAGAGCGCCTGTGGCATCTATCAAACCAGTTCAAGACTCTTTCAGCCGATATGAAGGTCTGGTCTTTTCTCGAAACTGTGGACTCAACTATGCGTGTGATTGACGCTGAGACCAATAAAATGTTGGAGTTTCATGTTCCCATTACTTCGATTCGGTCGGGTTTGTTGGATATTGAGAATGAAAAAGAACTGCCCATGGCAACCGACCATACGGGGACGGCAACTTTCCATGGTCAGGAGTCAACACGAGATCGATTTCTAAATGAGTTGGGTGATGCCGTTGAGACTGCTGTGGAAATATCAAAGCGCGAGGATACGCCGCTGGGCGTAGAGCAGCAAGTCATGGTTCAAATCAACGGCTTCTTTGAGGATACGGCACTGGGCGTCAGTGATGAAAGTCCCCTCAAGCTATGGTCGACCAAGGTGTCGTTAGAAGATTACCTCTCCCGGGGTCCGTCGGCTTGCCTTCGGGAGAGACTAGGTCGAGTTCAGCCCAGTGGCTTGGACGACTCGTCAATCAGCAGTTATGATAGTCCTCGCTCATCTTACATTGCTTCTGGCTCTGATCCACATGACCATCATCACAACCATCATCACAACCATCATCACAACCATCATCACGGCCATCATGACGTGACACCAAGGCCCCTGCGACCGCCTCTACCATACAGACGAAGCTTTGATGATCCATCCGGTCCATCTCCACAGATCCACATCACCAAAGCAGATATGGAGGACTACTCGAATGACATACCGAGTGAAACTCCACCTCCGCCACAGGAGCCGAAACGAAAGAGCTCCCTTAGTAAGGCACTGGGATTCTTTCCATTGACGCGATCTCATCGTCGGAGCACTTCTGACAGCAGTTCCCAGGGGAGCATTGAACGGCCACCTTCGTAAGAATATTACACCCCAATGCTTAGGTCAAACCCCTATCTAATACATAATAGGAGCGCTTCTACATCGCAACCTGTGCAATCGCCTTTCCTGGCGATACCGAAATCCACTCGCGATCGTATCAGCCAGAATGCCGACGTCGCGGATATACCTCGAGCAGTTCCACGTTTCGATCGACCTGAAGCCGATACAGAGAAATTGATGTGGATTCATGTACCATATACGCATACCGGCTGGGTATCCCAGGTTATCCGCCGAGCATGTCAAGATAGTCAAGAGCCTAATTTGTAGGGCATATTAACTCCATGAGATCTTGAAAGTTGCTGACTATCTTTTGCAGTGTTCGAAAATTCATCAATGACGAAAATTGGTATCACCGGCTCAATAGAGCTCGTCATCTCGAGCCTCACGCACGTTTCGTCAAGCCCGCGTGTATTCACTCAAGACAAATGGATGTTTCACAAACTCCTTCTGCACAAAGCCCTTCTGATTCTACCGAGGACCCTCAACTCGCTCTATACGTATGCTTCAACTCCTCCATATGACTATCAGTGCTAACATATATTCATTTCAGTCTCCCTACGTCAGTACTTCTCGTTAGCCAAGTATTCCTTCCACCACTCTGCTAACTCACTCCAGCTTCACTGGGATACATACCGTAACCTAATTCAACGGCGCAAAGTAGTCGAAGACCGCCTCAACCAAGGCCGATCCAGACCCGTCCCTGGCCGAATCTCAAAAGCAAGCCTGGAAGCCCAGCTCATCTGGACCTACCTCGGCTGTGAGCCTCCGGTACACTTCCGCCGCACACTCGATCAATACGGGTATCCCAATCTGCGCTCGACCATCGCTCGCGACGATGACCAGATGCTCTGGAAACGAACTCGCAGACCGGCGCGCATTGATGATCAGCTAAAAGAGTATCTACATTCTGCACAGGATGATCCCGATAACGAGGAGACCGGCGAGTTTATGGATGGGAATGTCCTGATGGTTGATCAGCTCTGGCTCTGGATTGTTGATCAGAAGACTGTTGTTACTTTCTTTCCAAATCAGGAAGCTAATACCTCCGAGGGAAAACTTTTTGAACAGTCTAACTTGCATAGCAGCATTTACAATGAGTTGAATGGGGATCTCTCGCGTCGCTTTGAGACGGCTGGTGACTTGGCTGCTCTCATTATGCTGCATTCTGTCACCGTCCTCCTCGACAAGACTCTGCATCATGATCTGCAGGTATTGCGGATATTTGAGGAGTCAATTAGCATATTGGTATGAGTTATTCCTTTCAGTTTCTCAATTTGCTTGTGTTAACAAAGTCAGACCGAATCTGTCACCAAATCTTTCAAGCGCTTTAGAAACAGAGGCTTCACCAACCGCCCAGTGGATCATGATCGCACTTCAGATGGCAAGATAATGACAGCTGCCCAGCAGGAATATAAAGAATTCCAGGTTGCTCGTCGAAACCGAGAAGATCTCTCCGTTCTACTCGAACTGCGCGATATCGAGGATGAGCTATCCACCATCTTAAAGCTGCTCGATCAACAAGACACCGTTATCAAAAGTATGGTCAAATATTTTGACAGCAGGGGTGGATACGGGAAAGAATTCCTCAATACAGCACAAGAGCGGATTGACGGATATCGTGCACAAATCAACGAGATGAAAGAAAGCAGCCATCTAGCGCAGAAAGCCGTTAGTTTCCACGCCCCCTGCATGATATTTCTATCTACTAACCAAGCCTAGGTGGAAACCCTTCTAGATCTGAAGCAGAAACAGGCGAATGTCGACGAAGCAAAAATGACTCGATGGCAGGCTGAAGTCGCTCAAACACAATCTCGAGCAGTAATGGTCTTTACCATATTCAGCGTTGTGTAAGTTTCCATACTCTCCACACCAACCTCAACATCACTGACAATCCAAGTTTCCTCCCTCTATCCTTCTTCACCTCCCTCTTCGGAATCAACGCCCGAGAATGGAGCGGCGAACAGACAAACCCAACCCTAGGCGAAATGTTCGAGATAGCCGGTCCGTGTCATCCAATTACCATATCAATACTTACAACTAATATCCTCTAGGCCCGGCATCCTTCGGAATAATCTTCCTCTCCCTCTTCATAGCCTTCAGCGACTCGCTACGCGATATCGTATCAAAAGCGCACAAGATCAGCATGGGCCTACTGAAAGAATTCATCTTGCACCCTATTCAATCATTCGTGGTGGATTCCACTACGGGTAAAATACCTGTTCATGTCGTACCTGAGGACTCTAGGCTTAGGAAACGATTTGACGAGTACCTCGGTTATGGGAGGAGGAATATGCAGCGTGATGATGATATTTGGCAGCGGTGGCAGGGGGATCGGATTTCTAAGGGGAAGGGGGTTAAGAAGGAGAAGTATAGAGTGAATGCTGGATTGGATCAGAGAATTCGTGGAGAGGTCTAGTTTGTATTTTCTTGCTTTTGGTATAGGTTTTTGCTTTTGGTGGTTGTTTGATACCCCCTGCATCTTGCATTTTATGTCTTCCTTTTTGTCTTTTTTTGGGAGTACGTATATATGACAGCAACATACATATTGATTTGGCCATAACTACAAGAGTCTGTATGTTGTCCATTAACTTCACAGGCCACAAAAGTGCAAATGTAAGCCCTAGAAAGGTAGAGTCTACATATATTGCTGGATGATTCCATCTCCCATTGCTTGCTAGTAGACTAAGCAATTGTTTGCTAGTTCCTAGGGGATGAATACGCTGCTTTTCATAAATTAAATAATCGAGATTCCTTCGGCTATGCGGTTCTCGGAGTGGGTTCTTACTGCAGAACCTAGAGTCCTCTCTCCACCTTGATCGACCTGCTCCGAATCCCACTCTACATGATCATTAGCAAAGATCTGCAGTGGTTTAAGAAAAATTGGCAGAGGTCTCGAAAGCGGGGGCAATTCTATCAATGAGATTGAAGCCAAGAGCAGGCAGCACTGTCTAGAATGTGATGTTTGGCTTTGTGCGACAACTAGTTATGCAGTTTATGCACAGGGTGAGCGCATAGAAGCTGAATTTGGCTGAAGATCCCTAAGAGAATACGGGCACGGGGGTCTTCGTTTAGATACTTGACTATATATACTTGTATGCTCCCCATAATCTTATATTATAATCCATTACATCTTTGATTTCACATGAATATCCTTTTGTCCTTGCAAATTTGGAAAATTGAACAAAAATATTGAAGACATGATGCTTCAATCCATGCAGAACACCTTGCAGTATTTTTCGGTGGTTGCCGGCACAGTAAGCTCTCTCAATTTCAGGTTATCTGGTGCACTGCTGAGCTTTTTTCCACCTTCGCTACAGGTTATCATCTTGATTGTGATGAACTGCGTCTATCAACTATTCATCAATCCTCTCCGCAAATACCCAGGTCCAAAGCTCTCAGCAGTCACCCGAGTCCCCCATCTCTACCACACTTTAAGAGGTGATCTTATCGAATGGGTGCAAGGCATACACGTTAGGTACGGCGATGCGGTCCGTATTGCCCCGGACGAGCTCAGCTACGCCACCAGCGAAGCATGGAGAGGGATTTATGGCCATGCATGTGCAGGTATTAAAACCACCGAGAAGGATCCCCGGTTTTACGGTTCGTCGTTCAACGGGGCACCTGATATCATTCGGGCTGGGGGCCCAGATCATGCTCGCTTTCGGCGAAACTTCTCGCACGCATTCTCAGACAAAGCCCTGAGAGAGCAAGAGCCTCTGATTAGCCGCTATGCGGATATGCTTACCTCAAGGCTTCGAACGGTGGTCCAAGAAAACCCAAATACCGAAGTTGAAATGGTGCGCATGTACAACCTTGCCACATTCGACATTATGGGTGACTTAACCTTTGGAGACACCCTCAATTTGCTCACTGGAACCGGCAATAGTGACTGGGTTTCGTTTATCTTCGACAATGTCAAAACAAATGCAATTCTCAGATTGGCGGGCTACTATCCCTGGACTTCTGTCTTTCTTCGGGCACTCATTCCACAATCGCTGGTTGAGGCTAGCATTGCACACCATGACAAGTGCAAGGAGCGTGTTGATAAACGGGTTAACCAGGAACTAACTCGGCCGGATATTTGGGGTCTGGTCATGGCCCAAACGGGAAAACTGCGTCTCACCCGCGAGGAGATGTACGCAAACTCGCAGATCTTCATGGCTGCTGGCACTGAAACTACAGCCACGGCCTTGAGTGGCCTGACATACCAACTCTTACTGAGCCCCGACAAGCTTGGTAAGCTCACAAGTGAGGTTCGCCACACTTTCAAACGTGATTCGGATATCAATATTACCACGCTGGCTGGAATGAAATACTTGAATGCATGTATTGACGAGGGTCTGCGAATTTATCCCCCGGTTCCTGCGGGTATGCCTAGAGTAACTCCGAGTGATGGGCTCTTGGTTTGCGGAGAACACGTCCCAGGAAATGTGAGTTCTATTATCTACTTGCTCAAGCGATGGAACACTAATGGAATGGATAGACTGCTATCTCAGTGAGCCAGTGGGTAACGTATCGCAATCCCAAGAATTTCACTCGACCAAATGAATTTCTCCCTGAGCGCTGGACCGATGATATTAGATTCGCCAGTGATGACAAGTTCGCTTTCCAACCGTTCTCATATGGTCCTCGAAACTGCATTGGAAAGAAGTAAGTGGAGCCTGTTGTTACCTAGGTTGCCGATGAACGAGGTCACTAACTTACCATAAATTCAGCCTTGCATACCACGAAATGCGACTCATCCTCGCCAAGGTCATATACAATTTTGACCTATCTTTGGTTCCGGAGTCGGTTGGTTGGGAGAACCAGAGGACATTCATGTTGTGGGAAAAGAACAGGCTCTTGGTCCATCTCAAGCCAAGGAACTAAAAAGGACTGGCTCTATGTTACAGTACAACAGTTTGGTTAGTATAAGTACACTAGTAAATAGGTTCCTGGATAGGGAAGATCATTTCCTACTGAGCATCTTTTATTAGGGGGAGAATCAAGGTTGAAAAGGATGCTGAGCCGGTTTATGACGACAATACCGTTCATATCATTGGTCGAAGAATGAAGTACTTGACCGGTCCCACAGCCCATATTCAATATTCAATCAATTTAAATAGATGTATGAGATTGTGGCTGAGTTGAGCAGATTTGATAATCGGTTTTCGTGATGTTCTGTTGAGGTTGTCGCCTAGAAGAACCAACTCGTCATCCCTCGAGGCATTATTGGCTTCGCCAGCCAAAATGTAGAATTCAACACAGTGGTCTGAAGAATAAGACTTTGACAAGGTGGATGAAGTGAAAGATACTAAGTCCTCACTTATCTTCAACCTTTTGTGGAAAGGATAAGCCAATTGTTCGGGATATTTCAATAGTCGGCCAGGATACGACCTGATTTATATGTAAGTAAGAGAATACATATTTCAAAGAGTTAGATCACAGATAAGCCAGTCCTCTCACTTAATTTCATCTTCTAGTCCACTAATAAGTACACTCTGCCTTTTATTCATGACCTCCAAACTTTCAATGCTCTCCTCCAACTTTTCCACCAACTTTAACATCTTCCCAGTAAACTGTAGACAAGCCCTGGTAATTTGGATCTTATTTTTCTGCGCCAGGTAAATTGCACGCAAGAGCTCTTCTCCGCGAGTTTTGTCTCGCTCGCGGTCTATTTTCAGCTTCTCGGATGTGATGATCTTTTGATCATCTTGGAGAGGCTTCTATAAAGATATTAGATAGGTGAATCGAAGGTAAGCTTAACCGGTTGGTAAGAAAGATAAGATACCTCACAAACTAAATCATGCATATTCATATTTCCAAAGGATGATCTGCAAGTAAAGGAATGGTCTGGATGCGTTTTCGGCTGCTTTTGTCGGTGAAGATACCAAATATATCCTAAATATTATATAGGAGACATTCTAGGCCCTTTAGTTCTTCCCTAGTGGCGCAGCTAGATCTACCAAGGTTAGACGAATTCTTTTTATGCAGGCAGAGAAATAATGTCCAGGTTTTATGATTGTGCTATGAAAACAGAAATCACGGATTACGCCCCATTGCCATGCCACGACAAAGTAGTAGGCTGTGTAGAAGACGACGAACCAACAAGGTAAAAGTAACCGCCTTGGTACCAACGAGACAAAGAACAAGTGCAGGCCTAGAACAAACATGCTTGGTTGTTATTTCTTGGTCATAACCCTTCCCCCCCCCATATTGTAATGGGCCTTCTTGCCGCTGGTACTGCGAGGCGCAGAACCACCAGAGGGGACATAGTTAGGGGAGGACTTAGCATGAATTGTGCGGATTACGACCAGCTGTCAATCTGTAAATGAAGATAGAACTGCACCTTGCTCAAATAGACAAGTTGGAAATATCGTTCATACGTATAGCACCAAGTATCCTGTGAGGCCGATTGACCAAAATCATACGACTTTGTTGGATATATCGTTGACAGCAATAAATCCTGTTTCTCCGACTCTAAGCGGAGTCTAGCACTGCCGGCTTAAACCTTGTTCCCTGAGAAGTCCTTGGCTTAGTTGTGTAGTTGGACCCTCATTTGTCAATCTCAGTAGAAAAGAGGAGTACAACCAATATACATGTACTAAATCCTTAGCGAGGGTCCATTTGTGGATTCCACCCGCTGTGGGGAGAACCATATAACCTGTTGGAATAGGCTGACATCTTCCAATCTTACCGAATATTGCCTTTGTTTGGATGCTCGGCACATCTGTGCCGGATCTCCTGTTTTGGTTGGGGTTCAATATGGCCCAACTGTAGATCTTGCACAAAAGGGATCTCGCTGGATACTCTAACATGTTCTCTGAATGGCTTGATAACCCCTGCACTTATTTTGAATAAGGGTTATCAATGTAAGACCTAAAAAGAGTGCAGGAACAGTTCAGAGAGCTATACCCCTGGTCACGTGTAGAGAAAAAGCTTTCGCCTTCCGCCTCTAGTAAACTCGCCAAGGAAACTGCGCCACTGCCAAGCATCAGTTTCTGTTCTTCTGTTAGGGCTATTCTCCCAGACCAATAGAGATGAGATTAAAAACGCCTAGCAAAATTATGTCTACGGAGTAGCCGTACATGTTTGTGAAAACCAGGGTCGGAATTAAGTTTGAGAATGACAGAAAGTGACCATTGTATGGGAATATCATAAACTACCTCCTCTTCGAGTGTTAGATTCATACCAGGACTGTGAGGCCTATATTCTCTTCAGACTTTCGAACTCGCCTAGCTTCCAAGAACATCGTGAGCTTAGCCATAACAATGGAGCTGAATGTAAGGGACATGAAGGTCTTTGTCGACCATGAAGGGCGATCAAAGCGAGTATATCCCCACATAAACCCAGCTAAGGCGGCTTGGACGGCCGTGTTTATCGCCTTGCACCAAACCACGAAATCCAGTTTCCACAATTTCGTCGATAAAGGCATGGCTCCCGAATCTACCAGGCTAAGTGAGATGCCTGAGAGTGAATCTCGACCTCGCTGATCTTCTGCACTCCCACTTGCAACTTCAATCTTCGTCAGGTTGGATTTTGCATCAACCTTGCCATCCAGCTTGAACCAATCCTTGTTGTACTCAGCAAGTCTATGCAAACAGTCTTTGTTGCGAGACAGTCGATATCGCAGCAAGAAGTACAGATCACGGTATCGCAATGGCGCAAGCCCGAATGCAGGCATACACAGTAATGCCACAAGGATCTGGCTGTCTATCTCCATCCATTGAAGGCGGGACGAATTCGGATCATCGCAGGTCGGATGACACATTGCTGGTGATACGTTGCAGAATAGGAGGAAGTCCATAGCTCCCCATGCAACCACGTTGAGGATATATACGGTGACAAGACAGCCGAACGGCGTTACTTGAGGCAACGTAGGCAGTCCATGCAACCAAGTTCGCTTTTGCTCCAAGCTCAGATACCCCTTCGAAGGAAAGATATTCATCTTGAAATAGGTAATAGGGGTCGGTGATATAGGCGCTCTGGTAGACTCCCCTCCTTGTTGTGGTTTCGATATTCGGCCGTTGGACGTCAGACTTCCTCGAGCCCTAGTGAGGATACTTGAGTGGTGATCTGGGAAGATCACAGGTCAGTCCTTGAGCTTTCTAGCATATTTTTGAAACATGCGCTAATGTGTGAGCAAATTTTGCATACCGGCGGAAAATCTTGGGCGTTGGTAATCGTTCGCTAAGGCAAATTGAAACTTCTGTGCGCTGAGAGACCAGCACCAGAAACGCACTTTGAGTCGGATCTGGCATGAATTTCCGCTCTATGCTTGATTTGAGGGTCCTATGCATCAATTGCAGTCCCTTCGCTCTCGCGTACACGGGTCGTGGCAGTGTAGTAGGAATACTTGGGACACATACATTGGGCCAAGTGGACCTTGAATTTTGTGAATAAAATATCCGGAATGCATAAACCCCTGCTTGCTTATGATCAAATTACCAGGCAAAAGGATTGATTGCCTGCGCAATGGGTCTAGATTAAGGTTCTCACAAAAGCCACAGCCACCATTGTATTGGAGTGTACCCAGAATTCGAGCCCCTGGAATAGCTCCCTAACTACGCTTGAGACAAGTACGCGTCCTATTTGACCATTGTTCACAGCCACAATAGTACTGGCCCATATGGGATGCCCGAATGTGGATGGCAAAACGCGGATCAGAGGTTTCTATTACATGAAAGTCTGACCCCTATAAGGATTACTTATTTCTCCTTCCGTCCTTCAGAGGTCTTTTCCCGGACAACAAGAAACCTCTCATTGACTCCTGCTTCGAGTCAAGCATTTTTTCGAAGTGCTTGAGACATGTTTGCTCCGCTTCAACAGTACCTCGCGGATGTCAAGGAACCTGTCGAATCATTTCATGATAAAGACGAGGAAAAATGTGGGCGCACTGTGCCAATGCGAGTTCTCGTGCTGGGCTTAAGCCGAACAGGTACTGAATGTGAGTTTCCACTTAATAGGGCAGTCTCATCTCTATATCTCTTTCCTTTGAACACCGCTTTGGATCACATAGCTGAATATGTTGATACAGCACTTCGAAAAGCCTTGATTCATCTGGGATATGATGGCACATATCATGGTTATGCAGCAGCCGTGGAGTACCCACGGGACTGTGAAATGTGGCTCCGGGCTATGAGGGCAAAGTACGACGGCGTAGGAGAGCCATTTGTCAAGCAGGACTGGGATCAACTGCTGGGGGATTACCAGGTGAGTGCTCCATCGACATATAACTTTGGGCCTAATATCTGATATCGTTGGGTGCGAAGGCTGTGTGTGATGTTCCTACGGCATGCTTTGCAGAGGAGTTGATGACTGCATACCCGAACGCGAAGATCATCTTAACAAACCGTGACATTGATGCATGGTTCGAGTGAGTTTCCTAACTCTCCGTCAATCATATCTTTCTTCGCAGTTAGAATCTAATCCATAATTTAGCTCGGTTCAAAAAACACTCGTTGCTAATGCTTTCACTCGACGGGCTTCCTTGATCTCCTTTCTCGCTACGATAACGCGCAGCCCCAACCGATGGACCCGACCAGTCATGATGTACGCCTTGTCTGACTTCTTCGGTGGCAATTTTGAGAAAAATGGAAAGCAAACCTATCAAAAGCACTACGACCGTGTGCGGGAGATGGCTGCCGAGAGAAATATGGAATTGCTTGAATACAAGATTACAGACGGATGGGGTCCGCTATGTAAGTTTCTGGGTCACGACATGCCAGAGAATCCGTTTCCTAGCGGCAATGATAAGCAGGAGGTGAATTCGAGGATCAAAGCAATCATAAATAGGGAGGTTCGACGGTTACTGCTGATCTTTGCGGTGCTCTTCACCTGTTTAGCGTTGATTATTATCATCGCTCTCCTGTCAGTTTCGCTATAGAAAAGCCGGGGTTGCACTTGCACCTGATGTTAGGCACCGGGAAAGGCGGACCTTTGGTAATGGTCAAGTCCAAGCTCGACGCCAGAGAATGTAAACTAGGATAATAATATTATATGTTGAGAATAAGAGAGACAGGCCATACATTATGTTATCGGGGCTGTATACCCTGGACTAGCCTAGATATGTAGGCTATGGCACATTAATGACAGTCTCTTGACCCCTAAATTTCCTATTCAATCTGTCATATTCTATTACCTCTGATTCCTCGTAACGTGCGATGTTGGAGGAATTGATTTCCAGCTTTCCGGAAGCAGGAGTTGTTGGATATCAGACCGTCCCGTCTATGGACCGTCTTCAGACTGTCCTTTGGTTTGTTTGTCAGACTGAGAGCTTGCTTGACTGGGAGGATATAAAGACCCTGCTCTTTGCTAGAATCAACTATAATGTTTCTTCTTCCTCTTCCTCCCCTTCGCCAGTACCCTTAACAGGAGTCCAATGTTATTTCTTTTTTTTTTTTGGCTACCCTGTTGACTATATGAATAAGCAGAGGATATCATGGGGGAGATATGGAGGAGCATTGAATCGCGCAGCTCATCTTTAGGTGACTTGGGGAATACGGTAAGGGAAGTCAGTCAGATGATGACAATCGAGGCTGTTCTATATTTCGCAGAGGCTTCTCAGCGGTTTCGATCCCCTGTACCCCGAGGTCTATAGAACGGAGAAAATGGCAACTAAGCTACAAAAAGGATTCCACCATGCGCTAATCTTATTTTCAGGAAGAGGTATGATTTGGCGAGTCGGATGAGAATAGGTACATACAATCGCGGTAGATTGCATATTTACTTCATTGTGGGCGGTCAGGCTAGATAGACTATATACACACATGTTGTATCAACCCTTTACAGGGCAACAAAAACTCCAAGGACGCCGGCCATACCAGCAGCAGCACCACCGATGGCGGTAGGACGAGCGAAAGCGCCGTTGATAGTGGAGGAAGCAGTGGTGGAGGTGGTCTCGCTAGAACCACTGGAGGTCGAACTAGTCGTGCTGGTAGACTGGGTAGAGGTGGTTGGGTTGACGGTGCCGGACAAAGTGAGATTGTCTTGGCTAGAGACGCTGGTGGAAACTTTGCTAGCGGCCTCGGAAGCCTTGCTTGCCTCGTGGGAGCTGACAGAGGCTGCATCGTCGGTCAAGGTTGACACGGCCGCGGCACTGCTGGTGCTCATGGCGTTGGCGATAGACTCTCCGCCGGGAGATGCCAGGGTCGCGGTGGCCAAGAAGAGGGCGGAGCTGATGAAAGTGAACTTCATTGTCGATCTATAGAGACTAGGCTGGAAAAAGGTTTGTTTGTAGTCTGGATGTGATGTATTGAAGGAATGAACTTCGGGAATTGCAACTGATATTCGATGTAGAGGGGACTGTCTCTTTATATTTGGCCAAGTGGTTTACTTTTCTAGATGTAACACCATTGAAGTTTAATTGGAATTAGTTACGAGTAGGCTGCCGGGTATGGCAGTTGTGACCTTGCCTTTCATAATCGTAGGCCCCGCTAGCTATGAACTGGTGCTCTGCTAGGAAAGCCCAATGCAATTCCGTAGAAGCGAATTGCCATTCTTGGAACCGGTTTATTGGGGCGCAGCGAGGTTGTTCCAACAATCACTTCGGAAGACACCTGCCAAATCTGAACAAGCATGCATGCACGATCATACATGCACGATCTTGCATCCACCTGTCTGAAATGCAACACAGCCCTCGGATACAATTTCAGCATAAGTCTAATTACATCTATATTGCTGCCTTTGCCATCCTGGCATATTAATTGGCCCCGGAAACCTCGGCAGCGTTCACAGCCACATATCTCCACCTATAAGCCGCTCGTGAGTTGCATTCGGTGGCTTAAGACAGTACATAACTAATCCTCATTGTAACAATGACCCCCTATTTTAAGGCCCTTGGCACTGTAGCTTATATGTTGGTGGTCAATATAGTTTTCAAAATTGAGATTGGCACTTGGGAATACGTTTCAGCGCTCTCCGCGCTGAAGGCAACGCGATCTTGCATAACTTGTACCAGAACAGGCATTAGTGCGCTTTTACTGCTCGAAAGTTGCCGGATAGATATTTAAAATCCCTTGCAATGCCTACCTTCTAGATCGTTACTGTGGATCGTAGAACGCCGTCTAAGTACGTACCCCACTCCCCGGGGCCGTTCCATTCGTATATCACCGGAGAATATTAGCACCTGCCACTCTCTTAGTAAATACATTCTACTATGCAAAGCATCAATATTATGTTCGACAGTTGTTATTCACTGCCCCTTCCTTGCCTTTTGTTATAAATGCTTCGTAACTATATATATCAAACGCGGGGTGGAATCCAAAAGTAATAAATTGCAGTCTAACATCACCCTGTTAAGCGTTCTTGTCAATCCCCCAATGAGGGACCGAATACCTATTTTCATGTAGCAACTCTCACAATTGCACGAATAAGTTTTCCCTTAGACATTGTTAGGACATATAGGGGGCCAGAAAGGAAAAAGGCGAGAAAGCCCTAGCTGCTTACTGCTTATCCACTCTCCGTAGTACCCGATTTTTCAATTGATGTCGCGCTATGCAGTTGATGAAGATCATGCGTGTGCCCCACAGCCTAGTCCCTGAACATATTATCGATATCCTCATCGGTGATCTCCGTGAGCGGAGAATCGGCACCAGTCTCTTGGGCCTTCTTGAGGAGAACCTCTGAGATATGGTTCAGCTCTTCACACGCCTTCCGAACCCGAAGTCGGACCAAGCCCAAGCTCGTCCTGGAGTCGAAATTCACGGCCAGGATGATGCGACAGCTTACGAGCTGCATATAAAGGGTACCCTCTTCGCCTTCACCAGATTGCGTTGCAACATTGTTCTCTTTAAGCTGCTTCGCCATCCCACTCGTCTCGGCGCCCGCGGTGAGAGAGGCCAGTGACGTGGTATCCAGGTTGTCGACGTCTCCGCTCGCAGCGATGAGCTGCCCATTGTTATCCACAATGAATACGGTCTTCGCATTGGCGTCCTTAATGAGGCGATCGACGACGTTCTGGATCTGATTCAACTCCTCCTCGTACATGGCCAGTTGAGGGACAACCATCGCTCCTTCTCGTCTCGTTTTGTTCGGTTAATGGCGCGGTCTGTATGTCACAGTGGAATAAGAGGTGTACAATCAAAAGAGAAGAGCAAACTTCTTCAATATTGTCAAAGATATCGTCAAAGATAATTCTTAAAAATCATAGGGAGAGCGGGAGAGCTCTTTATATGATCTTTTATATGTCATATGTCTCCGCTTTGGCGATGTATCACATAACCATACATCGCAGAGCTATCACTAGGAAAAGCTAAAATTACGGCAAATCTGCCAACTCAGAATGTGGACCTCAGGTACCTGTGCTGATGGCCGTGACGGGCCCGTGCGACTCCCGTATCCAGCTGGGTGTCCGAGGAGTGGCAGACAAAATCCGCGACCAGACAATCAAGAGCAAGCAGGTGCCGGAAAAGAATACTAGTTATAGTCAATTTATAGATCCTGCTTTCTAATTTTGATATACCAATGAGGCGACAATAGATCGGTGCAGAACTTAATCTTGTGATAGAAGATTATCAAAAATAGCGGTGTAAGGTCCTCTTGATCTATATTGTAGTACGGATAGGTAGCACTATGATAGGCTGTTTTAGCCCCTTTCGGTTGGAATCTGCAGGTATCAGCTACGCCATCTGTCCACCGATTTGCACTACCCAGTTTCCTGCATAATTACGAGCTCTGGCCCCTCTTACAGTATCATACTCATTTTTTAGATCAAGTTTTAGTGATCAAAATATTGCTATCACCTAACAGGGTAGATCCGCCAATCAGAAGCCATTAGAAAGGGTGGGATGTGCAAATCGGTGCACAGGTGTAGGGTAATCGAAAACTCCCAGCCCCCACGACTTAGCATGGGTATACTGGTATGTTTTGCTGCTATGATAGTTCAAATGTATATTACTTGCGTGGAACTATTTCCCATGAAATATGGATATAAAAGTGGGAGAAAGACCCAGGCATGCAACACCACTCTATCCCTTGATTTATTCTTGCCCATTATAAATTCAAACATCCCATATCCAAAATGTCCAACCCCGGGTCTTCATTCTTGTCATTTGGCGGGGCTACGGGCTTGCGGTCTAGCAGCCAAGCCGACTTTGTCCAGGGGCGCGCATCTGAAGTGTTCATCTTCGGGGGTATGGACGGCGCAGGCGAGACCACCGAGTATCTCGAACAGGATCCCGGCACTGCTGAAACAGTTCGCCTTGCACGCAACGCGGAGAAGGAACGTAAGGACGGCCGCCCGGTACTACCAGTGATCATCTCATACACTGTTAACTTCTCGTGTGGCGATTCCCACAATAAATTAGAGAACAACCAAGCGCTCGCCCATGGCTTTGGGAATCTCATCCTATCGCTACAGGTTGCTGAAGAAGGCCGTGATGCAGAAAACTCCACCCCAGCCACTTACGTGGTGAATCCAGACTTCCTGTCTATATGCGAGGCGGAAAATCTGGGACCGGATTATGTGTTACCTGTCCGCATGCCGCTCCAGGAGGCCCTCGATTTCCGCGGTGTGCCGGCTCAAATCCCGGACAGCATCACAGACGACTTGCGGGGCTATGTGCTCGCTGTCAACTGGCTCGTGCGGACAGTAGCGCCTGCAGTTTCGTTCGGCTGGTCGGTCAGTCCCCAGGCTACTAAGGATGCCAAATCGGTCTATGATGCCGATGCCAAGGCGTCTACGGAGGCGGCCTCCCAGGTGGTCAATTACGTCAAGTCCTTTGGTGTTTTTGACTCCTACTCCCCCGATTTTTTGGCCGTGGACCGCTACGAAGCAGACGACTTCACTGCTCGCAGCTATGTGAATAGTTATTCCGACGGTCCCAGCGAGTCGGGCAAGTTCAGTGATTTCGCCAACACCCTGGGCACTGACCTCTCTGTTCCGGTGATGCTGTGGGATATCACAGGCAGCCGGATACCGTCCATCAATGACAATGTGGAGGGTCAATCTGATTCGCAGCATTGGGGAACAGGTGGAAGCTACATTTTAGGAGACAGTAACATCGGCTCAAAGATTCCGAATCTCGAACCTCACTCCTTGTCATTTTTGGAACGGGGGGTCTTTACTGTTCTTCTGGGTAAGGGCACTACTACAGGGATTGAGCCGGGTGTCAGCCAACCTGAACCATGGGTGAGTGATAAGTAGAAGACTTATAGCGAAACCCAGATTCAGCTAGATTAGGGTTGAATCTTCTTGAACTTCTATCCAGTTCGAGGTGTTGTAGCTTTCCTGTTCATGAAAAATCCCCAGAATTTACGGTTAAGACGGGACGATCCATTAGCATGATATCAGCTTTCCAGCTAGACTATTTCTAATTCTCTTCAATGTGCATGCCCCGTTGTATCTGGGTTCGCACTCTCCGGTTGTCGCTTCGAAGAAGCACTAGGTGCAGTAAGAACCCGGGTAAATTAAGTAGGATTTTAGTAAGTCGTCCATTAGTACGTTCTAGTATAGCGTACAACATACTAGTATATTGTATATACTTACTATCCGTACCTGGACCTTTTTACCCGGTCCTGCGAACTTAGAAGGTAAAGTAAGATAGCCTGAGAAGTATCAAGTAACAAATCAGTACTAACATGGTAACACCATAGTAAGCCCTAGTAAATACTTACATGTCATTCCAGGTAAGGACGCTAAACCCGAAGGGGCAAGAGGCAGAGTACTAGAGTGGCGGTGCAATGGGAACCGATTCTAGCCGCTCACTGTGTCTTTGTATACTTAAGGACATAAATAAAACAACGTACATTCACCATAAAAACCATTAGACATGATTTGAATTTATTTCATCTCGCGTGTCAAGCAGCCAAACGCCGTGAACAGAAAGGAAATTAAAACAACAGAATTTGATCGTTAAAATAAAATGATGAACAGACTGCTCGACAGGGTGGGGTATTTCAAAAACATAGAAATTCAAAATGTCTGTGCTTTCATCACACATGTTAGGGTTCATCAGCAATCTATAGATGTACGCAGATTGCGAAAATGAGGGGGAGGGGAATTTCCTAGTGTGAGCAGGAATGACTCCAAGCTCATTCGGAGGAAACGGAACTGGATAGCCATAAAAGGCTTATACGCAGTAAACAAGTGTTGGACGAGGGTATAGAGGCGGATTCAATGGTGGGAAACTGGCAACGATCGTGTTTTCGGCACAGTTTCATCCCATATACCAGAGTGTTCTTCAGGCCTCAATGGCAGGCAGCGAGGAGGCAAGATTTTCAGCCGAGCACTTCAAGATAGTCTGCATCATGCGACTAGAGTCCAACGGCTTAGACAAGTAATCGTCCATGCCGGCCTGGATGCACTTATCTCGATCCCCAAGCATAGCATGCGCAGTGAGAGCAATGATCGGCGTACGGGGAAGCCCATTCATCTTCTCGTACTGTCTGATATTCCCTGTGGCCTCAAAGCCACCCATAACGGGCATCTGGACGTCCATGAGGACCACATCGTAGCGGTGGTGTTTGACCTCTTTCACGGCTTGGAGGCCGTTTTCCACGACTGTGACGTTGTGATTGAATTTTTCAAGAATTCGGACGGCGACCTTTTGGTTTACATCATTGTCCTCTGCAAGAAGAATTGCCAATGAGCGAGTATAGCCTGATGGGGTGTGGGTTGCGCGGTTGCCGAGGGCCGGAAGAATGCCGTTCCATAGATCAATGGGTCGACAGGGCACTGTGATATAGGATGCTATACCGAGTTCACCGGCAGCTCTGAGCGCTAGGGATACAGTATGCGCTGTAATGACTAGTGGAATGGGTTGGAGGTCCGCGCAGGCTCGGAGCTTTGCGGCGATCTCCAAGTTTTCAATGAGGATTGCGTCGAAGCTGCAGCCCCAGTCACTTTTGAACTGGCCACATTCTAGCTGGTCCTCTGTGACAATGACCGGCTCTAATCCGAGCTCCATGAGCACAGTGGCTATTGGGAAGGTGCGCCCAAGACCGTGGTCGAAGAAGAGAACGCGCCGGCCGCGGTGGGGGACAAGCTGTTCCGCAAAGCTCAGCGGTGGCTGGGCTAGCTTCACTCGGCATGTAAATGAGAATGTGCTTCCTTCTCCCATGTTCGACGTCACCCAGATATCACCGCCCATGAGAGAAACGAGCCTTTTCGAGATTGCGAGGCCTAAACCTGTGCCGCCAAAGCGACGAGTCATCGACCCATCAGCTTGCTGGAACTTGTCAAAGATCAAGCCAAGTTTGCTTTCATCAATGCCGATTCCAGGGTCTGAGACTGAAAACTGGAATGCCGTTTCGTCTGAAGCGCACTTGTCGTCCTGTGCACGCTTTACCGTGACTCTGATCTCGCCGTGGTCTGTGAACTTGATAGCATTGCCGACAAGGTTTAACATGACCTGCCGTAGTCGATATGCGTCTCCGATCAAATAATCCGGTACTTCTCCATCGACTGTGTAGACTAGACCCAATGCCTTCTCGTTGGTTTCCACAGAGAGGGCTTTCAGCACACTGAACACTGTTGCGCCAAGACTGAACGGCGTCTTCTCGATTATCATGTGGTTAGCCTCGATTTTGGAGATGTCAAGTATGTCATCAATGATAGTCAAAAGACTAATGGCAAGGTTATGGACCATATTTAGAGTCTCTCTCACGGGAGCTTGGAGGTCGTCAGTGTCGAGTGCCAGGCTCGAGAGCCCAATTATGCCATTCATGGGGGTTCTGATTTCATGGCTATATTTCGATCAGCACCAATGAAAATCACGCTTCGTAAATCGTGTGAAACGGAGGAAAGGGATTAACGTACCTCATATTAGCCAAAAATTCAGACTTACTCCGATTTGCCAGCTCTGCTGCTTCCCGAGCAGCCGTGTTGCGCTGAATACTGTCGCGCAGACTCGAGATCATTTTATTGATCTTTTGTTTCAAATCGTCCATTTCTCCAGAGGCAGACACGGTAATCAATTTTGTGAAATCTCCACTCATCGCCGCCTCGGTGATCTCACCAAAGGCACGAACCTGAGAGGTCAGGTTGTCTGCCATCGTGTTGACATCTTCACTGATCGATCTCCAAATTCCATGAGATCCCGCAACATTGGCCTGGCCGCCGAGTTTACCCCGGACACCCACGTCCCTCGCCACGCCTTTGAGTTCCCCCGCAAATTCCCCCAACCCGTCCATCATGCTATTGATTGTTTCTTTGAGAGTCAAGATCTCACCCTGGGCGTGGACCTCGATTTTGGTACTAAGATCACCGCGCGCGATGGCCTGAGTCACGTTGGAGATTTGTCGCACTTGCAGAGTGAGGTTTTGGGCCATAGTATTGACGTTATCTGTTAGATCACGCCAGCGACCTTCAACATTTTCGACTTGCGCTTGTCCACCCAGCGTGCCATCTGTGCCTACTTCCCGTGCGACTCGACTGACCTCGAACGCGAACTGATTTAGCCGATCAACCATCGCATTGATCGTCAGCTTGAGATCCAAAATCTCGCCCTTCACGTCCGCGGTCACCTTCTTGGTAAGATCACCACGTGCAACAGCGGTCGTCACATCGGCAATTTCGCGGACCTGCTGTGTAAGATTCGATGCCATCCGATTGACGTTATCTGTAAGATTCTTCCAGGTACCCTCCACGCCGTGTACAACAGCCTGGCCGCCGAGTACACCGTCTGACCCGACCTCTCGCGCGACACGGCTGACCTCAAATGCGAATTCCCGTAGCTGATCGACCATCGAGTTGATGATATTCTTCAATAGCAATATCTCGCCCTTACAATCCGCCTGCACCTTGCGCTGCAAATCACCCTTGGCAACCGCGGTCGTTACGGTGGTGATATCGCGGACCTGCGTGGTCAGATTGTTGGCCATGGCATTCACGTTGACGGTCAATTCATGCCAAATTCCCTGAATGCCCTCGATCTTCGCCTGGCCTCCCAACACACCCTCCGTGCCGACCTCCCTGGCCACCTTCGACACCTCTTGACTGAAAACCTGCAACTGATCCATCATGGTATTGATTGTCTGCTTGAAAGTGGCAATGTCAGGTGACATCTCGAGGGGGTGCATGCGGGCCCGCTGTGAAAGATCGCCATGGGCGACCTGGGTGATGATTTCGCCGATCTCCCGTAGTTCTTTCTGAAAGGCTTCGTTGATGTGAGTGTGCTTTCGAAGTTCCTTCCGAAGGGTTGAGCGTTCATGCTCAATTTCCGCGATGGAAGAATGACACTCGCGGCGGTAAATGAGCTCGTCAACAATGAGGGAAATAAATTCGCGGGGAACGGAGATTTCTGAACTCTGTTGGTGCTGGAGAGCTGCTCGTGCTTGCATGAGATCTGCATCGCTCACCATAGCTGGCCGAGCGGTGTCCACCATGGCAGCCATTTTCGGCAGCAATCACGGTGTATTTTCGATTCAAATTGGGTGAAGGCTTTCTACAACGTGCAATCACTCTGGAGGAAAGTTAGGGACAGACCAGGGGATCAGATGGGGTGACATAACCGTATGGTGATAGGCGGAGCCAACACGGTGTGTTCCCCGCAAGCGCTGTATGCATTCCCGACCAAGATCCACGATGAAGTTCAGATCGAAAGAAATGCAAGTCAGGTGCAGAAAGAGAAATGCAGGACCGGAATGCCGGAGTCTGGAGAGGAAAAGGCGGAGAGAATAAGCGGAGAGGGTTAAAGAGAAGAGAGGGAAAGGAACCCAGTTATTTGCCGGTCCCACCCGCTTATATCGGCCTAAATAAACTAGAATACTTCCAAGATATAACTTATCCCTGTTATGATTTTTCCCATATACCTGTTGTACTCAATCTAGACTCTTGGGGTGGCATGCATTGTAAATTGACCAAATAGCCGAGCCGAGTAGCCAATCAGTTGCATTGCTGTTTTAGGCGGAAATGTGGGATGTAAGGGTTGTACTTTTAGTATTGGGAAAATCTAAGAGCTTCAATAGATATAAGCTGTACATATACGAACTTTATGAGGTGGACATTGTCGATCCCGCCGATCTAACTTTTTGACTCGGGGAGATCTCGGAACTTGATCCGAGTAAGAAATAATTCAGTAAGCTGTATCAGATGGGACTTCATTGGAATACATGATATAGTACAGTGGGGCCTTTTTTTTTGTCAAGTCCCAGGGAGAGAGGGGAGAGAGGAAGAGAGATCAGAACAAGTCCAAAAGAATACAGGTATGGAAAAGAAAAAAGAAAACAAATAAACACCAAATAGAGACACAAAGAAAAGACATTACACAAATATCCGAGTATCAGAACAGGCTACGATGCAAAGAGGAGCGCTCGAGGTAATTCTTCAGGGGAAGGTTAGAGGCTTTAGAACATGCCGCCGCCCATGCCACCCATACCGCCCATACCGCCCATGCCACCACCGGGAGGGGCAGGGCCCTTCTCCTCAGGAGCATCGACAATGGCGACCTCGGTAGTACCAAGGAGGGAGGCGACACCGCTGGCATCAACCAGAGCGGTGCGGACAACCTTCAGGGGGTCGACGATACCAGCGGCAATCATGTCAACGTATTGGCTGGTGGCACTGTCGTATCCGCGGTTGAAGTCCTTGGCGTACTCGTCGGTCAACTTGCCGACAATGACGGAACCCTCAAGTCCGGCGTTCTCAACAATGGTGCGAGCAGGGCGGCAGATGGCGCTCTTGATGATGCTGACACCGAGCTGCTGATCGAAGTTGGCGGGCTTGACACCACCCAGGCCGTTGGCGGAGGCCTTGAGCAGAGCGGTACCACCACCGGGGAGGATACCCTCCTCGACGGCAGCGCGGGTGGCGTTAAGGGCATCCACAACACGGTCCTTCTTCTCACCGACCTCAACCTCGGAGGAACCACCGACCTTGATGACGGCAACACCACCGGAGAGCTTGGCGAGACGCTCCTGCAGCTTCTCCTTCTCGTACTCGGAGGTAGTGGGGTCGGCCATGACACCGCGGATCTGCTCGCAGCGCTGGGAGATGTTGTCCTTGCTACCCTCACCGTTGAGGATAATGGTGTCCTCCTTGGTGATAGTGATGGCACCGGTAGAGCCGAGCATCTCGGGGGTGAGCTTCTCGAGCTTGATGTCGAGCTCATCGGTGAAGACAGTACCGTTGGTGAGAACAGCGAGATCACCGAGGATGCTCTTGCGGTTGTCACCGAATCCGGGGGCCTTGACGGCGGCGACCTGGAGCTGACCACGGAGCTTGTTCAGGATGCAGACGGCGAGAGCCTCGCCCTCAATGTCCTCGGCAATGATAACCAGAGGGCGGCGGAGGGTGGTGGAGGCCTCAAGGGCGGGGAGGATGTCCTGGACAGCGGAGATCTTCTTCTCGGAGAGCAGGATCAGGGGCTTCTCGAACTCGACCTTCTGGGACTTGGGGTCGGTGATGAAGTAGGGAGAGGTGTAACCACGGTCGAAACGCATACCCTCGGTGACCTCGAGCTCATCCTCCAGGGTCTTGCCCTCCTTCACGGTGATGACACCCTCCTTGCCAACACGCTCCATGGCGGTGGAAATGAGCTTGCCGACGTGGGTGTCTCCGTTGGCGGAGATGGTGGCGACCTGGGCGATCTCCTCGCCGGTGGTGATAGGGCGGGCGTTGGCCTGGAGGTATTCAACAGTGGCCTCAACGGCAGCCTGGATACCGCGGCGCAGATCCATGGGGTTGCAACCGGCGGCAACGTTCTTGACGGTCTCGGAGAAGATGGCGCGGGAGAGGACGGTAGCGGTAGTGGTACCGTCACCAGCAACCTCGTTGGTCTTGGAGGCAACATCCTGGATGAGGCGGGCACCGAGGTTCTCGAACTTGTCCTGAAGCTGGATGGCCTTGGCGACAGTTACACCGTCTGCGTATTGGTTAGTCTTCTGCGGGTTGCCATGGATCTGTCTTGATGGAAATCTTACCCTTGGTGATCTTGGGGGAGCCGTAGGGGGAGTCGATGAGGACATTGCGACCCTTGGGACCGAGTGTGGAAGTAACAGCCTTAGCAAGAGTGTCAACACCCTTGAGGAGGCTGGCACGGGCTTCAACGCCAAACTTGATCTCCTACTTGTTGTTAGCAAGGGGAACGACCGAACGCCTCGGAATCGACGGAACATGGAGCCAATGCCGAAGGCAGACGAGGCTGCAAGCAATTGCCAATTCAACGCACCTTGTGAGCAAAACGCTGCTGCTGGAGGTTCAAAGTCGAGCGACAGAAAGGGGCACGCTTGGAAGCGGCCGACAGGACGGAGGTCCGGGTAGAGAGAGCGCGCTGCATGGCTAGGAATGACGAGATTAAAATAATTAAAAGAAGGGAGAAATACTACAACCCAGGAGAAATCACGGGTTTCGGGGGGAAAGAAAGAGATGGAGAAAGCTGGGGGAGAGATGAAGCCAAAGTCTCGAAAATTTTCCAGGCGCTTCCTTCATCCCCAGAGCTTGGCGGCAGAAACAGCTAGAACCGTCACGTGAGCCGGAAGAACGGACCTAAATCGGCTGTCGAATATTGTAGGTATTTTACTATTAGATGCTATTATAGGATAGCATTATATTGAGAACGTGTTAGAATATGTAGTTTGAATTCTTTGATCCATATTTAAAGGGCCCGAAGAAAGATACTTCCAACTGTTATAGAATATTGTAGACTCAAGCCGTGTTTATACCTCGGGAAGCTATATGTTCTCCGTATTCCGGCTTTCGGCAACTTAGAAATCCCCGTATATAAATTAACAACATCCTTTGTACATCTCTAGTTTTCTTTGTTTGTTTCTATATTGCTTCTCACTATATTTGAATCCTCAATTGGTCATGGATAGAAATTCACAGCCTTATATCAACAATTTTGAGGTGGAATACCAGACTGTCTCTCTATATATACCCAAGTCCACATATTACTCACATTGGAATAACCACACTACCAGATCCCTCTCAAAGCTCTTACAATCAAAGGTCAACCTAAGGATATTGCCATATTTATCATTTCACCTTATTTTGACCTACCTATTTCATTATAATAAAGCAGTGAGATACTCACAATAAAATACGAGACACTAAAAAAGATGCAATATGCTGTTATTGGGGGTAACTAACTACCGGGCCCCCCGTAGGGGACCAACGAGCAACGCATGAAATCGCTGGGGGCAACTCCGGATAAGGCGTGACTCCATGACACGCAAGAATAATTATCCGGAGTTGCCCCCGTTGATCGATATCGAGTCTCACCCCTCTCCTCCGATCAACTAGCAGGAAAAGCAAACGCAAAGAAAAAGCAAAGGAAAAGCAAAAACAAAACGAAAACAGAAAGAAAAGGGATTAAAGAAGCATCAAATGAACCAGGAACCATGACGAACGAGGAAATTAAAATTCCTTGACGTCTTCACCGTCGTAGCCCAAATATCGTGGAGGCTCTACGTCAGAGAGGCCCACAAACATTTCATTGTCGGGAATAAACTGGTTGTCAAAGCTGCTGGTTTCAGGGTAACCATAATGGTCCGGAAGTTGCAATTCGGCAGGAATATCAAACGGCGAATATGCAGGGTTTAGTCCATCGCTAGAGGTTGTACCGAGCAAAGCGTCGGGAGTCCGGTTGGCAATATCGAATGGGCTGGGCCCATTGGATGGGAACGGGATGGAAACAGAGCGGGTTGAGAATGGAGGAGGCGGCAGAGGTGAGAAAGGCGCCATAGAATCCGAACGCATGTAAGGGAAATATGATGAATGACGAGGTGGCATGTTGGTGATAACACGCGGTGGGTTGGTTGGGGTAACAGAGTCTCGGAAAGTTGCAGAGTTCTCAAGGGAGCGGTCAACACTTGCCAATCCCTCGCTGCCCACCTTGAGTGTCACCATCTTTGACTTCTTAGCCGCTTGAGTAGTTGCCTGGCTGCTTTCAGTTGAGTCCGCCTCAGAACTCTCTGATTGTCCGTCAACTTCACGGTCAACTCCACGCTCGTCGCCACCAGTGAAGTCACGCAGCCATTCCGCTCCAACACACACCAGCTTCTGGGAGTCATTGCTGTCGGTATCCTCGCGCTTTGTACGCAGCTTGGGAGCAACGAAGACCTTGTCCTTCTTCTTGTTTTTGGTAAACTGCTTCTTCTTCAGAGTGTACACGCTGTCTTCGGACTCATCGTCGGATGGATCACGGCGCCGCTTCTTAGTGCTGCGGGTGTTCGGGCCAGACTCCTCCTTTGGAGAAGGCAACGCATCTTTCTTGTTGCTTGTGTCGCTCTTGTGATAGCCATTTCCTGCACGCTTCAGTGGAGGTGGGTTTGGCTTGTCCTGCTCATCCCGTTTGGCACGCAGCTTGGACAAATGCTGAACGATGGCACCCTCGGTGAACTTTTCTCCCATCGCTTCCGCGACATCCTTCCAGGGAATCTTGACGCCGAGTTTATTGCAGGCATACTGGATGGCCAGCAGAAGCCGAATGTCGGTATCCACTATTCCAGTCAAATGTCAGCATAATCTAATTGAATATTCTCTACATGAATGTGAATGCAAGTCAGTGTGACAGCAATATATCCATCAATGGAGGTCCCCGGATTTGACATCCTCATGAACTCCAAACAGAAACATGAAGCAAGATTGAGAATCATGAAAAGAAGAAAACGTACCATCCCAGCGAACCAGTGTCCGTTGGCGCCGGCTGGTGACCTGGCGCCTGCTCTGGCTCTCTTCCTCCTTGCGAGCCTCTTCAGCTTTCAGCGCCCTGTGCTGTTCTGCGACTTGCTTCCGGAGACTTTCGAGCTCAGCGAGGTCGGCATCATTGTCGCGATTGCTATCGCGATTGTTATCGCGATTGTTATCGCGCTTGCTGTCGCGCTTGCGGCCGTCAGGCTTCTTCTTCGTGGGCATGTTGGAGGAACAATTCCTTTATATCCTTCTGCGCGACATCTTCATTAGCATTTGTGCTCATGACAAACAGAATAAATGCGGAATATATGGACGGGGCGTCCGGTAGGTAACGAGGTATGATCAATGTGTCGCTATGTTGCTGCCAAACTCCAAAGCAGAGGACGTATGGCATTCGAGAATGTCTTCTGTGCAGACAGGGGATGCACGGCAACAAAGGACCGTGATGGGCCAGGCCCAAGGAAAACACCCAATTTTTTCATCATGGAATGCCTTTGAAGTAGGCTAGAGTATGTTGTCGTGTATCATGTTGACAAATATGCAAAGAGTGACAAGGCTAACCATTACTGCAGGGTCTTAGGGCATGACTCAAAGAAGCTGCCCATGCTCACAGCAATTGGTGTCCGATACCATAGTGATGTTGTGTGCAATAACGACATCCTCCAGTGTCAAAAAAGGCATGGGACCAAGGACTGTCGGATGCAAGGCCATCACATTGCAAGATTGTCAACAGACTTAGGCCCCACAGGTGCCCAGAGATCATGCAATTAATATGAGCTTGCGAAATGTTGGACATTGATGTGCAAGAGCCAATCCTCGACAAGGTCAATGGGTCACACAGCAACCCAGGTGCCCTGAAGCTTGGATGGAAATGCGGGGTCCCAGCCATCACAGTGTGCCACAAGAGCCTCATGCCGATGATGAGCTGCTGCAAGAGCCACATGGTGTGAAGTGGGGATGTTCCAGGGGAAGGCTATGGACCAGCACCAGCACAAAGCTGCATTACTCACCTGATGGATATGATAAAAAGGCACTGTCGATGCAGATGCTTTGGTATCGAAGCACAGAAAGATGGGGAATGTTGTGGACGTTGGGAGATAGATGGAGGTTGATGAGATTGAAAGATAAGTGAGAGAAGTCGGGACCAAAGGAAGTGGTGGGGGATGGCAAATCCTCTTGAGCAACAAACCGCCCTGGAACTCCAGCTGTGTTTGGGGTGCTTGTTTGGTTCTTGGTTTCGAGATCGACTACGCGTATTGTATGCACGTGGTTTACTCAAATTGGCACGTTTTATACCACGCACCACAAGGAGGCATATTGAATCTTTACCTATGTCTGCCTGTTGGCGCCTACATTTCTGTTTACACGTGCTGATAACATCTGATTTACCACTTCAAGGCGGCTGAAGACTTGTTGGGATGAAAACTGGATTTGAGACGGCGACGATGTGCATTGTGATGCTCTTGGGACGAACGATCTATATGACTTCGCGGCAACGCTTTTACACCGTACCACCCTCGAAAAATGAAATGAAATGCGCGGAAGGCACTTACTGATATCCCAATGACATATAGCGATTACGATTTTATCAATTGAACGTGATGGGCTGAAGAACATAGTATGTCGCGTTGTCAGCTGTTCTTTATACGAGAATGCTTCTCAAACTATGTGCCGAACGATCTATATAACATCGTGGTAAGGCCTATCCACTCCACCAACTTCGAAGAAAAAAAGGAAACCCACGGGATCCATTTATCAATTAAGCATTGTAAGGTTGGATAATCCGGTGTGTCGCACTATAGAGTGTTCTTTTTACAAGGGTTGTCAAACAACATTTGGAACTGGGTATGTGACGGACGATGTATATAACTTGGCGCTAAGAGCTATGCATCCCACCACACTTGAAAAAAGAAGTAAAACGCACAGAGTGCACTTTCGAATAGTCTAGTAGCACTTTCCGAGAATAGTTTACCAATTGAAGGTTGTGGGGCCGGATAATACAGGGTGTCGCGTTGTATGTCGTTCATCTCCCATCGTTCATCTCCAAGGGATGTTGTCAAAATAAACGCCAGTCACGTGAGAGCAACCGCTACAGACGCCTATCAATCTATACCGGAATAACTCTACCTCGGTTGAACCATCTTCCTTGTCACGTGCTTCCTAGGCACCAAATATTCAAACCGACCAATTCCTCACCGCTGTGCTAGTCACCGCCTTCTTAAAGTAGACTCATATCCACGTGACCTTGACATCCCGATCCTCCGAAGTCGAACGCTTCCAAACTCACCCGAACCGTTTTCACCCCTTCAATCGAACCATACCTCCCACATTCTCTTCAAAATGACTGCTGCCTGGAAAGCCGCCGGTTTGACGTACGCATTTACGAATCGTCTTTAAATTCAATGCTAACCCCGACCCCAGCTACAACCGCTACCTGGCCATCGCCGCCCGCACGGTGCGCCGTTCCTTGAAGGAAGGTCCTCGCCTCGCATCTGAGCGCCGCGGCCAGATGGACCTCCGTTTTGCCAAGTGGGAGGTTAGTGAACTCCCGAGCTCTATGCTACAAACTTTTGACTGATGAGAATGTTACGACAAACAGAACGGCAAGCAGGGTGATGTCAAGTCCCTCGCCCAGGCCAACAACGAGGCCATCGCCAAGGCTGCCGAGAAATAAGCCTTATTCACCCATAACCTGAGAGAATCGAGCTTGGAGATATGCAGGGCCCGAGTGTGACGGACTTGAGCGAGTTTTTGGTCCGGGGGAGGCATTGAAATGTACATGTGTAGCAATACCGGCCTGTCTGGTTGGGCAGAGCTTAGAAATCGCACTCGTCTTTGTTTTCAAACGACGTATAAGCTGTTAATTAAAACTGCCGTAAGAATTCATATACTGCCCGAGCGTGGCCGGTCAGAGGTTGCACGTCACCTCTAGGTCCCGGTTGTCGACTGCCCGACTCGCTTTTTCCTCCGCTCACGTCCCCGCCTCTCCCCCTCGATTTGTCAATTTCTCCAAACACCTCCAACAGCACAATACTTGTCTGAAGTCCTGTAATAAAAACTACACTGCGGGAATTTAGGATCCTTCGCGATGCTGCCGAATAATGAAGTTCGCGTTCCCCGTCCGCGGTTCGTTGCGCAGTCCGCACCCCGCGACATTACCGATGAATTTACAAAAGCCGCCGCAAGTAAGCATATTGCCCCGGCTACTTCAATCAAGTCTCTAATTATTTGTACTTGTAGAGCTAAATACAGGGCAACTCGTGAAAGATGAGACGTTCACACTGTTCGAGGCCGTGGGCGCATTGGAGGTGCGTCGGCTTTCTCATCGGATGTGAAACGTGCAACAAGAATTGCAGCTGACGACGATCGAACCCACACAGATTATGGACTCGAAGATGGATAGCGGCTACATAGCCCCCGGAGAAAATCATGCGCAGGCGCTGGAAGACGACTACGACGTGCGGCAGCCGTTGACACCAGAGGAGCTCATTGGGTTGATGGACCAGTTGCTGTGCCATGAGGTGGGAGATGATATTGTTTGTACGGAGATATGCGGCTTGCTGATTTAATCGCAGGTGGCGTGGCATAAGGGACATCCTCTATCGCAGACGCTATTCACGTCAATCTATCTGGATAAATTATTGTGGCCGGTGCCGAGGACCATGGAGGACGCTCGATTTGACCGTGTACCAAGTGATGCTCCTTTGGTCAACCTCGTCTTGAGAGCTTATTGTCTTGCATTGGTCAAAGCTTGTGATCTTGTTCATATCCGAGTGGCCACTGAATATTATTATGAGGTAAGTCGAATGAGTCGCGGAATATGACTGTCGCTAATGCCATCCGCCAACTAGGAAGAGGATTTTGTCAGTCAACTATACAACCGCAATCTTTTGTCTGCCTGGAGTATATCCCACTTTCACCGTCTGCTGGACCAGGCGGTTGCTTGGGTTGCGGAGCAGACCGATATTGACCAGAAACTCAAAGATGCCATCCACTGCAGACTAGTGTTTCGGCATGAGTTTTTGTCGGCACTAGACCAAGACCTTGAAGTTCTTGAAACCAGATCTACAGAAAACTTTTCCTCGTGTTTAGCTCAACTGCAACCTTTGTCGGAGACAGTCGCACTGGGAAAGCCAGTCCAAGAGGCCTTCAGCTTAAAGATTCAGCGGAAACTTGCTAGCACAGTGCCGCCTCGTCCGATGGTTAATATTAACTCCGATGATGCGCTGGCACATCTGAAAAGACTGTGCCAAGATGCCATAGACATGCAGCAAATGCTTGATTACACTGGTCCCAGCAATTTCAAGGTATGCACTGTTGAACTTGGATCTAGTTCTAGTTCTAACTTGGATTGCAGACTGCTGTGTGGACTTTGCTTTCTCGAAAACCACAACCATCTATCTATATTCGTTGTCTTCTCCAAGCATTGATTGTCAGCAACATGACGATTCTCGGCGCCGTACCAGTCAAGGAGTTTCTATACGATGAACTCGCGGAACTCGTCTTGCCTGCCAATATTTTGCTAGAGGCTAACACCGACGAGGTGGAAGTACCGTCCGATCCTCGGTTCCAGATTGCTCAGAAGATGGATGGTTTCATGAAGCGATTCGCCCAGGTTAGTGTACATATAGATCTTGATATGTCCCATTTACTAACTTTTGCAGCCGTTTGTTGATACTGTGCGATGCGCCTGTCTCAACAGGTGTCGCATTCGCCGAACACTCTGCCACACCCTCATCGATTGGGACAATCTGCAGATGGAGGTCAGTATCTCCCGTGTCTCTTTGCTATCTGGAAATTGATGCTGATCCAACGCAGGCAGAGGAAATTGATCTCGAGCTCCGCACTTTGAGTGCGGAACCGCCTCTGCAATTCCAAGGCGGCGAACCGACCTGGTCTTTCCCACTTAGCAGCTGGGCTTATCACCAGAAGCTTGTCCAATTCAGGCTCATTCTCCAGATGGGCTTTGAGTTGTCGATCTACTCCCCGGAAGAGTTACCGGGCATGTACTGGTATTTGTCTCATATTTGTTCTACACATCTCGGTCACATTGATCGCATTCGTACGTTTACTGTGGCTGCACGAAAACGCGACTTGATGGCTGCTGGCGACCGCTCTGGAAGCTCCGCTCAAAAGGCATCGGCGTTTCACCGATCATTCCACGCTCTGGAGAGGCTAACTACGCACATCATTGCGGTGGATGCTTTTGCGATTGCTCTACATGCGTTGTATGTTGTACTGGCCCGACACAACGTGCTCCCGACTGCCTCGTCTCCGCAGGCGTATTCCACGGACCGACTTCGCTACGAAATCCGGATGAAGCCGTTCATCCCTATCACATTGCCGGAATTGGTCCCATACGAGGAATACCAGCGTGAGGCAGCTCTCGAAGGTGATTCTGACGCTACCATTCTGGAGCGTGCCTCCAAAGCCATTACAGAAGCGCGCAAGGCCTGGGAGGCGACCCTTGCCAATGGGGCATTCATTGATGACCCTTCTTCCCCAAACACACCGCGACCTTCGGCCATTGAAGAGGATTGGAAGCGCAACGTGAAGAACACCATGCGTGCCTGTATTGGAACCAGCCTTGCTGTCGAGGCGATCAAGAAGGCTTTATCTGCGGCATCCTCTGAAGGCAAACCTCTCAACTTGGAGGTGTCTGTTCCTGAGGTTGGATCTAAGTCTCGTTGGCATGACTGGTGGGTGGTACCGCAGGTGTCTGAGAAGAAGCCCAAGGCGTGAAAGATATTTTATCCTATGGAGGAATATGTGTCTGAGTTCTTTGAGTAACTAGTGATGTATGAGTGATACCTTTTATTCGTTATAGAAATGATCATGACTTTATATAAACTTGAGGTACTCTACGTGATATATATATCGACTGTATTGAGCCAATTAGAGCAGCAGGCTTACACATAATAATACTCAATAAGTCATTCAGATATGATATGTATATATACTTATGTATTTATCTTCAAGTCAGTAACACAAAAAAAGAAAAGTCAACAAAACCAAAATCTAAATCAGGGCCTGTCATGTCTAACGGGAACACCCGCTGGTTATGAAATCAACCTCTGCCACCTGGGCATCTTCACAATTTACTCTTTTTCCACACCTGAACTTCTTTTAATTCATACCTCCAATACTACGAATAACCTCGGAACTACTTTGAAAAAGGGTTAAACCTTTTCAGGGCCACATCTTATCTCGGAGTTCATATTCGATTCTGCTTCTCTCTGGCTATTTGCAGAACAATCCGGGGCAGCTCACGGACCTCCTTTGGCCGGTGATAGGCACAGTTGAACGCCATCGCTATAATCGCTCCAAGCCTAGCCTTTTGTACCGATTAGTGATTGGCGTCATTCCGACTGGTCAGCACCAGTGAGAGCTGTCCATTTTCAGTCTTCACCTCAATCTACGTCTTCCTATGCCGCTCCCTCTTATTGCCCGGTCGCCGCAGGCAGCCTCTCCCATCATTTCATTGCTGTCAATCGCGGGGATCCGGTTGTGAAGAAAAAAGGAAAAAAAACCGGAAAATTCACATTATGCCAACTTACCCTATCCGCCGCCGGCCGCGCGAGTGCAAGACCTGTTTACCTTGCCGAGCAAGCAAAGTCCGCTGTGATCGCAACGTCCCCTGCGGCAATTGCACCAAACGAAACTTCACCTGCTCCTACGGTCGTCCATCGTCTGCAAAAGTCCCCCCTCCTACTGTCGTCACAGCCTCCTCCACGCCATCACAGCAACCTACCTTCGTCTCTCCCACGATCCCCCCATATGCCAACTCGGCTCCCACACTCGATGGTTCATATGCAACCGATCATCCTTCGACCGCCAGCGCGGATCCGGATTTACCGGATATAATTGATATCTCCCAGGCGGAGTGGGATGAAATCAACACCAAGATGGCCGCAATGGAACAAATCATCGGCAGTCTGCACTCGCTCTTCCAGACACACTCGACTCATAAGCCGCCAGAACCAGAGCCAGAACCAGAATACATCGAACGAAAAAATTCCACCCGGTCGGAAGGTGTCTACGGATCGAATGTCTTGAAGACGGGCGCGGTCCATCTCGGGTCGCGGTCGGCCTTGGTTGATATCTTAGATAAATCGAAGAGGTCGGAGGATACAGCGCAGGCGCTGCCCCAGGATGATCTTCTTGCTGAACTTGCTTTGGGGAATGAGTCGGCTGCATATCCCTTTGTGGATTTGTGGTCCTCCGACCCGTTCACATTCAATATCGCCGGAGTCTGTGCGATTCTTCCGGAAGACGCAAGATGTTTGGAGTAAGTCGAAGACCTGCGGTGTTCTGTGATGCATGCTAATTCCAATTGTCAGGTTCCTGTCGTTCTACCAGAATATAGGATCAGTTTTATATCCAGTATTGTCGGACACATCACAATTAGTACGACAAACCAAACGGCTTCTCGATAATCGACGACGAGCGGGGGGTGTCTATAAAGCCGATGCCAATGGATTAGTGAAACCATTCGGGATGCCTTTGGCTTTTCTCAGTCTGCTTTTTGCGGTTCTTGCATCGGGATGCCAGCTGTCTGATATCCCAGAAAGCGACCGTGAGTTGACCTCATGGGTATACGGTGCGTCACATTCCAGAAAAGTCGGGAGTGCTGTGCTAACTTTCTCCAGTTTCCTGTGCGTATCAATGTCTCCGGATGTTGAATTATGTGTCGCAACCCACTGTAGAAGTAATTCAGATTCTTCTGATCATTAGCAATGTTCTTTCATATAATATGAATGCAGGTGCATCATACACTTTGCTTGGTATGTGTTCAGTGTTTCCAATGAAAGATGACCAAGCTAACTGATGTCAGGGATGACGGAGCGAATGTGTCTTGTTCTCGGGCTCCATGTTGATTCGACCGGGTTCTCAACTGCAGAGCAGGAAGTGCGAAGGCGTGTCTGGTATGTATCCTTTTTCAATCTTTTTTTTGGGTGGATGTCAAGCTGAAATTTCTCAGGTGGACAATGGCCTTCCAGAACAGTCATTTCTCGCTTGCTTATGACCGGCCATCGATTACCATGGTCAGCCAACCTGAAATTCCATTCGATCCCAAGTCAATGCCGGGTCATCGCTCATATTTTGAGACTCTCTGTCGCATTGTATCCTTGGCATTGGAAGTCCTGCGGTCGCGTATGTACCCCGGATCATCTCAGTCACGTATTCATGAGATCCGTGAGTATAAACAACAGATCCACCGGATGCTTGCCGAGGCGACCCCACATCTGCGACATCGAGACAGCTGTCGATCGCTAGCGGAGCATATTGAGCGAACCGAATTGCGCCTGCACTCCTCCTACCTTCTCTCTGTCCTCTGTCGTGTCTCGCTCGATCCACATGCGCATTTAGACGCAACGCGTCGCGCAATGATCCGCGAAGACTGTATCAGTAGTTTGTTCAACACAATCGACGCGTTTGTCGAATTGCATGAGATCAATTCCCACTGCTCACGGTCCTGGATCAGTCTGCAACGAAGTATTGCCTCGGCATTTTTGCTTGTTGCAAATGACGACAGCCCCCAGACCTGGCAGCTGATTGATAGGCTAGAGATGGTTCTAGCGGACCACGTTTATGCCGACGGTGACATGGACCACAATAACCGCACTGACTCAGCTAAGCATCTTTCTTCGTCACTCCGTGCTCTGCGTGAGATCCGCGAGGCCTTCAGCGCTCGCACGAATAGTTCGACAGGGCAACCATCGAGCACAACATATTCGCCCCTTGTGTTGCCTTCCCCTCCCTCTCTTACCGCCAGCCCCGACATCCCATCATCAGCAGGCACCGGCATAGGTGTGCAGCCGATGGAAGGTGTGAGCATGCGGAAGATCCTTGGTCGTGTTTCTGATGTGATGTTATTCCCCAACATGAGCGGAAATCACCCAGTAGTGTAACTGCTCCCATACTATTTTTTTTTTCTTGTTTTTGTTTTGTTTCCCTGTTCCGGCGTTTGGGGAACATGGGATATCGGAAATATACAATACCTGGGCATCTCCTATGAGATCAGCATCTGCTGCGCTATATACATACCCCCTTCCCCTACCCCACGGGGAGGAATGATATCGACATATGACTCTGTTCACAATATAAGGTTCAAACTGAATCTTTTAGACTGTCTTTGTAGGGAGTAGAAATTTGAAAGTCGAAAATCGAAAGTCGGCACATTCCGTAGATGTCAGCTGTAGGGTCCCCCGAATCTCGGGAGTTTCAAGTCGGTCGACGGAATCCTTCAGATCCGGTATGGAGTAGTTCAAGTAGACTAAGGTCTGAAGCAATCCAAAGTCGCTTACAATTCCCCCAGGGAAAGATGAGAAGGATGAAAGGAGGTGGAGTGCCGGTTCGGCCGGCCGGCCAAATCCCGGCTGTTACTTGACTTTTCTCTATTTTATGCTCTACATATGGACTTATGGACTTTTATCTCCTTTACATTCTTTATGCTGCTTGCTTTCTAATGCATTCCTATTTGTCTATATATTTTTATGTCTTAGGATCCACTTATAAATGGTTTCGGAGTACGGAGTGCCTATAGCCACGAGGTCTATGGAGATTACTATGGGGTGATGTGGAGGATCTAGGCTTAGCTGACTCGTATGACATTTGATCCTTCAAGCTCCTTTCTCATTCTATGTCTCGGATAATGGCATGTTGTACGAATTCCGTACTATATTGCATGACGCATTGTTACTCATTTAGATTCGATCTGATCGAAATGTACGGAGTATGTATATTTTCGATATATATCTCCAGTCCCAGGGGTTTGGGTGCATCCGGTACGTGCCGGGAACGCACTATATATTTGGGGGATCCCCGAGTCGGGCTGAACCGATATGAATTGCTTTTTCTAACATAGTTGCGGTGAGACGGACTCTGATTTCTGGCTCTCTAATATAACCCTATACTCCATACTCTGTACATTGTAGCTTTAGAACTCCTATTTACCAAAACCCTCGAGAGCACTACACGTGATAGGCAAGGGAGCTTCCAACAGTCAATACTTCACCGAGGCCCAGAGAGGAACTCAGTAGGATACTTTTCATATATGGGTGGGTACAAAGTTAGATTGAAATGTGCATATGAGTTCAACTGCTTTAGAAAGAAGCAAAGTAGTCCGACTACAGCTTACACATCGGCTTTTCCGGGGAGAACTGAGATGGATATTTTAGATCATGAGCAAACTAATAAACGCCACTGATTTATTACGTCTGCGCTTGGGAGATTTTGAGTGTCTAATAAGTAATCCAGCTCATGGAAGGAAAGCTTGGGAGCAACGTTCAGTACTCCATGCACTGTTTCTTGATAGCCAGGGCTGCATCACTTTTACAAAGTACTTTTTTACTTTTCCCCAACGCTGTAAACCCAATTTTGAGGCTTGTCCTGCAGTAGTCTGCACTGCATACGATCGTATTTTGAAAGATCATTATCACAAAATTCGATTCAAAGACAAGCGACCGAGGTAGAAGTAGAGAGGCAACTGAGACACCTAAGTGCGATCAACATTTAGAATTAAAATTCGAGGCTCTCCAAATCTATGATGAATTTTAATAAACACGATAGGTCATGGCGCAACTGCACCCGGAGGTATGTGCTTGTACACTTCCTAGAGTCTTGTTTTGTTTACTCACCGCCAGTCCATTGAAAGAACCGAGCAGTTTATCTTGTGATTCTCTCCATTATCTAGATCTCATCAACCTGAGACGGTTTAATCTATCTAATATCACACTTTCAAGGAAATACGGAATAAAAGCTTCAATGTCATCATCAGAAGTCCCCTGCCCCGCATGTAAATGGACCCCAGATCAGCAAAGACGCTGTGCCTACGAGAGTAGCGTGCGCCTCTTCCATGGAGCCAGTACTCGGGGCTACTGGTCCCTCGGCTCAAAGTTTCTTCTCAAAGAGCGCGAGAAAGAACCCCCGAGTTATGAGGTCATTAACACCCACTTCATCAAAGAGAATACCACCATCCCCGTCCACACTACTATACAGGAGTGGACCGAAGGCGAAAAGTATTTCCAGATCGTCGAGCGGGTGCCTGGGGTACCATTAGAGGAGATCTGGTCGACAATCCCCCAACCCGACCGGGAGAAACTCGCTCGTCAGACTACGGAGTATCTGGGGCAGCTCCGCTCGTTTCACTCCGCTAAGATGCAAAGTGTCCACGGCCAACCTGTTTTTTGTGCTCATCTCTTTACGGGTCATGATTATGGAGTCAAACATGGCCCACTGAGCACGGCTGACGAGCTGTGGGATGTTTTGGCGAAATCTCTGAGCGACAAAGTACCGGAAGTTGTTAGATCGCGGCTCCGTGATGGCATGCCTTCTCCGCACCCGTGGACCTTTACCCACGGGGACTTGACTAGTTGCAACATTATCGTGGATCCAACCAACTTTGAATTGAGGGCTCTGATTGACTGGGAGCGCTCGGGGTACTTTCCTGTGTGGTGGGAGTTTACGGGGGCGGGCTTCGGGTTCGGAGAGGAAGATGCAGAGTGGAAGCGTCTTCTACTTGGAAACTTGGCCAATCATAAGGAGGCTCGCACGTGGTTTCTGGAATTCAAGTCATTTGACTCACGGTCGAGTGATTCCGAGACGCGATTGAAGGTGCTGAAGGAATGTGGCATTGAGGAAGACGTAGAGATCTAGACAGTATACAATATGGTACTCTGTACAGAAGTTAGGGTAGTTTAACATACCCAGAATGAGAAAAGGAAACAAATAGCAGGTAATAAAAGATGAACGCTTAAGCTTTCCAAGTCTAGATACTTGGGCGATCTCATCCTCTTTCGTCCCGTCAGGAAGTACATACGGAGTAGTAATAGTTGATTGTTTCTCTTGTGGTATATACTTGAGATAGGGCGACTGAATTTTGTATGAATAACCTAGTTGTTAATTTTCAAATATAAATAAATATGAAGTGAATAGAAAATATTATCAATGTATGAGAGAAGCTTTTGGTGGAAATTTAGGTGGAGATGAGCAGAGATGAGTAGTGATGAACAGTGATATGTAGTTCCTTTCCTCTTTCAGCCTCAACTCCGAACCCCCCTTCTCTCATCTTCTTTCTTGTCTCCTCGGATTTCCTTCAGCCACATCATCATTGGCTTTGATTCTTGAGGGGAAAAAATCTCCCCCGCTTTTGCTATGGCCTTGCCCCGGAAATCCCGCATCTCCCTAATATACGCCAATGTACTCCCCGTACTTGGTACACAGAAGCTGTCTAATGGCTTAATAGATGCCCAGCCTTCCCAAAGCTAGCACATGTGCCTGGCCGGACCTCGGGCGTGGAAATCCATTGCGTTTTCCCTGCTAGTAGTGCAGATCCCTACCTAGTCCCCAGGCACGGCCGACGGCGAGCTGTTAGACTCTGCTAATGTGTGGAGTTGCGATGAGAATTGTTCATCAATGCCCATCACATGGTAGCTTATCGGTATTCTGCCTCGGTGTCGATCCCTATTTCCTCGGCGATGATGGAGCTACATCGTACTCTATACGCAAAACAGAAAGAGATGTTAGTACAATTGCGGTTAGCTGGGACCCTGCCTGGTGCGCGACGATCGATGCCATCGCAATGCAAATAAAGAGCTGGCTCGCTGCAGGTTTGAGTTTTTGAATATCCCGAAGGCTCTTCCTGTTCAGCAAACCTTTGAACGACAGGTTTGGGGAATCGAAGCCAATTCGACTGGCTGGACAAGATATCAATTAAAGAAACAACAGCCAGATCGGCCCATACAACAACATGCGTCTTTTACCAACGCTCGCCACCGCGCTCCTGTTCGCAGTCAATGTGACAGGAAGTCCGGCCGCTGCTTCAGGCCCAGCGCAATCCGTAACTCCCGCTGCGAACGTTGTGGACGAGGCCGCCCCGACAACCCCAGCCGCTCAAGCAAACAATGTCAACCAAGCCAATGCTGCCGTTGCTGATAGTACTACTGTCGCCGACACAGCCAAAGCCGCTAACACCGCTACTGCTGCTGTGAAGGCAGAAGATGATGCCGCTGATGCGGATACTGCCGAACCGACCAAGGCCAACCCTGTGGAATCCGTGGTTGGCGGCATCAAGACTGCTCTTGGTGTCGATACAAAAGAATCAACCGAATCAGCCGATGCACCCGCCCCCACCAAGACTGCTGATAGCTCGGTTGCTGAGCCCAAGTCCTCCGCTGCCGAGACTACCTCAGCTGCCTCTGCTGCAGGCACCTCGAGCACAAAGTCTACCAGCTCTGATAGTGATTCCGACACCGACTCGGACAGCAGTACTGCCAAATCTTCTGATATCCTGCCAGATATGAAAGAAGCCATCTCAGATTTGTTCGGCGGTAGCAGTGGCGGTATCGGAGACCTTCTGCATGGGCTTGAAAGTCTACTTAACCCCAAATTCTTGGGTAACTTCGCCGACACCTTCACCTATCTCTCGACCGGTCTAGCACCCCCGGTCGACAACCAGCTCCGAACCCTGGTGGCCAATGGCAATGACCTCCTCAGTTCGAGCTTCGTCAAGAAGACCGGCTCTCTCATTGACAATGCCAACGAGCTCTTGACCGCAGAGAACACCAAGGAGATTGGGGCTCTCCTCAAGGTCGCTAACAAATTGTTGTCCAGTCAATTCATCGACAAGGTGGACAGCCTCATTGACAACGCCAACAACCTCCTCACCTCCAACTTCGTCAAGCAGACCACCAACCTCATTGAGAAGGCCAGCCCTCTTATTGACGACGCGAGCGGCCTACTTACCGAAAAGAATGTTCACGCGATTGAGTCGCTCTTGACAAATGCCAACACGCTGCTCACTGCCACATTTGTCAAGGAAACCAGCAACCTCATCGGCAAGGCCAGCCCCCTTATCGACGACGCTAGTGGTCTACTCACTGAGGGCAATGTCAAGGCGATCGAGAGTCTGCTCGGCAACGCCAACAAGCTGCTCACGCCCAGCTTCATCTCCACTACTGGCAAGCTCATTCAGCAGGCCGGTCCCCTTATCAACCAGGCTAGCGGTCTCCTCACCGAGGGCAATGTTAAGGAGATTGAGGCACTCCTGAACAATGCCAACAAGCTACTCACGCCCGGCTTTATCTCGACTACCGGCAAGCTCATCAAGCAGGCCGGTCCCCTTATCAGCCAGGCTAGCGGGCTTCTTACCGAGGGCAATGTCAAGGAGATCGAGAGTCTGCTGGGCAATGCCAACACGTTGCTCACGCCTAGCTTCATCTCGACTACCGGCAAGCTCATCAAACAGGCCGGTCCTCTTATCAACCAGGCTAGCGGTCTTCTTTCCGAGGGCAATGTCAAGGACATCGAGAGTCTGATTGGCAATGCCAACAGCCTGCTGACTACCAGCTTCGTAAACCAGACCACCAGCTTGATCGATGAAGCTAGCGAGCTATTGTCTTCGGATACCATTGACAGTCTGAAGTCTCTCCTCGTTCAGCTCGCTCCTATCATCCCCGAGCTGAAGGGCCTGCTCAAGCCAGCCACTATCAAGGCAATCGAGAACGTACTAAGCAATGCCAACAAGCTGCTCACGGAGTCCTTCGTCAAGGACACCAACACCCTGATCACCGAGGCTGTCGGTCTTCTCACTCCCGACCTGGTCAAGGCTCTGAAGTCGCTCCTCAGCGATCTTACTCCGCTGATCCCCGAGTTGCAGTCACTGTTGACCAAGGAAACGGTCAAATCGATCGAGACCCTTCTAAACAACGCCGGGGACCTGCTCACGTCGGACTTCGTCAAGGACACCAAGGGCCTTGTCGGCGAGGCCGGCGACCTCCTCACTCCAGAGGTGGCCAGTGGATTGAAGTCGATCCTGAAGGACGTCATTCCTTTGCTACCGGAGGTGAAGTTGCTTCTGAACAAGAGCACCCTCTCTGCCATTGGTTCTCTCTTGACCAACGCCAACACCCTCTTGACCCCCAAGTTCGTCAACGAGACCATTGGTCTGATCGACAGCGCCGACGACCTCCTGACCCCAGGCATCGTCACTGGACTCAAGGAACTCCTTGGCGACGTCGGCCCTCTGATCCCCGATCTGAGAAGGTCACTCCTGAACACAACCATCATCACCGACCTGGGATACATCGTGACCAACGCTACCACTTTGCTCACGCCCCACTTCGTCGTGGAGACCACAGATCTCATCGACAACGCCGATGGCCTTCTGACACCCAAGGTGGTCACCGTGCTCAAGGATATTCTTGGATACGTACCCGACTTGATGCCCGAGGTGAAGAAGTTGCTCAAGCCCTCTACCATTTCGGATGTTGGAGCACTATTGGCCAACGCTCATGATCTCCTCACTCCCAAGTTCGTCAATGAGACAACACTCCTGATCGATGATGTTACAAGCTTCTTGCCTTTGATCCAGGAATTACTCAAGGCGCTGTGAGGTGATATTTTATGATTTTCTTATATTGATTGCAACGCACGCAATTATGATTTTTAATGTTCTCTAATGATAATTAACGTTGTCTGACATTTACTCCATTGTAATCGGTAGAGTCTTGTAGGCTGGGATGAAAGCATAAGTACGCGATTGAATAACCAAAGTATTTTCAGACGTAAATCCACGAAGCCCCCAAGTGGTCTATATTTAGTGGCTGTCGATCTGGCCCCATCTTGGAAACCTGCATTTTCCAAATTGATCAAGTCTCGAGATGATCATCTATCAAACTGACAAACTCATTCATAGGGAAACTGCAGAGCGAGTGATTAATTAACAAGGACCATGGATAATCTCACGTGTAGTTAGTAGTGTCAAATAGGCACAGCCGCTAATATTCAGATTGATGAACCCTAGAAGCTAAAATATCGTTCACACTAGATTCTCAAAAGCCAATGCAACCATAATAGTGCTTGAAGCCAATCATCCCTAGAATGCTGCTCACACATGCATTTGATATGAGTCCAGCTTCCTAATCAGGAAACGGGAGGTTTCATCCCCAGGACTATCTCCTCGGACATGCATAACATCCCCTGAGGCATGTAATTGAACTACAACATAGATTGCAGGGGTTCAGAGAATACATCAGATACTATTTATATTCGCTGAAATCCATCTATTCCTCTTAAGCATCAACCTCTCCCCATCCAACTCGATCCTATCCAATATCCCCTCACAAACCGCCATCATGGGCATGATATCCAAACTCGCCGCTTTCACCACCCTGACCACCCTAGCAACAGCCTGGCTCCCAGAAGAAAATAAATCCATCACCTCAAAAGATGGCAAAAACCTCTTCGAATCTTCCAACGGCAAAATCCGCGGCGTAAACCTCGGTTCGCAATTCATCTTCGAACCCTGGATTGCCCAGCAAGCATGGTCCGCCATGGGCTGCGACGGGAAGAAATCCGAATTCGACTGCGTTTCCTCGATGGGCCAAGACGCCGCGAACGCCGCTTTCGCCAAACACTGGGAGTCGTGGACTACGCAGGATGATATCGACGAGATCGTGAGCTATGGCTTGAACACCATCCGCGTGCCGGTTGGTTATTGGCTTCGCGAGGACCTGGTTGATGGCAGCGAGCATTTCCCGCAGGGTGGACTTGAGTATCTGAAGAAAGTGTGTGGGTGGGCTAGTGACAAGGGTTTGTATATTATTATGGATTTGCATGGGTTGCCTGGTGCGCAGACAGCGGAGAATTCGTTTACGGGGCAGTATGCTGCTACGCCTGGATTCTATACGGATTATAATTATGAGCGGGCGCTTAAGTGGCTCGAGTGGATGGTCGAAATTGTCTATAAGACTGATGAGATGAGGAATGTGGGGATGTTGGAGGTTGTTAATGAGCCCGTTCAGGATCAGGGGATGGCTTCGTCTATGCGGTCGACGTATTACCCCAAGGCTGTTGAGGTGAGGATTCTTTTTGGTTTTGTCGAGAGGTCATGGACTAATGGGTGAATACAGCGTATCCGTGCCGCTGAGAAGAAGCTCTCTATCGATGCGAATGACTACCTCCATATTCAGACAATGGATAAATCCTGGGGCTCGGGTGATCCTAACGAGCATCTCGAGGACTTGACCTACATGGCCTATGACGATCACCGTTACCTGAAATGGGATACTAGCATTGATCCCTCGCATGATAACTACATTAGCTCATCCTGCGGCGATAAGCGTGATAGTAACTTCCCTAATATCGTTGGCGAATGGAGTCTCTCTGTGCCGGATGATGTCGAGGGGTCGGCGAATTGGGAACCCAGTTCGAATACCGACTTTTATGGAAAGTGGTTTGCGGCGCAGGTTCATTCTTATGAACAGCAGCAGGGATGGGTCTTTTGGACTTGGAAAGCTCAGCTGAATGATTACCGGTGGTCTTACCAGGGTGAGCTTTTTTGAGTCGTAGATCATTGGAAGATGGTAGCTGACATCTTGCAGATGCTGTTAAGGCTGGTGTTATTCCCAAGGATTTGAATAACGTGCAGAAAGTCTGCTGAGCTTGTCTTTGGGTCGGGCTAGCGGAGCAGTTCGCTAGGCTGTATACTGTTAGCTGTTTTGAAATGGCAGGATAATATCACTCCTAATGGAATATTGCACAAATATGAATAATATCTGGTTATTGATAGTGAGCTTGAATACATACATATGCTAGCAATGAACGTATGGATAAGCAGAAGGATACCTGCAAAGCCTAGGAAGTAGCTTCAGGAGTTGGGGTTGGCCACCAAACCATCGCCCAAAGGGATACTCCCGGTCCATCAGACTGAAGGCTAGCATCGGCAGCTACCTTGCCCTTCCCGAGACGAATCTCTTCGACCTCCTTGAATCCCATCGACAGGTAGAGAGCGCGCGAGCCTGCAGTCGTTGCTTCGAGCCAGATCGGAAGGTTCGCGGCTTGGGCTGTCTGCTGGTGATCGCGCATGATTGCTTTGGCGAGGCCTGGAAAAGGATTAGTAAGACACGGAGCATGACTGAGCCAGATATGGCGCTGTCTTACCTTTTCCACGGTGCTCGTGCTCGGTTCCGATACTGAAGATGTAGTAGTATTTGGTCTGTCCACGTAGACCGATTCTCTTCGCGTTGTCGGTCATACCAGAGAATTCGAACCAAAGACGCTAGATAATTAGTTAGGCTAGGAGTGTCTGCGAGAATGTTAGGCTTTGGCTCACCTTAACGCCCGAGAGTCCTAGTTTCCACAGCACGCTCAGAAATCCAGCCCACACAAGAGTCCAGACATTGTCAATGTATCGGCCCGGTGGAATCATGACAGATGCTGCTTTCCAGCCATCGGCTTCGGTGATCACTGCGTGATTAAGCAAGGCTGACTTGATGAGCGTGGTCCAGTATGTCGGCAGATAAGCCAACCTTTCTCGCTGAGACAGGCTCAGCAGCATGTATGCAATGACCGGGTCAGTGTCGAAGACGCGACCGTTCAGTGCTGCGACTGAGGCCAGAAAACCTGTGGTCTTGTCAGTATTCATAGAATCACACTCGAGCCAGAAACACTCACTGTTGCCGCCGTGTGTTATTGGGACTGATGCGACAGCCATGTTGGTTTTAGGTTAGAAGAGTATTTGCATGTAAATTAGGTTGAGGTGTCATTGGACACTCCTGGCGATGATTGAAGCCATAGAAAAAAAATACACAAATGCGCGCGAGGAGAGTCGCGTCTTAATAGTTTTAGCATTGACGTCATGGGATGCTTACATAAACAAGTCACAGGTCACCCGCGGTTCCCGAGGTCAAGTCTCAAGGGTCAAGCTACTGACTTGAGCACAAATGACAACTATCATCCTCAATGTTCTCATGGTCTCATACTCATAGTCATCTGCTTCCATTGGACATGACTCGTTCATCTCCGCTGTGGATACGCGTGGAGCACAGTCTTCTACCAAACATTGGGACCCTGAATCCCACTCGGCCCGCGACCGCTGTTAAAACTCGGGCCTAATATCGTGATTTCTTAGGATATTGACATTGAATTGCAGATCCTGAGGATGTACTTCACAAATTTATATGTAAAACATATCAATTGATACTATGAGCATATACGATCGGGATACAAGAGCCACATCACTGCGCACCGGCTGAGCTGAGGCAACTGCTCTGTTGGATGATTCTCTTCCAGCCATTTATTGCGGCAGCAGTTCATTGTTTTTTGAAAGCACCGCAACTTTTTCGTTCATCAGAATCAGATTGATCACGACAAGCGCACTATACTGAATGGCAACCCGCAAGAGTCGTCGGAAAATCCCGGCGAATTGGATCTCTCAGTGTATAGTGCCAGCCTCACTGGTGATATTTCACTGTCTATCATAGCTCACTAGATTCAATGGATACCCAACATCTTTGAGGAAACCATTCAATCGCCCCCGCCGTCGTCTTCCAAAAGATCAAGGACTCGTTGAATCCGAGATCTGATCTATCATTGCACCGAGGTCGGATCTCTGAGGCTCAGATAGGCATTTCCGCACACTATCGTTTCCATTTTTCTTTTGTTTCTTCGTCTTTGTGCCCTGCCCCCCTCATTTTCCTCTTGCACTTCAAAATCTTGTATATATAATAGAATAACTGCATTAGCTTCATACATATGTCCATCTAAGTGCCGCTACCGGGATCTATGATACCGGAACCGCAAGCATTCAACACATTTATGTATTTCGTATCAACTTCCTTAATAATCTCTGTCAATTCTGTCAACTCATTCTTATTCAATCTCTGCTCCTCCAAACTCTGCATCACATTTCAAATACCAGCAATTATGGCAACCGCTTTCTCATCCTCGACGTCCAAAAGCGGCGACTGTCCCGACAACGCAGAGCCGCCCTATATTTTTTAGTTAGATTTTATAAACTACTTTTCTGCATCATTCGGTCTCCGATGTGTCTATCTGTGTTATTTCCTCTCACAGTTGCAATCGGCAAAATTACCCCGAGAAAAAGAAGCTAGAATAAATGTTCAACAAATTTGTGGATACATGTCACTATGGAAACCAGCCAGCCTGAAGTGGAATAGCATCCACTTTGTACCCAAATTGACAGTTTCGTGTCAAACAAACAGGCTCGAATAGCCATACATAATGCAGCGTTCGAATTTAAACCAGAGTTTTTGTGGAGCTAACAGACTGCAGGCTTGGTCAATGTTGATAACCCCAGGACTCACTCTCAGCGCTAAAATTTCCTTCTAGGTCAGAATTTCAGATCAGCTTTTCTGAAATCCTCGGTACCTCGCTTTTAAGCCAGAGGCTAAATCACAGATCAGAATCAAAAGGCAGATTATGCTGACTGTTGTTGGCGCGCCTCCATCTCACACGATTGCTTCTGAAGTTGCCACAAACCTTGCTGGTGCATTTCTGCGAAAGAAGTCTGGTGTCATGGGTCAACCGGCTCTCTCGGTGGAGGATGAAAATGCAGTTGTTGAGCAGCTGGAGCGCTGGTTGAATCATGGATTTTTTCCTTACCACATGTTGGCAAAGGATACGGCCAATGCATACTTCCATAACCACCCGAGTTACAGCCAGAATAGACCAAACCTCAACATTGGCTGGCAAAAGGGATTCTGGCTGCGCCATCAAGGACTTGCTGATCACATAGCCAAAGAACGCAGTACACTAAAATTGAAAGGTCCGCATGAAGATCGCCGAGCCTGGAAGTTCTTTCAAGCATTCAAAGATATCAAGCAGCGACTCGCGGTTACCAACGACAACGTCTATGCTATGGAGGATGCCGCATTTGTTACTACTATGTATCGAAAGGCAAGCCTTATGTTCGTCAGACCAATGAACCAAAATCACAAGAGAGAAGAACGGACATTCTCATCTGTGATCCACTGCTGCTCAACGCGAGGAAAGCACCTGCCCCCATACATTGTCTGCAGGAGCCAGGATCCACCACAGACCAAGAACTTTGGTCGGATCAAGGTTTCCTTTACCCAGTCAGGCTGGTCTGAGGCGAATCATGCACTTGATTGGTTGAAGACCATTTTCGAGCCAGAGACTCGACCCAAAGGTCGGCGTCAAATATGGAGAATTCTGCTGATTTCCCATCGATTCCGCATAGTCTTTCCTGAGTTCGAAAAATTCTGCTGGGATAACAGGATCGCTTGTCTTTCTTTTCCCCAGAACGATCAACAGTTCTTCAACCCAATGGAAAACATCGCGTTTGGGCCCATGCAACAGAGCTATACCGACTACATGAGAAAGCGATTCTCCGATAACAATGAGAATGCCATCACACTGGACGTGAGGGAGTTTGCATCGTGGATTGATGGAGAAGTAGCTTCATCTAAACGAGCAGAAGAAGCTGCAGATATCTGGCGTCAAAGCTGCCTTGTGCCGCTAGATGAGTTCCGCCTTCGCAACTGTCTCCAAGGGAACCGAGCTACTGCCGCCCCAGAGGATAGAACCTCTATTCTCGATAGCCGTCTCTACTCGGACGACACCACTCCGAGAACGGCGAGAACACGAGCCACACCTCGAACAAGTGTTCCTTTGCCCATCATGCCCTCCACGGAGTCAGTAAGCCGACAATCCAGCCGCGAGTATTCACATCCTTCGTCGCGGCGATCACAGGAGAGCCAAGAGAGAGAAAATACCTCCGAATCGGAGGAAGGTCAATTCGACAGTGAAAGTGAGACGTTCCAAAATCATCAGCCTATTACACCGTGCAGGACACCCAGGCCACTAAAGAATCCTCGGGCTAGGACTCCAGAGACAGAAGCATCTGATTCAGTGATGTCGTCCAAGAAACACCGGGACATCTTGGATAAATGCATAGAAGGATCACCCAAAACACAAAAGAGATACCGTGACGATTTAATTCTGGATCGTGGGGATTTAGAGAAAGAGAATGCTCGCCTCAAAGAAAGGGTTGAGCTTTTGGAACAGTTTGCGGTCAAGAGACGGAGAGTTGACTGATATTCCTCCCTGCCCTTCCTGTGTGCTATCCAAACGCAATTTCCTTTTCTGCCATGTATTTAACAACACTGTGAGCGATTGCGCTTGCCTTTTTTTTTTTTTCCTTTTTTTCTTTTTTTCTTTTGTATAAAAATAGTCTCATCAGTCTCACCAATTTCATATGTTCATGCCGGTACCGGCATCCATAATACCGGAACCGCGATCATAAAACAGATTCACCCTGTTTGATATCAACTTTTCTTCAAATTTCCCCTTTCAGTCTAAACTCATCTTCCTTCGATCTCTACCTTTCAAGATTCTCCAACCCCAAACATCAACAGCTCACCATGGTAACCGTCCTCCTCATCCTCGACGTCCAAAACGGGGTAATCGACCGCCTCGACAACACAGAGCCCTACCTCGAACGTCTGGCGTCAATTGTCACTTCTGCACGCAAGATCAACGTGAAAATCATCCACGTTATTACCGGCTTTCGTCCAGGCTATCCTGAAAACCACCCAAATAACTCATCTGTGCCCGCTGTCGTCGCACGTGGTGAATATATCGAAGGCCAATCGTCGGTACAAGTCCACCCGGCCATCGCACCTGTATCTGGAGAAGTGGTCATCATCAAGCGTCGCATCTCGGCCTTCTTCGCTACGGAACTTGATATGCTTCTGCGCTGCGCAAATGTCGAGTCGATCGTTGTCGCTGGCTTGATCACCAGTGGAGCTGTGCTATCGACTGTCCGCCAAGCAATGGATATGGACTACCGTATTACGGTTTTGGAGGATGGCTGCATGGATCGCGATGAGGAGTTGCACCGCGTGCTGATGGAGAAGGTCTTCGCGCGCAAGACGGATGTTGTTTCGTCCAAGGAGTGGGCGGAGAAGCTTTCCAGCGCGGACGAGCGCTAAATCTGTCTAGTGTTGGTTGTTTGCTTTTACTAGTTGGTGTTATTATGCTTTCAATATGGAGACCAGTGGATCGACTGCATCATGGCCGGAATGCTGGCGCCAACTGATTTAAGCACCTAGTGTCAGTTCCCTCGGCGAAAAAAGATGAATCAACTGACTTGAATACCTAAATGCTCTGGTGTATTGCACTCCCTCTGCCCGGGCTTTCCTATCATAGCTGCCCTCGTTTTGTGAGGGTGCTCAGCGTCCGGATCACTAACCGGGTGAGTGCTGTCACATAATAGATCACTGGATACGCGCCCAATGAGCGCCCAGTGAGTATGATTGGCTGCTCGCTGATTACCCAGTGACCTATCACGGTGATCAGCCCTAGGGCCGCGCACTTGGTCTATCAAGCACTTAGGCCATATCTTGTTAAGATCTATAATTAACCTTGCAAGTGATAGATGAACTTCTGGGGCAGTGCTGCGATGTCAGCGAACCCAAGCCGCACTAATACACCAATCCCATGCCGCCACGACGCCCAGCTTATTCTTAATGGCTATGCACTAGGGTCAGAGATTATCGAAAAGGGGACGGAGTAGGTAATCTCACTCTCCTCTCTGACTGCACTTCCCAAAGATCTTAAATTCTTCTCGTGATAAGATGGACCCCCCATTCAATGACTTTCCAAGGGCGCCGTATACCGAGTCCGGGGAGTCCCTGGACTCAGGATTAGGCCCATCATCGGGTCACATAGATTTTGGTACAGGCTATGGCGATGCATTCAGAGGTCATATGCCACGGAAAGACTACGAACGTGATCTCGCCGGTATTCGGACGTGTTGCTACTTAGAGCACGATGCGATACCCCAGAGTTTAGACTTCGACCTAGGTATGACTGTGTATGATTTACCTGAGCTGCAGCAACTAGCAGACGCAGCTTCCCAGACAATCCCTCCGTTAAACGCATCTCAACTATCAAATTTGAAGGTCCAGCTTGAAGCCGCCCAGCAGCAGGTGGATATGCAGCTTCGAGAGCTATTCTCAGCCAGCAACGGACCGCAATTACTCCACCTCAGGTCTCCTAGTGATCTTCCTACTAGTCCTTTGGGAGCATTTTGTTGTCATATGTGCAAAGAAGAACAGAGCATCTACGAGGAGCTTTCTTTCTTCAAACAACATCTTGAAGATATGCATGGTGTTCAGCAATGGGAATACCGTTGCCTTCAGCCCGATTGCACTCTTACTGTACCACATCAATGTGAGATGAAGGAACACATGGGAAATGCACACGAGCAAAGTCCAAGTCTCTATCAGCTAGCAGAGAGCAGAATCGAACTCCCATGCCCAAACTTTTGCGAAACATGCTCTCAGCCCACAGCGACCTGGGACAACTTTTATCAGCATGCAAACCCATGATATGGTTAGATGCCGAATATGCTGTTATTTACCGGAATCTGTTCCAAGCTGTCATATATGCTACAGTCCACCTGTTTACGACATGAGAACCTGCGTGGCATCCAGTAAGACCATCTCCTCTCCTATTCTCAAACAACGCGATTAACAAGCCCAAATCGGCAAACAGTTGCATCCGCCTACAGTGAAGGTGCGAGTATCTTTACTGCCATTAGGAAGAAATATCACGAGCGCCAGTCCACCTGGGATTTAGAACACTCGCTTTCACGCGGTCAAACTGAGATTCAATCTCTGTATCACCAGCACTATCAAGAGCTTGATCAGCAATACGAGGAAGGTGACTGGATCGCCCGTGAGCAGATGAAGGATATCATCATCACATTGCAGGGGACGCTGCTGAGACACCTCCGCTTGGCGGAGGATCACGGTGCCACTTTGGATCTGGTGCCTTTGCAGATAGAGGTCGAGGAGGCCCGCGTTCGCACTCTCGTCATTATGAGAGATCTATACAGGCGTCTTTTAGAGTCGGTTTATGTTCCCCGAGCTTTCTCGATGTCTACCAATCTAAACGGAGAAAGCCTTTCGGATGTGGACACAGGAAATGCTACACTGTTACATGGTGTGGACGCGACACTGGAGCAATCTTTATCTCCCAGTGGAACAGAATCCCAAGATGCCATCTTCCATCAATCAAGGCCATTATTTCTCGCTCAAAGCTCCGACTCCTCGACTGCATTCTCAGTTGCAACAAACATCACAAGTTTGGAGCTTGAAGAGGACTCAATAGATGCAGGTATACCGACAAAGAATATGGACCACCTCTTGAACGCAGCTTGTTATTTCAGTGTATTAGACCAGCTCGAGCGTCAAACCGCGCAGACACTCGGTATGAAGGATAGCCCATACATTGAGCTTGAATCGCTACATGGCTGTATTGAGTGTCTCGAGAATTATTACGCTGCGCTGGGAGATCTGGGGTCTGAAGGCTTTTGTGGAACCATGATCAGCATTTTGATCGAAGATCAGGACCGGAATGGTGTTGCTAAAGCCTTCCATGTATCATTGCGCCAGATTCGCAGTTTGCTGCAGACTATGGCGAACGAATTCGACGAGGAGTTCTTGAAAAGGTGCACAAAGCGCTGGATGCAAAAGGTGCTCAATGTCGATGTCACGGCCCTCTCGGACTGTAACTTGGTAGGAATCATTCGCCCCCTATGTGAAATTCTGTCAATTGGGCTTGTGTCATTCTCTGGATCCCACGTGTCTCGGTTCGATATTAATTTATGGGATCAAGAGATGGAAAAGATCCCTGTGAGTCTCGATGGGTACGCTTTCATGCCACGAAAGCTAGCTTGCTTAGACGACTTTATTGGTGGTCCTGCATGGATTCTAGGGAAGGCCTCTGCTCCATCTGGCGGAATGAAAATATCTCTCACCCTTCAGGATCTTGATGAATTGTGGGGACCGGTCTCACTGGTGGGGGGTACTACAGATGAAGCGCCAGTCATTCAGACAGAGAGAGGCTTCATCGTCCCACTTCCACGAGAGCAACAATCTTCCTCGTTTAACTCTTCATTGTGTGGTGAGATTGAGTGTCACTGGGTGACAGAGATCCCAGAATATATCTCCGATGAGAACGCAGATACGGCAATTCTTATTCACGACACATCAAGGATATTAATCGGCACATGCCCTGATGGTGACGCTGGTCTTGTTGTCAATGAAAAGTGCAAGTCGTCAATGTCGCTTATTGGACAACAAATTGCCTGTCGGCTCCAGTACCCCGAACATCCAAATCAAGATACGTGAGTGACGGGTACGACGTTCAACTTGTTGGCGGACAGTACGTCACAGCCGGCATTATGAAGAAGTACAAGAGGATCCCGAAGCGCACGCTCAAAGCAATGCTCATCACAGACTGCACAAAGCCAGATACAAGGCTTGTCCCACTTCTAAATCTCCGTGTCGGATTGGAAGTAAGTGCATGCACCGGAAATGCGCAGCGAGTGACGCTCTGGGATGCTCTCCGCTTCTCTCAAACAAGCACCCAACCCACAGATCACCCAATCTATTGCGCCCACAAGGTCGGTGACAAGTATTGTATCAACTCATGCTGGACTAGATGGCAGTCAATAGAAGAGATAGATTCCCTCGACTATACGCCCGGGAGAGTTCAGGTTCTCACAGGTGCCGAAGCCCGTCGCCTGATCATAAACGCCATTCTCGCGCTCGAGCACTCGGGTATCGACAGCGATGGGAACCTCCAAGTATCTTGGCCGTTCAGCAATAGTCCCGCCAGTTGTCCTGTATTACCATCCACACCACAAGAGTCTCATAACTGGTTTCGGGTGGTCAAAGATACGCGGGACACATCCAGCTTTGCCGTCTTCAGTCAAAGGTGTCTAGAGTTCTCGGAGGAGGAAACCATACGGGCTTGCTCTGCGCTGAGCAAAGAAGGGCATTTGAGGCCATTCCAAACTACTCTTTTGACGCGTATTCTGGCACCTGGGCAAGAGGGATCAGTCTCTGGACTGCTGGTAGGGGTCAGGTTTTTAATAGGAGAGGCACACTTGACAGTCACAAAGGCAGTGCAAGACCAGTTGGCGATCATCGCTACTGTTAGCATGAATCCTTTGAACCCTCTGCGGTATCGACTGCGTGAGATCTTGCCAGATGCCCGAGCCATTGACTTCAAAGAACAAATCTGGCCTGATATCACAGCAGGGGGCTCCGTTCCGATTTTTATTCACTGATCATTTGGGGAAATACTGCAGCTTTTCTGCGGCTCACAAAAGCGAGTATAAAGGCAGCCTGGTAGGGGAAGCGATGTTCTCGAAATTCCTGTCTATATATATGTTACCAGATACCGAATATACCCCTACCCGACCAAAGATCTACCCAAGATCTACAGCTTTGGCCTAGCGCAAAATCATCCATAAACATGTAATATTTATTTTCAGGTATCAAACAATGAATATTGTTGTACAGGGGAATTACCAGTAGCCCATACATCGACATTGTAGCAACCTGGAAAGAGGTTCCAGCAACAATGCTATTATTTCCATACTCAATCATGGCTTGGTCGGTCCCGGCTGCATTGATCACGGCTGCATGCAAAACGATAGACTCGACATCACACCCAATAAATATCCGAGTGAAAATAGTTGGGTCTATATGAGAGGATTGTGGTCCAATGTAGATGAGTATGTGCCTAAGGGTAAGATATATCCCAGCCAGCAGCAATGAATGTTGGAGTCAGAAGTAAGGAGAAAGATTTGTAGTCTAAATCCAAATGTTCACCATGGATTGTCGTGCATCACGATTCGTCCTACGTATCCGGCCGCTTCCATAAATGTCCCGATACTCAGTGCTGCAAGGAAAGTCCATGTTCGCAAATAGATCACAACACCTAGTTGACAAAATCTAAGGAGGGCGAAATAAACCGTGAAAAATAGTATATTGCCGCGAAGGTTGGGATTGGGTTGTGACTTCTGTATAAATTGCAGACATTTTGGTGAATCTGAATGTCGAAAATACAAACGCAACAAAATTTACTTCTAGAAATCCTCTAAAGCTGATATATACGAACAAACCGATGTTGATCTTGGCTTGTCTTGTTTCTCGTACCTCGTTTGTCGTTTGTCGTTCCCCACTCCCCAACTCTTCCAACTCCCCTATTGTCCTACAGCCGCCATACACATGTCATCAAATCATGCCTCGTCGATTTCGAGAATAACTATTCGCGACTGATGGAGATGCGCCTAATGCACCATTGCACAGCTGTGACATGCAGAATGGCGTAAGTGAAATATTTGTCTTAGCCCTTGTTTGAGACCATCACTAATAGTTTAAAATGCTAGAAACATAATCGAGGATACCAAAGAATGGCGCATTTGGTCTAAAGATGTACCATCACTGGCTTTCCTAGGCCGCCCATTGAACCCTGTCATTGATCTCCTTCTCGCTACGTCTGCCCTTCACCTAGAATCGCTCAACCCCAACGACCCATCCCTAAAGCTCGCATCCTCTTATGATCTGTCCTCGGGGCTTGAGAAGTTTAAAAATATGCTATCTCAAGCGAATGAGGAAAATTCACCCATGCTATTGACATCTAGTGTATTGGTCGCGCTGAGCGTACTGCACTCACGCCAAGAACAGAGCTTTGGCGCTCACTATTCATTTCCGACTGATTGGTTTCGGGCTTTTCAAGGCGTCGGGAGCGTTGCGTGGATCACAAGAGCATGGATCCAAAATTCGAGGTTTGAGCCACTGCTCCTGGAAAAAGAGAGTCCATTACCTTGTGGTGTAAACACGAACTTCTTCGCAGAGCTCCTATCGGGATTGGATATCAATTCGATAGTCCCGAAGGAAACCGCTGCATACGAGCTTGCAGTGGGCCATCTCGGCTGGTCATATGGGTGCCATATGGCGGGAGAACAAATGTCAATTGTGCGGAAGAAAATCCTAAGTTTCCCGGCTATTGTCCCAGCAAGATATATTGAGCTCCTAGAAGCTGAGGACCCACGGGCCTTGGCCATCACAGCATACTTTTTTGGGTTGACTGCAGTTTTGAATGAAGTATGGTGGATTCGAGGAGTTGCTAGAAGAGAGATACTGGGCATTATGGCCCTTGTACCTGAAGAATGGAAGTGGGCGATGACATGGCAACTCCTACAGATTAGCTGTGATTTTGAGGCCCCTAGATAAAGTGATCAAGGCTAGTTATAAGCTTGGGACAGCTCTACCATCTTGGCAAACAATGTCACGTTCTAAATGTCATTTTAATTGCAATAATTTCGTTATATTTGCTTCTATGCTAGGACATTCATTTACAGAGGTCACCCTCTATATTTCATTTCACGTCTAATATCTACAGCTTCACCTGTCCCCGCTCCTGAGGAGCCGCACAGCAAGTCGGCTCAGGGTGAAGAGTCGACTGGTTGAAGGACTGGGTCGAAGCTGGCACATCAAGAGCAGGGTTCTTGGTGAAGAAGCCATCCGGCTTGAGCATCACGCTGACACGCTCCATGGGCATAACAGGGAAGTCCTCAATTCTGGGGTTGTGAGTGAGACCGAACGCTGGGAACAGTTAGCTACTAGTTCAGGAAGGGTTTAGATGGGATAACATACTGTGCCAGAGAACAACGTCTTCGTTCTCGACTGCATCGTTTCGTCCAGCCCATACTTCCACGCCTTCGGACTTCTTGCTCTGGTTTGTGAACTCGCCGGCGGCGAATAGCTCGTCGTCTTGGTATTTAGTAACCCAGATAGGACGGGTCGCAAAGCGGGCACGCTTCGAGCCGAATGAGTTCGGGTGTGCGAGGAGCATCTGACTTGGGTTTGTTTGCAGCTTGTACGCGATGGGGTGGTGGGTGATGGGGTTGACGATAGAGTCGTTCCGGATCTTAAAGACACGGTGGCGCTCGACGCTGGTTGAGGCACTGCCGCTGGCCTTGATAACGTTTTGCTCTGTGGTGTACCCGACGAGCCATGGGTTGCTGTCATCTTCGGGCATTGGCACACTGTCTTCGTAATAGACTGTGTTCTTGTAGCCGTCGATGGCAGGGTCGATACGGAGAGAGAACATGTGCTGGTGGAATGGGGCCATAACTCCGGGTCCGACGTTTGTTCCCCACGGAACGGTTTGGCCATTCTCATTGTCGAAGGGCACAGTTGAGAGGATACCGGTTGCGCGCACCTCGAGCTCGATGTTGGCTGCTTGGTCGAGGATAAAAGCGAAGATATATTCATAGTTTGCAACGGTGCAGATCATCTGAACCACGAGCTGGCGGTTACGGACGACAGTTGCCGCACCAGTGCGGTAGTTAGTGTGCTTGTGTTGTAAACCATTATCCTGCTCGTGCATGCAGATGACATTCTGTAGTTGGACAGGTGCTCCCTGTGCATCTGTGCGATAACCATCGAAATACTTAATGTGACCGAGACAGTCGCAGCCGAGACTCAGTTGGTTAGCTGTGATACCGAAGCCGACGTCACCAACGTCAAAGGCTTGCTTGCGGTGGTAGGGGGCACGGGGATCTAGAACAAATCAGATATGTTGTTAGAGGGAGAGTAGTAAAACATACCGGCGTAGGGGACTGTCATCTCGGAGAAGGAGAGACGGTAGAAGGTGTTGCGACCATCGTAGGTAATATTATGCAACACCAGACCCTCTCGGTTATTGAAGCCCACTCTGAAACGCCACTTCTGCCATGACACGGCATTTCCAATGACATTGAATGATGCTCCCTCTGGTTGCTGGACAATGTAGGGCTTGAGATCAGTGCGCAGAGGCTCATCCAGCAAATCATGAGCGTATTGAACAGTAGGCACCTGCTTCCAGGGCTGGGTCTCAGTGGTTTGAGTATCGGCCCCACTAGGCAGATAATCCATACGGACCAGTTTGCGACTGATACCGTCGAACACTGGGGAGAATTTGCAAGGCACCGAATACTGGTTGTTCTGGGGGTGGTCTGTGGCCACAATGTACATGTAGCACTGGAACAATCGCCGAGTCTCCTTGGCATCCTCGGTGCCGTAGATCCATGGATCCAAGCAGACGGTGTGGCCAGCGGGAAGCTTCAATTTTTCAATTTCAGCCTTGACAGCTGGATGGCTGAGACAGAGCTCCTCAATTTCCATCATCTCATCAACATCCAGTGGGCCCTGGACGTCCTTGGGCAGCTCTTTCGCTGACACGATGGACTTGGCGTCTGCGTTGATAAGAGCCTTGAAGAAAGACCCATTGTCCAATCGGTGGAAGAGCGCCATCAGCAAGCGGGCGGGCTTACGTGGGCGCACTTCACCTCGGCGCTCAGCCTCAAGGAATGGGACAACCTCATGCTTGGTGGGTTCCTGGAGATCGATGCGCTTGTAGCGGAGCTTGGCACCGGGGAAAGCGGATTCCAAGATGGAGACCGCCAATTGGATCTCCCCAGGTGTGATGGGGTCAAAGGGGTGAAGGCTCGCCATTATATTTTTTGAATGGTTTCTGCAAGACTGGGGTATGGCAATGCATTTATATTCGCACGATCCCCGGTTATCTTGTTGATCTCCGCTTCGGGTAAATCTTTCGCGCTGTTGTAAGCTGATTGGTCAGCTGGTTATATGGCGCATCTTTTGCTCCAAAGGGTTTAGCGCCTGCATTTTTGATACGCCGAGAGTCCACAGGTGTCATTATTGGTGGTGGACTGGGGATTACTTGTATAATTTTGCTGATCAGTAACTAATCTACAGAAACATCAAGAGTCAGCATTCGGAATGAATCTTAAGTAACCTTGTAACCTTGTAACCTTGTGGCCTTGCGGCCTTGTAGCCTTGGAGCCTTACCAGTCAGGTCACACATTCAGCCTTGTTTGCTCTCTAGGTTTGCTTTGGCTGCATATATCCGAGTCACAAATATCAATTCCCGAAATATAATGCTTACTCCATCGCACCCTGCCAGCGAGCACCGAATATGCATCTTTCAAGTCCTCCTCGGGCACATCGCAAGACTCAAAACTCCAGTAGGTAGCTGAGTTGGTCTCCCATTTATCACTTGTTGGATGGTATCCAAACAGCCCATGAGGTGGTACCTTTTCTTCCTTGGCATCGATGTTTCACCGACCTGTACCAAATGGCATTCAACAGTCCTGTGACTACGAAGCTACCCTAGCGTGAATATCTCATACACACTGAAGTCCCCCTACATTAACCCTGACGATCTGTGCGGGTAGTGGGAGTAGACTCTCGCCCTTCATAGCATCTTGGCTGCATGAACATATTAAATTCAATATTGCCCAGAAGTGAATCGCCCAAACCAAGCTGCATATGTTAGTTGAAGGTCCAGCCTTTAGGAACTTGACACTAGGGCGTACCTTGGACAGCAAGGCATGTCGCATAATTCGAACCAAGCTGGTAATGTGCGCTGTTCGGACAGAAATACGTGAATATTGCCCGCCAATTGAAGCCACTGCAATATATAATACCAATGAGTCACTCGTTGGTTCAAAGGTAGGTTGATGGAGGACAGGGAAGGATTTGTGAAACTGTTCGAAATACAATTGAACAAATACATTAAGTATGTCCAAGCTCGGAAGAAGCCCACGCAGTTGAAGGCTCGAGTATCGCGAGACATGGTCACACATCTCGCATAACTGTTGGTATGTTGACAAAGATATGGTGGGAACCTGACAGGAATCCTCGGATGCGAGTATGTCAAGGTCAGCCTCAGAAAGCTCGGGATGAGGTTTTTCCTCCAGTGCTAGGCGATTTCGCCGGTGATTTGGCTCCTGGTTCTGAAACTGACTCGCCGTCAAAAGCATGCCTGGAGCGTCGGGTAATTCTTGATTTGATTCATGCTGTCCATCAAAGGACATATTCACAGCCGATAGCTGCATCTGGAAGGCCGGCTTCCCAGCATAGTCAAGACCATTCTCCGCCAAAGGCCAAAGAAGCATTGGATCAAAATCGAAGCTCAGATCATCCCGTACTGTCGGTGCCGGCTCCCATGGATTAGCCGAATTTGAGTCTTGCTCGATTGGATCCCTACCCTCACCGCCGATCAACGGGACCGTGGGACTGAAAGTGGACACCCCGACGGAAGTTATTTCAGAACGAAGTTTTTCTCCAGCTGCATCGTAATCACTTACCTGGTCTGACTGTGTTGCCGATGCATCCCTTGCAGGAGCTGTCATCCGGAGCCCCGATTTCTTCGGGTCTTCTGTAAACAAGCACCGCCAGCCGCGACGAGCACAACGCTCACATGGTAATCCCCCGCTGCATCTTTGCTTGGACTGCATACAGCTTGTGCATGCTTGGACAGCCCTTGGCAAGTTCTTGACTCCGCTAGGCGTTTGACCATGGACAGTCACGTGTCGTCGTAAAGTGTCCCTGAGAAGTTAGCAGTTGAGTCAACACGTGAGCAAGATCGGAATAAATTTTTTCACCTTCTCGTGAACGACTTATTGCACGTTTGACATTGGTATGGCCTCTGCTTCGAGTGAGATGCGCGATGGCGGTCGAGGTGCTCCCGTCGTTGGAAGGAGCGCGCACATTCGTTGCAGGTATAATCCAAGCCGGATGGGGTGGATAAATTTGATGCTTCGTTGACACTACTCATGCTGACCGATGTTTCATGCACAGGCCATCAAATGTGCAGGTGGTTCTATCAATATTGGTTATAGTAGGTTAAGGTCACGAGGGAGGGCCGGACCTCGGGGCTCGGGGCCCGAGTCTCCGGGGTCCGTTGTTATAGACCATTTCGTCCAACTGGTGGAAAAGCGCCATCAGTACGCGTAACAATTTATGCGGCGCTGTTAACCTCGGAAGTTAGCCTTGAAGAGTAGGAAAATATTGTCCTTGTTGGATTCCTGGATATCGATGCGTTTAAAGCTTAACACCAGGGAAAGCAGATCCTAGAATGGAGACCGGGTGAAAATTTTGACTACTAAAACATTATCCAGTCGTAGGTGCAATTATTAAATCTAGAACCTGAGGACTTGTGAAATTGGCGCCCAAAATGGCCGCATCTCCACCCGTAACGCTGAACGACCTGCCCGGCAACACACATTCGGCCACGGAGCGATTACCTAGCTAAACTACACCAAGCCCCATCGTACTCCTCACCAGGACGAGCAGGTGAAATTCTGAATCAACCAGAGCTGTCAATAAAAGACACAGTCTGCAGCCTGCCATCTTTCATGGTGGCAATTGCGTCAATCCCAGGTCTCATAGCACCCATGATACCAGCAACACGATGCGCAATAATCACAACAGTGTAATCTCGGAGATCGTCCCGAATGATATCTATCAGAACAGACTCTGTTTCTGAATCTAACGAAGAGCTGACTTCATCCAAAATAACAATCGGCTTGTGTGGCGCGGATGACCAGACTCGGAGCAGTGTTCGACTTAAGGCAAATAATTGCAGTTGTCCAGCCGAGAATGGCAGAAATGATGACATGGGAAGATCGAGCAGGTTTTGAATTTTGCGGCTCGTGCCTACCTTCTCGGCCGAACCAGCTATTGAATGGATCTTATCCCAAAGACCTGTCCTTTGGAGACTTAGGGATATTTCTTGCTCTGAGCTCGTGTGATAAGGATCTAGATTAAAGCGTAGACTAGCCGTTGAAATTGTCAATCCATCTTGTGGCACTGCAATGAACCCTCGTTTTCGCACCGTTCTCGGGCACACATGCGTGACGTTGATGTCGTCGATCAAAGTGAATCCCTGACTGGGCCCGAGAAGTTGTAGTAAGGAAAGCATCAATGTACTTTTACCACTGTGGAGAGATTTTAATTAGTCAAAAACTCACAAATATAAAATCAATCAGATCTGCATGGTTGACATACCTCCCTGTTCGACCTACGAGAACGGTCTTTTGTCCAGGCTTGACTGTGAGAGATACGTTGTGCAAGGTAGGTGGCGAAGAATTCGAATAGCCGACTGATATGTCGTTCACCTGCAGGTTTCCAAAAGAGGGCCATCGCAGGCCAGGGTCAAGAGTATGCCCGGCGCTGTCTTCAGTTGGTAGACAGTCTTGGACGCTTTTCAATCGAGCAATCGCCCCCAAAGAAGTCTCAAGGGCCGTCCAGGACTGTACAAGCTTTAGTAGCGTGGTGTTTGCGACGATTATCAAGTTAAGAGCCAAACCAAGATCGGCACCCGCCGTGGTGTTTCGATAAGAGATAGTGAACGCAATCAGAATGACTGCAAAACCCGTCATAATACAATCTAGTATCACCTTTAGCCAGCACTGTAGGCAGAGAAGGAGATAGAAAGGCTTTTGAGACAGGTCCAAGGCTTGCACATTCTCGTTCTCGAATTTGTCTTTCCACCCAAAGGCTCGGATTGTCACGATGCCATTTGCCTATGTGAATGATCAGAAGTGCAAAATTTCGCATATCGTAGCAGATACACATACTGTGTCTAGAAAGTTCGTGAACAAAGATGATTTTGACTCTAGCTCAAGGAAGCGTAGTTGTCGCGATGTCCGAAGATAGATACGCTGGATGATATAAACGCATATGGCGCAGACTGGCACAGTGAGAGTCATCATTGGTCGGATCTTTATTAGCAGCACCAACTGCATCAACAGCTTGAAGATTTCTGATAATAATTGTCAGTAGAAATATCAAACGTCGAGATTGTGACATGCAGACGGGTATTGAGATTTGCCAGCGTTGGAGGAAGTTGCTTATCCACGAGGTTTATGTCCTGCCCAAACCTGAATCTGAAGTATTAGCATAGGAAGAATCTATGCATATTTTTGACCAAGGAAGGCCCTACGGACCTGTTCACAATGACACCGATATCAGTTCCAGTGAAGTAAGATAGAGGCGCCCTAGTTCGGAAAGATTAGTACTCGGAAAGATTCACACACCGAGGTTAGATACGAACTTAAGGATTCGATCAAGAAGCTGTGCGTGTAAAAATGCCCCTGACCTGATAGCAACTTTCATTTGAGCGGCCCTGAAGATTATTAGCAATCTTGACCATTCTCGACGGCGCCAATTCAGTCTTACCACGCAGTACCACTAGTTGCCACCCACCCCGTGAACGAGATTGCGGCATATAGAGACATATATGTGTTTAATCTGTCTGGAGGCGATTCTGTCGCCCATTTGAGAACATACTGAGCAAATGTAGAACAAAATGAAAAACCGGCCGTACAGGCAATCAAAAGAAGAGCGTTCGACCGGCCGATTGCGTTGATATAATACCCTTTCTGGCGTCAGTAAAATCTTTTAGACAGCCCGTAGACATAAAACATACCATATATTGCGATATCCCCAGTCCTCCGAGAGCTATCATCTTCCGCCTCGCTTAGATGTAGTGTCCGGCTCTTTCCAAACCCTCCAGTCGCCTTCGGTGGATTTTGAGTGTGGGAGATATTTGCAGGCAGTGTAAGAACTCCGGAAGCTGCTTTCGAATCTTGAAGGTGTGTTTGATGATGTAGCCTTGATTCCTGCAGGACCAGGACTCGGTCTGAAATCGAAAATATCTCTCCTACTCAATTTTGATGTCAGAGACAAACTTAACCCTTATAGTTAGAGTTGTGAACCCACTAGAGTTGTTGACCAAAAGCACCGTAGTCGCCATTTTTCGAATCAGACCTCGTGGGCCCAACAGCCTTTGCACGATGTGATCAGCGACAGCTTCATCAAGAGCACTGAACGGATCGTCTAGGACAAGGATTCTATATTTCGAGTATACTGCTCGGGCCAAAGCCTGTGGTGAGTCGGTTAGCAACACAATACTAAGCAGTCACCCCAAGCAAGACAACAGATCTCGTACTATACGCTGCTTTTGCCCACCAGAGAGATTCATCCCATTATTATCTATCAGAGCCATATCACCAGCGACAAGGGAATGTAAATCCGGCACCAAACCGCAGGCTTCGATCACAGTATTATACCATTCGGTATCTAGATCAACAGTATGTCCTGATATAGCTTCACGGATCGTGATGCTAGGCAACCACGGCTCTTGAGCGCAATATGCAATCTCCTTGGAAGATAGACAGATCGAGCCAGTGGTACCAGTGGCTTCTCCAAGAACAGCCATTGCTAACGTTGTCTTCCCGCTTCCAACGGCGCCGGCGCAAGTCACAATTTCTCCTCTTGTCATTGCTAAATTGACATCGCGGAGTATGGGATGGTATACTGCAGGGGGTGCTACCGTTAGGTTTTGTATTGAAACAAATTGTTGAAAACTGTCTCCCTGAGAGACTTCTCGCGTCTCCTGGATAGACGGTTGGCTAATAAAATTCTGGATACGATCGAAGTTTGCCATAACAGAGATGGCCTGTGGAATAAGAGTCATCACCATGTTGGCTGGATGTGTCACCATAGCTAGAAGAGCAAGAGCTGGAAAGGTTTGATCGGCATGCATTCGATCGCTTTGGGACGACAAGAATAGAATGAGAGTCAGTACTGGAGCGATTATTCCAAGTGCATTTGCTTAAATGCGAAGTTAGAATCAAGGAAATTATATTTGTCAATCTGACCCGATACATACCACTCGCATTGTAGGCGACCACAATCCATCGTAGGCGCTTTGACATTTGAATCTCATTGCTTCGCAAATGCAATACCTGAGACTTGATTGCATCCTCCATACCCATCATCTTCAAGCTCTTGATACCTTCTATAGTTGCGGTTGTTGCGGCGAGACGGACCTGCGTTGCCTCGTTCCAGGCTTTCTGTCTATTCTCCAAGTGCTTTGCAACATACGCACTCATTCGCGAGCATCCTAAGAGCAAACGTTAACACGCTTCAAAGCTCAAATCATCCCTCCTAGTTATATGGTTACCGAAGATTATAATGAATGGTAGAATTGCGAACCATTGGATCTGAGCGGCCAATAGCACTGTCCCGGTAGCTAACTCTATGAGCCGGGCCCAGGTCTCGTGGATAATCTCACCCACAGAGTCGATGCTGTCAATATCTGAGCTAATCAATGCCAATGCGGATGAGTCTTGGGATTTTTCATTTGGCAGATTAAGGCACTGGTTGTGAATGAGACCAACCAATGCCCCTCGAACCATAACGCGCAGCCTATTGATTCGATGTTGATAGATTGCCGCCGATACCTGGATAGTGAATCGTCAGATTGGTAGAAAAATGGGCACGACTCTCGACTATCGTACCGCCATTCCCATGTACAACATTGCAGCAAAAAGCATCAATGGAAGGCCACTATTTCCAACGAGAATAGTCTGAGAGGTGCCATTGACAAATCGTATTGCTTTTCCAATGAAGATGGGCTGCAAGTATGTGAATAAGATGAGAAATACGCGTGGAAGTATCGGTGACAGAAATGGACCCTTGAGGCACTTCGCTAATGCATATGGAAGCGTCCATTTTGTGTCGAGATTGGCTAAACCATATATTAGCATTGCGCTGCGTGTAGCGCTTAAATAACTGACATTCTTTGGCCCAGTATGTCAAAACTCGCTTTCGTAACCTTTTTGATAAAAGTCGTCGGTCGATATCCGGTAAACTCAAAAGCTTCAGCTTAGCGCTATATCCTTCCCATAGAACAGGATGCATCCACCCGAAAAACACCCGGCTAAATATTCCCGCTGCTTCTTCGGGGATGGAACTGAATCGTTGGGGATGATGCGAGAAGAACTCATTGGCCCATAGATGCGAAGTCAGCCAGAGTCCCTCCACGAAGATCCTAGATCTGATAGAGAAACAGGTCCCGATGCTTAAGCAACCCACGACTGTGAACTCTAAAATGTCTCTTGTCAATGAGCATGCGAGGTATGCCAAAATGACACCCGATGAACTGGTGCCCCTGCTCTGTTCAAGGATGCAGAGCGAGAAGGCTGCAGCCGCCGCGACGACCAATAAAACAGAGTCAATCAGAGTGGTTACGCTCGTGAAATCGTCGCTTCTCAACAAGAGGCACCAAAGAAATGCCAAGTGGGTCGTAAAAAGCGCCACCGGCAATGCCTGTGACACACACAAGTCAACAAGGGGTAATCAAAGTGGATTTTCTCAAGTTAGCAACCAACTAATTTCTTTCTGTGTTGTGAGATGGTCAGCTTCCTCTCTGACCTCCGGCGAGAACGGATGCGTTGTAGTAAAAATGAGAGCAAGATCAATGACAGCATGATTGATGCCGGTGGGCCATTCGACGACCAGGACCACGGGGAAGCCATGTTGAGAGGTTTCGGGCTTAGCAGCTTGCTTTGAAATATTTCTCGAGTTCGTGTCTCTATATGGCTCTAGTAATGTTGAAAAGCCCCGAGGAAGATATGGCGTGTAAAGTGCTCAGAAAGATCAGAATCGCCGTTGGAATTCCAAAGATTCTCGGGGGTGAGCTTTCACGGTAAGCCTGCTTGCGCGAAAACTGCAGGGGTTTGCTGCACGGTCAACAAACGCGGTGACTGCGCTAGTGTACTGTGATCTCTATCTTCTTGGTAAGCCGACTCATCCGGAATTAACAGAGAAAAAGAAGTGTTTGAAGACGTTTGTCCCATGTCAGCTGAGATGTTGTTACTCGATCGCCAAATCATGCCTTATCAACTGCACGCACAACGCGCTTGCTCGCGGTCTTTCTTCTCCGTCAAGTGTCTGATACGGAGTGAGAAAAAGAACGAATCACGGACACACGGATTATGGCAAATTGAAAAATAAGGGACACGAGTTCAAAAAGCCAGCATAGCAGAAAATGACTCTCAACTAGAAGCTTTTCTTCTATCATCTCCCGTCTGGTCAGAGGTGCTTTAGCTACACATATCCACTATATATATCTCCAGGCGGGCCTCTAAATCAACGCAATGAGCCCAATCATACCGGTAAATATTGCTAGTATATTTATGTTCTAATTGCTCTAATAAATCAGCTCCGACACCAAGCCATCACATGACATCTCTGGCCTCACACTCACGAAAACATTGCCCCGCCAGATCGACATCAGCCTTGCACAGTAATCGAATATCAGACTTCATCCATCCCCTATGGCTGAAAGTCGAATAGAGCCAAACGTGGGCACACAGACCCACGAAATCGATGCCTGGCATTATGCAGTCATCGAGTATACCAATAACCTCTCACCCACGCAACAGCAGGCTATAAAAGCGCTAACCAGTGTGGATGAGTGTCTATAGATACTTATAACACATAGTCGGCGCAAAAAGACAGCCATGCCAGTTCTAGAATACTTTCGCCCAGTGATTGATACGCTCAAGAGATTAGAAGGGGCGATTGATGTTGTAGCCCAGATCAGCACCGGAATCGCATCACCTATCTGGGGCCCATTACGAGCAGATATCACAGTGAGTGGCGTTCATCATCTCTTAGGATCTAAAACTCACATTTCTCAGGTAGCGAGTGAGCATTTCTCAACCATAGAACAGTTTATGTTTGTTGTCGACAGGATTGCTCGTTGCCTTGGGCGATATCAAGACTTTGAGAGGATGTTCGTACATGAGGTGCAGTCTACATGCGACGTGAGCTTCATGCATCGCTCCGCCTATCAATATCTCCAGAATAGAATATTCTGTGCGCAGGACGACCTCCCAGTCATCCTTCATCCTCAAAGTTTGAAAGAACTTTATACTTTATCGAGGCACGATGGCAACCTGGTATTTTACCGATTGCTCTGACTTATTGCATGACCTCCAAATACTTCGAGAATAGACATTTCTGTCACGTTGGAGCCTCGCTTCTGAGTCTCATTTTGAAATGCACTATACACTTTTAAATGCCTTTCGGTTTGGCCTAGCCTATCAGTCAACCGCACAAGAGGCAATTCCAATAATCCGACAACTTTTAGGATTCGTGCAGTCCGAGAAATGCCTTAGGTGGGTCGAAACGGCGACGATTATCAATTATTCAGGAGACTTTCCAGAGCTCTTGGAGAATGTGTTTTCAATGCACAATTCATCATCTGATTCCAACATCCATGATAAGGAAGATTACCTTGCAGCTGAGCGTCAAGAATTTCGACTCCAATGCCGGCGCTTCTTCCAAATTGGTCCTATGTGATCCTTCAGACCACCGCGTGGGGCGGAAGGTTAACGAGGCTTTGGGGCAGGGGGCCTTCACAACTTTCCATGAACTTCGAGAAGCCCTCGGGCTTTGATGAGAACAGGATCGCGCTCGCAATACTGAAGATTGGCGAGGCCTCAAGTGCAACGTTTCAGGAAGCTCTTTCAGCGAAGTCAGCGGTCCAGAAAAGACATCCCTTGAAATTGGGAGCTTGCCCTGATTGCCACCGCGTATTGGGATTGCACGCTTCCCGAAAACGCCATCGTTTAAAGTGCTTATCGCGACCTCGAAGGGAGGGTATTCAGTCGAGAGCGATACAACGCGACGGAGTCAAATCAAAAACGGTAGTCTCAACTGAGAGGGTGAAGGATGGATCTCAAGCGGATTGATATTCCTAATTCCATACGGGAAAAAAAGCAAAAAGAAAATAGGGAATGTTTCATATCCAAGGCCGTGGCCTTTCTTCTCAGATCAAGCATCGTTGATTAGAAAGGGTTCAGTGTCTCGGTTACAAAAGGATGGTGTTTCGTGATGTAGAATCATCGAAGAACACAACTTTAACGCTGCGGAGAGCAAGTAAATAGCTCTTTTTGATTCATCTTCATAGGTCATGCAGTGGCAGTGCCAAGTTCGACAATTGGTAGGACTCAATATTGGTAGGACCCAATACTTCTGGACACTATTCTAGCTGCCCTTCTCATGTATTTTCCTCACCATGACCTCTCTGGCTCCCAATAGATCCTTTATTTTAGCGTGTCCTAGCTGATGTATTCAGTCTCCCAATTGTTCTATGGATACATAAATTATATCCGATAATTGCTGGGCATCCCCGGAACTTGGTTGGAATTAATGGTCGGTATTCCCTATTTGTCAATCCTGAAAACCTTGTCTTGAGGTGATGGAGAGAGGTTATATATAGCACTTTGAGTGGCGTGTTGAGGTGCTACCGGGAAATGGCAAAAAATATGAAGGTAAAGTAAAGGAGGGTTGATATGTCTAACCTAGACCACATTGCGCCCGGGTGAAAATTGGCAAACCGTAAAGAAAATGAAACAAGAAAATACATGACGTGCATGACCATATTTCTGAGACAAATTAAGACAATCAGGTTAGCGATGCGAGGTTTGAAAACCAAAAGTCCGGGGTAGGTCGGTCAGGCCCGCAGTCACAAGGTCTATTAGACCAGAAAATAAGATTTTATACAGTATAGATGATACATTGAATGTCTAGTATAACTGGGTTGAGAGCGTCGCTAAACAAATATATAACGCAATAATCACCCCATACGCCTTAGATAAGATGTGCGAAATAACACCCAACTTCAGGCCTGTACCTACAATTATGGTCTAAAGCATATACAAAAAGTGTCGACCTTGGGTCATCTGAAACATATCTGAGTCTGCTGATTCCAAGGTTCTGTAAGACCAAATAGTGTATGCCCCAGATAGTAGACATCCAACGCCACTATATCTACCATGGAAAAGAATATCTCATCTAATATTAGAAACTAATATCATACTACAAACTTGTCTTGGAGGTATAGCAAGTATTACGAAAAAGGTATATAAAGCCCTTCGGTCTCTCATTGATCATCGACAATTCAACCAGTACAGCCTTTTACTACATCCACAATCAGCATCTTGAATTTTCCAATTATCTTTTCTATGAAAATGAAGTCGTCTACAATCCTCGGTCTCTTTGTTGCCTATGCAGCTACCGCTAGTGCAATTCCACTGAAACAAAGAGATCATCAAGTTGACATCACCTTTATTGGCGCTGCCGACGCTCAATTCACTCAAAGCATCCCTAGTGACGGGTCTGTTGTCTCGATTGGTAGGTCATTGTCCCTTTACACAGCCAAACTGAAAATATTCTGACATTGTCTAGAAAACCCATTGAGCATCTCGCACATTTCATCCAAAACTGCTGGTGTCCAGTGTACCTTCAATGGCATTGATCATAGCGTGACAGTTGTCAACGGGGCTCAATGGGTAGATGTTGGCCCTCCCCAGACCCAGGTGACTGCATCTTGCCAGGTCCAGGGATCGAGTTCATCCCCTGCACCTCCTTCCACTGATCCTGCTCCGGCTGGAGATCACCCCCATGGGGACGAGGTCCATGTCACTTTCATTGGAGCTGCCGATGCTCAGTTTACTCAGAGTTTCCCATCCAATGGTGACTGGGTTCAAATTGGTATGTCTTTTTATATATTCTGCAAAAAGCCCAAACAAAGACACTAATTTAATAGCGAACCCTCTGAGCATTTCCCACATTCAAACTAGCGCTGAGGGCATTACTTGTGTTTTCAACGGAGTTGACCACAGTGTCACTACTGCCATTGGTACTCAGTTGGTCGATGTTGGACCCCCGCAGACCCAGGTCTCGGGTTCCTGTGCATGATTATCTCCCCAGAAGGGGGATAGGAGATGGCATTATAAGTCTTGCGTTGGAAAACAAAGAAAGCAGAAAAAATGTGCTTGGTCGTATTTTCTGGTTTTCGTGCTTTCATTATATGATTTTTTTGAATTTGGACGAAGAAATAGCCCATAATAATCTGTTCATATACACACTCCTTTACATAATTTATCCTACATACATTGGTTGAAATATATGTTGTTTACTCAAGTCCATTACTCATCCAGTTTCTGATATCAACTAAGCCACTTGGACGAAATGATTTGAATACTAATGAATACTACCCTTAAAGCCTGTTTTACAGGGGAAAAACACAGAGGGGCGAATGTTATTCAGGTCCGGAATGCGACGCGAGGGGGTACATGGGTCACATCTAGCATGAACCTCAACGTGGATGCGTTGAACATTACTTTCCCGATAAGTACACTTAATTCTCTCGTTTCCCTCAAGCTGTCTAACGGATATCTAGTTTATTAGACATATTACACTGGTGTTTATTGAATTTCTCGAAAATGCAGTCTCATTCAAAGCCTTCTAAGGGCAGGCCAAGGAACACCGGAATTCAGGGCTGCTACAGTCCCTTTCGAGCCCTCCAAAGACCGTGTGTACGATAGCATTCCGATGAAAAGTCCAGACCTTGTTCCCTCTGAAAGGGTTGTATAAATTTAAGTCGCATCCCCGGATCGCGCGTCTGTTGTACAATAACAACCGCCAACACCGAACCATCGACATGCATTCAACCAACTGAGCACGTCACTTATTTTTGGGATATAAAACCGTTGACGCCTTGGTTCATCGCGTCAACTATCGACTGCCTAATCTGCTATAGATTATTGTTGATCAACCCCTTTTGTATTTTGCAATGGGGCGCGTGTCTATACCAATTCTTCTTGCGGGCCTGGCTGGGTATGCCTTCGCTGGTATTCACCATCACGCTCATGGCCATCTCCATCACCATCGCCGTCGCAACTTGATGCCACCTACCGAAGACCTGGAGCTGCAAAATCTAGGTTGGGATAATGCGAATCACATCCCAGAAGATATTGTGGTGGAATCCATTACGATCACGACTACGACTACGGTTTTTGGAAAATGCGCGCCAACCGATACTATCCACAGCACTCTTACGCTTGTCAGACATAGCCCTGAGCCTACGTCGTGGAGTACCGATCATCACTTGTACATCATCCCGCGTCCCGAGCCATACCAGGACCACTGGGATCAACTACAGCCCGAGCCTATTCTCCCTGCGCCGAAAAACACGAGACCTGCCGAACCTCACTTTACCCAGCCCGCGCCCTGGGCTCCCAGGCCAATAAAGGCAGAGGAGACCACTACCATGTTCAAGACACAAACAATCACCAAAACCGCAACCAATACTATAACAGTCACCGTCCACCCAGGAGCCAACCATGTGCCACTTGCAAACGTACTCCCGGGGAATAATCCCTCAGAAGCAGAAAGACCTGTGCCCCTTGCAGACACGCTACCCAAGGGGTCTTTAGAAGAAGAAAAAGCCGTTCCAGCAAACCGCCCTCCTCCCCCACCATCTCACAAAAGCAACGGCGGGCCCAACAAGGCCGGACTCGATATACATAATTTGCCAGTAGTCAACCAGATCTCCCCGGGCCCAAAGCAACACAGACCCACTACAGTGGACTGGACCGCAATACCACCAGCTGGACAATTCTCAACGAACGGATTCGGCGGGCGCACTCCACCAAAAGCAAAAGGAGCGGAGGTACAATACCGCGGCAATGTTGGCATACCATGGGGAAGCAACATCATCACTGTCAGTCCGGACGAGGCGCATGCCTACAAATATGTGGCACGGTTCACGGGTTCAAGCGATGAATCCTGGACGGTGGTTGTGTGGAACAAGTTCGGGCCTGACGGCAAGTTGACCGGATGGTACGGCCACTCTGCGCTGAAATTCACTCTTGCGCCCGGTGAGATTCGCCATGTCGCTTTTGACGAGGACTCTGAGGGGGCCTGGGGTGCTGCGCCTGGTGATCGCCTACCTAGGGATCAATGGGGTGGATACTCGTGTACCTGGGGCGAGTTTACGTTCGGTGATGGGGAGAATAATGGTTGGTCGGGATGGGATGTTTCGGCTATTCAAGCCCAGGTTGCCAATCAACATGTGCAGGGCATGTCTATCTGTCAGGCTGATGGAGAAAAATGCTCTATCATCACGACCGATGCTAAGAAGGTGGTTGCTGCTTATACTAAATCGGTAAAGCACATCGATGGTATTGGTGGTGAGGCGGTCCCTGGTCCTGTGCGACTGGATGTTCTTATTGATTATCGGGGATGAGGATGAAGTATTTGTATATACACATGCATTTTGCGGGGGGATACCGATTAGAAAAGCGATCGATTCGTTGAACAATTCACAGCTTTGTCCCAGGCTATGCTTCGAAACTCGTAGGAAAATGGCACATCAGCACCCCACACGCTCACAACCCAACCATTCCAGCTCCCGGGCATCATTTAATGCATCGAGGGAATGTCAATCTGCTTGATGGTCCAGACCTTTCCGCCCTGGCTAGACGAAACTTTGGTATAAGTCGCACCACCCGCACTAGCAATCGTCGAGCCAAAGGTAGTATCAGCTGAGGCGAGAGTAATAACCGTGTTTAAGTATTTCTGCGCAGCGATAGTCCCCGAGCAGTTGTCGTTGCACTCCGTTCCGGTGCCATATCTTACTAAAGTCAGTATTGTTCTCGCTAAAGTACCTTTCTGGAGGTTGACTTACCCTCGCATATAGGGCCCAGAGGCGTGAGAGTAGGTTGAAAGTAGGGCACCAGTCTGGCCATTTGTGACAGTCCTATACATGTTACTTGGGATGTATCTAGTCAGTTTGAATGCATACTTACTGCTTCCAGGTCTGTCCGTCGGACTCAAGGTTGTACTCAATCCGCACCTGATCGGTTCCGCTCACGGGGGAACCGGTGCCATCGAGCTGGCCAAAGCTGCCAAAAACACTGGCGCGCACACACCACTGGCCGGTGGCTGCTCCGCACCACGAGTTGCTAGGCCAGCTTTCAAGTGTTGTCTGGACCAGGTCACCGGTTCCGTTGGACATCTATGGTTATTAGTGACTAGAAAGTCCATTATAATAAGCGAGGGCTTACACCAGGCCAGAGGAACAGCACGCCGTTCTGAGTTTCTGGCGCAACTCCAGGGACCAGCGTCGTGACGGCGTTGATGATGGTCGACTTGGAGGGACCGAGCGAGACACTGCCACCCCAGTAGTCATCTCTCTTGACGACATTCTCTAGCAGACCTGCGCTGGCAAGGCCGGCGGCAGCGAGCAATGGTACGATGAAGCGCATTGTGATAATCATAAGCTGGAAGGCTGCAAGTATACTTGTCCGAGTCGCTAAGCGTTGAAGTATAGACGATTTGATCAGGATTAATCCATATCGACGTGAGCAATGCCTGCATTTATAGTTCTCCTTGCGAGACAAAGGCGCATCTCTACATGTGGAGTGGTGGAATTGAACCAAAAGCGGAGCGCCTCCCGAAGCTCTTCAGGGCTGGATGTTTCACCTCAAAACAAGCCTAAAACTAGTCTGATTGGTGAAACTAGCCAGTTCTAGTGCAAGATGACTCCTTATTGACGCATTAACTTTTGTCAAACACACTGATTCAAGTGCGAAGCCCCGCATATGGACTTTCTATTTACCCAACAGGATATATTTGTGGTGCCGGCAGCGACAATACCCAGTAGTCGAGTTAGACCACAACATTTATGCAATACATGATATGAGAGTGCTCTAGTGGTGCATAGAAACCGAGAAGGCTGTTTTGTATTGCAATTAACGTGCAAACTATTAGTATCTTCAAGACAATTTATTCCGAGAGACCGATATATAAACTTTCGCCGGGTGGATATCTCATTCCAAGTATTCACCCTTAGTTTCGGCGTGGATCACATCAAACAGGGGCTTCGCACTGAACCAGCCAGCTTTTGGGGTTCCCACTGTTTTGTAGGTGAATGCAGCATCGGCTTCTTCAATTTTCACTGTTTGTCCACCTCGTCCAGTGGCGGCTGCGTCCGCTAGGAGTTGAGCGTAGCAGCATTTCTCCAAGCTCACGAACCAGAACACGGTTTCTTCAATTGTGTTTCCAACTGTTAAGAGGCCGTGATTCTGCAGGAGGGCTGCCTTTTTGTTGCCTAGAGCTTTGGCAATGTTCTGGCCTTCTTCTTCGGCTAGCACAACGCCTTTGAATGATGAATAGAGAGCCAAGTCCTGATACTGTTAGAGCTGAGGCTTTCCACGCGAGAGTATTAAAAAATATCAAGAGAACGTACATTATGGAAAGCACAGGCATCTTGCGAGATGATATCGAGCGGTCGGCCCAGCGAGCAAAACGCCCGTCCATGGAGACTATGACTGTGCGCAGCGCAGTTCACTTCGGGCCGTGCAGCATGGATAGCGGAATGGATCATAAATGCAGCGGCATTCAGCATCCTATTGCTTCCACCCGAAATGACGTTGCCACCGTGGTCGACCTGAATTAGGTCGGATGCCTTCATCAGCTTGAATGCCGTGCCGAAGGGATTCACCCAGAATGTTGTCGGATCCACCGGATCGCGCACGGTGATGTGCCCAGCGACACCTATTGGGAATGTTAGTTGCTAATTTCTAACTCAGTACTTCATTGTAGGACCATCCATACCCTCATCGTATCCTTTATCGCCAAAGATTCTGAATGCTGCTGCTAGGCGGCCCTTTAAATACTCTCGCTCCTTCATCTTATCCTCGAACACAGGCATGCTAGGCATATGCATCTTGACCTTGGCCTTCTCGGCACCCGCCGCTTGAGATGATTGTGGTGCTTGCATGCTGATGGTGTTTGCGAGGGTCTCGGTGGCAGTTGGGGGAGCCATGTTTGTTACGGGTAGGATTGTCGAGACAGGATCTTCAATGTTATAGATATCATTCAAGTTTATCCCACTCTTAATGCAGAGAATCCCCTCGAAGCGGGGTTGTTGATCTTCAATGTTCAATTGGCCGGTGAGCCGAGGTTGTACTGCTTCTCCGCAAGCGGTTATCCGCGCATCGTCACTCTGGGCTAATATGGTGATATTGGAGAGTTGAGATAGATTAAACACATGCTGTGTTGGATTGAAAAGAAAAGATAATGGCTAATATAAAACTGAAACACACCGAAATCAGATCGCTGGACTTTAGCGTAGCACTTTAAATCATTAATGCATCAAATCGTGAGAGTTAGGGCCAGGGCTGGATAGACCGGTAACATGTTCCTCCAGTCATGAAATCTAGTTCGTGAATCCTTATAGCGGAAACAGAGACCCCCGCTGAACTTCTGCCATCAATGCCTCGAACAGTTTACGGTCGGCTGGACTGAACCTGTGGCTGATCGTCGCACGATGATGTGGAGATCCAACCAATGGCTTCAGATCGGCTTCACATAGAGTTCCTACTATTGGTAATGTGCCAGTTTGGAAGTAATGGCGAATGGCCTTCGCCACGCAAATTGATGGGGCTGTGAGTGTTGTGTGCTAAATGAAATATATCAGAGACAAATAATTGGAGTACAGCGAGTTACTCACTCCTTCTGATTCTTGTTGGAGCAATCCAGAGCCTGGGAAAATCTGAGACATATGCTGGGCACTGGGACGGTTAGCTTGGAAAAGCACTAGCAATGAGCGAATACACACCCGTGGAGAGGAGTCACTGGATCCAGAGTATTTGAGACGAAGAGCATGGGATGAGCGGTAGTAGTACCCCACGGTCCTAAGACCGGTTAGTTGCGGACGCAGAGAGAACACAAAACACTGTAAGACATACCTGCGAAAGGGTACTTAGCCTTGGCTTTCCATCCAACACAGCTCAATTGCAACTGTGCCCAATAATCACCCAGAGATGCACTGTCAGCCAGCAGGCTCGACCATTCTGCCCGGAACTGCTCAATATTCAGAGTGGTCAAATATTCGGCATCCGAGCACATAATAGCAGCCATGGCGTACAGAAAGTTATCTTGCGTGGTAGCGCATTCTGGTGACCAAGGCCCAGCAAGACTGCACTTGTTGGATGGACATGCGCCGAAATGATTCCCCTGTTTAAAATCAGCCATTGGAATAGCATTCCCCTTGCCCAACTCGGTCATTCTGTCTGCCAGGACGGGGAATGCAAGGAGGGGTTGGTAGATGGCAACACGCTGAATCTCTTTGATGTCCGTCCATGTTATAACCTCAGGTCCCCGATCAGCAGATGCCATGACAGGCATTGAGGTGTTGAGAATCTGCTGCTCAAGTTGCCAGTACGCTGCCTTGATAGCGTCTGGACCACCCTCGATATAGAAGGGACACCCAGCGGGCCCAGCCTCATTACAGTACTGGCCAAATCGATCGAATATGGCATCTGCGTCAGCAACAACGTTCGGTCCCGTTCCCTGATAGTACTTTACCATGTCAACTACGCCGTCGAGAACCGCTCGTGTAACGCGCTCTGGGAAGAGCGAGGCAAAGGTGGTGCCCAGCACGGTACCGTAAGAGCGACCCCAATACAGAAGTGGCTCTTCTCCGCGGTGCCATTGAGTGCGTTTCAAGATTGTGTTTCCATCATCCAGTCCATGACACTTGTTGTGGGCTGTCTGGGCTCTTCGGCCTTCCTTCTCACGCCATTCTCCATGACGTTCGATGATTGTCAACATGTCCTGCGCGACAAGCGGTGTATTGACATAGGACATCATTGGTTCGTCCGCTCCTAGACTCAACATATCGAATACCGAACAACCCGAGTTTAGCGCTTCGGTTCGCTGCCAGTTTCTCTGCAAGGAATCCGGTCCACTTCCTAGCATGCCTTCTGCTGAAACTTGCAACTCCCAGTTCCTTTGGGATACGGGATCAGGAAAACACATCACTGGAGGTGTTGTGGATCCTACTCCACGAGGATCAAACCCGATAATATCAAAATATTTATCGCCAGTCTTCTCTTCGGTCTCAAGTGGGTCGGCCTCCGCATCAATGATCAGCTGGAGATTGCGACCCGCCACGAACGCTTGCATTGTTCCCGGTCCGCCAGGTCCACCTGGGCTATGAGCTTAGATCATCACATCAAGTCCAAATTCACTTACCAGGGTTGATCAGAACCGCGCCCCCATACCGCAGATCTGTGACTGGGACCTTGGCTGGCAGCCGGACAATAGCTAGGGCGAATGTGCGACCTTGTCCATCCGTCCGCTCGTAGTCCATAGGCACTTCCAGTCTCGCGCATTGGAATTCATCACCGCAATTGTGGTATTCCAGCGACTGCAAAGGGAGTATTTCGTCCCATGTGGCTGGAATAGGGATGTCCAAAGGCTCTACCACCTTCCAGGGGAGTGGAACAGGCCAGACTAAAAGAATCAACACCACAGTAGCCAGGGGTAATCCCCATCGAACATATCGATGAGGTGCCTTGTGTACCTGATAAGGCGGTAAAGGCGTGAATTTCACATCCATAACGCGACCAAAACATCAAAACAAATAGTTTCCAAAGGCCAAGACCCACAGAGGGGAATTTTCCAACAGTCTCTGGCTCTTAGAAGACCAAAATCCCAGAGGTCATATAAAAGAAAGTCGGAAATCAGATAAATCCATTGACTTTTGAAATCCCGCCGGTCCCGCCAAGTGGGGGTTCCCCCGATCCATATGCCCTTGCATTCTATTGGGAGTTGATGTATCGAACTGAAATCCAATCTATGCGATTCGTCCATATTCAACCCTGCAAAAGATAGGTGTTGAGCGATAAGAGACCGGGTCAGTGCACCTGCATATCTCCAGGGTCCAGTCGGTCAACATCTTTCGAGCTGTGCAAGACCGGTTGAAAGTAAGCCGAAACAAATATTGGGAATCCAACTGCCACAAAGCATGCGGATGGAATTCTGAAACCAAGTTTTCTGAACTCCGTATTCCGTACACAGGATGGCAAGGGAGATATGCGGAGAAGAAAAGTCCGTGGGAGACCAGGCAGCTGCCGTTGACAAGCCACTCAGCTTGAATCCCATCTCCTAACCAAAGCAAACGCACTTGATTTGACAGGAGTACAGAGTACGTGGCTCCAGGAAATGGCAAACAAAAAAGAGCCCCATCGACATAAAAGAGAGAAAAGGTCCCCTCCGTAGACATCTTTGAAATTATACAGACATGGCTTCCAAACTCCAAGACCACATCAACTCCCTCCAAACCCTCCCTCTGGCCGAGGCAATTCAAGCGATTACCGACCTCATACCAGGCTTCACAAGCGTTGTCCCTCGCGAATACGGCTACTTCGTCCAACACCCCGACTACGAAGGAACCGGCAATCTGAACGATATCGGCACGCTCTGGCTGAAGCTCGGATCGCAATGTCACGATGACCACGCACCCCTCAAAGTGCGCCTCATCCATGCGTCCATGGACGACCCGATCTACGAAGTCTACGGGACCAGCTACGATATGCTGAAGCAGGGACTGGATGATGGGACCGTGGCACCTCCCCCGCCCCGTGATTACTGTGCCTGCTGTAGCGGTGAGGCGAGCGCCACTATCTTGGCTTGTTTCCATGAGCGACAGGCCTTGTATTTTACCGAGGAGGAATACAAGGCTATTTGGGGGGATCAGGCGAATTCAGGGGAGAGTTCTAGTGGGTGGACAGACGAAAATGGCTGGACGAAGCGAAGTATCTGTGCGAGCAAGGAGCAGATTGAGGAGGCTCTAGCGAGGAACCCGGCTGCTGGTATTGCAAGTATGCTCTAGATGGTCTAGGGAAAACTACATAGGAAACACCGCGGTGATGACGGTTGACATCGGAGAGATAGTTCACATAATGGAAAAAAAAAAATTTGAAGATCATTACGAATACCTTCCTTTAAAGATTTCGCAACGCCCCGGTATGTACACGGAAAAGTCAAGAAGATTGGAATGAAAATCCCCCCTTCAATAGCAAGAAACCCACCAAGTCCGCTCCGATCTATCCCCGTGTGCAGATGTAAATAGAGATGATGTCAGCATCGTCGGAGCTTCGTCGAAGCTTCGTCTCGAAGCGAAGATCGCCCAACTAGGTCGAAACCGCTTAGTCGTGGCTGCGAGGTCGCTTTCGAGGGTTGATAACCCGGCGACCAAGAGATTCGGCGCGACTACCGATGGAATCCTCGACCCGCTGGAGGTATTCGACAAACTCATAATAGTTATCAAAGTCCAGATGTGTCTTGTCAGCCTCGTTTCGAACCCTGTTCATCAGATGCTCAAAGAGATGGCGCATGCGATCACGCTCCGAGTCGTTATTCGGGAAGTGTGGCACCCACTGCTGCATCCAGTTGGAGAAGTCAGTCACAGACTGGGCCGGTCGCTGATAGCTATCCATATAGCGGGACCTGGCGACATCAGGGTAAACTCCATTCTGAAGCTGGTGAATAAGGAAGGTGCAGAAACTGCCGTATGTGACCTTCTCGGCCGGTAGATGGCGTATGTGTCGTTTCCACTCATCCTCGATATTAAGGGCAACGTGCTTAAGCGCCCGCGTGACCTTGCGCTCATCGATCTTGTACCACTCCGGATATTTATCAAAGTGTCGTTCTAGACCCATAGAAAAGTTCTTGAACTCTCCCAAAGCCCGTCCGTTGTATACCGGCACATTGGGCACCGGTGGGGCGTGGACGGAGGATTCGGGATGAAAAGATCGGGCGGAAGGTTGCAGACTGGAACGGGATTCAGTCTTGACGACTGCGGGTGCGGCTGGGGACCTGGTAGCTGCTGCGAGGGCTCGCAATTGCTCGAGGTTCAAACCGGACACGAGGTTGGTTGCGGGTTTAGGTGAAGGTTTGGGTTCGGACGGCTTAGCGTCGGAAGAACGATCAGCAGGTTGAGTCGGCGGTGCTGGGTTGGTAATCTGCTCAGATCGGGCAGGATGAATGTTCTTTTGGGCTTCATCAATACCGGCCTTGCTGTTCTGCTTGGGCTCAGCTCTGGATGGGGTCGAGGCTGGGGTAGCCGGGGGAAGTTCCAGGGTAGTCGCAGCCAGAAGTCGAGTGCGAGCCCGTTCCAGTTCTCGTTCCTCCTCTGCAACCTTTTGTTTGATATCAATGAGCTCTCGCTGCTTCTTCAGTCTCGATAATTGAGCTTGAGCTTGACGAATTTCCGCCTCCAGGTCATCGGCAGAGCCGACAGGCTCTTCAGGCTCAGGATCGGTGTTTTGGAACATCTCATTCAGACTCTCCCATCGCTCTTGAATTCGATAAATGTTGGATTCAGAGCCAGGTTTGGTCTCTGGCTCTGACATGGTGATTTTTTTAATCCCTGCGCGTCGCAGATAAGATAGTGTGCGGAGAAAGAAAGTTCCGAAGTCCGTGAAGAAAGTCACATGTCACGTTGCCTCAAGGCAGGAACCTTTTCGAGGCAAGTGACCTTATGTCAGAGTGATGAATCGTAGTTTGAGGAGTTTCTCGAGGAGTCTGGATTCTGAAAAGTTCTCACAGGTGGCTTAGGATGAGAGGTTGCTAGCGGGTACTTGCTCTCAGTGTCTCATTAACCTGGGCAGGTGCTTCCCAATCTAGTACTAGCAACACAGTATATGTGATCTATCAGTTTTCTACCAAAGTTGGAATAATCCCAGGTTTTTGGGACGAGCGACTGAGAAATATTTTCTTTTTCTCCTTCGTCCAGGCAAATTAACATAAATCGAGCAGATAATTGAGATTCACCCAGGGAAAACCTCGAATGTTTATATCGATGGTTTATATAGTTACGGTGAACAAAGAGAGCCAGCGTAAGCATCATAATTGGATCATACCGGGTTAGACTGACTGGGATATATTTTACTCTTTGTCTATCAGATTTGGGACACTCTAGATGATTGGAAAAATAATTATCAAGGGGGCTCAAGATGGGCACGCGAGTTGACTAGAAGAATAATATCATGGTATTCTGTTACTTTGTAGACATTGAGTATTATCAGAGTATACAGTTCCTGTGCAATAGTATCCCCGAATAAGCCATTTGAGGAATATTTCCAATTTACTCTACATAGAAAAGCTGAACCTCTGAAGAAAGCACTGTAACTTGATCCATAAAGCCTGTACTACTATGACTATATAGTTATAGAAGCCAGGAGAAATCAAACCCCGAACAATGACAGAATAAGATGTTATTCAAAGATTAATTATTATATATACAGTAAAATTAATTGCTTGACACAATAAATGTCTTTATTTACCCGGTGACCCGAGAAGACACAAAAACTTTTTATTAGGAGTCGAGGCCAGCACGTTCTTGACCAAGTGCCAGACGTTCAGATCATAAGCCTCGCCAATGTGACCAACAGGATCCAATGGGCAAGTATCCTGAATCCATCGATTGGTCACGCCTTCCTCATGGACGAACGATGTCGTCGGGGGAGTAACCAGCTCATCATACTTGGACGCAATGATAGTGACACTGTTACCGGGCTGCGCGATAGGGGTACCGTCATTCAAGCGTTTAACGGCAGCGCCATCGGGACCGACATCATCACAAGCAGGGCAGCCGAGGGTGTGCAGGACTTCGCTAACGACGTCGCGCGACGCTTTACCGAACAAGTATGCGATGTCATAGATATTGGCAAATGTAGTGGCATGGGTAGGGGGTGCGATGGCAGCGATCTTATCGACGAGGTGGGCGACGCCCTCGAACTTGGGCACGTAAAGAGCTTGGAAAGCACCCTCTGAGTGGCCGACGAGGTCGACTTTGCTCTTTCCGGTCTTTTGGACGACTTCTTTGATGTACGAGGCAATTTCGGGGGCGCTCTCGTTGATTGCCTTCAAACCGCCAAGCAATGGGAAGCCATCGTATGCGCCATAGGTGATCGCGTACGTGCAGAAGCCTTGCGTTTGTAGCCAGTACTGCATGAAGTTCAGGTCTTCATAGAATGTCGCGCCCAGTCCGTGTAGGAGGACGACTGGGTTGTAGGAGCTTTTGCAGGAGAAATCGTTGATTCCTGTTGCGACGGCGGTGGTAGCCGCGAGGGCAGAGAGCGCCAGCTTGATGAATGAAGGCATGATGTATGACAGGTATGGCAATGTCCATAGCTTTGGGGCCCCATGCTTTTATGAGGGAATCTGCAGGAACCCACATCTCCTATTTTTTTCCACGACCGAACTATCGATTGTTGATCGATCGGATCTGCCTGTGACTGGTCGGCCCTGCCGATCCCCGTCGGAACCAGATCGAATGCGTTATAGCGTCAGGGCAGATCTTTTTGATTCATCCAATGAGAGGTTGAGTTCTAAATGAATTCTGGATAGATCATTTCAGCTGGTACATTGTGGTGATTTGTGTTGAATCTCATTGTGACATTTATGCGGGAAATCTAGGAAGCCGCGGAGCATCCTCCGTAATTAGCCCCTATACCATTGGAAAGTGAACAATGTCTATGTATATCTATGCAGGGATCAATATTGTTATGAATGACAGCGCCTGAGCGCAGCAATTATTGTGTCCAATAGCTGGATCGAGCGGGATCATAGACCCCAAGATAAAATTATTAAATCGTGACGGAGTATCACATCCATACTATACGAAATACTGGCATTCACACTACGGACTACCCGTATTCAGTGGCGAGGATTCTTTTGTAGATAATTCGGGCATGGCACTGCCCCAAAGCCCAAGAGCATGCCGCTTCTCAACTAGTTGCAGCACCTCAACCATGAAACGGCGCTCTGGACCTCCGTCTGGGAATGCTTCCCACGCTACTCGAGTGGGGAATGCCAGACGATTGATCATGTTGCCCGGCGCAGTGAGGATATAAAATTCCAACGACCGGCAGATCCCGCAGCCCAAGTCGTATTGTTCCAAGGGTGAGACGCGATCTTGTGGCCGTTTGTCGATGGAGGACAAAACCAATCGCGCGGCGTAGTAGACACACATGGTTTGTGCGAGTAGCAGGTTTGGATATGTAAATCTTGTTGGGGTGAAAGTAGCCCCTGTGCGGAGGTCGCGGCGTTGGAAAATTGGGAAACCTTGGTCGCCGATTTGTTCGGCTTCCTGCGGTGGGCCATCCGGGTATGCGACAACATGGTCATCGTACCATTGATAGAAACGGGTTGTAAGATCGCGTATTCCGTTCCAAAGTGTAGACTGTTTGACAGCCATCTCTTGTGTCCCCATGAGAGATGTGATTTGTGCCTCTTTGAAGGCGTCGGATATCGCTAGTAAACCTGGGATTTCGGTGGCCAGGTCAAGTAGACTGTGTAGAATATCTTTTTGGGTGGTCCCTGCTGACCACGGAATGGTCTTCCACTCTTCACGGGCCAGGAATGAGGGTTGTCGAGCTGCCAGAGCGGCGCCAATCTAAGCCGTTAGATTGAGAAGAGACAATTGCGGATGGTGTGTAATCTTACCCAATATGGACGGAGTTCTGTAAATAAAAGATGTTCAACCCCGTACATGTGATTTTCTGGCCCACGATGTTCGATCAAGCGCACTGCTCCTCGGACGTGAGCCGAGACACCGCTCTGAGTAGTGCGTTCAACGCTCTGCCGAAGTTAGGATTAGTCGGGGAGAAAAAGCGTTGTACGAAACTAACCTCAAAAGCCAGCAAGAGAATGACCGTCACCAGTGTTGACTCTGCTTTGCATTTTTCGGGGTCTACCAACGCATCCTGTAATGAACGTAGCACACGGGGGTAAAGTCGGAACCCGGATGCCTCGATTTGCTTGTTCTGCACAGAACGACCAAAAAATGCCACTGAAACGGCCTCGAATGCGTCTGTGATGAGTGGTGAAAACATCCGAATCCCCGCGGCAGCTCGCAATGCACCCGCTCTTCCGGATTTCATATCCACTTCTGGACTAAATGCATCCACAAATCTCTCGACAAACACATCCACCGCGGGTCTTTGCATGCTCATGATCGAGATCGTGCCAGACGAGTCGGACCCACTGCTCAGCGACATGCGCTCCAAATCGCTGTCGTCGTCATCCTCAGCTTGCAAATTATTGAAGTCTTCGTCTGGGGTTAGTAATAGGCGAGTCCGAACTGGCAGAATTGACGAAGGGGTCGCAGGATAATCGTAGGATTCATACGCTGGAGCTGTCAGCAGAGCTGCCTTTTTGAGCAATCATTATGCCACATACCTTCCCTGCCTTCCCATGGTCCAACAGGAACCAACCCGTTCTTAAGGCCGACATGTGAGGTCCGAATATCACGAACAAGATCATCCACTAACGGAGTTGGGGCGGAGCGAATAGACTCAAATAAGCTCTCAAGCTGGTCTAGGCGTTGGAGATCCTGGGCTCCAGATCCTGCACAGACATCAGCAATTGTTCCGCATCCACATGACGTTGCCACACACTACAGGAAGGAGTGGGCGGGGCCTGTAAGCATACCATCGGGTTTGTCATCTATTCTTCGCCGAAGGTCGCGGATCTCCGCCCGTAGGTTCCGAATCTCCTCCGCTTGGCTGATGGGGCGGGCCTCTTCATCGGGGACGTGCTCATACACGCATTTGGACGGGTAGCCATGAGCACAGCAGGCGTGGCAGGGCTTGACTCGGTCACACTGACAGCAGGATCCACGTTAGCTTTGCGGGTGATGTGTTTACAACCAGTGGGACGCATCAGATGGGTGCGGGAGCGTCCCGACCCAAAGGGCGATCTGAGCACGAGGACGGGGGTAACGGACCTTGACTTTCCGGAGCCGGCAGACCTTACAAGACCGCGACTGGCGGTTCGGAGGCTTTCTGACTCGTGAGTCGGGGACAAATCGCGTATCACCGAGCATAGTGGCGCGGCAAAGGAAGCTCAGAGGGGGAAGAAGGGAAGGGTTCCTCATCCCGAGCCAACGACACGGCAGGATTTAGGCGAGCCAGATTTGGGACGAGGGAGTCCGAGATCTGCTTGCTTGGGGGTGGACCGACTTACTCTCAAGTGGTATTAGCGCACGCCTCAGGAGGTTGTGATAGGTGCGTGGAGGTGAGTCGGTGGAGGGACTCCGCCATTACGACTGGGCCTGAATTGAGTGGTTTTGATTGGATTATATTAATTGCTTTGGATACTGTTGGGTACTGCGTATGGATAGAATTAGAGACGAGACAGTCGAGATAAATATATTGCAGGGTATTGTAAATTGTAGAGAGTATATTGCAAATGGTCCATCGATGTGAAATGGTAAGAATCACAACATTGACCCTCCTGGATTTGATGATTGTCACGTGCAGCGGTCTCCTTGGATCTCCCCACTCATTTAGCCTCTCCGTCCTGCTTCATCAGCTTGTCAATATACATCAATAGCTATGTTGCAAGGCTCACCAAATGCCCGTTTCAATCTACGGGCTAGCCATTGAGATGGTATTTTGTGTATAGTTGGCTAAATCCCCGAAAAACCTCCCGAAAGACGTCAAAAAAGACACTCCAAAAGAGAAGAATTGTATACTCTCGTCAATGTGTTTTTATAGTCTCCTGGTATTCAATCTCCAGCACCTCTTTCAATATGCGCAAATCGTATCTCAATTAATGCTATACATACACAGAGAAGAAGAAAATCAGGAATGAAGCTGCCATACACTCTAGGTATAGGTGCTTCACGTGGAGATACAAATCCTGCAGTCTCCATTCTAGGCAAAGAAGTATCAGATGCCCGCAAAATAACACACGTAACACTCATCGTGCTCTATATCATCCCACAAGAAGTTCACCTTGGCTTGATTGTGAGCTCCTTTCACGCACCACTTCCACTCCCGAATACAGAGCAAACAGATATGAAGCGCCGCTAGTGGCCACGGGAGAAGTTTTTCGCAGTGCAGACAGCCAAAGAATTCAGGACGCTGATTCGAACTTCCACTGATTTCGCTTTTCAGCTCGGAGCCTGGCCCACTTGAGAGCGACTCTAGGTCCTCCTCTTTGACCTCTTGGGGGTAGTCTTGTGCAGACTTTGCATTCTCCGCTGGTTTGCTTGGGGTTTCTATCACATTTGTGGAGACGATAGTGGTTGAAAAGGTGATGACAGTAGTGGTTGTTGTGCTTTGCGGAGATGTTTCGACAACGGGCGGTGCAATTGTGACACAACTACGATGACCGGAATTTGCGTGTACATGATTCAGCTGCTCAGGCATTGCGGTGGTCGGTCCAGCTTTTGTGTTTTCAGAGATATTTCCAGTCTGTGAGTCGCTGAGGTGGGTGTTAGCTTGGGGTGGTGGCTCGGGGAGATAATACGGTCGAACTCGTCCTCCGTCTCTCTTGGCCCTTTTAGCGCGCGATCTCTGTGTGTTTTTAGTCTGCTCCTGATAAGCAAGTGAAATATGCTGCCCATCTGGGCATCTGATGTACTTACATTTCGGAACTTCGTACGGCAAGCCTCACACGGTTTGTAGAATTCCTTCCCAGAAGCTTTGGGTGCCCGAAAGGAATCCGTTGGCTTCTCTTTATTACAGGTGTAACACCACCTATTTCCCTCGGGGATGGGCGGACGCTGTAGGGATGATTCAGAGTGCCCGTTTTGTTCGGGTATGGTTGAATGCTGCGGCAGTATTTTAGAGCGCCGGGTTTTGTCGGGCATGGCGGAACGCTGCGGGAGTACTTCAAAGTCACTGGTTAATTCAGACATGGCGGAAAGCTGTGGCGATGCTTCAGAGTCACTGGTTTCTTCGGGCATGGTTGGACGCTGCGGTGATGATTCAGGGTAATGAAAAGACGAGTTTGCAAGGGGACATATGGCTTTGAGTCAGGAAAAGGAGGCGTTAAGTCAGGAAGGCGTTGGGTTACAGGCAGTAAGTTTTGAGCCGAGTTTGAGCAAATAATGGTGCCCTAGGCAGACATACAAATCTAGGTAGGATCAACGCAAGTTGTGAGAGAGGAACGATCAAACTGCGAGCTGTCCAACATAAAAGTGAGAGAAGTGACAAAAGTCAGAGACTTTAGTGAGGCGAGATATTTTATAGAAGAGTAGAGGGCGATTAGAGTGAGTCGGGAGATATACAAGTCTAATGCGACATGAAAACATGATCCATAGTGCTAGTCTAACAAGATATTTAATAGCGCTTAAACAGCAGTTTCATTCGTGTCATGGCAATCGTTGGTATAAATTTGATTTTGAATAGTTACATGTCACTAATTAATTGAAAGCAAACAGATTTTGCAACATTTCCTTTCTTGTTCGCGCGTTCCATCTCACAAAGCGCTTGATCGAGAGATTCAATATCCCATGCATTCGGATTTGACATTTGACGTTGGGTGATTTCTTCATGCTCCCAGGGCTCATCGGCACCTGGTAAGATGGGTAGTCTTGGTGGTTGTGTGGTTTCGATCATGTCGACTCGGTGTCGAAGATCATCATGCACGGCAGTGGAAACCACCTTTTGCATTGCGAGGCCGGCAATGACATGGCGTAGATCGGGTTCACGAGCGTGGGCCTCTTGTCGGATCTTTCGTAGTGAGAGTTCGTAGAGTCGATATGGTAAACGGTCGGAGTCAATGGTAGGATTTTGACTTGGAGTTGGAGTGCCAACGAGAGTAACACGAGAAGTTTGTAATTGGCGTCCTCGCCTCACTTGAGGAATGTTTCTGGTAATGAGCCTGGTGCATTGTGTTGTGGACATTTTGGAGATCTGAATGTAGATGTAGATCTTGAATTTCGAGAGAGATAGACTAGATATATGGCTTATTTCAAAAAAATTGTGATTCATAACTGAAATCATTACAGCGTCACCTGGCTTCGAAATCATGCCACTTTGTAGATGAAATCGGGGGATATTTGGCGCGGATCTTGAGGGGGTTGGGTGGCGAGAGTATCATGCCATCTTCAACCTCGACAATATACATATACCAACATACATAATGAACACTTTTCATTCAAATATAAGGATTGACTTCTAGTTTTATAGAGGAAAATATCTTACATGAATTCCTTGTGAAGAAAGGTGAATGTCAAATTGTCAATCCACATATGGGGCAAGTGACTACGAGATCATTTATATATAGAAATACATATTATATAGCAGATAAAAACAATATTTGACCGTCTTTCCGAAGCGACCCCGTCTTTCTGTATATAGATATATTCCTAATCCAAATTTCCCTTTACGGACTCCGACTCGGTGCCAAGTAATCTCGGGAAGGGAGCCGACGGTGATAATATCATAAAGTATCGCTTGAGCCTAGAATTTAATCAGCGCAATAGCCAGAAGCATGTGAGTCTGGAGAGTCCAGGAGGATTCGTCTAAAGGGCTTCGTCTAAAGAATCAAAATACGTGTCTATTGCTCTTGCAAGGTTGATGGCATTGAACATCGGAAGGCGATTCCGACGTTATACTCCAAAAACTCAAAAAGGATACTTCAACCCCACTGAATCCTGCCAATGCAAGCTCTTATCGTAATGAGTCACTTCTGATTCAGATTTTGGATATTCTGTACAACGAATTGTTGAAGTTCCAACGTCTCATCACAGTACCCATCGTTTTCACGGTCGAGACAGAGGAATATCATGCAAAAGTCCGCAACCACTGTGCAAGAGCCAGCGCAAGAACCATGGCAATCAACCTCGACAAGCCTAGCCGAGCATCCCATTGAGTATCCCATTGGTCATAACTCAAACTTCGACGAAGAAGCTCCCCGGTCGGCATTTTCCATTATCGAACCCCCAGCCGAGCTATCCACACTCACCACCCATCTCACCGGTCACAGTGCCGACGACACATTCCCAGATGGGGGACTGCAAGCATGGTGTGTTGTAGCGGGTTCATTTTCTCTCTTAATGGCTACATTCGGCGTGATGAACACGACTGGAATTCTGCAAAATTACTTCGCTACTCATCAGCTGGCCAGCTACTCGCCCAGTGCAATCGGCTGGATTCCGGGACTATTCACCTTCTTCGGTCTGAGTATTTCGGTCCAGGTTGGGCCGATGTTTGATCGGTATGGCCCTAAGGCCATTCTTGTGACTGGCACTGTGTGCTACGTGACGGGTCTTATTCTTCTTGCTGAAAGCCGTCTTTACTGGCACTTTGTTCTTACCCTTGGTGTTCTTTCTGGGACTGGCGCTGCACTCTTGAGTACAGTGGCGTTGGCTAGTGTGCCGCAATGGTTCGATCGGAAGGCAGCACTTGCTATTGGGATTTCGATGGCGGGCGCGGGTCTTGGTGGTGTGGTGTTTCCGTTTGTGCTCAGAGCTGGGTTCACGAATCTTGGATATAAGTGGACAATTCGATTGCTGGCATTGGTGGTGTTGGTATTGTCTGTGGCTGGGACTGTTCTGGTGAAGGCGCGTCTTCCGAAGGGAAGGAGCAAATCAACTGTCAATTTGCGCTCTTTGCAAGATGCGAGGTTTACCTGGTTGACATTGGGCATCTTTGGTAGGTTGATTTTGGTCGAGGATTCGGATGTTAGTAGAAACGGAATACTGACTTGGAATAGGTCTTGAGCTCGAGGTCTTTGCTGGTCTAGGTCTTTATCCAACCTATGTCATCATGCAAGGGTTTTCTACCAACACCAGTGTCATTCTTCTCGCTGTTCTGAACATGTAAGTTGCAATGGATATAGAACCTCGCTCGGGAAAAGCGCTGACTATTCTGGCACAGAGCCTCCACAGTAGGACGATTGTTGGCTGGAGGCGTGGCTGATCGGTTTGGCAGAATCAACACCCAGACTGCACTCATCGCTGTGGGTGCATTCGCGGTGTTTGTAATCTGGCTGCCATTTGGCAGCTCCCTTATCGGCCTTTATATCTTCTCAGTTATCTTCGGGTTGGCTTCGGGATCATTCCTGAGTCTTGCACCAGCTTGTATCGGACAGATCTCTAAAGCGAGTGAGGTTGGTGGAAGATTCGGCCTGACATATTCCATTGTCAGCTTTGCGTAAGTCATCAAAATCCAGTTGGTAATGCGTCGCTAATAGAAATTTAGCACACTGATCTGTATCCCGATTGGCGGTGAGATGCTCGACAAAGTGGGAAAGAGAGCCATGGTGGCATATTTAGGGAGTGTCCTGATAGTCTCACTCGGTTTGTTCGTGATGGCAAGATGGGCCTGTTTGAGCTACCGGTGGAGGTGGCAAGCAAAGATCTAGAGCCGATAAAGAAAATAGGGATATCATGAAAGTTGAAATTCGATTTTGCATTCCAATTCATAATAGCGCTAGGATAGAAAATTATCGTATACAAAGGTTGAGAATTATTATGGCACTGTTGTTAGTTGCAATGCGCATGTCGATGTCCCGGATAAACTCGATCGTGCAGGAGATGCTGGCAAAGCTAGTTCTGTTCGCCTCCCTGATTCTTGGTATATTCCTCACTATGACCTGTTAGCGTTGGCCTCACGGGGAAAATCCAGAATCCCTACAGGTGCTTGTCGAGTTCATCCATATGCTTGCGCTGCTCCTTGACCTTTGCTTTGAGACGCTCGAGCCTGTCACCGGGTAAGTTTATGTCCTTAAGCCCAGTCATTGGAACTCACTTTTCCATTTCTCTTTCCCGAATGTACATGCCTTCGTGTGCAGCCTCGCGTTTGGCGAAAGAGTCCTTCCTATTGGGATGGTTAGATATGACGTCATCGATTTCGCAGTGAGTCCCATACTCGGCCATGAAGCCCGACTTTGTCGAACCTAGGTCACCCGCGCCCATGATTCTTGGAGTGGTAGAGAGGGATCGGAGAATAGCTAGATTCGTAGTGATACGGAGAACTGGTCGTGTAGTTGCTTGCATGGTGAAACGTGGGGGGGATGTCGATCAGTTAGGAGATGTGGAGCTTGAGATGTCACACTCTGTCCGATAATGTACTTGGATTCAAATATTGGATTGTGAATAATTTCAGAGATAATAAGGGAATAGGCGATGCAGTTCAGACTATTTAAATGTTAATGACTTCATTGAGTCAGGTGACCATATATGGGTTGATGTATCTCATGATTGGACGATGTCTATGTTCTGGACGCATTGGGAAATCCGGAGAATATGAGATCGTACCACTTGGACTCCATTCCATTGCATCCCTAGTCACACATCAAATTATATCTGTCCTACAGTTATATAAATATCAAGTCAAAATGCTTGGATTAACATATCAAATCAAATCTATAGGATTTGCCAAAATTTACTAAATGCTTCTACAATACATAGCGGAATCCCTTCTGCAGTCGTCTAGCAGCAGCAATATCAATCCCCTCAAGATCAGCGGTCGCTTGCAGCCGACGGATATCCTTCTCGGTAAGCTGAACTTCCTCGTTCTCCAGACGCTCCTGGCGTTTGTTGAGCGCGTTCAAGTTGAAGTATAAGAAGAGGGCCGCAAGACCACCGATTATCTGTAGCGCAATGCAAACACCCATTGCCGTTTCGTAATGAGGTTCTTCCTTTTCAATGTACGTATAGGGCGTCCAAATTGAAGCGCTGTTTCCGATGGAGTTGAAAAACGCAAAGGCTGTCTTGGTTAGCTTCATGATCGATAAAACAAACCAAAGGAACAGGACTTACCGACAGCACGCTTGGCAGGCGGACGAGGAATGGAGCTTGCAAGCCAGGAGTATAGAGTTCCGTTCTGGGCGAAGACGAAGACCATCAAGAAGAACGAGAAGTATCGTGCTCCGAAAGAATGGGTTTTCATGAAGACGACAAATCCAATGATCGTGATCGGGATCGGGTAGACGAAAAACCAGAATCTCTTCTCCAGTCTATCAGAAGCTACCGAGTGGCAAAGGGAATATACAACCATGAAGAGATATGGGGGTGCGACGAGCACCAGAGTGATCGTCTCGGGTAACTCGAGAGTCTTTACCAACGTCGGGAAGAAGTTTTGGAAACCCGAGGCTCCGGTGATGCACATATACGCCAAAGCGAAAACATAGGTTTTGATGTCGGTCATGGCGAGTTTGAATCCCTCGAACTGGGTTTTGCTACCTCCTTCATCCACATCGGCTTGACCCGCCTCAATGGCGAGACGTCGCTGGGCAACTCGGCGCATCTCCGGGTCCAAAAGTTTCCATGTCTCCGGGAAGTCGGGTAGAACGAAGCAAATGACTATTCCGATGGCACATGTGATGGAACCTTCAATAATGTAAAGCCATTGCCATGCAGAAAGTCCTCGGTGGCCTTTGAGACCATTGAGAATACCCGCGGCAATGAGGTTTCCGAAAGCCCCACTCAGCAGGGAGCCGGAGTAGAAAATACTCATTCGGAAAGCCAATTCTTTCTTTGTGTACCATTTGGACAGATAGAAGAGAATGGCGCAGAAGAAGGGCGCTTCGACCAAACCAAGAATGAATCGACAGGCCACAATACCTCCATAGGTTGTGACTTGACTTGTCACTGCCGAGACCAGTCCCCAAGCGGTGACGAAGAATCCAATATAGAGGGATGGTCGACCCATGTAGTTCAGAAGCATGTTGGAAGGCACCTGCATGAGAATGTATCCAACGAAGAGAATGGAGAGACCGGTTTGGTATTTTGTGTCGTCGAGGTTGAGATCCTCCTCGAGACCTTGGAGTTTCGCTGCAGCATAATTGTTGCTGGTTCCATTAGCATTGACCGACTGTTAGGTATGAGAAGAACCTACCGATCAATATAATTCATCAGGTAGACCAAAATAGCCAGTGGCATGATCAGGGCATCGATGCGCTTGCGCAATTGCTTCTCGATGACTTTATCTTCCGGACTTAACTCGGCCATATGAACAACTTCCTGATGGGTCAAGTCCATCTTCGGACCCAACTCAGCCTCACTGATAGCATTTTGAGTTCCAACCATGGTGTTAGATCAGATGAATAGTATAGAGCAGGGACAACGTCCCGGGGGCGCCGCCCATTTATGTGCGGAGAGATGGGGTCATATCATGATAGACAAGGTACGGGCCACAATAGCGGTAAATTCAGCTATGGAGATCGCATTTACCCCGTGAATTTGCTGAATTCTGGAGAAACGTGGGGGGTGAGTTTGCGGGGAACTCCAAATTCGGAGATTTGACGAGTCGATCGTGTGGTATGACGAGGTTCACGATGTATGATAGGAAGATGAAAACTACGGAGGACCCCCACGGTGGAGGTACAATCGGCCTACATTAGCCTGTGATATTAAGAATCCCAAGAGCGATATAATCCTTTACCCCAACCTATTTCGCCAAGCCTGGCCTCTCGGACTTCTACTTTGGGCTTTTCTTGAATTCGGCTCGGACAAAGTCCGTGATCAGCCGAGCTCTAAGCGATACCTCTATTGGTGAAGCCTAAACAGACTAATATCATCCCTCTATGTCGATCACTGGATCCACCAGCCTTTGGCATTTTTTATTTTTATTTTCTTCGAAGGGTTCTCGCACTTTCTCCGTGTGGCTGGACCTTGGCCGGCGTAACTCCTATCTCGGTTTCTCTATCCTCGGCATGTTAGATAACGTCGTTTTCCCTGGACCTTTAAATTGGATGATAATATCAATTAATATATATTGACATTCAAATGAGTATGTATATGAGTGTAGATATAGGTTCTGTAGCAATCTGCAAAGAACAAAATCAAAAAGAGACATGTACTCCCACCACTTGGTGCTCGCATAGGAAGAAATGAAATGTAAATGAAAAGCAAGTCTATAGAGAGTTGGATGATGAAAATAAAAAAAAGAATAGAAGGAAAGGGAAAGGAAGTCTATAGAGAGTGAAAAGTGAAAAGGTTGTCAATCCACACCCCTGGAAGTCCGAACACCTGCAAGTTCAACGGCAATCACTCAGCCTTCTTGGATGCCTTGGTTCTCAATTTCATGAGACCAAACACCAGGCCATACGAGCTGATAACAAACAGAGCGACGATGCCCGTGTCTCTCCAGCCGTAGTAGTAGTCCATCAGGTTGACGGTGACCAAGTAATCGGATCCACGGGTGTATTGACACACGCGGCATGATTCAGTGGCCTCGGGGTTGACAAGGTTCATACGGGTGCCCATGGTCTGCATGAAGTCGCTCAGGTATTCACCGCAAGTGAGTCCATTGGGTGCGTTGAACTTGGCGAATTCCTGCTCTTTGCAGTGGACTTCGCGATCGAACTCTCCAAATACCAACATGCTGCCCATGAGGTAGTTGAAAGGGTTGAGCCAGTATATCCAGTACCGCCAGAAGCTGACGATTTGAGCGTAAGGGACCAAGACACCACAGAAAGAGATCAGGATCTGAGAAGCGTGGTGTTAGCTGAGATACCATGAAGAGCAAGAAGAAAGAGAACTTACGCCGAGGATGAGAGGGTTCATCATCGAAGCCATGGCGGCGTTGGGGGCGTATGCAGCGACGAATTGACCTGGGGGTATTTGTTAGTGGAGTTCGATGTCAGACAGATGGGTCAGCTTACCGATTCCGGTGTAGAGGAACTCGTAGAGAAGGAACACGAAGAACATGCTACCGCTCTTGCTAGAATCAACGGGCATACCACCCAGCCAATACCAGCAGTTGAAGAAGAGAGCGGCACAAATAATCAGATAGGGCACCTCCGAGACAATCAAGGCAATAGTGAACGCTTTCCACGAGTACATCTTGGCCTTCTTCTCACGTGCCTCAAACAGATCGCGACGCTCAAGGAAGGTCGGTTGCAGTTGATTGATCACACCGGGCGCGACAAAGATGGCATTGAAGATGAAGAATAAGACAGTCTGAAGATCCGTGATAGAATCACCAATCTTCCAGAAACTGAAGCCAACAAACAGGCCGGTCGAGACGTGGAGGGCAAACTTGTTATTAATATAGTCGCAGTTTCGTAACAAGGCGGTTGAGGTACGTTTCGTAACCAGCACTGTCTGCTCCCAGAGGCTGGTAGCAAACTCCCGGCCATCATCGGTGGTACCTGGGGGCTTCGATGCAGCGGTCTCGATGATCTCATCAAGCTCCTTGGTCATGGCGTGGTGTTCAGGTGATTCCAACCAGACCTTGTTCCAATCCTTACCCTGACTCAATTGACCTGAAACAACGTCGATCATATGCTCAGCAGGGTTAGTCTCAGGCAAGCATGGCGCTCCTTCACGCGCGAAATACTTCTTGATGTCCTGTGAATTTTCTCCAATGGGTCCGAAGTAAACAGTCTTGCCTCCTTTAGCCAAAAGAAGAAGCTGGTCAAACTCGGCGAAAAGCTGTGCAGATGGCTGGTGAACGGTGACCAAGACAGCTTGGCCAGCATCCGCGAGTCTGCGAAGGAATCGGACGGTATTGTACGCGCTCTGGCCATCAAGACCACTAGTAGGCTCGTCGAGGAAGATCAGAATGCTAGGCTTAGAAACAAGTTCGACTCCGATAGTGACACGTTTGCGTTGTTCGACACTTAGTCCAGCTCCCACACTACCGATCATGGTATCAGCCAGATCATGGAGCTCGAGCAAGTCAATGATAACATCCACGTAAGCAAGTTTCTCTTCGCGTGGGGTGGTAGCAGGTTGGCGCAAAAGGGCAGAGAACTCCAATGATTCCCGAACCGTTGCCATACGTTCATGAATATCCAACTGTTCAACATATCCGGCTGAACGTTGGAACGACATAGGCAATGGGCGACCATCAACCATGATAGAGCCATGAATAGCTCCTTCGGTTTTGCGCTGCGCGAGAACATCAAGTAGAGTTGTCTTACCGGCGCCAGAGGAGCCCATCAAAGCACCGAGCATGCCAGGTTTCACCCATCCGTGGACGTTGTCAAGGAGGAGTCGATCACCGGTAGGTGTTTGCACTGTGTATGAAAGATTCTTCCATGTGAAGA